TTATACTAAAGGGCCGAAGTATCTAAACTTCACTCTACCTCATGACCAAGTCGGGGTTCGAACCCGGGACGTATGAATTGTACGCTCGACTCCAAGCGACTTAAGCCAATGAGGTTATTTGACCCCTTGCCAACGATAAGTCCAAAGAGACCGATGGCAGATCCGAAGATCTCGACAATTAAGATTTTCACGAAGAGGGCAGAGTTAGCAGCATCAGCAAGTGCTGCACCTGATCCAACGATACCAACAGCGATTCCACAGAAAAGATTGACAAGTCCAACTGATAATCCAGCACCGAACATGACATGACCAGCCATGAAATTGTTACCTCGAATTGTGTCGCTGCTTGCCATTCCTTTTTGTGTGTAAGGATCAAGCATTCCTGACAAGACGATAGCTGTGATTAAACCATAAATAGCGACAGCTTCACAGAAGATAACAGAAATCAAATTCTTTGTTTTGATTCTGGGTGCTTTAACGCCACCACCAACGATTGACACTCCTGTGGTATGAATTCCGATAGCAGCACCAACCACGGATAACGATACAGCGAATGCAATGCCCAAACAAGCCCACATGTAAGGACTGGTCTCTTCCAGGAACCATCCGACTGATACTCGCTCTCCCTGACCAGTCAAAACATGATAAAGGATCCACAGTGATGACAAAGTGGTAAGAGTTCCAGTCAAAGTATATCCTAATGCGTAGCGCATCTTTGTAATTTGGAATGTGCCTTAATTCGAGCTTGTGATCACTGATAAAATTTAATTTTCAATCTGTTAAGATTTTTTTTTCACTGAAAGATGCGAAATCATGTGACTTACGAATGAGATAAGTGAAGGTGAGTTGAAAATATGTTTGCTTCTTTTTCAGATCATTCAGGGTTGTAACTTTTAAAAGCGCTTTTTTACTCTTTGTAGTTTTTGTCAACTTACTTTTGTTATTTAGCTTTCCATCAGCTGAACAATTTTCGTCCTATCAGTTTAATCACTTTTCTAATAAATTTAACACATTTAATCTGAAGTAAAAATTAAAATGAGTGAAGTTAATCTTATGGATTTAGTATATAGTGATACATTTTGTGAAATTCAGTGTTTCCTTCGAATTTCTGACCTTTTCACCCTTCGATGTGTTTCAAAAGATTTAAGAAATTACATTGACAATGAACTTATTAAGTTAAAACGATTGACAGTTCCAGCACGGAATGAAAAAGCAATTACTGCATTTCAGGTGGTGTCGGAAAAATGTGAAAACCTTGAAACAATAAATCTAAATAGAAATGAATGGCTAACAGATGAATGTCTTGTAAAACTTCTCAATAAGAATTCAAAAACTCTTGTCAACTTGAGTTTAAACAACTGCGTGAATTTAACATCGATTGTGCTACAACCTGTGATAATTTCTTGTAGAAAGTTAAAAAAGTTGAGTTTGCAGAGCTGTTACTGGTTAACTATTGGATGTCTCGAGACGATTGCATTTCATCGCACAGATCTCGAAAATCTTGATCTTAGCAAATGCAAAATGATCAGCGAAAGATGTTTAATAGTGATATTAAATAATTTTCGTAAACTTAAAACACTTTCATTGGCATCTGTGACAAATGTTAACGACAATGTTTTGTTTAATATTTCCAAGCGTTTGACTGAAATTGAACATTTGAATCTCTTCGGTTGCCTGCTTGTGACAGATCGTGGAATTGGTGCTTTGTCTTTGAATTGTAAGAAACTGGAAACATTGTCGATTAGAGGATGTGGAGATGTAACTGAGAGAAGCTTAAATTTATTACGTTCACGAAACGTGCATATTGACATACCAAGAAATCCAATAAATTTATTTATAAATAATTTGCAAAGAATGGATCGTAATGATTATATGTACCTTCAAGTATAGATGATAATGAATGTTTATTTATAATCTTTTAAATGTGACATTATTATGACAATAAAATTCAAAATTAATTAATTTGATAACGAATTTTCGAATCTATTTAGGTATATGTTCTTCCTTTGATAACATTCAAATTGACTTCTAAATAATTACTATTTGCGTACAATCTCTTATCAGCCAATTTTAAATTCTGAGATGAAAACAAAATCCATGTGACTCAACCACGTGAGTGCGAAAAGACAGAATCTCAACTCTCTAAATTTCGGGGCTTCCCTCGAGATGATTACGTGCTGTTTGAAAATATCATGCGTTAATTTGATTCACGTTGAAAGTAAATTGAATTTTTATTTAAAAGAATTTTCAGTCAAACATCGACGTTCATCAGGAGGTCTTCTAATAAGGGTTTGCTTAAAATTAAATTTAATGTTGACATTATGATTGATTCACTTAAAAAGTCTTCTAATAAATGTGAAACTTAATTAAAAAGGAGATCTTATAATAATCTATTTAAATGACTTCAAAGAGTCTCATTATTCTAATAGAAAATAAGAAGGAAACTCATTGTGAAGCTTTTCAAGCATTTCTTTTTACATTAAATATCTAGAAATTTATTTAAATAAGCAAGTTAAAAATTACTTACATTTTCAAATAATCAATCAAAAAGAAAAAGAAAAATTAATAAATAAAAACATTAGGCGAAAATGTTAAGATGAAAATTTAATTTAATTAGTTAGTCAATGTCTACGTAGAACGTACTAAGGTTTGAGAAACATTTTAATCAATATTCACGTCAAGAGAATCACCAAGCTGAAAATGAATAACGCTTCTTGATATTCAATTATAGTCCAATTAGTTGTTAGCACAGTTTGGTATTTTACTAAAATAGCAACGAAATTTATAGCAAGCAATAAGAACAGCTTCACAGGTGACATGCTGCTGGTACAGGTAAAATTAGAATCAAATTAATAATCTCTTCAAAAAGATCTACAAATCATTCGCAGACACTTAAAATCGTACACTTCATGCAAACATGAACATAGTTAATCAAGCACCAATTACACATTTAATTAATTCATTTACTAAAGAGAATTATTTTTAGAACTCTTGAGAAGAATTTTCCTTTAGAGATTGACATCACGATCTGCATAAGTATTTATTTCTTTAGAAAATTACAAATCAATTAGGAGTAAAATTTCACATGCAATGCAGTGCAAAGTAAACATTAAATTTTTGGCGATGTTCTGCCTTAATATGCCAATACGTCTACTCCATTAATCTCAGCTTTCACGCTTTGACTTGAATACTTAATGAATTTTTGATTAAAATATTTGCAAATCAGATGTTTTGTTCTCGTTTTCTAATAACGCTGGAAAATGTGTTTAACGTTAGCGTAGAAAAATGTTTTCCTCACCCTAGAGCGGAAGTAATTTATTTAATTCTCCTGCGAAAGGCAAAAATTTAATAAGTTTTTCCCGAACAGATTACTTAAAGCACAAGTCTACATTTTTAATTGAAACTTGTAGGATAAAAGTAGAATTGTGTAATATTTGTGATCTTTTAATTAAGATGTTAATAAAAGTAAAATATTTTTCACTGAATAGGATGAGATTTGAAAACAACATGTTGACAACCAATAAAATTTAATTTATTTATATTTCAAAGGTGTGTCATCAGTCTACATTGACGGAGTTATTTAAAAAAAATATCGACTTCACTGCCTCTGATTGTTATTTCATTTTTCTCGAACTCTTGTTGACGTATAACGTAAAGCACGCAATGATATCGGAAAATTCTCAAAATTCTTTTCATCTATCATGACTATGAAATCTATTTATAAAGTAAAAAAAAATTCATATATGAACAAAAGAAGCACTTAAGCATTTATTTTTATATTATTCAACATTTGAATTTATGCTCAATAATCGAACGAAACGTGGCTTTGCAACAATGCGAAATTTTTTATTTTGTTTTCTTCAAGGTTTATGTCGTTGATGGATTTTCATTTTCTTTCTCATTTTTCATATTTTTTATACACAAAACATTTGAAAAATATTTTCCATTCATTCGGTTGTTGAGTGGGAAAGATGAAAATATTATTTGGTATTTTTCATTTTATTTGTACTTGAGACGAATCCTATCATAATAGATCCTTCCTCGAAAAGTATGATTAAATTTCAGCATGAATTGTTTCCCCAACTTTCAAAATGTTTCAATTTTCATTTCCTCATATTTAATTTTAGTTCTCTTCTAATTGAAATCAAATCAGAACTCAACAATAATAATTATCTTTCACACGCTTTTCATTCTTTCACACGTTCAAGGTAAAAAGAAGTAAAAATTGTGTGCAATTACTCTATCATCGTGAAACAGCGAACGAATGTTTTTAATTCAATGAATATTTTATTCCGATTCCAACTGGTTGTGACTTTTCAGCTACATATGAAATTAAGACATCACGCTATAAGCAAATTCACATGGAATTAATTAAAAATCTGGAAATTCAACCACAAATATGAGATTTTAAATTAATTTAATGTGATGATGACCAAAACTTCTCAATGACAAAAGTTTTCTTTTCGTTTTATAAATTTATTTCTCCTTGTACAAAGATTAGTGAAAAGAAAATGACGAAAAAGAAGGTTTTCCACGTTTCAGGAGAAAAATAGCTTTCTAGCTGTTTACGAAACAATTTCACGGCAGCGTTATTGCGTAGAGATGAAAAGAAAACGACTGGAGAGATAAAACCCAAACCATTGAGAAAATTTTGTTTATGATTTGTTTTATAAAACACTTCCCATACACATTCCATAATGGATAATCTCAAATTCTCTTCGCATCGCTTTTATGGACTTTCGATTTGCAGTGTAAACATTTATGAAGACAATTTCCAACTCATGATACCATTAAGATCTGGGTAATTACAAAAGCACTTAGAGGAAATCATTCGAATAAGTATGTTTACTTTCTATCGATATGCTTGGACGAAAAGAGAGGAAAACGACACGAAATTATGATGCATTGGCATGAAAACTTTTTCTTGTGTCTGTGAAAAAATGAAAATTGACTGTAATTTTCTACATTTATCATGTGATGAAGTCAGTGGTTTAATTACTTTTCAAAATAGAATTTTCTTGTCACTCGGGAGTTGACTTGCGACAAACATTTTAAAGTTTTCGAAGGAAAACCAAGCAAAATAAAAATAACAAAATATTTTCCACACGATCCGAAATATAGTTCATTGAGTTATGATAGAATTTATTTTTAAAATTCTATTTTTCGCTTAAAATTCGACAAAAAAAAATTATAAATAAATAAATACAACTCAATTTGTGAACGTGTGTTAAGATATTTTATGCATCGTGTGACTTTCAGGATTTGATTTACCATGATACAAGATCGACATTGTTACTTTGATTGACATAAAATAAGCTAATTAATCTCTGTCGATGTCGTTTCTGTGAGATGAAAGAAGCGATAAACGGAAGGCATGCTAAATATATTGACAATTTTATGGAAGATTGAAGTGAATATTTCACGTTTGTATGTAAATGTGTCACTTTACAGCTGAGTTTACAACAGAAAACTCAAGACGGGAAATTGCAGAAAATTTTTCGACTGATCTTAAATATAATATTTAGTTTGAAAAAAAACTTTAAAATGTTAAATGTTGGTGTAGGTTCATAGCAGCATTCTTTGAGCGTATTGGTCCGAAAATAATCTTTTACAGTGAGATCGAGATGGTGTAAATGGAAGAAGTGGCCAGTATAAAAATCTTAAATGATGAGACTTTTCCTTTCAGTGTCTGATCATATATCGCGGCATTCATTTCATACCCGATCGATTTTAGACAAGAAAGTTATTAAAAAAGATTTTAAATGATGGTAATTGAAGATTTTTTAGAAAATTAATTTAAATATTTTTTAAGTTTCAAATTAATTATTGAAATCTGCAATTGTCAATTGCAAAAGTTAAAAGTGAATTTAATAAAGTCGAAGGAAAACTTTTGGTTGAATACTTAACATAAAAATGTGTGGAATAAATTCAATTCAAATTCTAAATTCACGAAACTTTTGATGTATTTAAATGAAATCAGAACGACGAGTGAAGAACGTAATCGATTTATTGATTTATATTTCCGAAGGAGAAAAAAGAAGTGAAAATTTAATGAAGTCTAACTTATTTTCGTGTTTCTTCAAATATTTATACAGCTGATTTCCAACGTGATATTCATCTTCATTTTCTTAAACATTTTCCAATTATGAAAATGCTTTAAAGTGTTTTCTAAAAGACTCGTCAACTCGACACACGGAGAACAAAAATAAACATTACGCGATGATCTTTTTTATTTTTTGGATAGAATTCGTTTAGGAAAAAGAAACTTTAAATGTGGAAAAAATGTGTAGGATGGAAAGTAACAGTTCATTGAGGAACATGATAATCTAAATGTCTAAAACAGAAGATAGAAAGAAAATTGAAAAATTATATTTGGAACAGTCGTAAAATAAATTCATGACAAAGAGTGAAACGATTATTTTGGATATTAAAACTTTTAGTGGAAATTAAGTGATGAATGTTATTGATGATTCAATTTAATATTTTTTAAAGGATGACGATGATCAAAAGATGGCCATCATGCGCAAGGCCTTCCAAATGTTCGACACAACAAAGTGTGGTTTCATTGAAACCATCAAAATTTCCACGATCCTCAACACTATGGGTCAACTCTTCGATGAAGGTGAACTTCAGGCACTCATTAGTGAGCAAGATCCCGAAGGCAGCAACAAAGTCAATTTCGATGGTTTCTGCAACATCGCAGCACATTTCCTTGAAGAAGAAGATGATGAAGCCATGCAACAGTCAGTATTAATAGAAACTGCTGAATGACATGAGAAATAAGTCAAAACTTTATTATTTCAGAGAATTGAAAGAAGCTTTCCGTCTTTACGATCGTGAGGGAAATGGTTATATTACAACATCCACATTAAAAGAAATCTTGGGTGCTCTCGATGACAAACTCACAAGCTCTGATTTGGATGGAATCATTCAGGAAATTGATACTGATGGTTCAGGAACTGTCGATTTTGATGAATTCATGGAGATGATGACTGGAGATTAAAAAGCTTTCCTTCATCTCCAATCAATTGTAACCTTAACTGTTTTTCTATACACTCAAACTCATTACACAATTTTGATCAGTAAACTTATTGAGATGAAAACATGAAGAAAGTTCTGTCAACGATAAAAAAGCTTAATGTCAAAGGTTTTTTTTCTACCAAGAATATTATGTGTAAATACGATAAATTACGGTATTTAAATTTGATGATTCAATAAAATGAATTGTGCGATAAGAAGATCTCAGAATATTTTACATAACATTTAGGTTGAAGTTTTTTCTTTAACAAAATTTCGATATGAAAATGTTTAAAGTTTTCATTTTTCCAGATTATTTTATTGCTCAACATTTCTCCATAATTTATTTCACATCACATGACAAAGTTAAAAGATTGCAGGTCATAATTTCATCACACAATCTGGCTGAAACAGAAGCTGTCAAGAGAGTTTTCCATGAATGAAAATTGGTGGACGTCCAAGAAATTAATGAACTTTGGCGTGGTTAAAATTATTTCTGGTTCAACAATTCGAAAGTGATAAATTTTCCATGACTAAATTTTCTTCTCTTTAATTCATATCATGATGAAAAAAAGCGGAACAGAATTTTCTTTTAATTAAGCACTTCCGAAAATAATTTCTGTAGTAAAATATTTAATTCAAATCGTTATTTCCTTTATGGCTGCTTAATTTTATGATTTATTTAGGGGTAATCGCTTTGGGAATTGTTAAACTTAATGGTGCGAGTATTCAAATCAAAGCTTTAAGGATTTGTTGAACTGACCTCAAACAAGCTTTTATTAATTATCGTAGTTTTTCATACAGAAATTAGTACAATAACGATGACAAATCATATTTGCAGATGACTTTTGTTCAGTCTCTTAATCAGTGTTTACAAGTGCCTTATCAAATTGTTGTTGAATAAGATAATGAAGAAAAACGTAAAATCAAGATTAAAATATTAGTATTGTACTCGTTTTAGTCGTTCTTCGGACCTTCAGTCGAATACTTTGTGCAAAAATGACTCCGAAAAGTTATGAAGTAAAATCTTTAGACGTCATACAAACTGATTATCAATCGTCTAAGACGCAAAATGTCTCAACTATTTCATTGTCGGTTCATGATAGTGACAAGAACTCTCCTGTAGCTTTTGAAGATGCATTGAAGGAAACAGGTTGAGATTTGCGATAACTTGCGATGATAAAATAAATAAATTGATTAAATTATTAATCTTCAGGTTTCGGAAAAGTGCAAATCAAATTGATAATCGCAACTTCTTTGGTGCTATTTACCGTGCTAAATGAGACAATGGGAATTTCTTACATTATTCCAGCAGCTCAATGTGATCTAGATTTAAGTCTTGCAGACAAGGGTTTGTTATCAGGAACAACATTTTTCGGTAATTACATTTACAAACATTTATTTAATGGTTCTATTTTTCTCGCATAAAGTGATACACTTATTTATAAATAAGTATAAATTTAGAAATGTACAAACAAATCTGACAAGGGGCAGTCGTTTGACGAAGCTGTTAACATTTTTAATCTCTGAAATTTTTTAATTATTTCTTTCTTGTTCATTTTCATTTATATATTAAGGAATTATGATTGGAAGCTATCCTTGGGGATATTTCGGAGATACTCAAGGACGACGACGTTCTATTCTCATCTCGCTTGCTTTCTCCATACTTTTCACCACCATTTCTGTGTTCATGAAAAACTATATAATATTTTTAATCTGCCGACTACTTGTGGGATTCTGGTGAGAAGATAACAACTTACTTCCTTATTACTTCTGTTAATTTACAAGCTTTCATTTTATTTAGTATTGCTGGATATTCAGCTGCAGGCTACGCTTACATTGGTAAATATTTATCATTCATTTTAAGTGAAGTTAATGAAATTAATAAGTTCGTTGTACATAAAGGTGAATTCAATTCAATTAAAAATCGTGCTGCTGTTATCAGCTGGGTGACTGTATCAGTCGGGATAGCATCTGTCTATCAACCATGTAAGATCATTCACTAGAATGTTTTTGTTTTGTTTTGTCCGCGAAAATATTCGGCGTGTGTTATTTTTTATGCTCGTCTCTGATCTCATAATCTTAATCATTTTTATTTTTAAAGCGCTCGCGCTTTGGATTCTGTCATACGATTGGAGTTTTCAACTTTACGATGGTTATGATTTTCGTCCCTGGCGACTTCTTTTGTTCTTATATGCAGCGCCTGGTATAATCGGTTTAATATTTATGTACATTTATCCAGAAAGTCCAAAATATCTGCTTTCACAAGACAAGAATGAAAAAGCTTTGAAAATTCTTCAATGGATGTATCGAACAAACAAAAACAAGCCAAACCATGACGACCTAAAAGTGAAATCTTTACAATCGGAAACCGGTGAAGTTACTGGGAAGGAATATAAAGGAGTGTAAGATTAAATATTAGATTTCCTAATGAACAAATGAGAATGATTAATGATGTGGAAATTATTTTAGCAAAGCATTTTTCATGTCGTTGGTCAATCAGACGTTTCCTTTATTCAAACCACCTTATTTGATTCCTTTTGTCGCTTGCTGTTTTCTACATTATGGAACATTTTCAGTTGCCGGTGGAATGGCGTTGTTTCTTCCAGATACATTGAATAAACTTTCCAAAAGTCGAGCAAATGGAACAGAAAGTTCATTAAAAGTTTGTGATGCTTTAAGACTTGATGACTCTTTGAACCAAGCAAATGACTTAGACGATGCTGTGAGTGATTTATTATTTTATATTCAGATGAATGTAAACAAATGTAATTGGCTTTTAGACATGCGATGATTCAGTGGATCCAGGAGTTTTCATCGATTCCATTTATATCGGATTATTTTTCCTCTGTGGATTAATTGTATTGGCTTCAGTTATTAAAATTACAGGGAGAAGAAAAATATTTAGTAAGTGACTTGATGACTCAAACTTTCATAATTTCCTTCTTCAATTCCTTCCTTTTCAGTTTTCACGTTATTATTATCTAGCGTCTCAGGCTTCATTCTCACTCATGTTACATCTCATTACCTTATAATAGGATTGTTCTGCATATTCATTTTTTTTTGCGGAATGAATGTCACGGTAATCAACAGTGCTGTGTGTGATTTAATTCCAACACATTTAAGGTGATTAATGGGATTATTTGATTAACTTTTTTGATTTAATTGAATCTTTATGATTTTAGAGCGATGGCAGTTTGCGTGGCGATGATGTTTGGGCGTCTTGGCAGTTCGGTTACAACCAATTTAATTGGATACTTTTTGGAACGAAACTGTGAAATGACCTACAACTTCCTCGCAGCTCTTGTTCTTGTCTGTCTTGCAATATCTTTCATTCTACCCGATAACAAAAAGCAAGAAAAGTTTAGCAAAGAAAGCTTTACAAATTAAAGTGAAATTGTAGTTGAAATAATCTTAGTTTTCATTAATCACTTGGGAATTTTAGCTTATGTTTGAAGAATGTTTGGTTTGACCTAATTCAACGGAAGTCTAGGTAGAAAGAAAAGCTTATTATGCACCTGGCAAAGGTGATGACGATGATGATGACGGTTTAAGTTTTACTTATTTTTCCTGTTTTTATATTTTCTTCTCATCATCGCAGTAATTAAACTTTGAAATCTCCTTTCTTTATTAAATAATGAAAAACGAGAGCAAATTCACTCGCGTTGAGGATAAAAATCTCTTCGTAATAAAGCATTGCAGTGAAGTTTCGAGGCGCGAACTTTGATTTCCTTTTTCAATTTTTCTCATACTCTGGAATGGAAGTTGTCATTTATGAATGAAAAATTAGACTCAAACTTTCTCTCCCATTTTCCTCTGTGCTTTGCTTTGATAACGTTTTTTTATTTTCTCCGGAAAAGCTTCGTGCTTGCACGCAAATGGGAAAAATGTTCTGTTCCGTTTTCATTCGATACGATTATGAGATCAAGCACGAGCATAAATGAGAACGAGAGAAAATTGGAAGAGTTTTTCTTCTCGTTGTGAGATTATTTTTTGGAAACTTGAGATTTTCAGTCACTCAATGGAAAGTGTTCGTTGAGTTCGGACGTAATTTTCAGCTCTTCATTTAAATATTTTTAACATAATTTCAATAAAGTGATTAAATGTGAAAGAGATTTAAAGTTGATATCTTAAAATGTTTACAACATTTCCAAAGTTTAAATGACCTGTCAAATAAATATAAATTTAATTCAATTTTTCTTTTGAAAATATATTTATGCTAATATAAACTTTCTGTGTACGTAAAAAGAAAGAAAAAAAAGGAAAATTTCCCAAATCTTCAAAGTGTTAGTGAGCGATTGTACTTGTGCCATACCAGAAATTGTGCTTTTTATTTCGAGGATTAAAAGGAAAAATTACAGCAGAAACAGAATAATAAAAAATTCTGGTTAGCTTTAAACGAACTTTCCATCATCTTTCATTCCTTTCTTCGGAATATCTTCTAAATTAGGCATAAAATGTTGCCAAGGTAGGATGTGACTGACAAAATTAAACTTTTTTCTTATTGATATCTGGAAATCTGTTAGTAAATCTGTCAATCCTTTGGATGAGTAAACATGAAGCGACAGTATGCATTGCTTGTCCCACATTTCAAGTACAACTTTTAAAGCTTTCAACGAGTTTGTCTCCATTAAATGTGACTGAAACTTTAAGATAAAAGCAATTGAATATTAAAAATCATGGTTGACGTCATCAAATTAATGCTATTCGGACCTTTTTTACATTAAAATCGTGTTAAAAGCGGTTTAGTGAATGAATGAATAAGCACGCGTAATATGTAGAAATAAATCACGATCAGGGAGGGTCGGATTGCCATTTTATGTGAAAGAAAGGAAAGCTTTAAATCGCAAGCAATCTGCGACGTATCCCACAAAATCAACCATGAAATGTTTGACTTCAACTTACTTTATAAAAGTAATAAAATTTGTATGTTTACGTGCAATAACTTTCAACCCTTATGCATAAAATAATATAATGTAAATAGCTTCTCGAAAATTTACATATGAAATGCAAAATGCATATCTATGCTGTCAATAACGTCACGAAGAAATGAAATAATCAACATCGACTTCCTGTGTTTTGAAAGGATAAATTAAACTTTATTATAAATGCAACTTTTTCATACTTTTATCGGCTTCTTTCTTCCCACATTTTATTTTTCTTTAGTGTTTCGTGTTTGTGATATTGGATTCCAGAAAATTTAATTGAAGGAAGACCAAATATTTGTTTGGGTAAGCTCAAACTTATTTATGGGTTTACCAAACTCAGAATCTATCACGCAACTAACTCACTTGTCAAACGATTGAATAAATATGAAAGTTGATATCAAATAAACTTCTTTTCTTAAGCTTTCACTTGAAGACCATTTTATGTCAATGTTATAGAAGAAAACAATTATTGAAGTATTTATATATGTCAACGTTAAATGTCAGCTCCATTAAGAGACTTCTTACTTTTTAATACTTCCATTAAAGTGTTAATAAACGATTTGGTAATTAGCTAAGCTTATTGAATTTGTTCGTGTTCCTTGAAAACTATTAAAGTTAAGAAAACTTTTATTCTCTGTTAAAGCATAAAATGTTCCTTTTCTCTTTAATTAACGAAGATTTGAGATGGGAAATAAAGCTTTGAAATGAGAAAAATGTAAATGTTATTCATGAAAAACTCAATAAGAGAAACAATAAAAACGCTTAATTTGTCTCTTGGTGAAGCAATTTTGTTTGATGTGATACGAATGCAACGCAAATGAACATCAAAATAAATGTTTCTGATATCTGAACTCAGTAAACGACATTAAAGCTGAGGAAGATATTGCGTTGTTCATTTATTATTAAATGATTAGCCAAATTAACTACCTCAATTCTCTTTTATATTTGCTACTAAGGCCAAAGTCTTATAAGCTGAGAATGACTATTTCATTCTTTTTCTACATTTATCTAAGAGAGGATTTGCAGCAAAGTAGATGATGCTATAATCAGAAAGTCCTTTTCTTTTCAAGTAGATGATGAACTTTTATAATTCCAAAAAAAAAATCTCATTATGAGCTTTGAGATATTTTTTGACTATGTCGCTCGCTTAGGGAAAATAAAGGAAGAAGAAGAAAAGTTTTTTGTGTTACATAATAAAGTTGCAAAAGACGCTCATAATAATAAAGTTCATGACGGTTTCATGCGTTTATTTTGTCATATTTAAGAGACAAAAGGTTCGGTGTATCTTTCATTTTTGTTGCAAGCGTTTTTACAGACTTTTGATGAACTCGTCGTGATAAAAAGGAAACCATAAGTTGATTACAAATTTTGTTGGCCATAATCCAGCACAAAATCACAATGCAAGAAGTGCTTGATGACAATTAACACAGCCATTGTATAATGTATTAAATCATCATTCAACCTCGACCTTATTATCTTTAATGACTTCATAATAACTACTTAAATTCTTGTTTTTCTTTCTGTTCCTTTTCATTTATCGATTAAACAATTTCCAAAGGAAATAAAAAAAGAAAATTCAAGAAAATTTATCGGAAAAAATCGCCACAGAATTTTTTTGACGAAATGAGAATTTCACTTATCCAAATTAAAATAATTTATTTAATTATGTTTAAAAGGTGATGACGAGATGAGAATACTTTGATTTTATCTTTTAATTTATGTACGATGAAGTGATTTGTGCGGAAAAATAAGTCCAATTCTTTGGCTTTCTCTTCGGAAATGTGGGAGTGACTTGCCTTCCGACACGTGAAAAATTATGTAAATGAGCCTTAGTTTATGCTCCTTGAAAGCTTTCCTTTTATGGTGAACTTTTAAACTAACATTTGAGCCATGATCTATAAAAAGTTTTGAAAACTGAAATTCATCAAATGAATTTTTGTCTTGTTTTTTCAGGTGGTAACAAAATATAAACTGAAATGAAATTTGAAACAAGAGGCTCAACTCATTATTTTTGGCTTGTGAGTTAACTGAAGCATATTCATCTTTTTTTTGTGGTTGATTGTTTTTGATGTTTGAATATATATTTTCAGACAACTTTCTGGTGTTCGCTTGGATTGATAGCTTTAGGCGCTTTGGCAGCAATCTCATATTGGATCAAGAGATGCAGGTATGAATTATGAATGACTTTAATAATTAATTATTTTATTCAATCGGCCACTGTATTAATTTTTATCAAAAAATTTATTATTGCACCACATATTGTGTTCATTTTATTTAAATTTAAGTTGAAGTTTTTTGGTCCAATCACAGCTAATGTCATAAATATTTAAGTTCTTTGAGATTTAATTTCCACGCTCACTAAAAGCTTAAAAATTATTCTTCTTTGATTAAAAGTGTCCACTTAGTTTTTGAAGAATCAACTCGCTAATTGAATAATGAAATTGTGCTTTTTGCTCTTCCTTTTGTCGTAAGGAAGTTTAACTAATGTCACAAAGTGTGTTGGTTTTAATATTGATTTCTGCACATTAAAATAATATTATTTAGAAGGCTTCATAGCTATTTGATTTGCTGATATCCTGATTTGCTGAAAAAAGATGGAAATTGTGATGAAAACGAGTGTCGTAATTTGAAAGCTGGTTGAAATAGATATGTTTATAGAGTACGAGTTTTTTTTATTATTTCATTCGTTTTTCTTGTTATAAAGAGCTGTCAAAAATATGCTTAAAGATTGTTTACATGAATTTTATTTAATGACGATCGCCATCTGGCTCAAAATCTTAATTATGGACTTTTTATTTCACGGTTATTTGTTTAGTAATTTGAACGAAAATGCGAATCGTGAAATTATGCCGGTCATAAACAAGCAATAATGTTATCGTTCGTCGTTCATTTCTTAAGCTGTTTTAACTTAATAATTTCTTTGTGTAAAACACAAGTTCCTTTGCTAAAAGGCTTTACATGAAATACCTACGACAAGCAGCAACATGTTGATTCATATGATTTGGGAAAAGTTGTTTATTGGATTATCAACCATGCACGTTTTACAGTCGCTTTATGACAATTTATTTTGTGTCGAGTGTGTGTGTGTTCATACAGAATGAACAAAGAATTTTAATTTAAATCTTGCAACGCATTTTGATGAAGAATAATTTCACTTCGCTTTGTAATGATTTTCAACTTCCGAGAATCCTACTTAAGACTACCTACACGAATTTTACGCGTAAATGTCAAACGCCTGCGGATATCCATCCAAATTTTCACCCACACAAGAATGAAAACGTACAAACAGTTTAAACCCGAACGAGAAATGTCAGAACAAAATATTCAAAAGCAACCTCCCACAAGTATCGTCACTAAAGGACATACGAGTCATTTGTTTCACTTTTTAATTAAATTATTACTTTGTCTCTCTTTTAATCTCAAGAGTCTTTAATAGATTTTGTCTCAACATTATTAGAATTGCTCCACTGTGTACCAGATATTCGAAGAGCTTTGAACATTTTTAATTTGTGTGAAATTCTTACGGTCGGTTGGAAAGTTCAACGAATTCTTTACGAAGGTTGAATCGAAAAAAAAAAACATTTTTGAACTTTGGCATTTTCCTGCTTCTACCACACTTTCCAATATAAATATTTTCACACTTTTTGTTCCATTTCCTTTTATGTTTGCCTTCCTAATATATTTAATGGCAACACAAAGTGTAAATATTGAATGAACCCGAAGCCACTCACAATGTTTTTGGTGTGTGTATGTGAGCCTGTTTAGTTGACACGTCGTAATTTTTTTTTGTACATGAATAAACGTGTAGACTTATGAACATGTTCCTTCTAAGCTTTCATTCTATTCTAAGCAATCCGAGTGGTATCACCAGTAGAAGCGACAGAAAATTAAACTTCAAGAAGATTTACGCGAAGGAAATAAAGTTGATAAGTGATGTTATTAATCTTTCACAATCTTATACGTGAATGTGTATAAGAAGTAACAAGTTTGAGATTGTTTATTGCTTTCAAATATTTGAGGTAAAGAAAGAAAATTGAGAATGGCATTTATCGTAATGCGGTGTTCGATCGATAGCATACATTTAATGACGTGGAAATTGAACTCAATATTATAAGAAAGTGTTCTATTTTCTGACTATAATGGTGAATAAATATTGACAATTTCGATGAGTCGAAATAATTTATAGGAAAATTTATGAATACATTAAGATTCTTCCACATGGAAAAACTTTTCCGATCAAAAAGTATTTTAAAACATTTTAAGACAAGACTTACAGTGGTTGGAAAATCGTGGAAAACTTTGTTTCTATTTCAACACGGAGACATTTAAGTTCGTAGATTTTCTATAGAAATTAATGTGTTTTTGAAAGGCTCGGTTGTGACACGAATATTGAGAATGTTATGAAGACGAATCGTCAAACATTTATGCTGATGAATAATCATGACGTTTCTTTGATTGATGATGCAGCGCTTTTTACTTTTCATTTTCTATAATTTTCTTTCTCTCTCTCTCTCTTACTCTGTTTTTCCACTTAAAAAGGAAACAAAGAATCATCAACCACAAGCACAGCAATCACAGACACCACCGCAACGAGCGGTGTCATTTTTTGTTAACAAAACAATTAATTCGGTGCTTAAGAACAGTAGGAAAATTATTGTGCGGGTTTGTGAGGCTGCAAATGTTAAAAAGCAGTTTAAAATGTTTCAAATGTATTCGACCATACGTCGTAATAACATCGATGAACAAAAGGAACCAGAAACGACCGGTCATGATCGTTTCTATCAGGACAGATCAAGGTAGTTCTTTCTTTTATATTCTTATTAACTTTCTCAAAAACGAAGTTTACAAAAGAAGCTCTCAATTCAAGTTCTCAATAAAAGCTATTCATGTTCTTCAAATCTATTTAAGAGAAAATCATATTTCCAATATTCTTTTTCCTTTCATCGGTGATTTATGTTGTGTTACACCCACAACGGAAACAAATTCTAACTTTACATGTTATTTTTCCATTAAAACCAAATCATTGATGTTTATGACTATGGAAAAATGAAACTTTATATCGCGAATTGAAGGTCTTCCTATCGTAAGAAACGACGCAAGCACGTTCGGAGAACTCAATCGCAGACTGAATTTGAGACGCGTACAATTACAGCCGCTAATAAAAGGCATTTATTTAGGTACATACATAAATGTGATACTAAGATGTTGAAAAATCGAGGCAGTTTTGAAGCATATCATCATTTATGAGACTTGTACATAAATATATTTAAAATGTTTTAAACGATGAAAAAAGAAAGAAGAAATGAACATTTTTTCCTCTCGAAATTGTTTGGCATCTTTAAATGAGATTTGAAATCTTCAAGCAACTCAAGGCTGTCTCGAGAGAAATAAAAATCCAAATTGATATTGAAGCCATCATAAAAGTTTTTTTTTATTAACAAACATTTTCAGAGGCCGTTCGGTTAGTTCTGAACAAGAAAATTCAGAATCTGAACATTCGGAAAAATCACCACTTGTTAGCACTAAATCGTTGGCTAAACTTTTGTTCAATAAGAGTTTAAGCTCACAAGAAAATGCAACGGGAAAAGACATTGACTCACCAACAAGGTTATTATTAAACATTGAGTCTTTAGTGTACGAATGTTATGTTCATTATTTAATCTTGCTAGGATTCTTTATCTTCAAGCTCTGTCCATGTTCCTCTAAGACCATCTTTAATGTTTACTTTTCTATAAAATAACTTCATGCTAGTTTCTAATAAATAGTTGTAGTGAGATAACTTCTTATGTAAAACTTTTCATTTCTGTTGAGACGAAACAAAGAATTAAACAAAAAATAAGGAAATTATTTGCATGAATTGTTTTCCTCGTCTCTTGCTAAATTTTTCAAAAATAAAAACAGCAAAATGGGGTGAACATAAATTATGTTTTTATTTGTTATGTATTCATATAGTTCAAGATCCTTTTATTCTTATGAAAGTTTCCGAAACTTTCCTTCATGATGAATTGTAAGGAAAAATCTATTTATCGTTTGAACATTGTTATTTTCACTGAAAGTGATTAAAACTATTTCTTTTGTCGAGATAAAATGTAATTTAATCTCACGAAGTTGTTTGTTTAAGACTTTAAAGTTTGTTTAAACACATGAATGAATTTTAGCTTTGAAAAGCTTCTAACAAATATTTAATGTGAGAATTTTAAACGCTTTCCTCGTAAAGATAAAAATAATTGTGTCAAGCTACATTTTTATCACTAAATACAAGAGCGATGGTAATCAAGATCGATTTTTCCCATTGCTGTTACAGCAAATTTCCGATTAAATGAAGTGAAAGAATTGAATCATCGTTGCTGTTGTAACGAATTGAATTCATGATGTTTAAAGTAAGTTTTCCTATAACGAAAGCTCACTCAGAGTTATCTTTAAAGATGATTCCTGATTTGATTACATAACAGCACAAACACGTTGGCAAGAATGTAATTTTATTTTGTTTCAATACTTGTTGCATAATAAATTATTCTAAATGTTTGTCGCTTTTAATATTGCACAGATTGTTACATGTAATCAGTTTCATAAGCTTTTTGCATAGAATTTGATTGAATGCACATTTGTTGTTTGCATAAAATTTCTTAATTAAAGCTTGTTATATATTCGATTATGATGAACATAAATAATTCTTACACAACCTTTTCATCGCTTTCAATTAAATTTTCGACATCATAATTTACTTCTAGATGCAATGTCAAATATCAATATTCAGCGATATTGGATAACGGCATTGGTGCTACAGATCGAAATCCACGTGACCGTGCAGCAAGAGAAAAAGCTTACACCGCCTGTTCAGAATGGCTTATCAATACTGGTGGGCGTTATGAAATAATCGCTCATCTTGATGACATTGGATCACGTGCAAGTAAACATTGGTTTCTTCTCAACGATAGCGCTGTGAGTTTCATTCTGTCACAATTTTCTTTACATTTTTTTAATTATGTCAATCATGAACTCTTTCAGATCAAAACAGATCGTTTAATGACACTTCTTCCGTTACCTCCCAATTGTGTTGCCTTAGAAGAACTGCCCAGCTCAGAATGTCCACAAGGCGTTCTTATGGAACTTCTTGGGACACTTCATCATCCCTACATTTATCCAACATTAGACTTAGGTCTTTTTCATACTGAAAATAATCACTATGCTTGTTTAGTTATGCCATTCAATCCAAGGGGTAGTTTGAAAGATTTAATTTATAAAGTACGTCGAAGATGAACAGCAAATAAATAACGAAACTAAAATCAATAATTTGTAATCATTACAGACTGAATGGAATGAAGCATGGGGTCGTAAATACATGAGAAAATCAGCAGGTCTCCCCATTTCTCAAGTCCAAAGACTAGGCCGTCAAATTCTCGAAGCTTTATTATTCCTCAGAGATCGTGGAATTCCTTCACATGGTCATCTACACAGTGGGAATGTAATGTTGCAGAATGGTGTTGCGAGGTTTGATTGTTATTTATTTTCCCACGCTTTATAATAAACTCTCATCAATCAGTTAATATTTAATTTATAATTTATCTTTCACACTATGAAAATTGCTTATTTATAAAGGAAGGAAGAGGATGTTCCTTCTCTTTCCTTTTCACTCAGTCTGACTCTTCCGATTATTACTACAATTTAATTCGAGTTAAGAAAGAAGAAATTATGTAATCATGCTTAGCGTGATCACGCGATAAAAATAAAACTTTACTTTTTAACTTTTCCGTTTAGAGACGTTTCTTGCTTTGAAATGAGAATCATGTTTGATTTTTATTTCATGATTAAGACCGTTGCAGTTCTTCATATCATGAAATTTTCAAAACGCACAAATTTCTATTAAAGTTACAAAGTTTGTTTATGTATTAAACTGAAATTTCCGTTCAGAATGCTAATGACAATGCTAAATATTGTCCTTTTATCTGTAGATTATCAGGATTAGAAAACGAATTGTTAGGATTGAATTCTCGAATAAATGCAGTGTTATGGTCTCGCTCTTCAACGGAGATTGAAAATATTGATGTCATTTGTTTCGGTCATTTGCTTTATGAAATGTGCGCTGGTTATGAATTATCCGAGCCAACACCATCGAAAACACATCTCCAACTTGATTTGGAGCGATATCCACAAGTAAGTTCATTTGAATAAACAACAAAACTTTTTCAAAAGCTCTCTCCATTTATCGATTTGCTACATTTAACATTCATTTACATAATTGAATTTCAGGTGGTGGAAGTCCTACAAATGATATTCGAATCTCCAGGTGGCTATCCGTCATTGGAAGAACTTGTGCTTTGCGATTTGTTTCGTAGCATCGATTTACGTGAAATGCGAGGCAGCTGTGTACCTGTAAGTGTTTTTTTTTCATTTTCAAACATCACAATTAATTTATAAATCGATTAAATTTGAAATTGTTTTCCTTCCAAATCTGACAGTTCAAGCACAGTTTAAGTAGCTCAACTATGAGCTTACTAAACGCTGTTAGAAAGCGTCACACGGTAATGCAAGGATCTTTCTCCGAAGGCAGTTCACCTTGTACTCCTCCATCAACTCCTCGTGATAGACAAGGGTAAGATTTCCTTCTTTCCCAATCCTTCGTTTCAAATCTTTCTGTTAGCTTCTTTCAGTTTTCTGTGTTGATTTTGTTTTTTTTTTCTTCTTTTTGACGCATGAAAAGTGTTTAGAAAACTTTTTTTTAAAGCATTCAAGTCAACATATTTTTGGTCTTGTTTACAAATCAAATGAAAAATCCCTTGACCTTTATGGATAAAGTAATATTTTGATAAGTTCAATTTCACGCTTAAATAATTTATCGATATCGGATGAAAAGATTGAGAAGAAAATGTTTATTGATATTGATTTGTGAAGAAGATGAGCTTCGAATCTTAATTGTGTGTTTATTTGATTTATTTTTTATTCATTTAGTTTTCAACATTTTCCTGCTTCGCGCTACGCTGACGGTTATGGTGATAAATTTCTCTCTTAAATATCAACGTCAGTGTCTATGTTTGATTTATGATTTTATCACTTTCTGCATGTTTACATGTTTATAGTTGTAGGTAAGCGATGAATGGTTCAACATAAAATTCATCTCTTTATAATCCATTAACATTTTTATGTCATTTTTTGTTTCTACAGAAGAGATTCAGATTCGGATCATAATTTGGATGAAATTGTTGTTGCGCAATTGTCACCAATCCATTATTGCGATAACGGCGAAGCATCAACATCGACAGGTCAACGGCATCAGTTGCCAATTGATGATAAAGGAACTGTAATTAAAATCAGCAGCTTCGATGAGTCAACATCATCGCATCATATCCTGCAAAAGCAATCAAGCAATCCTCAATGTAGCCAACAATCATTAGATCCATCATCAGCCTATAAGAATTCGAAAACTCGACGAACTGAATATTCAATGCGGGGAATAAAAATTGGATGCAGCAATCCATCACAGGATTCAGCATTTGGGTCAATGACCGATGGTGAACTTTCACATGCATCGAGTTTTAAGTTAAGTAGCTTTCAATCCGTTTCATCACCAATAGATGAAGGTGTTGAAGATATAAATGAAGATAAGAACAGAGACAATAGCATAAGCACTATAGCAAGTAGTTTGAAGTTCATTGACTCAAACAGTTCTTGTTCATCGCCATGTCCCGATAAATTCACACAATCACTTAATGATCTTGACATTGCCGGTCCATCAAACATTAATCCACTACATGTGACAAATATACGTGAAACTTGCATCTTTCTTGATCCACCAAAACTTATTGTCAACGACGATTCAACTGGAAATTATATTTACACATCATCGCCAATTAGAAAATGTGCAACAACTGAAGTCTTCTCACAAAAGTATCGTGTATCATCATTTGAAGATATGGCATTAAATAGCAATCATCTAAAGCATCAAGTCAATAAGAAAGCATTTAGATCATTTGAAGAAGAACAACGAATTGAATCAGCATTTACACCGATTAAGTCGTCTGGCGAAAAGGTCCTTGAGCTGCCCATAAAACATTTTACTTCGACAATGACGGGGAGAGAACGAAGCATTTTATGGAAAGATAGCTTTTTGAAGTGCAATAAAAATAATCTTACAATCAAATCTAAAGAGTCAATCTGTGAGTTGGAGACGGATGATGCTAAGGAAGCATGCGGAAGTCAGCAAGCAACGATAGTTAAAGCAGATTCTAATGAAGATAATAATGATGACGATAATGATGATGATGATGAGACGAGTATTGAATATTCAAGTGCAAGTATAACAGCTGAAATGTCATCGACCCAATCATCACGTCGTGCACGCTCTGATCGACTCTCATTCAGTCTCGCAAGATTTAAGCAAAATGCAATCATTGAAAGTGTCGCTTTGGATACCCTTTCAGAAAGTAGTAATTCGAAAGTAAAGAAACATTCAAATTCAAGTTCTTCGAATGACGAATCGAATGTTGATAACACAACAATCACATCGACAACGAATGATGAATGCAATAGTGAAGAAGAATGTAGTAGTTTAACAGAATCATTGCTCAAAACGCCATCGATTGATGATGTAAGGAAATTTGTCAAAAGCTTTGAATCTGAGGAAGGTTCAGGCTCAGTTGGTAACAGTGAAGAAGCGCCACTTCTTGGTATTGAAATGTTGTCAATAAGCTCATCAACCGAACCGGAATGATTTGACAAATTTGTGATAAAACAGGCAAGCAGGAAAACATCAATGAAGGGCTATTAAGTTATTAAATATGTCAATAATCATGGACATGAATTTTCGAAGCGAATAGATCCTTTGGAAAATTTCCTTATTCCCAATAAACATAAAAAGAAAACATAAAATAAGAAAATGCTTCTTAAAATTAATTGTACCATAAAATTCTATTTTTGCGCTTTAATAAGCATTTTTAAACTTTTACCTTTGACCTGTTAGACTAATTGATAAGAAGAAAAATAACTTTAAGTAGTGCAAAAGTTTTTATTTATTGTTTTAATTTTTATAATTGACGAAATTAAATATTTGTGGTAAAATATTGCAGAATCTTTATAGCTTGTTTATAAAATGCGAAATTTAATTGAAAAGTTTGATTTTTATGTTTAAAGTTCTCGAAACTGAAATATTTTGTTGGAGAATACTTTTAAAGTTTTTTTATTTTCCTGAAAGTTATAAGAACTTTTAATTAAATTGTTTTTAAAATAAAAATGTAGATGAAATCTATCAACTTATGATTATGAACCGTGGTGAAATTTCTAAAACATTTCGTCTCATTATGAAGTAAAAATTTCCTTAAGATAGCTTTGTGATCTTTTGTGATAATTTTATGATCGAAATAATTATAGATGCGTAATTAAACCACTAAACTAATGTGTAATAACAACACAGAAAAAAAACTTAATTAAGAAAACATGAAAATTTTCCAGAATAATTTTTAATTATAAAAGTAGATTAAAATTTTAGAAGCAGAAAAAGAAATTTAAAAAATGTCTTTTCAAGTGAACGTGAATATATTTAGTATTAATCTATAGCATTTAATAATTCAATTATAAATTGAGTTTATGCTGCTTAGTAGATATTTTTTCTGGTTGCAAAGGAATAATTAATCAAGACAACAGGGTACTAAATTGACATAATAATGAATAATTTTCAGCAAACCGTCCTTTATCAGAGCTTTTTATTTTTGTTTTTTAACAACATATTCATTGTTTTCTTCCAATATCAATCTTGGAAGCTTGAAAAAAACAGCATAAAATATAAATCATGAATCAATAATGCAGATAAAAATCTTTCATTTCGGGTCCAACGAGTTTGCAAGTCCAAAAAAACTTTAATAAATGGCCTCACTCACTTGTTAATTGATAATTTATTCAATAAAATGCCTCTTAAGACTAAAATTGATTGTTTTATTGAAAATTTATTGTGTGAAGTCCTGCATAACGTTGCCTGTGTAGATCCACTTTTAAAAAGCTCGTTTTTGCCCGGGAAATTCTTGAATGCTGAATAATGGAAACCCCAAAACTCAGTTCCAAAAGCTTCTTAAAGATGTCGCTTTTAACTTTTTCTTACTAAGCATTAATAAATGCAAAAGTGGGAAGAAATATTACATTCTCCGGTTTGACAAGACGAGAATAATTCGTAATCAATCGTTATTTGCTTATATTTACAGTTATAACTTATATGAAATTATATTTAATTGAATGATCAGTGAATATAATGTTAAAGAATCTTACAGTGCTAATTCTTTCGACCTTGATTATCAAACACTTTCTTCAGGTTAATAACCGTTAGGTACTTGCGCATGTATTTCATTTTCACTTATGAATTTTGTAGCCTATTGAAAAAGTCGAAACAAGTATATTCAAAATTGTATTGTCTCATGCATTGCTATTAAGCACTAAATAAATTGTTTGGAAAGTTATTGAAATTACAATTTTTAAGCTATGAAAAATTTCTTTGAATAGATTTGAGAAGATCATCATCAGTGATTTACTTCCTAGGTAGGCCAATACCAGGCAACAAAAACTTGTCATATTATTAACAAATATTAAATCTTATCTTCGATTAAGTAATTCGTTTCCAAAAGTTTCAACAGCAGACATGACTACGTACGTTTTTTCATGTGAATCATGTCTTTGTATCCGTGATTTGAATATTTAAAATTTCAAAATTAATTTCAAATGTGGAATCAGGTTCTTATTTCTAGCCAAATATCTTTCGGAAGATGATAAAGACGCAAAATTCTGATCAATAAAATTAACGAGTTTTAACACAATTAAGTTTGTTCCAATAACAAAGAAAGACTTCACTAAATATTTCAATGCAGAGTTTAATTTTAATACAAATGCATCATTAAATTTTAATGAATGTATGCGGGTCATTTAAAATGACAAACGAACCTAAAATAAACACCAGAATTGGTAAAACCATCGTCACATTATGTTGTGACAAAACGCTTTCAAAAGAAAATCAATACTGATGTGATAAGTGTTAATTAAAGCTAATCTAACAACGAACATACCTACGTTAACCTTGAGCTCTTAACTCTAAACTTTTCTTGCAGTTTTGAGAGCGAAAAAAAAACCAAAAAACTTCACTTTCCGTTTGTTGAAGAAGAAACGTTAAGCCTTCAGGAAAACCCGTTTTCTCTGATTTTTCTTGTTGCTGACTCTCACGTGAGTGTACGATATTCTTTTGTTGTCACCATCTGCAAACTTTTGCCCCACTCATTTCAGTCTACGATCAACTAAAGACGAGTCAAGTTGTGTCGTGAAGACCACAGAGAAATATTTTTCAAAACCAGTTCAAGTTCTCAGAAAGTAAGAATTAAAAAATTATCGCCATTAATTTTAAGCAAAAAAAGAGTCGCACGATGATGTTGCAGATTTTGTTACCTAAAAAAAGAAATATCTCGTTAAAGTTTGTTAACCTTGTGCTTTGAATGAATAAACTCTGCTTGCAAATAAAAAAAACTATTTAGTGAATAAAAAAAATGAAGATAAATTTTTATTTAAACTTGAAAGAAATGTTTCGCCTTGATGTTCAAGTTTGTAAAATTTCAATGAAGTTCAGTGATGCGTTTGATAAAGAAAAATGCAAAGTTATGCAATAAATTCAAAGTCAAAAAATTAATTAAAACTTTTCGTTTTTTCACTTTCATCCAAATAAAGTTTTAGCAAATGATGTTGTCGGACAAGTTTTTGGAAAAAGCAAGAAATGAGCTTCGCGAAGACGAAACGCGTAAAGAACAAGCTTTGGAACATTTTCGTGAGTGGCTCAACAAACATCCGTACATTAAAAGTATTAGACAAGGTAAAACAAGTTTTTGCAAGGAAACTTGCTTCTTTAGCTTGCAGCTGTTCTTGAGCGAAACTTCCCGACAGCCTGGATTTCTTTATAAATTTTAATGACAAACATTTATTCATTTCTTAATTGGTCAGATGATGTTTTCTTGCTACAGTTCCTGAGAACTAAAAAATACACAATGGACAAAGTTTTTAACACTTTTGAAAATTGTATTCTCGCTCAAAAGAAATACTCGAAATGGTTTGACTTCAAAGATTCAGATTTTGATAGAATGATGGAACTTTATCAAACTGGCTATATTTATCCATTGGCTGAAAGAGACGAAGATGGACGACGAATAATTTTCATTCAACTTAGACGACTTAATCCAGACTACTTCACTTCAGCTGACGCAATAAGGTAAGTTCGTCAAGTGTTTGATAAAATATGCTTTCTTCACTTGAAATTTTTAACTTTCTTTCTTCAGACTATCTGCTGTACTCTCAGCATCGCTTTTGGAAGAAGAAGAAACTCAAATTGCTGGTGTTGCAACGATAATTGATCACGAAGGAATGACAATGAAGCATACGAGTTTGTTTTCCGTAGCGGACATTGTCGATTTTGCAGATTGTTTGAAAAATGCTGTTGGCAGATATAAACAACTTTTCTTAGTGAACTTGCCATCATTTGCAGTTTTTCTTCTCGATGTTGCACGAAGCACTTTAAGTGACAAATTGAAAAAGCGAATTGTGTTACCCAAGAACATGGATGACTTGAAAAACTACATTAATCCGTCGATGTTGCCTAAGGAATATGGTGGAGATTTACCAGAAGCTGAACACATGGAAATTTTTAATCAATACTTCAGATCAGTTCGACCAAATTTGGAGGAAATTCGAGCTCGTGTCATTGATTGGACGAAAGTTCCTAACTTCAAAACTTCTGAATCTGAAGCTGTGGGAAGCTTCAGGAAATTGGAAATTGACTAATATTTTAATTTTGTTTACCTCTTTGAACTTTTTAATAAAACTTTTTTTATCTTCTAGTTTTTTTGTTTATGATGTTCTGTATAAATATCAAATTGTTGATCGTAGATTTCATTTCGAATGAAGTTTCGTTTCGCTAAAGTATGAAATCTACTATTTGCTATGGTTGTGAGTCACTCGTGTGGAAATTACTCACATGTAGGAACATCAAAAGATATTAAACGACAAGATAAAAAATATTTTTTTACTCACAAACTCTTCATGTAATTCAACAAGCCTGTCGCTAAATTTATTCAAAAACAATTCATTTAAGAACAAAAAAATATTCTGGATTAATATCCACAACGAAAAAAATCTCTCGTGCGATTGTTTGGTCTCATTCCATTTAATTTGTTTAAGTACGTTCTCATCAGCTGACTTCAGTCAGCAATTGAACAAATTTATTTCTCACTCAGTCAGTGCGAGAACGTTGGAACGATAAGATTCAATTAAGATAAGGTTGAGTGTTGTAGCTTCACCCACAAAAATATTTTTATTGAATTTTGTTCTTAGTTCTACGAAAATTTTCTTTCATACATGTTAAGATTTTAAATAAATCAGATTGAACTACGGTCATAAGAAAACAGAATAAAATAAACAACGACGTTATTCCACTTGACCTTGAATAGAATCATGGAGCTTTCCGATGAGTTCAAAATTAAAGCATTTAAAGAGTTACGAGAAGATGGAACGAGAAAGAAGCAGGCACTAGAACAGTTTCGAGAGTGGATTTCAAAGCAAGGTCATATCACGAAGTGTCGCATAGGTTCGACAGCTTTTACCATTTTAACGAAATTATGCTTATTGTAAGGTCAATAATCTTATTTCAGACGATGATTTTTTACTTCGATTTCTTCGTGTCAAAAAATATTCGAATGACCAAGCATTTAAGATGTTAGAGAAGTATCTCGTCAGTTGCGAAAGCTACCCACAATGGTTTCGAAGTCTCAACTTAGATGACGAACGTATCAAAGAAATTTATCAAAGTGGTTACATATTTCCGCTTAAGGATCGTGATGAAAATGGATGCAGAGTAATTCTCATACGGGCGTGCAAACTTGACACTAAAAAGTTCACATTTGCTGATATACTAAAATCAATTAATTTCGTCATATTCACACTTTTGGAAGAAGCTGAAACGCAAATTGCCGGATTCGTTTTCATCGTTGATCACAAAAATATCACCATGGACTATGTGACCCTTTTCTCAATTATCGACTTAAAAAATTATTTGAAATGTATTCAAAGTGCAATTCCTTGTCGTCAAAAACTTGGCCTTTTTGTGAATCTCCCATCGTTTGCAGTGACATTGACCGAAATCGGAAAAGCATTTATTAGCGTTAAGCTAAGAGAACGCGCTTTTTTCTACAAAGACAGTAAACACTTGAAAGATCATGTTAATTTGAAAATATTACCGGAAGAATACGGAGGTTGCATATCAACAGAAGATATGATTGAGGATTTCAAAACAATTGTAGAAAGAAACAAAACGAAACTTAAGACTTCAGACGAGATAAATATCGATTTGAAATGTGTAAAGGATGGAGAAAGTGACGTAGTCAACAGCTTCAGAATGTTAGACATTGATTAGGGTTAATATACTCAGTTACGTGGAAAATTTGGGTGATAATATTTTTATTAGGGTTTCGGATCGTATTAATCAACTCAAATCAAACAACAATAAAAATAAATTACTTTAAGGCGAAAAGGTTTTGTAATGATAACGATTTTTTTGTTGAAGAATTTCAATAAAAACATTCAAACTGAATTAAGTAAACATTTTGAATTGAACTTCAAAGTATCAGTATCGTATTACGCAATCAGTCTCAATGGATATCTTTGGCTTTGTAAGCAAATTTTCAATGAAAATAATAACCACTACAAACGATTAAGAGCAATCTTACGTAGATATATTAGACAATCACATGCTGTCAGCATTAATCTTGCTCTCTCTCATGCTGAAGAAAGAGCGTAAAAGAGAGAAATCTGTAACACGTGAGTTACTTTCATCTATCTTTAACAGCCAATTGCGAGCTTTTTAAAAAGCTTCTTTTATTATCATTTCACTTCGAGAGAAAAAGAAGCTTTCATTCATGATTTTTCTAAATTCGGGTCGATAATTCGCAAGATGAATTCCTTACTTTGTGTAAGTTTAACCGTTCAACGGAGATGAGAAGAAAACATTTTATGATGTATTTGAGTTCGTTCATGGGTCAACGATTTGTGAATATTGTAAGAGATGAAGTTTTTCTTTTCAACATAATTTCTATTCTTCCTCAAACAAGAGATGAGAAGAACATCGTCAATATTATGATGATGGCTCTTTGTAGAAGTCTTCAAAGTTTTTAGAAAACCATCAGGGTTTATTTTTATTCTCTGCCATAAGATATAAAATCAGCATAATGAAAATTACCTCAGCTTTAGAAAACGAATGCAGGCTGTAGACAACAAAAGATTAAAATTATTATCGCTTTCGTATCATCATCGTGTTTATCATTCAATTTCCTTTATTTTCAATTATCCTGAGAATGATTTTTTTTCTTCTTCTTTTTTCATTTTAATCTCACACAACGCTCTTGGTGGTCGGTGGTGTGATGAAAATGTGTGTTTGTGAAAAGCTTTTAAATGTTTTCTGAGAAGAAAATTTCATACTCTGAGTAAAATCGAAATACAAACAAAAATTTAAAAAGCAGCATTCGGCAGCAGTGTACTTGAAATATCTTGAGACGTTTATGCTGATAAAGTTGTGACAAAACTTTTGAAATAGCTTTATTGAGAGCTTTTCTCTAGATGAGTCAGAAACTTTTGTATTCTTACTGATCCTACGACAATACAATAAAGGCAACATTGTCGTTTCTACTCACAAAATCCTTGCATGTATTGACGATTCTCTCTTTCGCCAAAACTTTTCCCCTGGCAATGTGTTGTGCAGAGCGTAACGGTAAAAAAAATTTCAGTTGTGTTTCGGTATCGCGGGTGGTATCAACGGGATTTTTATTTCGTTAAAATTAATTTGTAAAAGAAAAGAAAAGTTCTTTATTGATTCTGTATAATAAAAATATTTTTAATTATCATGTTCACCACTATGTCACATAAAAATGTTTTCAGAAACGAATAACTGCTTATGATTAGTCAGGTATAACAGTCAAACATCAACTAATTGCCTAAAATCTTTGATAAAAAAAGAAGTTCAAAGAAAAAAGAAATCATTTTCTTCGAAAGCGAGTTTTCGCATGAAGTTTGTGAAAGTTTTTCAAAGGTATTGTGAACAAAATTCAACGAAATTTTTATTGAATAATTATGAAGGAAAGAAAAGATGGCACAATTAGCACACACACATATTATGCCTTGAAGCAGATAAATGAAAACGAGGGAAAAAAATCAATAAGCTCTGAAAACAGCAAGAGAGCTTTAATGATGAAATTATGAAAAAGAAGAATGAAAGGATCTATGTTGATGAGTACCTTATCTGGATGAGTGGAAGATGAATTAATTATCCTAGTTTTGAATAAAAAAATACTAATTTAAGTCGCTGTTGGAAACAGTGAAAGATGTGGAAAGTAAAGTTAGTTGAAATTTATACAAAAATATGTCAATCCTCGAGGGTCGAGTAAAAGTGAAGAAGAATTTGCTAGCCTTGTAGTTCTTTGTTATTCAATCGTATCTCATGTCCCACATTTGAACTGAACCAGGTCTAATAACACTTGCCTCGAAAAAAATCAATAAAATTAAAGTTAGAAAAATTATTCAAGTGTTCATTAAGTGTTTAAACTTAATAACTTAACAGTTGAAAGAATTAGTTTCGTCGTATGACATTGCATAAAGAAAAGCTCAGTAATTTGATTAAGAAAATTTAACACAACCCTTTTTTTATATCTCACTTTCAATCGATATGTGATTGCGTACATTCTGCACAACATTATTGACATTTCGTTTTTCGAGGCATGCTTCTGAAATATTATTGATCACTTACATATTGACATCTGCACGAATGTAGGTCAACATCTCCTTAATTTCGATTTCCTTATTCTGGTTCTGATTAATTTATCCAATCAAAAGTGATATTTTTCATCTCACAGTATCAAGAACATTCCCAATCAAGTTCATTTTAATCTGATTTTTTGCATCGTTCCTTGCTGAGTGAAGCCAAAAATGTCGCTTCCGATATTTAATCCCATTCATCATTATTATTCTCTTCTGAAAGCTCTGCTTTCAAGTGAAGTAAAAGTAATTTTAAGATTTTCATACAAAAGCTTTCTATGCGGCAAAGAAAGAAAAATACTTTTTTTCACGCTGATCTTGAAGACATGTAAGATTTAAGAACTTGCCTCAAAACATCTCGCTTGATGCCATAAAAATTTTTTCATTACATTGCGACACACGTTTTCAGTCGAGGGAAAGCAATGAGAAAAATGGTGAAGCTTTTCTTCCTCGAAAATAACAATAATGAAAAAAATAAAGAAGGGAAAGTTAAATGTCTGAAAATGTTAAAGCAGTGAAAACAAACGGCATTTTGTTTAGCATATTTGGAGAGGGTGGTTGGGAAGCGTGTAAGATCTCCCATGATACGCGCTTTTTCCCTTGCAGAATTTCATTACGACGATCCACTCGTTTCTCTTTTCCATTACGATATTTACATTTCTAGAAGGAGCGCCATTGCTTCAAACGATGAAACTATGTGTACAAATGTTTCGCTTTAATTATGATATTCTTTCAAATCAATTTTACTAATGAATTTTAATTACGAAAGCGACTTTGTGCTTCGTTAATTTGTTTAAGTCTTTGGCAGATTTAATTAAATCTCAGAAATTTTCTATTCTCCTTCTTAGTAATTCTTGAATAAAGATTTTGTTGGCAGTATGTCTCGCGGAAATAATTTTTTGTGTCGCTTGTGGAAGAAAAGCATTTTTAGTAATTGAGTAATACCAAGAATGAGTCTGCAGAAAAATCTCATTAAGGACAAGTTTTTTTTTAATAAGCAGGAAATGCGAGGAAAAGGAAAATTTTTGTTGTATTTTTATTATTTAATTTCACAGAAAAAAGTATTTACAAGACTCTTAACTCTGCTTCCTCAAACTCGATGTTCTCTCCATTCTTTGTTGTAATGATTTTGGGTCGGATAAGCGAGGATGTTTTTAAAAATGGAACTCTCTTGCTGTTTTCCTCTTGCGAACAAGCAACTTTACATTTTTTTTTATTGTGAGGAGGAACTGTTCATCTTTTCGAATAAAAGTTTTAATAAAACCGACCCACAACATAGAGAGAAAGTAGGAAAAAATGTTTAACATTATTATCGCATCAACTCTTGGTAATAGTTGAGTTATGTGGTAACTATCGCCTTGCTACTTATAAAAGTTCTATTTTATTAAGGTTCATATAGTTATGTTGTCACATAAATTTTAAGAATCAAAAAGAAAGCTTTCATTACATATTTCCATAAATACCTTGAAATGACTTTTCCTTCTTCTTCAAGAAAATTCTGACGAAGAACTCAAATCACAACCACCATTAACATCATGAGAAAGAATTTTTCACATACTCATTTTCAGTAGAAACCATCTCATTGGATGAAAGAGTTTTTTTTAGTTAGATATGAGGTTGCATAAGGGAAAAAAAAGATCGAAAAAGCTTAAACGAGATTAGGAGGCCGTCGGAAATGAGAAAGTAAAAGTATTGGAAGTAATTTTTGTGTAAGAAAAATATCTAATTTTTGAATGCTGATGTAAACATTCTCAAGATGATAGGACGTAAGACGTTTACTGTCAGAGTACATTAAAGTATTCCTTGTTAAATGAGCAAGCGACCATTTTTATGTTTGCTAAACTATTCCAAGTCAGAAAAGTTCTTTTCCATCTCGAAGTCTTCTTTCCTTCTGTTCATGGTGTCAACATCATTACAAGCTAATAAAATTATATGTGAAACGAAAGACGTGTGAAAAATTGAATATCGTTTACGATCCAAGAGGTTTAAGACGCTTTGCTTGACGATGTTTTCAGTGAAACATGAAAAAGCTCTGATAAACGGGATGAAAGCGAAGCAGCGACTGTGGGAAATTTAGATTGGATTTAAGCGATAGCAAGGAAGGATATGGCATTGTTTGTCGAACAATGTATAATAAAAATAATTTCCTCTGTCATCTTCTAATGCTTAATCATTTATCATTATTTGGTTCGAAGAAAAGACGGTTGGAGCATAGAAAGAAAATTGCGTATTGAAAAATTCAATATTACTTTGACGAACAACTAAATACAAAGTTTTTCTATTAGAAGTCAAATCAATATTATTCCTTCTTCGTTTCTGGTATAAGCAAACGATATAAGAAGGAAAAATGTCAGCATAAGCAACCTCTGATTTCCTCTTGACTTCAATTTAGTTTGATAAAAAAGAAAAATGATTTTGCTTGCAATAAGATATTTTCTCATCGAAATGAAATAGTTAGACAGATATCCAGATAAAGTTTATGTCAACAAAATGCTCATTTTCTCTTCTTCTTCTCATTTGATATATCAAACGCTCGTTTTGAAATGAACTCAACGATAAAATCATTCTTGAACTTAAGAAAATAATCGAATCTTCGTTTTCTCATGTGAAGGAAGTTTGACGTAATTGAAAAATAATTTCACATTGCTATTTATTTTTTTCAGAATATAAATCGAAATAAAGGAACACAAACAAAAAAGATATCAAACTCAGTGACAATATTTTTAAAAGAAAGTTTAAGTGAAAATACCTCCACAAAGTTCACTGGCATTTAATATCACAATTAAAATAAACAGTTAAAGGAAGGAGAGAGTGAAGTCAATCATTAAGCTAATAAGAAACTTAAAATGGATTACTATCATCGAACACCCAACAGACAAAATAACTTCAACAGCTTTGACAAGTTTGAGCTGGTAAGTCTAACTTCCCATCCAATTTAATGTTATGCAAGTTAAAACTTTTTTATATTCATTAATCGAATTAAAATATTTAAATCCGGAAAACAACGTTTCACTTAAGTTTGGCGAACAGAAATTTCAAGACTACCATCCTCAATCACTGAAATATTGATTCATGAGAAAAAGGGTATCGAAAAAATTCCATTAGCAAATTCTTTCGTCATTCTCATTCATTGTAAGCATTTTTCTTCCTTCATAACGCTTGACTTGCTAGAAGAATAATCACAATGAATGTTGAGAAGAAAGCTTGAAGAATTCTCCGCGAACGATCCGAACGATTTTTCCAGATACTCGAAATTATGAAATATTTCAATAATAAAGAAATCTTTCACCATCTGTTCTAACGAGACGAAATACTTTTCTTTCATTTCTTCCCGGTAACCATAAGAAGAAGAAGAAAAGGTTCCAAGCAAGGTTTTCCCTTAAAAAATACTTTACATCAAAATAAACTTTTTTTCCGCAACACATGCGTTGTGAACGTCAATCATGTTTTTTTGACTATGGAAAGAAATGTTTTTGTTTATTTTTACAATTTAAAACAGATTTTGGCTTTCAGCTGCATTTTATGGCGCTTCGTTTGAAATTTAGAAGTTCTTAACTTTTTTTTTGAGAATTATCATTAATAATATTTTGTCGACCTTGTGATTTGTTGTTTAATTATGAACATAAAATGTCACAGTGTGCAATCATACGAGGAAAATGTGGAAAGATTCTCTGAACTTAGAAACAAATTTAACCATTTAAGTCACCCAGCTTAGTCTCATTTACCGCATGATATCTAATGTTGAAATATATGAGTGTTTTGAAACGTAGAAATTTTACGAGCTCACATCTGCGGTAGGAAATAAAAGTCAATAACATTTCTCCATGCAAACTCAAGCCCAAGTTTATTTCCGCAGTTAAAAACTATTAATTATTACTATCAAGGAATGTTTATGGATTTGATTGATGATTTCATTTCTAAAACATATTCTTCGGGCAATCTTGCATCGGCTTGGCTTGCAATGCACAACGAAACCTGAAATAAATTGATTTATAATAAGACTACCACTTGAAAGCTGGCATAGCTTTAAGAACTTAGTCTGATTACGTTGAATAGAGAAACAAAATAAACATTCTTAACGACGCTAAACTATCCACTTCATGTCTGAAAATAGTTTCTAAATTAATAGTGAACGGCTTTTTATAACTTTCAACAATAAGTGCAGAGCTCATTCATTGCTTTTCGGAAGTCTTTAAAGGAAGACCGCACATGCAGATTGAACAATTGCTGCAATAAAACTTTTCGGATAGACTGTAAAATGTCATTTCCTTTATGTTACTTTAAACAATTATACGAAGAACGACCAAGAAGCTTTAAATGTTTGCATAAAGTGTTGAATCTGTGAAAAGGCAAAAAAGAGAGAGAAAAAAAGAAATCCGACACTTTTGTGAATGATAATGGAAATGGGTAAAACGCCAAGGAATTCTAAAAGAAAAACATAACTTTCAACTCATCCTCGTTTCACTTACGCTACATTAACTCATAAAGTTCATGAATTTGCACAACAGAATTGAAGCTAATGTACCATTGAGTCATAAACATCCCGCGTTTGAAAAACAGAGAGAAAACATTGAAATTACGCATGTCTGTAAAGTGAGTAAGGCTTGAAGAAGTTTTTGTTGACCTTATGAGATTAAATATTTCAGTTTATTTGTCTCTAATTAATTTGTGTCAAGTACAAATGACAATTGTAATAAATTACAGCAACTATCAACTTCATCACCATCTTATGCCTGCTCTTTGAACTTCATTATAAATTTTATAATTATTTATTATCTATGCGTGTTGTCCACAAATGCCATTGAAACTGATAACGACTTACAGTAACTGGCAAGTTGTCAAACAACTATTTGTTATTATAATAACGAGTTTTGTGTCTTCTCTGGAAATAAATAAATATGTTCAGCATGACGATTAAGCTTATCATATTAATGACATATAACAGCTTCCACTTGTTCAAGAAAAACACAAAAAAGTGCGCAATCTCCATGTCTTGAAAAGAAGTCAAGTCACGAAAAGCATTCCAAGCAGTAAAATTTTAGGGCTTGAAAATATTTACTTCTGGATATTTAATTTTACGACATTTTTCTTATCATTACGTAAACTTATTTCATTGTTTAGGTTTGAATTTCAATAAAAATATGCATTAAAATTTTTATCGTAAAAGCTTTCGAAAAAATGTCTGAAACATGCTGATATGAATTTATTTTATTTTTGCAACGTTTTTAATTCACATTGTTGACATTTTATATGAAATGTCTTTAAATCAACCTTCGACAATTAAAGCTGTTAATCATTCTAACGATAAAAGCGTCTCTTTTAAAAGGTTGTGAATTTGAATAATTATTTGCTTACTCCATTTACATTAACATGTTTGTCTGTATCTGCCAATTATTCATTTCTCGCTTTTGTCTGGCGCTACAATTGTCACAAACGAAAACACTCTCAGTTCACTTGAAATGAAATCGAAGGAAAATCGCACAATGTATGTAAATTGTTGAAGTTGCATGGTGAATGTTTAATGATCGTACTTCACATTTATGAATTCAGAAAAAAAATGTTAAGTGCTTTCGAATGATTGTTCTGAACTGTAAAAGTAAGAAAATATTTAATGTTGAGATTTTTTACAAAACCATCGAGTGTGTCATTGAAATTTTGATGAAAAAGTTCATTTCATAACAAAATTGAATGTGTTCAAGTCAAGGTACTTATATGTGAAACATGAAATCGTCTTTATAAATCGATTCAGATTAAGTTTCTTAATACAAGTCGTGAAAGAATCTTCAACATACTTAAATGCAATGAAAGTTTTGCACGACTTTCATCATAAAATTGGATTGAAATGAACACTTTAGACGTTTACTTAATCTTTCCGACTTCGTGTTAAACATCATTTCAAATTGTAACTGCAAAAGGTTCAGAACAGTTTAATATTAATGATGTTGAATAGATACAATTTTCCACAACTAACGAATGAGTGGAAAGGTTGAAAATGTCTTCAATGAAGGATTGTGGAAATGACAAAATTTAATTATTCAGTTACATGCTTCATTTTATCCCATGAAGTTTCTCAAATAAAAGGCAAACATAATCTGGCGTATGAGAGATTTGAAGTAGCAAGTTGTGGCAGTGCATAGCGAATTTTAATAAAGCACTCGAAGCATGTTGTGAATCAAGATTCTTTTTTATTATTATTATTGATAGCAATCTCAACATTGCAACAAGACATTAAGGTTCGCTTGTTCAATGTTGCATGAAGTTGGAATGAAGTTTTCTTAAAATTTCTTATTCATGGCAATCGCATTGGCATGTAAATTCATCAATGTATCTTAAATAAAGACATTTGCATAAACTTTTGCGCTAAGTATGACGCCGATGGCGCCAGGCAAAAGGCGCGAGCTGTGAAAAATATCAAAAAACGAAACAATTTCAAGCACTTTAAGAATTTACATTTTTTATGCTTCATTAGAATGGTAAATGAAAAAAGCAGCCTTTTTGCGTGGACATTAAATGTTGGGGTTACGATTGAATTCTTATCAAGTCATTAGCAGTTAAGCAACAATTTAGAACATTTACTCGTAACTTTCGATTTCGATTCATTAAATGATTCCAAGAAAAACAAGAAAAATTGAATTAATCAACATAAACAATTGAAAAAACTTTTTTGTGTCACATTATAAATAATCTTCGATCAGAGCAAATTGGATAAAGTGATTTGTAATTTGTCTTGAAATTGAAACTTCCCCAGACCACCTCACAATGTCGATCATTGGAATAAAATATTGATTGCAAGATATAAATTGAGTTTGATTAAATGATGAATTGCAAGAAGCCTCAAGTCCATGTTTTAATTCCAATAGAAATCAATTTCATCTTGATTTTGATGACAGAAATGAAAAATCATTTTTATCGTTCAGTTTGTAAGATGAAATGGCTTCCCGTCGTGAGTTGTCGACTTTATTGACGCCATTGGAAGACTGGCAATGTTTACTAAATAAAAATAGCTGAAGTTAATTTAAGATTTGTGATTGTTAGAAGTGTTACGAATGCAATTTAATTGCTGAGATGTTTATGACTTCTTCCAACTTGTCATCATAAAAAGGAGTTACAAATGTAAATAAGACGACAAATCATTTATTCACAAATATTGCATAAATCTTTCACCTGATTAAATTATTGTGGAAAAAAATTGTTTCCGATCTCACTCTCTCGTTCTCCTTGAAATTCTTAAAATCAAGAAAAAGATGTTTTTGAAAACATTTTCAAGATGTGAGTAAATGTGTAGCTTAATGAACCCAGATGTGCATGAGATTATTGGATTCCATAACAGAAACATCCAGACGACGAGCTAGATATAAATTATGTGAGTGGATTAGTCGATTGCAACTTTTCTGACTGTTTTGAATAATTTACATTTTTGAGGACAGCAAAACAAGAAATCCAGACGCAAAAAAATGTTCTAGTTAAATATGACTACGATGACCATAAATAATTTTCAACCTTTTGCGTTTATTTTTAATACATATCAAATTTCTTTTTGCTGTTTCTTAATAATATGTCAGAAGCATTGGATGAAAATTTTAAAAGTTGAAAGTAACTTATGAGTGATGGAAAAGTTAAATGATTTCGAAATCATAAAAACAAATGAGACGTCAGAGTGTTTGATTAAGACGGAAATTAGGATGCATTTTAATGTCTTCATTTTTCAACAAATCATGATGCATGAGGTCTTAATTACGCTTGACTTCAGCAATGTCATGTCAACCTCGAACACACGGTTGATGGATTTAATTGTTTAATTTATTCATACAACAATAAGTTGGCGGATGTGCATGAATTCTTCAAAACTTGTAAACTGACACCAGGAATATTCTTATTTGAGTAAAATCCAATTATCGTGAACATCAGACATGCTAGGATATCATTAGAGCAACACGATTGCACTTCCCACGCACACCTGGATTTAAGATAAATCTGAATCGTGAATGCTTGTAAGGCAAATTATGAGATTTTGAAAATATTAATTATCAAACAAACTTTTGCTGTTTATTCCTTCAAAAAAGAGTTTGATATCCCGCAACGCAATTCTGTTTTGCTTATAACTGAACGTAACAAACTCAGTTGAATGTTCTTTAAACGTTTCTGTAAACTTCACTTAGATATGAAACTTTGAATTAACTATCAACAAACTTACTCGCACTCAAAGAATCTCTAAAATCAAATATCGTAAAATTTGACCTTAAAACCCTATCGAAAAAGATTTCTTAATGTTGTTTAAATATACTCTCAAAATTTCTTTCATCTTATTAAAATTTATTCGAATTAAGATTTCACATTTTCACTTGAATAGGTGATTAAAACATTGAATTGATTTTTACATAACTTCCTTTGAGTGATTTATAATTTCACACAATTTGAAACGTAAAAAGATTTAAATGAATGCTTTCATGCATCACATAATCAAACGATCGCTAAGATAATTAATCGACACCTGCACAATATGAAAAAATGATATTTTTTGATCAAAATCTGATAAATGTTTAAATTTTCATAATAAAAACTTTACAATCTTCCGCCTAATATTTCACATTTTCAAGCAGTCTTTCACTTTTGTCGTAAACTTACAAGTTACGAATTCAATTTCATTCATCTCGCTTTCATTGATCGTTAAAAAATAAGAAGAAAAAATATATCTAAGAGTTATGCAAAAGCATATAAAAAAGGGAAGATTACTGCATTAAATTCCCTCAGACTCGTAAATTAATTTAAATACAAACCTGTTCATGATGTGTACAATGAACCTTAAAGATTTATTGTTTCACATTTTAAGTCATCATTCCACTCAGCATAAGATTAAATGCAGCAGCTAAAGAATTACTTTTACGTTCCCATAAGTTTCAAGTGATCAGAAAAAAATAATTTCTAGGCTTGATTTGTTTGTCTTCATTAAAACGATGCATTTGAAGTCGATAAGAGTTGAAAGCTTAAGCTCTTGCTATGGATGAACAAACATTCATAATAACAAACAAACTGTCCATTGAAAATTGAATGATGATTCAAAACCGAACAATGATTTCAAGTCAAGGTCAATGTCGCAATATATACACTAATAACTGATTGCGACTTCACCAGACGCCTGCTTCACTTGAGATGCTGTTGCTGAGTAGCTTCACTTCAACAAATCATTTCTTAATGACAATCATTTATTTGGAGTAATGACGAGAAATGTCAGAACTTAATTGAAGCCATCTTTGAAAAAAATTTATGTCAAATGATCCACTAAAAATTAGAAACGAAAAACAGACGCAATCAATTGACTTCCAATCTTGTCATTTCTCCGATTACTTCATTTCACTTTCCTAGCTGAGTAAAAACTGTTTTAATTGAGAAAAGGAAGAAATTAAATTCATTAGAGAGGTCAACCTACATACGCAGTCGGCAACGTTGTTTTATTTTGAATATGAGTAATACTTTCATGTTGATGATGATTAATTAAAATTTATTTATAAATTGAAGCAACAAAAAAGCGTGTGAAGAAACAAACAGAACTTCATTCGATGTTACGATACATTTAAATTGAACAAATTAGTGTGAAAGATTTTGAAATCCAATGAGAATGAATGCTGTCAATGGATGAATGAATGAATGAATGAAAAGTTTTTCTCCCCCACAACAACACTGCTTTCGTGTTATAAAATTAGAAAATTTTCATCCTGCCAATTGCTTGAGAAACAATCAATTTTCATTACAGTAAGTTGTTAGTTAAAATTAATGGTTTGGATTTAATGTTTCGAGTTTGATTTAATTTGTATTTAACTCACCTTCACTCATGTTGCGGTGGAAGAAAGCTGTTGGTTTCTCCTTCTTTTTGAATTTTGAATACCTTCGTTTCTCCTTTTTATTGTTTACACATTGCCTCATACTTGATTGCCACTAAAAATTCGAATATCGAACATTAAATATTAATTATATTGTAAACAACAATTCAAATACAATTTCGACACTCAATAACGTCAAAGCTTGAGATGAGATGAACCATCACACGCATCGATCGAATCAAAAGTGCCTACCACACACAAATATTAAACGTGCTTTGAAATAAATAATCTGCTGTAACCAAAGACATTATCAAGATTCAACATAATCTTGAATTTGTGTGTTAATATAAACTTTTATGGAACAGAAACAGGTGAAAACAATCTCAAAATATTATGCAGACATTTCCATCCACTTTGACGAGTCATCACTCAAGATATAAAATTCTTAATTAAATTACAGGGAAAGAGTTTTATTTGTAACCATAACTTTCTATTTTTACTAACATCAGAATAAAATCTATGAGTTGGAAACGAAGACAAGACACCAAAGAGCATCTCAAGACTTTTTCGTTTTTCACATTAAATGTCTCGATAAGAAAATGCTGTCGAGGAAATGTTTAGACAGAAAAACATAAAAAATAATTTGCGTTGATACTTAAATAAACAAAATTATTTAAATTTATCGAACGGAAATGAACGAGAGAAAAGGTTTGTCATTTCAAGTTAAACAATAATAAAATTCGTAGCCATTCTTCAATATTTTTTTGGAAGAGGCAACGAAAATTTATTAGCAAGAATTCAAAATATTTATGCTTAAATCATTCACCATTGCTATAAAGGACAGAGAAGTATGTTACTTGTAAACAAAACACTCTAAAATTGTTTATGTTGATAATTCATTGCAAGATTCTGTTTGGTGTTTATGATGCATAATTTTTTTTTATGCTTACGCCATCCATGAATTTACATTCGTATCTCTCAGAGACTCTAAGAAAAGTGAAAAACAATGCAAAAGAAGAGAAAAAAATAACAAATCAGATTATGTTGTTGTCGGCACGATGTTTCTGCTTTCATATGTATCGACGATACAAGAAACTTTTAAATTTTGTTTGTTCTGCTTATGTGTGAATGTTCATGTGCTGTAGTTGTGTATATGGAAGACAACAATCGAGCAGAGCACAGATGTATGCCGTTTTCTGTTTAAAGTGTTTAGCTGCGTTTTCCATTTGATTCAGTTATTTCCCGACTTCATGCACGATCAGCTCGAATCTCAGTTTTGCTTCCGATGCAACTTTCATCTTTTTAATTTTATATTTTATATTATCGCGTTAAATTCTTTATAACGTTCAGCACGTGTTACAACAGTTAAATTGACGTGAAATATATTTTATATCAGACTTTTTGTTTTTTGTGAATGATCGTAACATTTACGAGTGACACTACGAAGAAAAAAACTTTTTCATCGATACGAAAATATAAAATAAAATAAAATTAGTGACATAAAAATAAACTATTAAAATTGTTGAGAGAAAAGAAGTGAAACAATTAAAAGTTACAAGAAATTTCTGATCGTTTAATGTGCGTTGCATTCTAAATGAATCGCTTTGGCGCAATTTAAAATTTTAGTGGTTTAGTGAAGAAATAAAGTAAAGAAATAAAGTAAAGAATTAAAGTGAAGTTCAGTGACTCAGTTGTTAGCATTTCGCGAAAGAAACATTAATAGTTCTGTTGCTGTTGTCAATCAAGTCCGATTTGATCAATCAATAATCGTTTAACGCTGTTTTACTTACACAAATCAATAAATAAAAAAGTTTTTTTCCGCTTTCAATTGCCATGGACAATTAAAAATAAATCAAGAGGGAGATCTATGGAAACTTAGATAGAAGAAGATATGTTGAGCGCCAGACAATAATTGTGAGTTTATAAGTATGATGAACAATTAAAATCCATTTGTGAGCGCAAAAGCGTCTTTTATGTGATTAAAACACTCCCTATGGGCAATTTATGGGAATGAAAGAAAATATAATAAACAAACAATGTGATTCTGTTTCCTTCTTAATGGGCATGTTATGGAATGAGTCATAAGATGAATAAACTAATTAATTACTTTACAATTAACATAAATAAGTCATTCAGTTTTCAAAATAAATCGACACGAAAGATTCTACAATCTTAAAAAGGAAAATAAGAATTGTTGAAGTTTATAAAAGAAAGAAAATACTTTCACAGAAGAAACATGTAAATTTTTCATCGCTTCCAAACTATTTCAACATAAATTTTGTTATTCTTTCTGGGAGATTTTTACGTTTTAAAAAAATTTATGTGCTTCACTCTTTCAAGTCGATACAAATTAGTCGATTGAGTGCTACAGATTGATAATGACATGAGATAAAATAGATTAACGTTTTCAAATGAAGAAGCGAGTGTTTTTAGACATTCTAATACGATATGAGTTTGGTTTACTTTTTTATGTAAATTAATGTGAAATCTCACTACACTGAACCGGCTTTTCATGATCAAAATAATCTTCCAAGTAATGACGCGTTCAAATGGTAATTAGCCGAGTTGTTGTGCCATAACAGCGTTATGCATGATACGAATAAAATGCAATTTATAACTAAACCATCAGTTCACTTTACTCAACTAAAATGTTTCAATTTTTTTTATTTCTTGCTGCAGTTGTACAAAATCCTGATTTTATTTAATACAAATTGAAAAAGCAAATCTTTATGAATTTGAAATAAACATTTAGGGCAACAAAAATCAGCTTTCACATGCAGCCAATGTTTTAAACACATTCCAGCAACAAGCCTTTAAATGCATTTTATCATTGTCACTGGCAAAACATTTTTTTTGTCTTTCTCATTCGTGCATGCATTTGAATGGAGATTAGGAACAAAACGAAGAACGTTCAATATGTGAATATTGTTCACAAATTGTACTGATTTTTATTTTCATTGCTTTTTGGTAAGGGGGATTAAAGCAGATAATCTTAAGATTACAAGATCATCTTCAAGAACTAACTAATGATTTAAAAAATATGCTTAAAAGATTGCAGATAAGATCTATATTTGTATGATTAAGTGAATTGATCTCTGGTCGGAATTTTTATGTCGATTAATTATCATAAATCTAAGGTCAGCGATCTTATCGATGTAACAGATTAAAATGATAGATAGAAGCATTGAAATTGAATTTGTCTGTTCACTTATCTGTTGAAGAGACGAAGATTATAGGATTAAACATGGAGATAGTTAAATGTGGAAATGAAACCAGAAACAACATGAATTTATAGTTTTCTCTAAAGCATTAATTACTCTCTCTATTAATAGAATTTTATGTTGCAACACACACACAAAGGTTTGTTTCTTTAAGGGTGGCCACCAAGCAATCGTTCTCGTTCAATAACAACGCTCATTTGAAGCATCATCTAGCAATTAAACGCTCTCTCAGTCACTTTAAGTGGTCCTTGTTATGGAGAAAAAATTATCTCAGATACTTTACGTTGTTTCTGTTGTTATTGTATTGGAGTTGAGTTAAACTTATTTCCAACGATAATTTACGAGTATTTTAAATGAAAACAGAATCATTCTTAACAGAAGGAGACTCATAAAAAACGAATCACTCATAAATCAATTGAAATATTTCTTATAAGTAGGCATGCATATTTATTATTGTTATGAGACTTCGTTGCTTTAATTATCATTGAAATCAACTATGAGTAAATATATTGTAAATCTAACATGAGATCACTCAAAAATTAAATAAACTCGAACATTACTTTGTTTATTTCCAGACACCCTTTGAAAAGTTTCTTTCTTCTTTTAAAAAAAATCTCTTCAAGTGCAAAGACCTAATCATTGGCAAAAATAGAATAAACAAAACAAACATTAATGAAAACTGTTTCGCTTTCTTCTTACTTACAATTTATTTCGTTCAAAGTTAAAGCCGCTATTTGAATTGTTTAAAAAGAAGAGAAATTTCTCAGAGATAAAGTAAAAGTATTTTGAAATGTATCTGCAAAGTGTTAATTATCATTCTAATGCGAGAAAAAATGTCTGAACATTATGAAGCAATTATATGTTAGAAAAGTTGGCAATGAAAGGAATTTCGAAGTTATCGCAACATTTCAGTGAGAAGAAACGAATTAACAGCTTTGAGTGTTATTTGAATCACGCATAAACTTCAAAAGCATGAAATTCGAAAGACTCAGCATAAGAAATTTACAGGTGAAGCATTAAAAAAATGTCTATGCAGGTTGGATTTCTAACACGTTTCAGATTGTATTTTCCAAAACACGTCGCTTTTCAAACAATCTGATTAATGATTGAATGAAATAAATGAGAACATCTTAGGAGGATAAACCTGAGGCGAATACCGAAAGGAAACAAGAAAAAGAATCATTGAGAATATTTTTTTTTACTTTTTCGGCAAAAAAGACGCACAGACAAGAAGAGAGAATTATGATTTAGATCAGAATTCTTATTAATAAAATTCACATCGCGTTTTCGCACGAAAACATAAAAGCTGACGATGCGGATTCAATTTATCTCATTGGTTAATAAGAAAGGAAAAAAAAAGCTAATCATCAAGGCTATAAATAATGCTGATGTTGTTTTGTTTAGAATGATTTGAATGCGTTAAAGGAATTGAGAATTTGAAGAGAATTCACTCTGGAATGTTTAATTCTGTTTTTAATTAAGTCGTGATGTTAACACTTGGTTGAATATGTTGAATGAAATTGACTTCTTTACTTTATTTTTCGCTTAGTATTGATATTCAAAGTCAAAAGCAATGTCAGCTTATTTTACTTAATGTAAGAGAATTATAAACTTAACTTAACATGATGAACAAGTGGAATTGTTAATTAAAAAATTTAATAAAGAAAACGTTTTGTCAGTAAATAAATATGAAACGTAAGTTTCAACTCACCTTCTCCGATTTCTTTCCTTTCGACTTTATTTTGCAGCTGTTGTCTTTGAAAATTGCATTATTTTTATTAGATTTTGAAACAATTTTTCAACCTGCTTACATCTCGAATCTAATTCTATAATTTCAACGCAAATATGAAGTTTCAGTTTTGTTTATGTGTAATTAACAAAGACGTGATTAAAGCTTACAAATGGTAAAAAGATTGTCTCATTAATAATATGCGAAAAAATGAGACTTTTGCGCTTTCTTTGTAATGGAAACTTCAGCTACTCATCGTTCTGAATTTTGATATTTGAGGTCAATCGTATTTAACTCATGGGAGAAAAAGTCGACATCAAAGAAACGAATTTTACCAACTGAATGAGTTTAAATAACTTTATAGAAAGACAAATACTGCCGAGTGCAAAAAGAGACGGTCGCCGTTAATATTTGCTTGCCTTTTAGGCTTTGCAAGCAGGATATGATATCGACGGTGAAAGTTGAGTGTAAACAAATCATAATTCACGAATTTTAAAGCAGCAGAAAATTTATTCATGTTTTTTCTCAAACTTTATTAATTAACTTTTCATTAATTGGCGCGCGGTCATCTCTGACTGCGAACATTTTTATTTTCGAAATAAGTGATAGACCACAGCGAATATTTTTAAAACTCAATTCTGTTTTTATGATGTGATAATCTTTACAGTTTTATGCGATGAAGATATTTTTTCAAGATTTTTTTAATGTTTTTAAGAGATTTCTATAGCAAGTGGAACTGCCAGACAAAAACAACGGGAAGAAAATTTAGTGTGACGTTGATTTCTAATAATAAACAATCCAAGTGATTTTTAACAATTGACAATAAGGCAATAATTAAAATTCTTTGGCAAACGATCGTGCAATAAATGATTGTGAATGTTAATTGATTAATTTGAGGAAGGAAATAATTTTTATTTTTAAAGAAAAGTCATTAATCTCATGAAACATTCTAAGAATTACTTGAGTTGTCTCCACTCACGTTCGCAATAATCTCGGAATTTCACTGTGAAATTTTCTTCCGAAAATTTCATGTGACACGAAAGATTTCTTTTGAACTGTAAAGAACACATGTTTGATGAGCAATAGAGTCAAATCATTTTCACAATTTGCGCCAGAAATAACATCTTCGATTTGGATGAGCATTTCGATCGTTTTTTCGTTTATTTCGTTTGCCGAAAATAAATTGCTTTGCTCTATGAAAACTCTCAAGATTAATTGCCTGCTTGCCTTCTGAAGGAGATATTTAATTAAAATTGATCGTTATTAAAATTGATGGTTCACGTCAAACCTGGATATATATTTTACTAAACTTTATTTGTAATTTTGTGTATATTTAATACTCATCTAGTTATTTAAATTAGTCACTTGACCTATTTTCAATTACATGTAAATATCAGAGCAATGCAGTTTAACCGACTAAAGATAAATAAATTTATTTAAAACTATCTGAATTTCATTACAATTCGCTTTTCCTTTGTAAATATTTTTTTATTTAAACAATAACCCGAGCGGCACAAGCGGAGATTCCCATTTCATTTTCATCACCGGCTTGCTTTTTAAGTCAAATGGGAAGCAATTTCGTCAAATTTTGCACAATTTTGTTTAAAGGTTGGCATATGATGAAAATGAAATCAATTTTTAAAATTTCCTTATGTTCTCTTCCTAAGATTGCCATGTGCTAAACTTTCAGGGCAATTGTGAAGAAATTCCGTGAAGTTTAGCTCATGACTTTCTAGAGGAAGAAATTCAAATCAATTTGAAATTACTTGATAAGTTCGTAATATGCCGGTTTTTAAAGTNTAACCGACTAAAGATAAATAAATTTATTTAAAACTATCTGAATTTCATTACAATTCGCTTTTCCTTTGTAAATATTTTTTTATTTAAACAATAAGTTTAAACTTTCAGACATAAAACAACGCTGCTATGATTGAATGGAGATAGATAACTAAACACAAAAGACTTTTCAACATAAAGTAAAGAAAGATTTGCATCGCAAGAAGAGATGATGGCAAATATTGAAGTGGATTACATGAAATAAAACAATGCGCCATTAATATTCATAATCATCATAAAAAATGAAAATATATCTTGAGCATTATGGTTCGACAAACGACATAATGTGTCTGTCTTGAAGGCTTTAGATCCAGCAAATTCAAATACAAAATAAATTGGACTTTGTTGTGATCATCACGCCATTGAACATTCTGTTTCCTTCACATATCAATTATAGATGTTCTTGAATCATGAAATCGATGGAAACATTCAATAAACTTCAATAAAATCATCAGCGAAATAAATTTCAATCTTCAAGAAGATAAATTTTCTATTAAATAAAAAACAAAAATCTCGGAAACGTTTCGCGAAAAATATTTTCGCAAGGTTCATGAAATCATGACTTGGGAAAAATAAACGCGAAATAAAAAGCTTTTAATAACATTTAAGATAAAACTTTTGACATTAAGCAAAGATTAAAAGTGCGAAAGTTGCGATTTGTTTTAAATAGAAATGCGAAGACAAGAAAAATCATTTCAATATTGCATAACATCAATAATTGCGATGTGATGACAAAAAAGTTATAGACACTCATCGTCAGAATAAGCTAATGTGATTTAACAGCAACGAATAGCTCATGCGAAAAGCCGATCGTAATAAAATAACAACCTTTAATCTCATTAAACGCATTTAAGCATAACGGAGAGAAAACAGTATCGACACCATAAAGCGAAAGTCAAGCGACGAGGACACGAATATCCCATTAGAGCATGACACAGTAAAATTCTCATGAGAATGCGAAACAAACGCTAACAATTAGTTTTCAACATAAATCATTTAACATTCTAAATGCTCACAGAATCCCTAAAAGAAATAGAAGAAAGTTAAAAACGTGGTTCTAAGTAGACGCTCACTTGAATAGACATTGACGGTGTATTAAGTAACGAAGGAAGGCACCGCAACGGAAACTACATTGTAAACAATGTTTGCGACTCGATGGGCCACAATATTTTCATGTTCACCACTCGACACTCTGTACTCAACCATAAATTAATCAACGCCTATTGGGGAAATCTCAAAACAGATTTCTATCCGCTCAAATAACAACGCATAATCTAAGCTGGCATAAGATTCAAATGAATCACCAGATTCACAAGTAAAAAAAGTTCTTATTATACGATGCTTGAGATCTCTTGAGATTAAAAAAGAGACGAGAAATTTATTTTACAGTAAAAGGAAACAATTTTAAGCGTCGTTCGGATATTTCTTTTTGAAGTAATCTTTTCATGCGACAGAGTGAAGAAAGAAAAAAAAAGAAATCAAAACACGGCTTATCATCTTATCAACAGTTATGACAATCAGTGTGGCTTCACGAATTGTATATCAGGTATTTATGAGCGAGAAATTGAGTTTTTATCGCACAATGGAAATCTTTGTAATGTGCAATGGGCGCTATTATTCCATCACTTTATGTCTCTTCCAGGCAGCAAGTGATTTACTTACTGTCTTGATAGGAAGAAGGAGAAGAAGAAGGCAATGACGGTAATAAAGAAAACTGCACATTTGTAGAAGAATCGAGAGAAGATGATAGTTTGTCGCCTTGTAGATTTAAGTGCCTTAAGTAAGATCAACCATGGGGCGCTTCGATTTAAAACAAACGAGAAAAATAAATAAGAAGATGATGGTTTCACTTTCAGCCGCAGACTCCAACCGATCGTCTCGGAATTCCACCTTATAATTTTCGAATTTTACTTCGGATATATCGCTAATTGAATTGATGGGTGTTCTTTATTTATATTTTATAGTTCCAGTCATTATCTCCTGCCTAATACACACGCTGATTTCCTTTTTCGGATATTTTTCTTTCGTAAATTCTTTTTTCTTTTTATTTGGTGTTTCATCGAAGCGCTCGCACTACGTAAATTGGAGATAAACACAAAACCATTAATTGACTGGATGATGCGGATGCTTATATCCATAATTAATGCAAATGAGGGGAAAAAAATAAAACGGGACTGCATAATGTTAACTGATATCCGAATGCTTCACTAAAGGAAAATGAAAAATGATTTACCGATTAGTTAAATAGAGATTAATCTTTCTGTTCTTTCTCAGTGCCATCTGATCAAAGTTCTGCTTTTCTGCTTTCTTTTTTTCTCAATGCATTACGGAAATTTAATCTTCTTATTCAATTTTCTCTCTTCTTTCTTCAAATATCGGTAAGATTACCATCACATTTATTGCTGAATATTCGAGGAATGCTTGTGAATCAATGAAGATTAAAGTGACAAAGTTTTTGTTCAACTTCTGATAAACGAAAAATTCCTGAATTGAAACTCTAAAAAGAGCTTGAAATGTCAAAAATCTGATAAAGTGAGCTCTCGATGATTCTTTTCCCACGTCGTGAATTGACTCTCAAGTTCACTGTTCATTTATTCTACAACGGGGTGAGTGCTGCTGCAAAAGTGTTCATTGAAACATCTTCGACACTTTTAACGGCAGTCTAACAGCTGGGTCTCTGTCATTGAGAACTTTATCACGATCGCAAAGACTACGAAGGAAATTGATTTTATTGCCCATGATGAATATCATGTTTCGTTCCTTCCACTCATATCGAACAACGATGTTAAATGCCGAGTAAAATTTTCACAAATATTCAGAAGAAATTTAAATTAGTTGTTGTAATGGCTGCGCTTTAATTATAGTTTATTGTGTTTCTTACCTTCTGTGCGAAATTACACCACACCCAATGGTGTTAAAAAGAAAGGTAAAAACATTCTATAAGTATAATTAAGAGCGAAAACAGGCAAACGATAAACTCGTTGAGATATAAAAAATTCCTTTCACTGAAATTGTTCTTGAATAATTTCAGGTTTTCAAGCGCCATCGACATGTTGTCCCCGACAATAAAAGAAACGACAGATAAGAGTTTAAGTATTCGTTCAACAGCATTTCAAATGTTTCGTGATAATTAAAATTAATTAATGAATGAAAAAGAAGACGTACTCACAGTCAATTAATAAATCATGAAATCATTTTGTGTCACACAAATCTGACAACGAACGAATAAAATTTATTAACAAACAAATCACGCTAACATTTCCGAAATAAATAAATAGTGAAGAATATTTCATGGGTAATGGGCAGCAAATTTAATCTTAATTACACATTAAAGGTGGAATGAAAATGAAAATATTAAATTGTTTATTTGCTTGCTATTTATCAACGACTCCAACATCGCTGGTTGAAATTGAAAGATTCAAGCTGAATTAATCCACAGTGTGGCATAATGGATGATATCGGTGCCTAATGTATAAAGGAAATTTGTTGTTGTCTCATGAATTTTAAGCATTGGGTGTTTTAATTTACTTGATAAAGCCTCGAGATTGTGTTTTTATTAAATTAATAGATAATTTTGGATATAAAGTTTCCCTACGATACTGACGTATGTTTCTTCGTATAAATTTGTAATTAAACCTTTTTTATATTAAATATAGAAAAGATTATGATAACAACCATCATAGCATTAATATTTATGCTCAGTAATAATATGAAAAATTGTTAAGAAAAGTTTTTCAGGGAAAACGTTAACATAAAGCAGAAGGATATTTTAATATCCTTGATATTGCGTGGGCCCATTTTTATTCATTGTCCCTTATTTTTCACTTTAACTTTCACTACCGATAGAAAAAGTGAAAAAGGATCGAGCTTAGACAACAATCATAGGAGTTTATCAGAAAATCCTAACATAGGTTTTCATTCATGCGCAGCAATATTGACACAATTAAAAGAACAAACATAAGAGCGCATACATATGGATATCTATGGATAAATGTTTTTTTTTTCTGTTCAGCAATGCGAGAGTTTTTATTGTTTTTCACTTCAACTGCTTCTCAAGGTGCCCTTTTTTTGTTTTCTATTGCCGAATCTAAAGAGATGGAGAATTCGTATTGAGCTTCAGATTAAATCAGGCAACTTTCATTGTTGGTTGACTGTAGCTTTTTTCCCGTTGTATATTGTCGAAAATCCTAAAATCGATAAAATCCCAGCAAATATTCGTTCATATTGAAATTTCCGAAGTGCTTTCGTTGGGGAATGAAAATTGAAAGCCGCAGACTCTCTGCAAGCATCGCTTAACCAAAAAAAGAAAAATAATAATATTAGATATTGCAAACAACTTTGGTTCCGTGCTGTAATGTTTGAAATGTAATTAAAGAAAAATTTTGAGTGCGAGCACATTTAGCAATAATGAACAAATATTAATATTTCCAGAAGTTATGTGATAAATCAAAGAAAGTGTGAAGCATCAACATTATTTAACAGTTGATTGTTAATCGATATTAAATAAATATTTAAAGTTGGACAACTTTGTAAGATGAAGCATTAGCTGGAAATTTCGTTCACTAAACTTTGTAGGTAATTAAAAAACTATTTTAAGGTAATTTGAATTTTCCATTTGCAATTTTCCCTGAACATTAAAAAAAGGAAATTTGTTGGAAAAACTGAAAATTCATTTAAAATAATTTAAAAAAGTTACAAAGTTTCAAATAAATTTCTTCAAAATGTAATTTGCACTTTACCATCTTTTTAATTAAGTTATTTAAAAGAATTCTGCTGAAAGCAATTTTCAATTTATCTGATCGTAAAGAACTTTTTTTTTCTTGCTTGAAATAATTTCACATTTTTGCGCATTTTAAAATATTATTTCATTTCATTTTTTAATAAAAGTGCATTCGTTTTCAATTCAAAGTCGAATAAATTGCTTAAAGCGTTTATTCAACAGAATTAGAACTGAGAAGCGTGTCAGTGGACTGTGTCGATGTGATTCGATAACAGCCACGTTTATGTTTTGGACTTTCCCAGCGAAGGCTTAAATCAAGCAATTAATTTTGTTTGCCTATTTCTACTACTCTTCGACTTCTCTTCGTCACGTTATAAATTATATTTATATTGCAATTTTGTTAATATTTACAATAGAATGAACGAGAAGAGACTTTCTGTTTGCTTTGTCATATTTGCTTCATCTGCAAACTTCGCTCATTTATGTCTTTCCGAATAATCCAGATTATTCATTCATCCACTCTCAATCAAGTTAGAGGCAGACAAAATGTATTGTAATTATCTTCAAAAGGAAAAGCCCCATCAATTTAGCAACGAACCGATGTACACAACACAACCTCTCATTATTAGTTTCTCTTTTATTGTTTGTTTTATTTCTCCGAAGAGATTCACTTTGGCTGTTTACCCCAAAAAAATGTTTTTTCGCTTTTTCGTTTACCGAATTTATGTATTTATAAGAAAACGAGCAGTTTTGCAGCTTATTTTTAATTTTTTTTATTATCAACATCAAATCGGTTTGAAGCAAAATATTTTCTTGATGTATGACTAAACGCATTCGTTGGAAGACTTGACTCCGATACGACAAATGAATATCAAAAATGTTTTCAAACAGACCTCGGGATATGAACGCGTAGACATTTTGGTTGGTTTAAGAACAAACTTAAGTATATGAGAAAGAAAAACATTTTACGAAATATTTTGAAACATGAAAGCATCATCGTGTTCTTCAACCATAATGCTTCTCATAAGAAAATAAATGTTTTCTTTACTCTGCTTACTGTTGCAATAAATAAATAACCGAAACACATTTTCAGAATTTAAATTGATTTATTATCGTTCTTGGCAGGAATTTGGAAGGGGAAAATTTGTTCAAGTAATTGTCGGGGTCACAGCGACTGTAATTTGTAATGGATGCACGATGATTTCACTTATTGATTGTATGAAAGAGAATAAAAGTGCCTTGTAAGTTTCCATTAATGCGTCAAGATCAGCAAGTGTTAAATATGTAATTTTAATCTCTTGTATCGGAACATTAACACATTTTACCAATCAATAATAAAAAAGTAACTGACAATCTCCCTCGAACATTGTTGTTTCGTAATATGTACGTCTGTCAGTTGGAGACATGGTAGCATGAAGCAAGCCATGAGACACAAAGCAAAGCATATTAAATATCTTTTGATGTATGCATTTTACTAAAGTAACTTCTCAAAACTTGTGATAATTTACATGGAAAGGGTTGTCAATGCTTTTATTCAATGATGAAATATTTTATCTTAATTGTGAAAGAATTTAATCAGCCTTTGAAGGAGACTTATTATGAATCATTTCATAAAATTATGTTGATATGTTATAGTTTAATGACTAATGAAGAACCTAAAGCTTAAAGCGATTGAGTTTATCAATTTATTGACGTAATTATCTTCAATTATAGCTGATTATACTTTCTTGATTGCTCCTATAGTTAGATGGAATATTATGCAAATTACCAACGCTAATAAATCGTTATTAATAAAATCATACTATCAATACTGCTTGTAAATAAATAAATGAATAAAGAAAATAAAGTTTAGTGGGTGAGAAATTTATTTATGTCAAGACATTGTTTTGCCTCCGGGTTTAAGTTACAACAACATCATGTAAAATGTTATTACTAAATTCATGCTTGTAAATTCAAGTGACAAGAGATTGTTATTTGATAACTTTTAATCTGATTAAATTTATACAGTGAAAGTTAAAGCGATTGAATATCTAAATTTCTATTTAAAGCTTGAAAACTGAAAATTTATTTATGATGACCTGAAATGTTTTTTCATTTCTAAACGACATTAATGTTGGAAACTCTCAGCCGACTCATTAAATGTTTTCGATAAGAATTTCACGTTATTAAAAATTCCGCTATGGAATGCTTCGTTTAAAGGGTTAAAAGGCATAAATATCTAGTGAAATATTTCAATGTTTAATTACAATTGTGAAAAGATTTTTCATTCTCAAATTTTCGTTTCGCATTATTATTGTGAAGTCAAAAGTGCTTTTTTAACTTCATAATAAAATTCTGTACAATTCTTTTTATAAAATTTTTATGAAATCGTCTGAAATCTTTTCAAGCGTGTTAAAAGCTTTCTGTATGGCGTACATTGAGAATGTTCATGTTAAAAGATTAAAATAATTCTTTCACATTTTTCTTTCCTTTAACTTTTTAATATCTCAATAAATTTCTAAAATCTGAAAAGAAGAAAAAGTTTTTTTTAGCTTTCATTCCATCAGGGAGTTCTTTTCTTACCGGAATCAAGTTATTTATTTTTCTTACGAGACAGAACTGGGTTGCTAACAAAAGCTAAACTTTATCAAATCAATTAGGAGCTGAACGTCAAACTTTCGGATGCTTCTTTCTTCTATGCTACAACATGCTGGTTTTGGGCTAACAAGAATTTTATTGACAAACTTTTTCGATGAGTCTTTACGGTTAATCGAGTGGCTTTAATCAGTTTCTCTCTTATGCAATGGCAAAGTTTTTCTTTTTCTTTTGTTTCGTACACATCTGCTTCTTTATTCTATCGTCACTTTTAGTGATGAAATTTTAAGTATCGAATGAAAAAAGATTAGAAATTATCTTCAACAAAGAAACTTCACTATAAAAGCAGTACAAAATAAAGGAACAACATTCTGAAGTCTTCCAAAGCGAATGCTTGATATATGATGGTGGATTGTATACAAAGTCATGTCGAAATGAAAATGAACACAGAATACCACACAAATAATTTTCCATTTCGCTTCGTTAGTTTTTGCTAAGGAAAACAAGAAGAAAAACATTTCATAAGCACATAAATTTTCATTCCGTTCCAAATTCCGCGTAATGAAAAATTTTCATGCTGATGAAATTTATTCCACCACACGTATCAGCAATTTTAATGTTTTACAATGATAATTTAATTATCGTCAACCATATTTTCAATCTTATCATTACAAAAACAATGTTAACATCATTTGCAGACAAAAAAAGAAAAGCATAATAAAAAATTATTTTTAATTTCTTTGCAGGAATTGCAATTTCGTGAACAACAAGCTGAGCTTGAACGAGAATTACAGCAACAACGATCAACTCAGCAATTACTTGAACAGTCCTATTACCATAACTCCAATTCTAAAAACGTCGAAATCGATTTTTATCGTCAACAACCCCAACTGATAACAAACTTGAACAATTTGAATTATCAGACGAGCAGTAACTGCAACTACAACACCATTAATCAATCTAGTGCTAAAGACATTTTATATGAATTGAAACAATACGAACATTTTGCCAACAACTCTAATAACTTCAATTTTAATAATTACAACATTGCTGATCGACAACCGAGCAGTTATAATGGAACGAATTATAGTCAGAACATCTTAAACTATAACAATTCATATTACAGAATTAATAACATCAATAATTATAATTACGTTAAAAATCACTCATCTTCGCCGTCGTTGCAACGTGAACAAGACGCATTTTATAACAATAATAACAACAACAACAACAGATACCAAGATAAATATTTACTTAACGAAAAAATGGATCGTGAAGAGTCAGCCGTCGAGAGTGGGCACTTAGTCAACACTGGTCGCAATGTAACCATTCATAACTTCAACAGTAATAATGTCACGAGTCATACTACCATTCCTGCATCATACAATAATATTGACGATGATGATGAACAGCACAACGCAAATCCGCAAATTCATCGCTCACAGCATTTTACACAGGTGAGTTGTTTTCCTTCCTCTAATGTTCTTCTTCAAACCATGAAAGCATTTTAAGACAATTAAAATGAATAAAAGTCTCAGATGTTCATTTCCATTATGATCATTAAATCTCATTTTTAATCCTTTTCCTGCATGTTATCAAGTTGAATCCATTTACATCAAAGAGAAGCTTTCATTGAGATTGATACTGACGTTGTGGTTGAAGTTTGTTGTAAAAGTTCGTTTAAACAATGTTCAATTTCTAGATAAAAAAACTGTTTTCACTTTGACTGATGAGCTTTGTTCTTTTTTGCAACGTTTATTGAATTTCAGAAACAATAAAATTAAATTTAAATTAATTGAACATGCAAACTTCACTTATTGTACAAACAACAAAAACATTTTAATAAAATCAAGTATCAAAGCTGTTTCTATGATGCATAAAACTACCAACAACGCCAGTAAATCGAAATTTCTTTTTAATTGCTCTTGTTGAGATAAAATTTAAACCAAATTATTGAACTAATGGCTGGATTTAAGAATTTCTTCTGCTGCTTTCTTGTAATTTCAGATTGAATGATGAGCCATAAATGCATCCATTTAAAAAGATTATATTACTCAAGAGCTCTTTTGAATCTATCAGTTCTATCCATTTCGTGATGAAATGAGGATCCAAAAATAATTTATTCAGAGTTCTTAAACGTCATCATGATCATAAATATTCTTCGATGTTCCCTCTAAACGTGAAACTCTTCCATCAAAGAGTTTCCATCTTCGATCATCAATTTTTCTTCTTCAGTAGTTCATTTCAAATAAATAGCATGAAAAGAAAGGAAACGCTTAGTCTGTACATAAACACGACCTATCGATTTCTCATCCTGAACACTCGTACACATAAATTATACGAAAATAATTTTTCTCAACACTTCAAACAGGAAAACCCTTTACTTTCCTGTGTAAGAAGGCGGAAATTATCTCGCTTCGTTTTCATAATGTCACTTTCTGCGATTCTTCAAAACACTTTTCATTCTTTCTTTTGAGCATTTGAAGACCGAATGAAATTATTTTTCAACATCGATAATGTATTCTCAATGCGAAATCTCGGAGCAAATTTTCTGACTTTTTCTCTACGATTGTGTCAAGTTTTGTTGTTATTATTCAAGACATGCTGCTATTATACTGAAATCTTTTGAAAATTGAAGGAACATGAATTTCCAGATCTTAGAAGCTTGATGGAAACAACAATCGATAATTACAATGCTTCAATGTGAAGCTTTCAACTTGGGGCTTTATTGATTTACTGAACAAACCATTTCAAAAGGTTCGTACTAAATAATTCCCATTGAATTCACCCTTATAGAAAACATAATTATAGGATTCGTTTGGTGAAGAAAAGGAAGAAAAAGTTTCAATCATTGACACAATTAAGTTCCTAAGATCAAGAGGCTGTTTAGTTCAAACATGTAATGCATAATGGAAGGCATTTCACTTGTTGTGACACGTGAAACGAAAAGTTTTTTCACTCCCTAAGACGTGACTTTTGGATACTTTCATTTTTTATTCCATTCTTATGATGTAAACAAGTCACTGATGTTTAAAAAGTTTACTTCTGGTCATTTTTAAAAGCTTCTTTTTTACTGTTGTTACGACATAAACTGAATTTTTGTTTTCGTGACTTTCAATGTAACAAATAAAAAGGAAAATCTTTTTGTTCTCTTTCATATGTTTGTTGAGTTTTTCAAATGTTTATCTTGTACGAAATTTCTTCCAACATCCTTGTGATGTTTGATGATATGAAACGTTGATGATAAGACGCCAAACAAAGTTCAATGTTTGGAATTTGGTCGGTTGGATAAACAATTCCCTAATTTAGACATTTTCATGACATGAATTATGATTGGGGCTAAAAGGATGAATGCTTATGGAAGCGTGTCAGGACTGACCTGCCAAAAGAAATGTTACATAATACTTTCGAGATGTCACATTTTCTTTCACAACCCTCGAGACATTTATTACCGCCTTCATTTCGTGCGAATCCCACAAACTGTTCTGTTCTTTTATTGTGATTATAATGAAATTCTGAAGATGTTACGTATTTAATTGAAAAGTCTTTGTTCATCTTAGAAGTTGTGGATGATTTATGAAGAATTCGTCTTGAATTTGTTAAAACTTGAAGGTGTTGACACATCAGACTTAAAGGCAGAACGAAATTTTCTCGAAGCTTGTTATAATGTTCGTTTGAAGCATTCATGTTTCACATGAAATAATTAATCAAAATCATCATCATCATGATTTAACTACAAATAGAAACACATTGCGAAGACGTGTCTGTTGAGACTTCGGGATGTTCATGACTCGTGGGAGTCGAAACCAAATGTTTCTGATAATTCTCAGCTTAAAAGATTTTTTTAGAAAGAAATGTCAAGAACGTATGTAGCTTGATTGAAACGAGTGAATACCACAAGGAGTACCGAAGTCAAACAAACATTTTGCTGACACCTAAGTTTGTTGTATTTGTTTCTTCTTATGCTTTACAAAACTTTTGAAAATAACATCAAAAGGAAGAAAACTTTTGTCACTATTTTTAGATCAAAAGGCAATGAATTTCTATGACAAAGCTGAATGATCGACATCAGCAGATTCTTGCAACTAACATTCAATATTCAAGCATACACTTGAAAATAATGCTGAACGACATGAAAAATCTGTTTTGAATAACAAACAACAATACGTTCGAAGTTTTCTTATTATTTTTATTTTCTTAAAAGTCATGTTCTTACAATTAATAACAGTCGAATGCGAAAGGGCACAAAAGTTCGATTGAACTGTGAAATGGAATAATATGGTACGGATGGTGTCTGGGTTGGAAACTGAAATCGATTTTTCACTTCACAAGAATTTATGTTTGTTGTGTTGAGCCTTCATTTCATTTTTGGTGGTCATGATAAAGGCTGTGAATGCTTAGAAGGCTGAAGGAAAAGGAAAACAAGAGAGAAAGAAGGAGAAGAAAACCGCAACAGCATGGCGAAAGTTTGGAGAGCTAAGATAATTTCTTAAATTAAATTTTTCGTATCCAAACAAATGGAAAACATCAAGAAACGACAACGAACCTTTCTCAGTCACATAAATTTTATGTTTATTGCTCAAGTGCCTTGAATTAATGACAATTTAAGATGTGATACTTTTTCATCTTGCAGACCTTAAAAGTCCTTTTTAATTAAATTTTATTTTATACATAACGTGAGACTTACTTATGATTTCTTTTTTACTTTCTTGAATCACATCTTAAATCTAAAATTAAGTGGATATTCACATTAGAAATAATATATTTTGATGTACTTTATCTTGAACGAGGTAATAAAAATTTTAACATCTACATAAAAATATTACGAAACAACACTCCTAGCTTGTAATGGATTTCAGCAGCTAAGCAATATTATAATTATCTGTTGCTAGATAGAAGCTGCACCAGACAGACCACCAGGAATAATTAACACATGAACATACAGTTGGCAAATCGATTGGCTCCAGTCAATGCACGATTTTGTTGATTTCCTCAGTGTCATAATAAATTACATCTAACATTTGACCTGAAACTAAGCACACAGCATTAAATACTTTGTCTCGCTTGTAAATCGAATAAGCGATGAAGTTGAATGAAGCAAGTTGGAAGCATTGTAAGAGATTTATAAATAAATGAAAATCATTGAAATTGACTTGTAAATTTAAATGTAAATTCAACTAATCCGTCATGAAATCAGCTTCATTCTTTTATTTCTCAAGTTGATTAAATTAAATACAAATCTAAATGACAAAAGCACGTCCACCTTTGATCACAATAAATTTCAATTATCTACTTACTGAAAGTTTGTTTATAAAAACAATTAAACCGTCAAATTATTTACGATCAACTTCATTTGCAAATTGCAATAAAGAATTTTACAACTTTACTAATAAATTGTGTGTATAAAACTGCAGATATGACGTGAATTAATCTCCCGCAAATATTTAATTCCTTCACGGCTTTTAACGAGAGCTGAAATGTTGTAAATTAAAGTTGAAAGTATAAACACGCAAGAAAGTTTCGTTCCGTGGAATTTATAGTTGACTCGCGGAACTATGCTAGACATAAATCAACCATCAAAGCTTAATACTCGCTTATCTCACTTGATGCGAATCTTTTGCTTGTCGTTTAAAGAAAAACTGTGAAATTTCTAAAATCAAAGGCAATTAATCAATGCAATTACGTATATGTACAAGTTAAAGCTGTTATTATCAAACATTGTCATGCCATTTCATGTGCTGAAACATGGAAAGTTACGGTAAAAGGGTGAATAAAAATGAACATTAAATCAGTTTTATTCAACGACAAGAAAAACAAGGAAAAGACATAATTAAAATTTCCTGTTCAATACCGATCAAAGCATGAACGTTAACAAGACAGTTATTGACACAATCAAGACAAGGCACTTCATTATTCGATGTCGTGATGTTTCAGAAATAGAATTTAAATCATTTCAAATGTTTCGTTTCGTTTCCATCTACCATGCAAATAACTTGGAACTATAATTTATGCTGATCTAATATTTATTTATTTACTACATCGATATTGATATTGAACTTGTCATCAAACATTTCCGATTTTATTTATTTTTTACTTTTAAAATTTATGAAAATTTATGTGAATTTTGCTTTTGTTTTCTTTTTGATCTGCCACAACCTCCAACGATTGGCATCAACCTCAGCTTGAGGTGCGTTTCATAATGATTTGAGAATATTAATGAGTTCATTTTATGTTCCTTTAATATATGTAAATGTCTACGCAATTTCAATCGTCTGCATAATATTCATGCGTGATCCATAATATTTCGAATTGAATTGAGAAATGTCAGATTTTCTGTTGATGTTCGCAAATATGTTCATTTTATTTAATATTTCAACAACATCATATAAAATCGTTTCGATGAGTAGTAAAACATCGTGAACGATGTGAAGAATGTTTGAAATGATTCGCAATTTGATTTGATTGTTCATTCTTGTGGTTAATATTCAACTATTGAAGAAATGAATGACGAGAATGTGAAATTTCATCGAAATGATGATCAATTTCAGTTGCATGCTGAATATTAATCAAATAACTCAAATCTAGACAGTCATAAAAACCGAATTTTCAAGTGTCGATGAATTAACGCAAATGCTTTGCATTCTTCCACCTGTTTGAAATATAAATTTGAATAATTCCCAACTCGCTAAGTAAAATTCATTTTTCATTTCACTTTTCACCCTTCCCAAAGTCAGATGAAGAACTTCTTTGTATCCTTCATAAAAACTTTTTGTTTCGTTTGCTTTTTTGAAAATAGAAAGAAAAAATATTTACACTAAGTCATTACCCAGGAGCATTAAATAATTATGTAATAAAAGAAAAAAAGTTCATGGACGACAGTTGTTCGAAATGATTTCCCCAACTCTACTCGTAGATCATTAATGCTTCATGTTGGAAACTTAAAGTCATTTAATCTTCAATTTAAAAACTCAGAAAGCAATAACAGACAGCTTGAATGTGAGCTGGCATTCCGTTGGGGATAAAATTCATGAATTAACGTTTTGAATTCTAATCTTAAAATGTGGGAGTTTCAAAAATGATATCTCAAAGTAACGACTAAGGAGATTAAAATTTAATTAAATAATCAATTCAAATGGATTCTTCCATAACGAATCATTCCCACCTAAAAAAGCGTTAAATTTATGGCTTATCATGGTGGATTTTATTGTTACAAATTTTTATAGCTTCTACTTAAAATTTTGATTTCATTTGAGTTATTGCGAATTTCTGTGTATCTAATTAATAAAAAGCAATTATTTGTGAGCATTTGAGTCGATTAAATTTCATTTAATGCTGCTCAGATAAATAGGAATAAATAATAACAACTAAACAAGAATATTTACTTAGCTATCTGATTATCTCAACGATTTGAAAGCTTTAATTATACAATTAAAATATCTATAAAAGAAGATAAAAGCCAAAAGGAAGTAACTAACAACCATCTACTTCCATAACAAGCAAACAACTTTTGTAAACAATTTTCACCATCGCAATTGATGATAAATAATTACTTTGCGAATAAGTTCGAAATGTAAACAAATTGATTTGTTGTCAGGAAAGAAAAACAAGAGCGAAAAGTACATAAGAAGAAAATTAAATGAATGGAAATTCTTGATTAGCAGCTAATCTTGAAGCAGCTGTAAAGTGTCACGATTCAATTTTATGTTTTCTTACACTTTATTGATGATTTCTTAATCAGAACTCAATTTCTGATAGAGATCGAATAACAACATAAATTATCCTTATGGATAGTTTTCAATTACTTGTTATTGCAAACAGCTTCTCAAGTTGTCATTTTTCGCTCGTGTCCCTCAATCAAATCATAAGAAATCTTGTTTGTGCTATAAAAAATTATTTCTTCTCTTTTATTATTGCTATAAAACGACTAGCAAATATATGAAGTCGTTAATGAGCGAAGAGAAGATTGAATTTATTATTTGTGAACATTAATCGACGGTGGTTTGATAATTTATAAATATGTTGCAACTTTTGTTGTTGTTTTTATGCATCTTCAGACATTCATTGGCAAAACATTTTATTGATCACAAAGTAAAACCACAAAAATATGTTTTTACATTTTTCTTTAGATTATTGCCGCCTTGGCTGTATCATTAGGTCCGCTTGCGGCTGGCTTAGGGAAAGGTTATTCAAGTCCAGCAATTGCAAGTCTGCAAGAACTTCACATACGCAATCAACACACAAACTACACGAGCTTTTCGGTGACAGATCAAGAGGCGAGTTGGGTTGCAAGTCTTTCACTTCTCGGTGCTCTCTTCGGTGGAATGTTTGGAGGTTTAGCCATGCAATATGGTCGTAAACGCGTCCTAGCTTTAATGTCTTTGCCATTCTCATTATCGTGGATTTTAACTGTGTTCGCCAAGTCAGTCGAGACAATGTTCATGACAGCTTTCATTGGTGGCTTCTGTTGTGCTATTGTCTCAATGGTTACTCAGGTGAGTTTCGTCTTCATCATCATCATGGAAAAAGTCTCTGCAAAGCTGACATAAAATTGTAAATGATTTTGATCCCGTTTTACGATTTTTTGTTTTGTCTTTATCATTACAAAGGTTTTCCTTTCTTCTTTTCATGATACAAAATCCTGAATGTAATAAAATTGTTTTTTCTTTCCTTTATCTTCCTTTAACGAACACAACTCAGGTCTACATAAGTGAAATATCATCGCCTGATATACGCGGCTTCTTAAGTGCCATTCAAAAGGTTTCGGGTCATCTAGGTGTGCTTATATCTTATCTACTGGGAGCCTATTTGGATTGGAGACAACTCGCTATGCTCGTTTCGGTGGCACCGATGATGCTTTTTGTGACTGTGATTTATATTCCCGAAACACCGAGCTTTTTAGTATTAAAAGGACGTGATGAAGATGCATATCGGTGAGTCGTCCTTCTATTTATATAAGTATGCGAGAGAAGCTTTCAAAAGTTTTGTAATCAATGATTGACGTCATTTGCTTTTCATTGTGGTGACAACTCTTGAATTTTCGTTTTGAAGTTCAAGCCTTTTCCCCAAATGACATTATTTATGATCGATGTCTCACCAAACCATTTCAACCTCGAAAATAAACAAAATCTTAAAAAGAAAAACCATGTAACATTTTCCACATGCACGAGTATTTATTTCCGCATCGACTGTGATTTATGAGAATTTAATCTTTCAAATGTCGACTCGTTCTCTTGCCAGATCCCTACAATGGCTCCGTGGCTCGAACAAAAACGTTGAACTCGAACTGGATACAATTCGCTCTAACATACGAACATCGAGATTCAATATGGACAATAATATGAATAGCAATTTATCATCTATAAGCCACAATGGGCTTCCAATGAAATTCTCGTCGTTTAAATCGATTGTGACGAACGTCAAGTCGGTACTGAAGAATGCACGTCTCGTGAAGCCGGTTCTGATAACGTGCGGCTTGATGATATTTCAGCGGTTTACTGGTGAGTTTAACAAACTCTTTCTTAAATATGAATACAAATTTCAATCAATCACTTACACATTATTATTCTCTCATTCATTTCCAAGGCGCTAATTCTTTTGGCTTTTATGCTGTCAAAATATTCCGTCAAACATTTTCCGGCATGAATCCACATGGCGGGTAAGATCAAATTAAATATAATGTGATAAATGCTCTCCAATCATTTCCTTTATCTTAAACAGTGCCATTGCTGTAGGTTTCGTACAATTGTTAGCATCGATGCTTTCCGGCTTGTTAATTGATACAATTGGTCGTATTCCACTTCTCATCGTCTCCAGTGTTTTTATGTCGCTTGCGCTTGCCAGCTTTGGATCTTATGTGCATTATGATGAGAACAATGGTACAAGTGGAAATAGCGATTGGATTCCACTTTTGTGTGTGTTAATCTTCACAATTGCATTCTCATTAGGTTTGTGTTTATTTACTCGATGAACGTGCTTAAATTTTAATGTTTTATTTTTCTTTTAAAAGGAATTTCACCAATATCTTGGCTATTGATTGGCGAACTATTTCCATTGGAATATCGTGGCATTGGCAGTTCAATTGCAACATCTTTCTCCTACTTCTGTGCATTTTTGGCAGTGAAAACTTTTGTGGATTTTCAAGTACTTTAATGGAATTTTATTCTCAGCGATGATTATCATAATAATTTATTTCCTTCTATCTTTTTTATTTCATTCATTTACAGCAATTGCTAGGGCTAGATGGAGCGTTTTGGCTGTTCGCTTGTATATCATGTGTTGGCCTTTGCTTTGTCATAATGGTTGTGCCAGAAACAAAAGGCAAGGACTTGGAAGAAATGGACCCAAAGTACATGAGAACGATTGTCATAAATCGATGAGATATGGTTACACACGTAGAATATTTAGTATAGTATCTAGTGACTTCAAAGCTTTTCATCTGTCAATTTTTAATTCTATTTTCAAGCTCATTGATTGAGCTTTAAAAGAAATTTTAACTCATAAACGTGATATCAATTTAAAGTTTTAAAAGATCTTTTGAAGATAAATCTCTCTTCATTTGATGCTTAGATTTTAAGTTCAATGAAATGTGCGCATTATTTAACATTGAATAAGTCAGAGACGAATTAAAAATTGCGTTGACGCTTCAAACACAAATAAAAACCTCCAAATGGCATGCGATGTACATAGCGATGATTTTTATTTTTGTTACAAATTTAATTAAAAATCAATTTAAACGAATGAAAGCCCATTAAAGTTGAAGGAAATTATCGTAGGATGTTTTGAAATTCAAATCGAGAAAGTAGATTTAATGTAATAAAAGATTGAAAAATATAAAATCAGAAACGCTTATGTACAACTTCAATTATTTTTATGCCTGAGAAATAAAAGAATAATCAATGTGGGAAAAAAAGTATTTTGAAATGAAAAAAAATAAAAAACTATTAGATAAACTTAAAATTTTTAAATCATATCTAATAATTTATGAAATTTGAATGATAATAAAATATAAATTTAAGTTAGCTCTAAAACATAAAAGAAAATCTATAAAATAACATTACATAGCAAATACAATAATTTTTTTTAGAAATGAAAAGCTTATACCAATGTTGAAACTAAATATGACATGACTAATGACGTACGACAATAATTAAAGTTCATTTTATAATGACAAAACAAGTCACGTGAAAACACAGAAAATCAAATATTTTAAACATTGAAAGCATTATGTACATAAATGTATAGATATTGTTTGAGCTAAACATAAATCGTATGTAGTATGAAACTGTCAACTGCTGCTGGTGAAGTCAAGATATTATATAAATCACTTCCACAAAGTTTCCGGTCGACATCTCAAATTTTGAATCTCATAAAATTGAATTTAATGAAATATCTGCTCCCAAGAATACTCCAAAAGAATGTTGATAAGATTTCCAGAAAACTAAGATTAATTTTACTCCTCCAAATTCATCATTTTGAGATTTAAGAATCAAATACTCACACCTGGAAAAGTTACATCAAGAAGAAGAAGAAAATTCTCAATTTCATCAACTTTAAGCTTTACAGAAACAGAATATCGAAAAGAGATTTTAAGAATAATTTGACTTATCTATAAAAAGAAAAAAAAACTTTATCAACGTTATAAAATAAATTAAATAATGAAAACTATATTTAAATATAATGACAATAATTTTTGAAAACTCATAAATGGAAGTTCATATCGAAACATTCTTCAAAAGATTTCCTGAATATATTCACACTAATCTGAGACAATAATAAATGACCAGCCATGCATGTTAAATCATTGAAAAAGGTAAAATTTGACAAAAACTTTATATCAACATCAAATTTGAGAGAATTTCATTTTCCATATCAGTTGAAACTTATCAAAAACAATTTTATTAAGGCGTTTAATTGAATTTTAAACTACTTAATTAATTGTCAAGAAATCTTTAGTGGAATAGAAAGGAAAGAGAATTTTTTTTATTTGAAGTCGTGACGAATCCATGGAGAAATTTGAAAATTTGTTGTAATGATCTTCCGCTCCTGTGCCTTTCAAGAAAAAGGATTATTTAATTGAAATAGAAAAATTGATATCGGTGTTATAAAGAAAATTTGTTGCAACCCTAAAAGCATCTAGTTTAATTTAATTAACCTCAAGACATCACAAAATGTTGTTAGAAATTTATTTATGTTTCGTTTTTTATCAGACACAAGTCAAAAGAAGCATAAATGAACATCTCATTACATCAGTTCTTCTTTATTCATAAATATGTAACAAACAATTTGGATGAATTAAAGAAGAAAACAAGATAAAAACCATGACAATATTTAAAAGTATTTTAAAACTTTATTAAGATGCAAAATATATTTGAGAGAAACATTTCTATTTAGATACCTGCAAGAAATCTTTTATCATTCTTACAGAAAAAAAATAAAAAGTCAAAACAACTTCTTTTCTTCCCTTTTTAATCGACTTATTTCAATTAAACATAAAAGAGAACAACAGAAGCATTTAGTAAATATAATAAAATTGTAAAAATATTTTTATGAAGAATCAAATGCATGAGTCGCACAATTGGCAAGAATAAGAACAAAAACATTAAAAAAGAGAGAAATATAAAGTAGAGCCTGAATAAAAATAGTTAAATGTCTGTTTGCTGGTTATAAATCTATTAAATTTTAAATCTTGTTTCTTGAATCGAATCAACAAAAAGTAAATTTATAAGAAATCATAAAATTCGAAGAATATTAAAACCTACAATTAAAACATTGTTCAAATTACATTTTTTAAGAGAAATTTGAGATACTTAGACGACAATAAATGTGAAAAGCTTCTTCGAAATGATTTCGCCGAACAAAATTTTCATTTCTTAGTAATTTGACTTTTGGCCTAAAAATCCATTTTTCTCTCAAGATCTTCATTATCTAGATGAAAACGAAATTCCTGCCAAAAGTTACAAAAAATCTAATTAAAAATATAAATCTCATAGAAGTTTCTCATTTCCTTACTTGCTTGCGTCAAGACTTAATTAATTCGACAATAATCTTTTGGTGGCAAATATTAGCAATTATGCCATAATTTTATCATTATAACGAAAAAAAGAAAAACTATCAGAAGTGAGATTGTTGATTTTCTTTAATTATTGTAAGATTTTTTTTTAGAAATAAAGGATTTAAAATAAAAATGAAAATTTTTTATATCGTTGGTGCTTGAGATTGTTTCCGGTAATTGTTAAAATGTTCAAGATATTGTTGAACTGTGTCGATTGGTTGGTAAGTGTCATTGAAACGATGATAATGTTGATTAGGATTGTTTGAGGGAAGAGTGTTTGTGAAATATCCTGGAATAGCTGTTGGTGCTTGTTGTCCTAAGAGGCCCTGCAAAAACTCTTTGATGAGATCCCAACAAAATGCTGGAACTAGGCAAGGACGGTAATCAACTTCTATAAGTATTCCTTTGAAATTCTGATTCTGACTCATTGTGACACTTCCAAGCTTCACGAGAAAGTCTCCAAGTTCAAATCTCGGTCCTTTAGATTCAATCTTTAAAAAATAAATTCAATTAAATTTAAATTTATAAATTAATTTTAATACACAAACCTTTATCATCTTCTTGGATGAATAAATAGGATTCACTTTCAGCATAAGAAGATCAAATATCAAGTCAGTTATCAATGGTATTTGCTTCTGACCATTATCTAGAATCGAAAACACCGATGCTGGATATTCTGAATTATGCATCACATGAATTTTTATTTTTTTGAAGGCTAAAATTATGAAAATATTATTAAAATTGTTATGAAAAACTAATCACTAATTTACAGTGCTCAAAGATATCTCCATCTACTAGAAATTGTCCAGCTTGTGTCGCACCAAGAGCTAATAATCTTTTAGAAAGTTCTTCAATTGCTTCAGCGCCGGATTTATTTTGAAGTGGATATGGCGTTAAACTGAAAGAAATAATTAATTCTTTTCAATATATTCATGTTATGCTTCTTTACTTACATCGTTACACCCATACTTAGGTTCTAGGAAAGCTTTAATTCTGTTTTAAAGTAATTTTAATTTCAAGTCAAATTGTTTGTTTTGATTTTAATTTCTAGCACTAACATTTGATCACAATATTGCTAGAAAGAAGCAAAACTTGTAAGAAAAATGAAGCAAAAAATGTTAAGCCGCATACACATAACCTGGCGCCTTTTACACATTTGTTGATTACTCTCATTTAATTTTATGTTTCTCGGAACAAACTGAGCTTTAGGTCAATTTTTATTTTAATTAAAAGTTAACAACAGAAAAGATGATAAAGGAAGAAGTTTCTGAACAAATCGTAGTTGAAATCGATTCCCAAAATTTACCAGAATATGAAGAAAACAAAAGTGAAATCAAGTTTGAAGAGAACGGAAAAAGATGTAAAAATCCTGAAAAATACACAGAAATTTATGAGAGCTATACTAAAAAGGAATATGAAAAGTGCATTGCAATAATTAATGATGTTTCAGAACACCATGTTGAATACGAAATTCTCAAAAGCGCTTGTTGGATTAATTTAGGGAAGAATTATCCGGAAGCTCATCGAATCTTAGATGAGCTTCTAGAAGAAGATTCGGAAAATGCATTCACTATTTATGCTAAAGGTTTAGCATACTTTCACGAAGAAATGTGGGAACAAAGCATTGAGTATTTCAGTAAAGCACGAAAACTTGATGAATCTGCTGATATGGATCGAGCTGAAGTAATGCTTGAAAAAGCACAAGCAAAACTTAACTTACTAGAGAGGGAAACAACTCCAGAAACGAAAGGATCTCAAGGGAGCTTGAAAAGAACAGAATCATTGATTAAATACAGACGTTCATTTGGAGGAACCAACAATTCTCGTCGATTTGGATGCGAAATTTGCAATCACTTTTTCGGTAAAAAGTTTAATCTGGATCGTCACAATCGTTCACTTCACAAGCGAGCAACTCCTTTGAATTTCCCTCGAAAGTCTACATCAACTGTATCAAAAATTAAACAAGAAATAAAACATGAAACAACAGAGACAGAAAATATCAAAGTTACCAACAAGTTGAAGTTCCGAAGCTTCAACAGGCCTGGAAAGTCTTCAGCAACTATGAAGAAAGGATGGGCCAAATGTAATGTCTGTAAGAAAGCTTACAAGAAGAGTAGTCTTGCTCGTCATCTTATCATTCACAGTGGGAAGAAACCGCATAAATGTGATCAATGTCCGATGGCTTTCTTCCAAAAATCAGATTTAAGTCGTCATGAAGTAAAGTTACGAAATTATTCAATTAAATCCATAACTAATTATTTTCTTTACACTTTTAGACAACACACAGCGATGAGATGAACTTCGAATGTGAATTATGCGATAAGAAATTCCGAATCAAGAAGAATTTACAAGTTCACAAGAAACGTCATCACCCTGAAAGTCTCTAAAATTTCAATTATAATTAATTTGTTTTTATTTCCATTTTAATTTTTTATTAACAAAACGAAAGAATTTGAATCAAAAAATGTCACAAGAAAAATAACATTTCAAATATTCCAATCAAATAAAGCCGAGAAAGAAACTTGAATCACGTGCTGTTAGTTTTACTTTCAACAACTTTTCATCATCGAGACGAAGGAATAAGAAAACATTTCTTCACTCTCATTCGAATCCAATTGATGATCGGAGAAAGAAAAACACTCGATTTCAGTGAAAGAAATCCATTGAGAATCAATACACAATGTTGATTCGTGCAAAAACAAAACAACAAAATAAAACGCAGAGACGTGCGTCGACGTCTTCTATAATTTCATTTCAATCAATGTTTAATTGTCACTTTTTATTCATTTTCACACTTTTTTAAAGATCAAATCAAGCTCCTAATAAATCAATTTATGTACAAAAATTTCTTTTGAATTCTTCAATTTTACAACCTCGCCGATGACGAGGTCTGAAAAAAAGCGAAAGATAAAATAATAATAATGATTGTTTTATATATGAGTGCGGCGGATTTCAAATGATTATTTTTCCACCGAAACATGCGGCGTATCGCGTATGTTTGGTTCGCACAACGCTTGATTGATGCGATTATCATGGAGCGATGTAGGTCAGACTTTTTTAGAAGATTCTTTTCGAGTACTTTCTCCGATTAAAACAACAAATATCGTTAAAAGCGTACGTACCTTTGTCTCAATCTTTTCTCTCCTTCACGCCTTCCTTACCAATCTCAGTACATTCGATACATGAACAGACGACAAGTGGTCAATGCTTGACGATGTTGGCAAGGCTGTTTGAAGATAAGAGAAAGAAATGATAAATTGTTGGCGACATAATTTCCAGTCACTCCCAACTTTCAAATAATAAATTTACACAATTTTGTTTACATACACTCGGTACAAGATATTTAAAACGAAAATGAAAAAAAAAATGTCGAACGTCAGAAGTCGAATGAAGTATTAAATAATAAATGAAACTCCTACAATTGTTTATGCTACCGCATGTTGAGAATCAGTTTTTATGTCTGCAGTTTGAATTGCCTTGTTATTCAGAAACTCTATACTGAACATATAAATATTGAAATCATTTTTGCGCACGGTTAGTCGTGAATAAATATTTGATATCAATTTTCAAAGGTGGCTATTGGCAATCGCAACTGAATTCCATCTTGTAAATCATCAAGTTTTAGCATTTTAAAATAATTAATGCTTCGAAAAAAATTCACCATTAGTCAGTGTCATTATTTAGAAATTGTTCAATAACTATTGTTGACCATTGCCATTATAAAGTGAAGACATGAGACTAAAAATTTCACATTTCTTCTTAATTTTGCTCCACATTTCACTCTTCTTCATGCTATTAAGTATTTCAATTATAAAATTTATCGTTGCTTTATCGGCTTTTGTGTCATTCAGACATCTACCAAAGAAAACAACTTAAAGACAAAAACAAAAAAAAAGGTTTGAAAGAAAAAGAAAAGCGAAAAGAGAGAAGAAGTTTGAGCCGGAAAAATTGGATTAAAGAGATCGATTGACTTGGAGATATCGAAATGTTTATTAGATATTTGAAGCAATTAACTGATGATTGCCTCTCCACGATTGTTGTTCTTCTTCTCTTCACGTGTGAACCTTTCATCTAATTTAAGATTCTTTTACTTCCTGTTCTTCTTTTTCCACCATTAGAAATATTTTTTTTCTTTCTCATCATCATCATCAGAGTAGGGAGTGCACGACTGTACACTAAAGCGATTAAGAATACAGGAATATAAATTCCAACTTGTTTCGCTCCCTTTGTCTCATCACCTGAATGATGAAGGTTCCACTTTCAGTAGCGTTCCACAGGATTGTATATTCCTGAATACTCTTCATTGTTCATATTTGACAAATTTATATTTTTATCAAATTTGATACAAAGAGACATTTCAGTTTATTATATCCTAGTGAAAAATTCCACTTTAAATGAAACAGGGGCGAAGTATCTAAACTTCTGAAAACCTCAGCCCAAGTGACCACCACCGAGAATGGAACCAGGATCGTACCGATTAGTGAATCGATACGAATTCTGATACAAATCCGATGGCACAGACACTTAGGCCAATGAAGCAAATTTGCCCCCCTTTTTTTCTTTCTTTTCTTCTTCTATTTATTATATAATTTCTTGTTGGATGACCTCATTGAGACAATTATTATAGATATCTGAGCATGGCAAGCCATAACAGAGGTTTAATGATCTATTTATAGAGCAACGAAAAGCAAGTTATTTTCCTATAACAGCACGAACTGTAAATCCATGATCTTCAATGGCTTCAGTATGAAATGTTTCTTCTGATATTTGTTTACTTACTTATCTACTTGAGTTTTTTAAGTATTTGAAGCACAACAAAAGTTGAAAGTTCAAAGCAAACCCGGAAGTTATAAGCAAGAAAGGAGAAAGAAAAATAAAATAATTCTCGATAGTCAAGCCAATAAACCATTTACTTATACTTATATATCTGCAAAAAGGTTCTTTTGTTTGCATCATTCATAATAAATACTTCGAAGTGAACGTTTATAGGTTCAAGGATAAGTTCAGATAATTGGGTCTGTTCTTAGTTGATTTTACAGCACCACAAGACGAACACACGATACTTAATCATTTTTATTTAAGTAAACTTCAATTCACGTAACGTGTTAACAAATATTTCCGAAACGTACAAACAATTTGATCGATACACGAGCAGCAACGTCACCAAGTCTAAAGAAAAATTCTTTCGAAACACGATAAGAGTTTTTGTTTTTACTTCGTTCTTTTTGGTACCAGAAAAGTAACCAGAAAGTAATAAACAACCTTCGAAAGGAAATAAATTGCAAGGTTTAGTGTCGTTTTGAACAAGTCTCGGCTTTGTTGACTGGGTAAGTTTCGCTTTATTATCTCAGTTGGTTTTTCTTCTCTCTCTTTCCCTGTTCGGCTCATGTATTTTAGTTTATGCCAGGTTGGAAGTCGTCATCACTGTATGCGAACGACTGAGACTATAACCCTTTTAATGTAATGTAAGTTTTGTCCTTTCCGTATATACTTCCAAGAAGATTACCCAACTTTATGACATCACGTAAAAGGTCGAAGATTTCATGAAAGAATTTCTCATAAAAAAACTTTTTGTAATGATTCACAATCAGAGTGTTGGCATCAGCAACACTTTGTCAATTAAAATATGCGTCTTTATATTTTATCGCTTTTCGTTTGTAATTAAATCTTTGTCTGACGAATATTTATTGTTGATGGCTCAATTAGAGCCAAGGCTTTCAACCACAATCTGATCTGAGGCGAGATCTTTGCCAAGTCATGATGATGAGACTTGTCACTTTGCCTCTAAAACATGATGAGCGAAAGTTTAATCGTTTGGGATCTCCCTGTAGCTGACAACAGCTGTTCAAATGTTCCATTTTTAGCCTTGTCGTCAGAGATAAACAATTTGCACATCACATCATTGCTATTAAGTTTCCTCGAACATGAAAACTAAACACTTTCGATTGAGAAAATTGATTGATTCCCTTCTTCAAAGTTGATTCAACTTCTTTTCCATTCACTTTCTAATCCCCCTTCGACTTAACAACAACACCAAACGAAATCAACCGAAAAAATGTTGTCCAACGACCGGATCAAAAGATGCAATTAAAAGATCTTAAGCAAATTTTGTTCAAACAAAAACACACGAGACATGAAATCGATCGTGAAATAAAGAAGACGAAGAAATTGTTTGGCCTGCTTAAGCTTCATTTTCTTTCAGTCTTTTTTTTTTGTTAATTTATTTTTTTCGAGAAAATTAACATTCCAACATAAAAGAAAGAAAAAGAAGAAAAAAAAATGAAAAGTTCGATGAGAAACATGAAACGCAAATCACTCAATCGTTTGGACAAAAAAAAATCGTCATGCAACAGGAAATTGCATTTAATTTCAAGCATCATCTGGTTTGCTTGTAAGTATTAAGAAAATGCCGATAAAGAGAACTTAAAAGTTCTTTGAAACTGCAAGTGCATCCATCTATTGTTAAACATATTTTCTAATCAAAAAAATGAAATTGCAAATGATTCCAGGAAATTTGCTTTATGCACGTGTCGGTTCTAATGTTCATCTCAACATAATAACAACAAAAAATATGTTAAAGGAAATTATGCTTTGAAATAATGAAAATATGAATTCCATTACATAAGCATAAGAAAATGAGAATTCACCATTCAATAACATTCCAGGTGCCAGGTGCATCTTTCATAAGCTTCTCCAATAATATTTCTGACTAAAAGAAGAAAGAAAGAAATTTTGTTGACCATTCTCGTAGGAAATTTCTATTTTTTATGTTGTTTCTTCTGTTTGTTTGCTCACTGCACCATTTAGATATCCACACAATAAAAAATAAAGAAGCAAACCGTTTTGGAGATGGATGGAACATTTCATGATCCATCATAAGTATTTAGGTAAAAAAAAATAATAAAATTATAATTTTCATTCTTCTCTTCACGTTCTGTTTGGCTTGCTTACATTTGGTTTGTGTTTTGTGTCTTTTCTCGCACGGCACAGCTTCATTGTTAAAAGATGTTTTCTCTAAACATCGCCAAAAAACATTTAATGAGATAAGCATTGAAGCCAAATGAATGCAATCAACAGTTTGCACCTCATTATTCTGACAACATGCTGTCACCTCTTGCATGTTAGGATTTTTGATTTTTGCGACTGTGCCACTGATTGATGATAAATGAGAGTCTTTACTGTCAATTTTGCGATGCATTGACAAAACGAAACCACACAGACTCGCTCATGGGAGCGGGAGAAGGGAAAGAAGAAAAAAGATTTAAGAAACAACTCTCGATTTTCTTCCATCGTCTGGTGCTTTCAGCTTTTAGCGTTGAAAAGCTGAGAAATCCGCTCATAATTTGCTTTGCAGTTTGTTTGGTCAAGCGGCAATTAATTTGTGATCTTTCAGGTAGAAGCAAACATGACTTAACCGCATCCCAAAATAATTTCCAAACTTCGACTGCTTACCATTTGTTGTTGTTTCGAGGTTTACAACTTTTTTTATTCCTTCTCAACAAAGCAAAACAAAAAAGGTTTTTTTTTACTCTCACAACTTTTCATCACACACCGAAACTCGATTCTCATTTTCATATTTTTTTTCCTGCCTCAGTCTTCGGCTGTTAATGGAAGTGACAATATCGTGCTCCGTTTCAAGCGATACGAGTGAAACTTTTAAGTCGCTAATTAATTAAACTCTTTTATTTTTTCTATCGCCAACGTAAATTTAATAATCATTTTTTTCTCAACGTCCGCGTCTTCAATAATTTTATTGATGAGAATAATGTAAGTGCAAAAAAAATTATGAAAAAAGCTTAAAATCTCTTGATGTGGTTTTTGTGGGAAAAAAAATTGTAATAAAATTTCCAGACTCAAATACCAACTCGAGATTAATTTGAAAGTAAATAAATAAACATCAAGTGTTGTAGCTTATTGGAAAAAAGCACTCGAGACTGACATTTACAACAAGGCAATCAATTTGTTATCACTTTCGGTGAAGTTTGAAGCTTAATGTTTGACATTTGGCCTTTTCTCTCACTCATGAAGAGAATTGAAACATTTAAATGCGTTTCTACTCGTGTGCAACGAAACTGACTGTTAATTAATTTATTACCACACAGTGCGCCAGCGCCATAGCATTTAATTGCACACCAACTTGACATTTAAAAGCCTCAAAACACAAAATATTAAAGAACACAACAAACTGTCCGGATGAAAAGAAATAAAATAAACTGGAAGTTTGTTATTTTTATTTTTTGTTTTTTGTCTGTTTGAGCAGTGAAATAGAAGCAATTAAAGCGCTTCTGATGTTTTAAGTGGAAAAAGAGAAGAAAAAAAAATAACAAATTCAAATAAGAGCTGTTCGTGTTCATGTTCCGATCCGTTGCCACTGCCGACCTATATTGAATTGATGACAGTTTCTTTGCTCTTTGTTGCTGTGCTTTTTTTAAAAAATAAATTCATTCACACGGTTAAAAAAGAGAGCAACGCAAATTTAATTAAGTGTTGGTGTTTATGTTATTATTTATATTAAAACATAATATTTTTTTTCGACAGCAACCACCAGCAATTGAATTCAAGAGACATTGAAAAGTGTTGAAAAAGAAAGAATATTTAAAACGATTATTAATTGATCGGCGAATATCAAGAAGAGAGAAGGAAAAAAAACACAAATTAATAATAAATACTGGCATCAACGGTGTCATGTGATAATTAGTGCTTATTCAATACGACAAAAAAAAAAGGAATTAAGTAAAAAACAGTTGATAAAAACATTGTGACGTTTTATGTGTTTATTAAAGAAACCAGCTAAGCTAACATTAAACGAAAATTATTCGTTAGAAATCGAAATAATTTGAGTAACTACGTGATCTTACGATGATCGAAACCTTCATAGGTAAGCAAAAACTAAAACAATAATAAGAACAAACCTTTCTTCTTTAAATGGGGTGTAACTTTAAGTCCAATGAACGTCGGGTTTTATTATGGGGTTCAGGTCATAAAAGATTATGTAAAAGGGATCATTAATACATTTAAATAAATATAATAACTTAAATATGTAATGTGAAACCTTCAAGCCTTTCATTGTTGAATCCTTGATGTTTTCGATACGAAACAACGTGAGAATATTAAACAAAGCACGGATTTGGACATTAATTTAAATCCGTGGGGGGATTAGATTCGATTGGAATGAATAATCAACGTTGATTTCTCATCATAATGAATTGTGAACATCCGTTTAAGCTTGACTTGCTTTACCCATGGCTTGAGTTGTGTTTTGCTTTACTGTTTTTTATGGATCATGAATTCATTGCTCTTTGATGTTCTTCCAACGGTAGTTAACGAAATTAAGATACTCTTCATGATTTCATAAATCACTTTGTGAAACAACATACAAAAAAATCTGCTTTAATTCTGAGAGAACCGCGGAACGATTTTTTTTTATTATATTTCTGAAATTTTCTAGCTTTTGTGTACGTCTTCGACTTATCTACAAGCCATCAAGCTGAGCTAGCATGAGACTCGTCTCGTTTTAAGGTGGTTTCATTTGAGGCGATCGAACAAGGTCGGAAATCGTGTTCAAGATTTAGTTCTTTTGTTGACAGTGAATTGATTGTCGACAATGTGAATTATTTTTCACATTTGGGTCATTTACGCAATTTTTGTTTCTTAAACGTAACGGAAGAACGCACGAGTTTCATTAAATCTCTTTTTAATATTTTTTTTTCATAACAGGGAATGATAGTTAATGACGCCGATATTGTTGGCAAAGAATGTTTTTTAATTTGGGAGAATGACGCGAAAAATTTGATCAATATCAAGTACATTGACGGTTTATTGGGCTAACAATTATGTCATTAATCAATTTTAATGTTTCATGGGAGTTGCCTGACAAATTTCCTTCTCCAGTTACGTTTGCGGATATTTTAGATTGATGAGAATTCATGAGATAAGAAAAATATTTAAAATGTCATTCGAATCGATAGTTTTAATGAACTTGGGGGCACGGGGATCTCGTTAGGATTATCCCGGAGAATTAAGAATGTCTCGGATTACGCGGGTGGACTGACATCTGAACAAATATCAGAAATTATTATCTACATCATTTAAGAACTTCACCCATGAGAAATCTTTTTTCTTTTTTCAATTTCTAATATAAAGAAAAACACTTAAAAAGCTTTAAGTATGACAAATCGTCCACTATCAGTTTATTTGTCCTTTGTTATGATATTTAAGTCAACATTATTTACGCAGTTCGATCTAAAATGTTTATTTTTAACATTGATTCTTACCGTAGCGCAAGTAAAAGCTGAAAAATTTCTTTTTGTATTCGCAAGCCATTCATAAACTGAAAATATAAAAAAAATATTTAAAAATAAATCAACGTTAAGAGGGACTTTTGAAGAGCAAGTTTTTATAATTCTGTTGGTGTGATGAATTTAATTGTATTCACTGAATGTTTTGGTTTTCCGTACTTTACATCTTTTCTTTAAAATATTTTACTTCGTAAACAGAAACAATTGAAAGAAATTCACGCTGATCGCGGGTAGAGATTAATGGAGAGCACGTTTCAAGTTTTTATTTTTATTTTTGCGGTGCGGTAAATAATTTAGCATTCTTTCCAGAGATTTGAATTTAAATTTGACTGACACTGTCTAAATATTTTTTTTTTAATTCTAAATCAATTCAATACGAGAGAATAAAATTCCACTTGCCTTGAAATTACATTGCAATGGAATTCCATTCAGCTCTTTTTAACTTCGTAGAACTGTTACAATTAAGCACATTTTGCGCAATTAATTGCTTTATATTTTTCATTAAAAACTGCACAAACTCGCATTTTTTGGCGGTGAACAGTGACGATGGATGAGGTCACAAGACTAAAGAAATGCTGTCGTAGCAAGAATACGAAAATTATAAACAGAGATACAAAATTTAAGATCGGATTTCCTTTAGAAAATTTAAAACATCTTAACAACCATTAAGATACATTTTTTGAGAGTATTCGAAAATATCTCGCACCATCTGGCAAAGTTTTCTTCCCTCGCACTTCCTTTACAAATAAATTTCGCAAAATACGATCTTATTTTTCGCTCATTATTACATTTCTTTCCTCGATTATCTTTGAAGATCTTTAAACTTTCATTAATTTCTTTTTCTCAACCACTAATTATTTCACCATTTATCTTCATTTTCACAGCGTCGGGTTAAGATAAAGTATTTCAATTTAATTCTCATTCTAATGTGCGGAATAAAAATAGCAGCAATAAATTAATTTATTTCAACTCAAACAATTTAACGGATTCATGAACGTAAGAGTTTAATGATCCAACATTATTAAGGATGCTGATTCATGTAATGTCAGCCGCATTCATTCGTCTACTGCCACATTAAATATTCGTCACAGACAAACCAGAATTTCTCTCTTATGACATCGCAGGTTGGCGCTTGTAAATAAACGCCACATTATGTGATCAGATCTCAATATTCACCGTACCCGGAATTCACTCAACTGAGATAAGTAAGAGATACACATAAACCGACTTCAATTCATCCAATCCAATAACAATTTGCGGTGTTGCGAAATCTTAAAAAAAAATTCCCAACAATCTAACTGATGATAATTGAATTTGATTGAAGTTGATTTACATAAAGTTGAACTATGCAATGAGAAGTTTTTATTTATTCTTCTTTTATGACGTGACTTTCACACCCACCCCAACTCAAATTAAGTTCATTTATTGTCATTGGTAGAAGACAATCACCGTCATTATGTCGTGATTGTAATTGCCATTTCGATTTATAGAGAACATTTGAATAAGAGAAGGAAAATCTGTAATTGCAAAAAGATGATGTGGCAATCATCATGCTGGCATCAGTTAGTCGTCTTTAACTTTAGAGATATAAATCATTTGCCATTCAATCTCTAATTCATCATCGTCGTGACAAGCTTCACGTTATGTCTCATGAGCAATAAAACTAGGCTAATTCAATTCAAACGAATGAAAAAAAAATAGAAATAAGAAATTGCAGTCGATGAAAGAAAGGTAAATAAATAAAAAGCACGCATTTTGTACCAAGAATTTATATCAAAACAACACTTGTATGCATCGATCGAGACGCGTCTGGGAAATGTGAAACGTTCTTCGTCTCTGCCTTTGGCGCTTCACGGCGAAATTCACTTTCAATCGCGAAGTCAATGTCATCTTAAAGAGATCTTACGAGTCGTAATGACGTGTGTGCTGGTTCTCGAACGCTCACACCACTTAATTATTCATAAATAAAAAACACTGTGATATTTTCAAACTGGTGCGAGACTGTTTTCACTTGAATTTACTGCATTAATCACGTAGATATAGACAACATTTACTTTGCGTAAATTAAAAATCATAATAATAATTTTGTTTAAAAATCTGTCTGGTGTTAGAATGAACAGCATTTTAAAATGACTACAAAACATTAAATATGTGAATCATTTGTTTTATCAAAGAACAGTTCTTCTTTCATTGAATTTAGAACAAAATGAAAATGAGCGCGTGGTGTGCTTGTTAATTGATCTAATGCATAACGGTTGAATATTCAAATACTGTACTAGATTACGGGATATTTTCTAGGTCAATTTGATCTACTAAGTTCAAAAGTTGAATGTTATTGAACTGATCCTCATTCATAATCAAAACAAACAAGTCGTAAATATTGTCATATAACTTTAAAAAACGTGTGCATACACTTCAGATTTAGACAGTGTTATGGTTTTGTTTCATACGCAAATTTCTGCTATTGCGAAATTGGTTTTTTTTTCTACACTCAGTCATAGAGTGTAATCCGGTCCGGGGGAAACACGTTGGTTAATATTTTGTTTTATATGGGGGCTTTATGAAGGTTTCTGTTTCCACTCTTATGATGTTTACCCATTTCTTCATCCGAGCTCGCACAAAAAAGAAAGTGACCGAAGACGTTTGGCCATCGCTTTACATAAAATTTACATTTTTTTACTTTGATTTCGCTTTCGAGCATTTCAGTCAATGCCTTACATATTTCTTTCATTATTTCTTTTTTTTTTGCAGATCATTCGTCAATATTTCCCAACACAACTGACATGTAATAGTTAATGAGGCATTTATTTATCCAGAATTGCTACTTTTTTGTCCTTGAAACTCATTTCGAAGCAGTCGTCATTTCAAATCGAAAGCAAAAGCAACAGCAACAAACAAAACAAGGAAATTGAAAAGTTCATGCGTTAATGATGCTTTTACGGAACGTTTTTAAATCATCATGAGTTGGAGAATAGTGCAACTGACATTTGCGATCTGCTGGATTATGCTGATATCATTTACGGAAGCATATCCAGTGGAGTCAAAGCCATTGAACAATAATCCAGAAACATGGAACTTCGGTGATGGCTGGCTAGTATTTAATTCAAAAAACCCATTGGACCCATCGGCTGAAGCATTAATTTCATCAGATCCACACATAAAGAAGTCAAAAATCACTCCAAAATCAATCTTCATTGCACCAAACGCTTTCAACGGTCAGGGACAAATGTGTCCGCACGGTTTTCGCGTCGACGATAATGGAAAGTGCATTAAGACTGTCACGATCAATCAAGATGAAGTGCTTGCAGCTCGTATAACTGAGTTGTTTGGCGTCGATACAAATCCAAATCAAAACTCAGACATCGATTCCGATTATTACGACTTTGATGATGAAAGTAAAAGTGACAAAGATTCTGGCCCACTTCAGATTAATTTACCTTTAGCAATCGATATTGAAGAAGATATTGACGGTAAAAAAGTTGAATATTTCATCGAAGAAAAGGTGATCGACATGAGGAACTTAAATCCAAACAGTGTCGTGATGACAACAGAGAAAATTGATGAAACAACATCAACATTATCTCCTGTAATTGATGTCACGGATTTCGTGACAACTGAAGAGATGATTACAAGCTCAACATCAAAACCAATGACGGAAATATCAGATGAAACAACGATACCTTTTGATGCTTCCTTCACAACATTTTCAACACAGAAAATTGATGAAGACGAAGTAATTAGCACTACAATGACGTCAACTGAAACAATTACTACAGAAGAGTTGACAACATCGACAGAAGAACCAACAACGACAACATCAACAACAACCACCACCCAAGAACCATCAACAACGACAATGAAGAAAGTGAAAATCTTCTCGGTTGATTTCCTTCCAAAGTCACAGAGAAAAGCGAATCGCCTTGGGCAAATAAATGCGCGTTTAAAGAATTCTCGTGATCGTGATCGCGATCGAGCAAGGAAGCAGAAACCAACAGCAATTAGCACCAAAACAAATGAAAACTCAACGACAAAATTGTATAAAGTTGAACGTCAACCATCATCGTTGAGAAAGAATCGAACGAGAAGTGGTGGATTAAAACGAAAATCAACAACGACAACGACAACTTCTACGGAAGCACCAGTGACTGCATCAACAGAGAAATCCTTCTGGTGGTTGCCAAAAGGATGGTCGATTGATGAAACAAAAGAGAAACCAGTTCTTGTTAGATTCTGGTCACAACAACCATTATCGCAAGATGACAGAGCGAGAAGTCACAACGCACGTCAACGTGTTAATTCACGAATGCCAACTGATAATATTTTTCGGGAAATAACAGCACCGGAACTTGAATCGGTCTTGAAAAAGAAGTAATTTCCTAGACAATGATTAAAAGAAAGAAAAAGAAACACAAAACTCATAGACGATAAGAAAACTTTTTTGACTTGCTTTAATTTGTGTGTTTTATGCTCAAAAATTTTATGTGTAGAACTTTTAATAATGTCGTGAAGGAGAAGTGAACAGTCAAAGCCCTTTAACACGTACAAGAGCTCATACTTTCAATCCACCGGTTTTCGTTATCATGGGATTTGACTGTAGATAAATGTTTGATGTTATTCGAATGTAATGGATAAATAGATGATGTGTCCATTTATTAGACTTTATCTGAGTGAGATGAAAAGATTAGAATGTAAAGAAAATAAAAACTTAAATATTTAATGATAAGTTGTACTAACAAAAGCATAAACAGATAAGAAATGAATGTAAGTTTCATTTAATTAATTGATTTTGTTTGTTTGCTTTTCTGTGCCAAATTATATGTCAATTTAGATTTGTAGAAAAAGAAATGTAAGAAATATTAATGTTTCATTACAATTTGTAGATGTTCTCAAGTAAGAAAGCTTTCATTTTATTCTTTAATTCATTTAACTAAGTTAGAACTTAACTCGTGTAATTTATTAGTTCATTTAATTGTGTAAAAAGAAAAAAGTTAAGCAAATATGATTTTTCTTCCCTCCCTTCAAATACCTCCCACTCAACTCCCTGATTTTTTATTCATTATTCGATGAAGAAAATTCTGATTATTACAAATTAAAATTGTACAATATCATTGATTAATAAAACGAGAAAAAAATGTTTGATTTAACCAAAAGGGCAATGAAATTATTCAAGAATTCCTTTACAGATTAAAATTTAAATTGTTGCGAATGAAAAAAAAAATTTAATGACAACAATCAAGAAATTATTACGGTTGAGGGAATATTTGTGAATGTTGATGGAAGGCATCGTCATGCTTGTGATGACAATGGAATGGAGCGAGAACGACGTGTTAAAAAGAGAAATAAAAAGTTAAAAATACTTTCATTGAACTCATGACATGAGTCACACAAAAATGTTTTTAAATGACATAACATTTCGACGATCAATAATCGTCAACCTGCATTGCCTACCTGAGCTGTTAAAATCGTCTGGAATTAATGAAGTTCATGATGTCATGAGAGAGAAGAAGAAAGAAAACTTTCAGAAAGCTTTATTTGAAATTGATTTTGCCGTTTATTGTTGAAGTCTTTCTCTCTCCCTTTTAATCATCATTTCATTAAACTTTTACAAGCAATTTAATTCATAAATTTACAAGAATGTACAATGATGATAGCTCTAAAAACAAGCAAAAATATTCTTGACCACTTACAACATTGAAATCGTGAAAAGTTTCATTGAAATCGATTAAAAAGTCACAACTTTAATAACTTATGTATGAAAGAATTGAAACCAAGGAAGAAAGATGACACTACAGTGAAATTGATAACAAATTGATGAAAGGTAAACTGTTAGCATTTAAGAAATTCTTTTTGAAAGAACTGAATGAAGAAATTTATGAAAAAGAAACTTCTTATCTTCCATCAAACATTGAACTGAAAGTTATGACGACCAACATGAAGAGACGAAGCAGTCGACAAAACGAAGAGATTATCGTAAAGTCATCCAACGATGATGTGAAAATTTTGCCTCAAGTATTGATGACATACAACGATAAGTTCATTAACTTCGCCAGTGACGGTGATTACGATAATAAGTCAAAGTCAGACGATCTTCTTTGGTGTCAACAAAATAAATAGCTTGTCATAATTATACATTTTTCATAATTAGATATTCTTGTTAGACTTGAGAGAATTAATAACACATGCAATGTTTGCATCCTTTTATAGTATTGCATAATTTTGTAATTATCATCTGCAATATCAAATTAATAAGCCAACCGATGTTATTATCTAACAAAATAATTAGTTAATTAAATATAGCCGAAAGCTTTTTGGAAATCAAAATCTATCAACATTTTCTCTTTGTAATTTTCAATTTGTCATGGAAATCAAAAGAAGTTTTTAATTGGAATTGGTGGAGTTCACTAATAAATTAAATTGGAATGAACGCAAAAGATACAAATTGAGTTTGATGAAAATTATTGATTCAGTTTTGAAAATTGTTCGCTACCTAGTAACAATTCATTGAAGAAATTAATTATTTTAATGTGTTTTGTGTTGCAGAAGAGTCAAAGAAATTTTGCTTACGGTGACAAGAAAAATTTCTGTAACAGAGGAATTTAAATCAAAGAACAATAAAGCAGAATCTTTCAGTGACAACGTCAGCAAATTTGCGGAAGAAAGAAACAATAAGTCTAAGAATTAAATGTTGTCACTGAATTAAAACAATTCAGTAAAGAAAAGATTCCGATGACGATGCACGAATGCAGGAAATTGTTGTGAAATAAATTATTAAATTCTTAATATCAATTGCTGAAGTTAATGCATGTAATCCACAGTTAACTTTATTGTTTAAATTGCAAAAATTATCAGTTTGTTGGGTTTTAAACATTATCGCATGGCCCACCATTATCATAGAGGAAGTTAATTTAATTCTTTCACTTTATGAGTCGCTTATCAATATTCAGCTTGACAGCTTTATACATCATTTTACACTTCAAGAATTAAGAATTTTGGCACTTTGTATTTTATAATATGTAAGGAAACATTTCAACTGTTTGTAAAAGCAATAAATAATTTCCAATCGGAAGCAAACATTAAGTTTCTTCATTTTAATAATAGAAAAAGAAAACATTAATCCAGAATTTAAATTAATTTGTTTAAGTTTCCATCAAGTTTTGATTCCATTTAAAAAATTGTATGATAGAAAATCATAATTCATTTCTTCAACTTTAATTCAAAAATGTTTTCATGACGATTAAACTGAGAGAAATTTAATTTTATCTGAACAATCAAAACTGAGTTGATTTTCCTTTTTCCAGTATTTTACGAAAATATTTAAAAGATTGTTTGCAGTGCCATCTTTATTCATTTTTAGAACACTGTTAACTATTAATTCACGATAACGTACGTTCTACACTGTAAATATCTTCGATTTGTGAAAACAACAACATTAAGTAAAAGTTTCGATTATCTTTTTTGACATCACTTAAAATGCATAACTCAGAACCCCAAATTACCATCAGTAAGGCAACTATAAGTACCAAAGATGAGGAACGTGAAAACGTAAACGAATGGGTTCGATTTGGATTAAGATTGGGAGTTCAAAGTTTGCTTCATCCACTCGAATATGCAAAAGTTTTAATTCAGGTAAGAGAAAAACTGTAAAAGTTGAATATTAAATGTTTTCTAAATCATACATTGACTGCCTATTATTAGATCTATAGATGCCCTTAATAAGTATTTTATCAAAGTTTTTTTAGTCAATTTATAATGTTTGTAAAATGATGAACTTTGATCTTGCAAGATAGATTTTTATTAAATTTTAATTAATCATTACATTAAAGATTGGCCATGAGCCGATTCCACCACGTCAAACAAGGACAATTTTTGGAAAACCTGCGCTGATACTGCCAAATATTTGTCAATATGGTAAATGTTTGAAAAATGAGTGAAATTAAAATAAAAATTAATTCTTTGATTCTTTCAGTTTCCCATATAAAAACTGTTGATGGATTTTATGGATGTTTTCGAGGCTTGTCACCAAAGCTTGTTGGAAATATGCTTTCTACACATTTTAGTGAGCGAATTGCAGATAAATTGGGAATGGCAAAAATTGACGACGAGGAGAAAGACGAAATGTCCGATGAGGAATATTCTGAGCGTTTTGAGAAGCAATTGAAGCGAAGTGTTGTTGTTCATGCTGCTGGTGCTATTATCAGTTCACCATTTCATGTTATTTCTATTCGAATGATGGCGCAATTCGTCGGAAAGGAAACAAAATATAATTCAATTATTGGTTCGATAATTCAAATTTATAAAGATGAAGGAATTCTTGGATACTTTTCTGGCGTTATTCCTCGTTTAATTTTCGATGTGACTTGCGTCATTGCTGCTAGCACTGCCACATATTTAGTAGGACGTTATCTTATTAGTGAACGTGAAGGTCGGTCGTATTTTGGAAGTGTTTCCGCGGTAATATAATATTAAATTTTGTTGAATGTTAGATCATGAAGGCATTTAAAATTTTCCTTCTATTTCAGTTTGTTACAAGCAGCATCTTTTATCCACTTAATGTTGTTTCAACATGTATGATTGTCAACAATTGTGGGTGAGTACAGTGGCAAAAGTTTAGTTTAAACAAAAACTTTAATAATATTTAAATCTTCAGATTAAAAGCTGGATCACCGCCGTTCATGCCGACTTACAGTGATTGGAGAAATTGTTATGATTGTTTGCGTCTAACGGGTGATCATAAGAGGGGAAGTAGCATCTTCTTTAGATATGTCCGACAAAATAAGACTACCATGAAACGAATAAACTTTTAAATTTAATATCTAATCTTAAATCATACAATGAATATAAAATTAATTGTTAAAAGTTTGTTTTCAATGTAAATTCCAAAGTTTCTTCTTAATAAATTTTAATCTAATTAATTTCAAAACATCAAAATCGTGTTAAGCGAGAATTTCAATTTACTCTCATGAAGAAAAGATTCGTATAGTAGATTCCAATTGTATAAAAGAATAATCTTAATATTTTTTCAGCTTATATTTCCCACCAATAGATGTCGCGTTTTACATTCATTGAACAGCTGTTAAGCATTTCATGAAGTTTCGACATTTCAGACTTCGAAATTTTTTGTAATGTTTTTCTCTTATCGGGCAGCGTAATCCATCAGTGTAATCCAAAAACAGGAGAGGAATCAATATGATCCAAAACATAGGAGAGTTTTCACGCACACTATCAAACTTCGAACGCAGCCGTCTCGCTCTCAAATTTTTCTGCTCTTTCTTGATTTTGTTCATTCTCGTTTCAGACTTAGACGAAACCAACACGTCAGAAAATTTCGCGCGAAAAACCGTGTGTTATCTGGTGAATTTAGTGAATTATCAAGTGATTTTAAATCAAAACATTGCACTTAAAAGAAGTTTAACTTTCTATATCATCATAATTGTGTATTGACAACGCTTAAAGCATTCAATTTAAAAAAAATTGTGAAATTCTCGCGGGAAAAATGTCAACAATTCTATTGTGTAAAAGTGAAAATAATATGAACATCAACAACAATATTTTTCAAGCCTCATCAAATCATCTGAAAGAAATCGAACCTGAAACAATAAGGTGAGTTAAGCGATTGAATATGTTTCGTTGATAACGCGTGTGTGCACGAGGGAAAAAGCGAACAACCATTATTGCGTTTCAGAATATTTCTTCTTTGCGAGTTCTATGGAGTGAATGCGATAGTGGATTTTTTTTGCCACATTTCCATTGTCAAACGTGGATTGTTTTGCCGGCTTTGCGGGGACATTTATATTTTATGCTTTGTAGCGTCGCTAGTGGAATGAAAAGTCTTCATGTCATTTCGCTAATTAATTTATTATGAATGCGTGAGCAGGAGACATAAATTATTGACGCTTTCCTCTCATTGTGTTTGTGTTCCTAAAAAAGTCCTGTTCATGTGTAAAGAAAATAAAAATTATATAACGTCGTAGAAGCAGACACACAAAAAAACGTGGCATTCAGCTGTTCCAAGTTTGCCGCCATTTCTAAAATCATCTGATTGCCCAACCTTCAAAAATAAAAGAAAGAAAAGCGCGATACGAGTGAGTACTCACTTGATGTTGATGTTTCATCTACGCAGCGTAATCAATTTTTATGAGTGACTCTTTCAACAATCAGCTTCGTTATGCTGGGCTGTTCGCTTATCACGTCACAATATTTTTTATGTTATTTTACAGTCGAGTTTCTGCATAGTTAACGACTTGGTTAGAGAAATATTCAAAAGCACTTTGCTATATTGCAAACATCTGTTCGTTTACCTTCTTAGAAGAAGTTTTATTGAAAAGAATGAAAACTCTTTTTTCCTTTTCTTTTTATTTTTACAACGAGAAGAAACTTAAAAATAATTGTAATAATTTTTCTCCCTTAACCAGCCCATAATGAATTTCAAATTTTGTCACACACTTTTTCATTTATTATTACTCGCAATAATTTCATTGGAAAACATTCATTAGTTATCGTTATTTGTGCTTAAGGTTTCATCGATAAGAGGGTCGGAATTGAGTTATAATTTTGTTTCATGAAACTGGTAGCTCATCAAATTCTAAGTAAACATTTCGCTTCTATGACCACGTTTTTATAGTCACGATAAAATATTATTTTTAGCTTTCGTTTTAAAGGCGCTTCTTGATAAGAGTGAATAGAGTCAGTCAGCATGCGTGATGAGATAACGAAATCTTTTTATTTCTTTAGTTTTGAGTCTGTTAGTAGTTTCATCAAAAGCAAATTGCTTGAATGTCGATCTAATGAAATCGTAATTGAGAAAATGATGAAATTCTAATCAGCTGATTTTCCATTCTTGCAAATGTAGTCTCTTACAATTTCTTTCTGCTGTTCAAGGGACGCCGTTTTCATAGATTGTGAATGTGTTAGTGTACACGACGAGCGTCTCTTGCCCTTTTTATATAATGCAGCATAAAATCCCGAAAAAAAAGTAAGAAGAAAAGAAAGAAAATATGTACAACATGCACAAGCACACAGTCTTATGCTGCTTTCTCGTTTTTCTCCATTAAAGTACAATATGTACGCCTTGTCTCGACGGGTTCGTATATACGACGTAAACTAACACAACGACAACCACCGGTTCATGCTTCTTTCTTCTTTCTATAGGAGACACATCACATGGCATTGAAAGTACAGTTGTGTTAAAAGGCACAATCAAGCATTTTTTGGAGCGAAAATTCGTTTTACATTTTTGGACAACTTCTCTGTTTCATTCTTTTAACTTAGTGAAGAATTCTCCTACTATCTTATAGCATTTAGGATAGATTAATTTCCAATATGAATCTCCTTCTTCATTTGTATTCCTTTTCTTATATCGCTTTTCCACAATAAGCACCAAAAAAAGTGTTTTTGGATTTCAACTAATGAAAATTAATGATCGTTTATTTAAATGGACTCTGATTAAGACAATGAGAAACCTGATGACATGAATGGAAATGGAGTGAGAAAAAGAGATTATGCGGTGAATTTTATCTTCTCTTCACTTCTTCTTTGGACATAATTTTTAATTTTTTTTCGGTTGAAGTGTTTGAGGTCAATGATCAAGTTAACAAATTTTTTCTGTGCGTCTTAATTGACTAGTTAAAGTGCCCCACAAGAACGATGAGATTTATGAAACGCTTTGAATAGTTGAAAGAAGAAAGAAGAATTCTTTTTAACATCATCTCCAGACTTGACTTGACGCGGCGGTGGAAAAAATTTCTTTCCCATTGAATGCCTTGTCTGTCTAATAATAGTTTCTTCGAGATTCCCTTATTCTCAATTTTTTATTCCATAAGAAGTTATTGTTTTCCTAAGCGCTTCTCCTCCTTCTCTTCGTCTTCACGTTCGTTTCATAATCTTTTAGGAAATAGTAAAATGTGGAAGTTTCATTATTTTCGGACGAAAAGAGCTGGGAAACTATTTTATGAGTTTTCTGGCTATAAATTAATGAATATTCAATCGCAGTATATTGTTTTCCTTCGTTGGCTTTCTTAAACATTCTAGAAGAAATCTGCTTTTAGAGAACAATGATGGAAATCTCTTGCAGCGAGTTTTGTTGTTTTTTTTTCTTCCATCACATCTCAAAGCCGCTAAATTTAAAATTCTCGTTAAGAAACAAGAAAAGAAACAATAACAAAGAAGCATCATTTACTTTATCTCTCTCCTTTGCTGACGAGAATAATTCATTAAGCAAGCAGACATTTCCATGCAATGGTAAAAATAAAAGCAAAGAAAAAGAAATGTTGTGAAGCCAAAAACGAAACAGGTGCATGCTCTATAATGATGATGGCCACATATAAAAGCAGTCGTAATTATGCTTTCATACTTTTCCTCCCATTTTCCACATTTCCTCTTAAATCTAAAAACGAAACAGCAACAAATTTTTTATTATTATAATATTTTACTAGAGTTTGTTGTTCAGGATTTTAAAGCAGAGGAAAAGTTCTCAAATGTTGCAACATATGGTGATGCGTTGGCTGACGCTCACGGCTGTTCCGTGCGTTGAACAAAAGCTTAGTTTGCATAATTTGCTGCTTTTTTTATTCATCCGAAAAAACCGCTAACAGCATACATTCCGATCAGTTCTCCTCCTTTCACTTCACCCAAAAAAGAAGCTTAAAACAGAGAAGAAATGTCATGACTTTTTTAAATCTGCTTCTTTCATCGATCCCATCGTGCGGCGATCCACTGAAAGTCATTTAAAAATGTGAGTTGCTGTATTTGCAATGGTCTCAACGAATCGTAAAAGCGTCGCACAAATAAAGAACGAACATTCACATTTGCGTGTGTGGCGAGCAGAATTGAAAGCAATAAGAAATTGAATTAAAGAAAGAAGGGAAGGATAAGAAGAAGTTATTTTATTATTATTTTTTTGCCAAGGCAGCAAAAACCAATATTTCAAGAACACACATACGAAGTCAATGAGAAAGAGTTTCGCGATGTTGAAAACAGAGTAAGAGTGAGAGGGAGAGAGAAGAAACGCAACGAAACGAGCAAAGAAAAGATCAAGAAAAAAAATTCGCAAAGCAGCTAAAATTCCTCCGCAATGTGGCTTGTATGATGTCTAAAAATAAAACAGTCGAGCAAATCGCAAAATGTAATGAAAGAGCAACAGAAGAAGAGGAATTGATGGAAGAAGAAAGAAAAAAAAAGAAACTTTTAATGAATAAATGTTGAATGTGTGGTTGATTCTAAGTCTTGGGGTGTTGTGCGGAAACATCTTTCCTTCCCATGTTGCGAAATGAGAATGTTTTCAAATTTCTTATTGCTTATGCTCTACATGAATCAAGCATCTATTTTCGATACTTGCACCTTGAGCATATTCAAAGCAAACTGTATTTGAGTTAGAGAATATCAAATGAAAGTTGCGCATTTTGTACATGATGGTTAATCAAAACTTTCGTATGTATCTTCAAATCATTTGTTTGTAATTCATGTACAGAAATTTCATGTGTTCTGATATCGGAAAACAACATTCATCTTCAACAATTTAAAGCTTTGCTTGATAGAAAAAAAGTTTATGAAACCCAAAAAAATTGTGAAGATTAAAGCTTCAAATTTTGAATGATTTGTATAGAAATAGGCAAAGTAGAAGTGAAAGAAAAAATCAACTTCAAACTCTATAAGACGCAATAACAAAAACTTCCCGTTCTTTTAAGTTTCTAATTTAATTTCTGATACAATAAACATTCAAAATGCTTCCGAAACTGCAACGTTTGCTGGATGTAATTCAAGACATAACAAAAAAGAAACTGAAGCGTCTTCGAGTGAGTGTTAGTTGTATATCAATAGAGAGCATTTGTTCTTCAATGTTCCTTCAACTGTGTCTGTGCATCTTTTCGTGGCGTTGGGTTATGTAACCTTCAAAAAAATGGTTTCTTTTTATTCTTCCCATCGTTCTCTTATTCCATATTTTCATTGTCTTTGTTCTCAGCTTTCTCAAACATCGTCGAGTGGCATTAAAAAATTTGTAAGATATAAGGAAGAGTTCTCGATCTTGTTTCTTTTCTTTCATCCTGATTCCTGTTTTCTCTTCTCGCACAATTCGTCAGGGTTCGTTTAATTCTTATTGGATTCAGTGATGAGAACACGTGGTCGTAAAAGAAGTCCCAAGATTTGACCTTTTTCAATCCTCTCTCTTCTCGTTGCATCATATTTATGGCGCGCATATTATTTTTTTTATTCGTTCGAAGAATATTTTTACGAGCTTGCTTCTTTCGGCCATTCTGTTGAGCGTCATTTCTCGTTTTATGTCATGTGATATTCGCGCTTGGCTTCGCTTTTTTTATTTTATTTTCTTGTACGTTTCTTTCTTGCTGATGATGCAGCATCATTTGTGTTATTTGGACATTAAATTTCTCTTCCATCTTAAACTTTAAAAACTTTTTCGATTCTTATTAGTTTTTGTTTTCAAGGAGAATTGCCTACTAATGATCCCATAACAATTCAACGTACATTCACATGAAGCCTTAATAGTGAAACAGTTGCACCTTGCAAGCTTCAAACAAAAACTGTTTTCATAGAAGAACTCTCTCTCTATCTCCCTTTCTTTCCCTCGAAAACTCATTAACCCGTTTGAACCGGAAATAATTGCACGATTCGTAATAGTATTCGTTCTGGAACTTTGGACAATAGCTTTTTTCACTATTGCACTTGATCTCTGACAATCAATGGCGATGCTAGATTTTATTTTTCTTTATACGTTTAATCTTTTTTTTTTGCGCAACGTTAATTGATTGACTTCAACGTGTCACAATACGTAAGATGTTTATTCAACATAATAAGTAAACTAAAGAAGAAAAAAAAAGAATCGACGATTAGTTAATTGAAACCTAATAACAAGCAAAGTTCTCTACCAAGGCGATTGCAACGTTTACTTCAAAGCGTCTCATTTTGTTTCTTTGAAACGCTAAAAATAATCGCTATGGCGCCAAGTTTTGTTATTGCCGGTCAGAATGACTGTAATAATTAGATTTTAATTCAACGATATTTCGTGTTTTCAATTTCAGCTGACTATCAACTGATCGTTTTCGTATGATTAATTTGTTGCGAGAAGTGAAGGTGATGATGATAACGCGCAATAATCGTATACCTTAATTTATAGAAAATATTCATTCACTTGAGTGTCGATTGCTGTTTGGGTGTCGAGTTTTATATTTGTGCAGTAATATTCTTCAAAATCAATTGCGTGGGATGAACAAAAAAAAAAGTAAAATATTTTGAAAGTTTATTTTCGCCAAATTTGTAACATGTCATTAATAAACATGATATACAATCCAAATTATTTATTTAAATCATAACCTGTTACTACCAAGGACTTCTAATACGAAAGCATTGTTAAAAGTCTTTCACAATTTATTCACTGATTTGCGATTAAAAGCCAATCAATGCTTTAAAGTCGATCAAACGTTCGGAGACATGAGAAATAAAAATGAGACGACAACGACATGAATGTACATAACTTTATATTAACACCCCCTCTCCTTGACAATAAAATCTCGCGCGCGTGAAATGTTACAAAAGCAACAAGCGAAGCGTCCTAAAAGAAGGAAAGAAATCATAAAAGATTGCAAAAGAAAAGGAAAACCTACGACTTGCCGTCGTTGCCACTTAAAATTGGTATTAAAGAATAAGAAATCCAAATCTTCTTGTCGTATATTTATGGCGCGACAATGGAATTGAGAGTTGCGTTGTGAAATGCTTTTTCGTGATATGTGATTTGGTTTAATTGTGTAGCATGATAAATGAACAATAAACTGATACTGTGAGCTGTAAAATCATGTCTTGCACCCAATAAAGCTTTAGATAATTTTTAATCATGTGAAACATGAGAGAACAAATTATATTATTTCGGTTTATCGCATGTAAGTCCTACGCATCATTAACAATCCACCACTGGGTTATCCATAAAAGCAGATGAGAATAAACGGCAGAGAATTGCTTTAATGAGCGAGACTCCAATCGTCATCACATCACACATGGTTTGGACACGAGATATTCTCTCGTGTGACTCATAAAACAATTTCAAGTGGTTGTGACTTTTTTTCTGTTTCTTGTTTGGAATTCAATTTAAAAACACATTAAAGTGAATCAGAGAACAAGTGAAAATGCAAGTCAAAAATAAATCAATGTTCCTTCCATTTAAAAAAAGAAATTTCCTCAGAGACACGATGTCGATAAATATAAGTAAGTCACTGTGGTGGTTCTCCGTTTTAATTGCCATTAATTTTCTCCCACAACTTTATTTTTATTCATAAAAAAAATGGACAAGCATGGTGTGATGTGTGGTGCTTTCGTTCGTTCCCCGCAGTCTCATCTCGACTTTTACACTGCCAACGTTTACATCCAAAGATGAGATTAAGAACTTTGGTGTCCACCAACACAGTTGAAAATGTAGATTGGTCAGATCGTCTGAAGTCGCTTCGTCCATGTTGAGTTTATTTATTTTTATTTGAAAGCCGTTCGTGAAAATTTCCCAGCAACTTTTATATATTTTTTTGTTGTTTTCTTAGTATCCAAAGCGATTTGTGTGTGACACATTGCGATTTCTTTTCGCGAGAATCGGTTTACAGTCGCCAGCCACCGATACGTTTTGTGCCTTTGGACACATGCCAGGCGCCATAAAATTCTTTTTTATTTCACTTCTATTTTAAAAATAATTTAAATGCGAGAGACGATCGCGAGGATGAATTCGCTTGATCGAAAGTCAACATGTGAGAGCGGATTAGAAGAATCAACCAAGGGTAATGAAGCTAAGAAATGAGTTCTTTTCGGTCACCGATTTGTTCAGCTTTGCTTTCAAATAAATTAACTATTTTTAATCTTATCCGCCTGCGCAACACCCGAATAAAAGAAAGACGATCGTGTAATGAAATGAACCAAGCAGGCAGGCACCTGTCCAAAAATTGTGTTGAAACTTAAAAAACAAAAATATCAATGTTTGTCTGCTTACTTTTTTATCCCCAGAGACTCATATTCAGTCAGCTGACATAAAGAAAGATGCTTTAGACAAATCTTCTACATTGCACAAGCTCACTGATTGGCATATTGGCAGCAATGAAGGAGGGAAATGATTTTCTTTTTCTCGTATTTCCCTAGACATCTTCATTTGTCATCGCCTGATGATAAGTCGTAGAACTAAAGTCATAACATGTATTTACGCGTCTCGTCATCTAATAATCTCCATTGATGAACATGCTAGACACGAACTAAACGATTAGCCCTCGCGGGGAAGTCACAAATAAAATTGTTATTGAGTGAAAAATGATTTCTTATAAAGCTTATAAATATAAACTCTGCCTGCAAACATGAGACAAATTTTTTAATGACTCGACTTTGATTTCATGACAGCCTTGTGTCATTCTTATTAAATGCCTCGACTGCTGTAAGCTTCAGCAGAATGACAAATTAAGATTACGTAATATGTCATCGAACCTTTATTTTCGTCTCCTTTGTGATGTGTGCGTTAGTTACAGCGACTTTTTTTTCTATTTGGGTCAGCATATAAATTTCTATCAAAGATCATTTTTCTTCTCACTTTAAATTGAACGAAAACTTTTTTTCTTCAACTTGTAAGTTATTTCAAATATTTTATTAAGAACATTAAAGAATGTTCAAAATCAAAAGTAAATAATCGACAATTTTATGAAAGTTGTGTTTAAAAAACAAAATTTTCCGATCCTTTTGATTCAATTTTTATTTTTTTGAGATCCAAGATTGATTCAAAAGTTATTTGGTACGATCTCAATCCATCCAGCTTTAAATGAATGTTATTTAATCAACAACTTTTGATTTAGTTTCATTGTACTTTACGATTTGACAGCTGCACATGTTGGTTGATGCTTAATCAAGATAATTCTGTTTATTGTTATTGTTTTCTTTAGTTTCCATCTTGTGTGAATGATTGATTTGATTTTTTAATTTAATGATTGAAGCATTTTCCCTTCTTTGATTTCAAGACGTCATTGATAACAGCGCAGTTTATATCAGTAGAAAAGTTCATGGCGAATGCAAGTTATGATTGAAAATCATTCTTAATAACAAAATTATTGACAATTTTTTGGTGCTTTATGTCTTCTCTCTCCCTCCCTCTATTAATTGACTTTGTCGCTTTCAACACCAAAAAAAAAATAGAAAACTTCTCATGTCATTCCCTTACTACGCATTCATTGTTTGTTTGACTTTCTAACGTGATTATTATTATTATACGTTTGCGTTTATGAAAAATTACTTTCACGTCTAACTGGAATGGATATTAATTAAGGTTCGCGGGTGAGTGACATGTCATCCAAGGCGTATGATGAAGAAAAAAAATTATTTAATTACCTTTAAGGGAATAATAAAGTTGTTAAAGCTTCGAATCTTTAACATTCGTGTGTGCTTTTTGAATGGAGTGCTAATGTGTTAATATAAATCACATGATAAAAAGTGTATATGCTTGGTTTAACCTTTTTTTTTCTGGTCTTCTCGTTTCCTGCTCGCATTTCGAGCCATCATGAAAATTAAATGAAGAACTGAAATGTGTGAATTTTTCGGGCTATTCAGAGTGATCTGGTTTTCGATGCTTTTTCATTCATTGTTTCTTTATACTTACGTATTAATTTTTCAACGAGCAGGCTTTCGTAATGTTAGTAATTAGAGTAAATATGCGATAAATGAAAAATGAATGATAATTAACGCATGTTGACGACTCGTCCCTCGCTTGTGCCTTCCTTAGCTAATGATAGGATTTGTAAAAGTTGAAATGCTCAACATAACCGCTATTTGTTAAGCTTCCAACATAATATCCTAACAATCGTGAATTATTGAAAAGTCTAAAGAGTGTTAATGTTTGCGTTTTCATTAACATTAGGCAAGACAACATTCATGCTTTCATCTTTTTAAAAGTCTCTTGATGCTTTTTTTCACACAATTATATCAATATTTATTTAAAATATTTCGTAATTCTTCATATTATAATTAACTACACATGTTTACTATGTGTGCAAAGTCAATTGGTGTGATGAATTGTGCCGGTACGCTGATCATTAACATTTTTCTATGAAATCATATGATTTTTATTTTAATGTTAATTCAAACGACAGGTAAACTCTCAAACCTACCAAAGCGCATTCCACAATATTACTCATTATTATAATTTAAACCGGTATGAAAAATTTGCATGAGATTATAATTGCTTCGAGTTTATGATTGTCGTCACTCTCAAGTCTCTTCACAACCCATGCATTATCAATTGGCTGCTAGATGTTTTCAAAAGTGCTCGAGAACTGAAAATGATTAAAAAAACATCGCTCTGTAATTTAAAATTGCACATCAAATGGTCGCACGTCTAGTGTAAGCATACATGACTCGATTTCACGTTGTGTTCGATGTCATAAAAAAAAGTTCGCTACAATTATTTCTTCTTACTGGCAATGAATCAAATATTTATGAATATATCTGAATAGTGCATGAAATGTGGTTAGTGGCCTCCAAGTGTCAATTCATTTTTTTCTATTTATTACGATGATATTTTTAATCGTCATTTCGACGCCTCAATATTAATAAATCCCTCCACTGGAATCCTTCATAAATCCTCGACCACGGGACAGCTGAGAAGTTTTTATTGTTCGTCTCTTTCCTTCTCTCTTTTTCGTCTATTATGATAATGTTCAAGTTGTCCATGTGACTCACTACAATGTAAATAAATAAGCTATAAAATTTTTTTACGTCGTATTTTGTAAAGTGATTGGGCAAAGGAAAAAGGCAAAATAATGATGAAAATGTAACACAATCTGTCATCCATCTATTCGTCCATTTGTCGGCTGATAAGAGGCAAACTGAGGTCACAGAACACAAAAGCAGAGTTTAAAGCAAAACAAAACGAAAAGAAAAACTAGAGCAAGTCAAAGCTTCGTTAAGTGTCATTCGTCACTGGCGCCACGGCAAAAACGAATTATAGCTGACGATTACGCAACATTTGTTTTGATATATAAATAAATATTTTTCCCTTCACTCTTTGCACATTAATTTATTGTTTTACTTACAATAATGAATACATTAGAATCGTCAATATTTGTGAAAAATCATCTGATTTGTAATATTTTTGTTGATTGTTTTTGTTTTGATTTTCAATTGCTCAACAACTAACTAAGTTGATCATTATTAAACAAGTAACAAATACAAAAGCGAAAAGTAGATTTTTATTTTCTAACATGAATGAAGAAAAGCACTTTTCTTCCTCGTTTCGTTATGCTTTAATATTTTTTCGTGTGCGCCTGATAATTTGCGGTGGCAATAAAGAAAATGAGTTTATTTTCCCGTTGATTCTCGTGAGACCCCGCATTTCAAGTTGTTGGTTATTTATGGCGTTTAGTTTACAGGTATCATACAATTTAAGTAAATTACTTTACTATTTATACGATTCCTAGTTGCTTTACTTTTATGACTTACACATGGAACAAACGAAAGGAAAGAACGAGCGAGCGAGCGTTGCTGTAGGTCCCCTAGGTCTCTTACACACAGCCATTCAATAGTAATCCTTGATTTTATTACCAATCTACCGTGATGTATCGTAAAATTTATGATTTAATCAGATTTTTTCTCGTCGTGCAATTTCACATGATCTTCAGTCGAAGAAGATGGAAGAAAAGAAATAATAAAATTAAATAGGAAAGAGAGATGATGAAGAAAGTAATTTCGCTTTAAATTTGTTCCTGTCATGGAATTAAAAAGTTATTACACGCTTATCACCAGTCTTTGAGTGTTGAACAGAATGCATTTTCTCTGCTACTTATCACATGTTTCCTCGCTCGATTCATTTGTAAAAATCAACAATTGTGAGTAAAATCAGCTGACGTGTTTTTTTTTTGGTTATTTTTTTTTTCATTTTCACATCCAACACAATCGCAGCTGTTTCGTTCCTTTTATACACTTGACTTGTGTTCTTGTGTGAAGAATTTATTTGATGACATAAGAATTATATTCTGAATTATCATGTCAGAAAGCAATGCAATTAGTTTGTGGAGTTTTATATGGGAAACTATTTCGTAACAAATCAAGGTAACTATTTTTGGAAAAAAAATAATAACACGTGTAACGTTGCTTATCTTTCTTTCTTGCTAATAAAAATTCCACTCTTTAATACTTCAATTACATTTATCATGAAAATTTTCAAGTTATCAGTAAGGCGGAATCGGAGAATTTCATGGCTGGGATTTTATTTGTATTAAACTTTTGAGCTGTGAGTCTTACCGAGTTTTTAAAATGATTTTTTGATTCACTTGGGAGTATGCATGTGGCAAGGTAAGAACAACATTAAGTTTCCTTTAAACACCACCGGTCATTATTTGATCAAAGAAATTTTTCATCAACCTTCAAATTGTTTGCTTTCTGAATGAATGAATTAAACGCAAATGTCAAGACAAAAGTTTGGGACAAATTTCCTTCCTGTTTCTTATGATTAATTTAAATTGTCAAGATGAATTTTCCATGAAAGGAAAGACGTTGTTACGCCTAAAGATAAATATTTTGCTTCATGTTTTTTTATATATGAGAACATGTTTTTCTTTGCCACCCACGCAACCCACATGTTGAAATGTTTCATTCAACATCTTTAAATGAATCTAGAAAATGCTTTGATGAAGCTTTTAGTTGATCTCAGAAAAGGGTACATGAAAGTATCTTCAAAATTCATTCACTGAAACAAGAGTGAAGTAACAAAATATTCGCGATGATGAGATAAGTAAAAGGATTCTGATTCAACAACTCTTGAACTGCATAACAACATATGATTTAACATCAGTAATAAAAATGAATAAAAAAACATTTCCACATGTCAGTCAACTCAGAAATGTTTTCGTTACTGGACCACTTAAGTGATGATGCACTCGGAAGTTCTTGTTCAGGAAATTTTCTTCTTTTATTATGTTTTTTGATGGAAGCATAAAAAACATACACTTTGGGAGTATTTTTTTATGATTATTTTTCTAAGACCATTTTCATGGTTTTTCCTCTCCTTCATTTTCTTATCTAACGAGACGGAAATAGAGAAATTAAAATGTTCGCTTACATTTCTTTATAGTACGTAAGAGTGAGTGGGTGGATGAAGTTATGCTTGTACTGACAAACTTCCGGTAAATAGAATTAAATCTTGGTAATTAACCTGAAATCAAAACACTTCTCTGCTGGTAATGAAACTATTTCCTCCACTCTTCTAATTGTTTCGAAATGAAATTATGAAAAATGTTTTATGGTTTAACATTTTAAGTTTGAAAAATTCTAAAAACATTAAAAATTATTTTCATATTGCAACAAAAGTATTCTTCTGATACTCATACCCGCATTCCTATGAAATTTTTTTATATTTTTTCAATTTGCCGGCCCATAAAACTTCAGATCATTGCACAACAAAGAGTTAGTGATGTGCGAAGGCCACAAAACTTAAGTTCTTTTCCTTCTCTTCATTGAATGAAGTAAAAGACGTTGTACATATGTACAAAGTGAAAAAGAAGCGACATAAAAAAAAGAGAAAATTCAATTTTTCTTTGCTGCACTTTTTATTCATTTGAGTCTTAAACAAAATGAGTGCTGGTGTTTGCTATTTGGAGCATAACGTCTGGGGTGTTGGATGGCGATGCTTCGTTCTTTAAGAGAAATCTTAGTCATTTGCTTTTGTAAGAATTTCCTGCATAAGAAATAAAATTAAATCATGACATGAAGCTTTCGTCGATGTTTGTACTTTGTACATGATCTGAAAGTTCTTTGACATATTTTTCTTTCGATGTCAGCTTTGAGATGATATTTCAAGGAATCGCTTGATGACTTTAACAAGAGTGTAGGAAGAAAAAAACTAAACTTAGTTTTGAGAATGAAATAAAAGAAGCTGCAACATGTTTTTTTACATGAAACGAAAGTTTCTTTTTTCACATCGGAATACAGCTGAACGTAACTTGAGCAAAATAAAAATGAATTCTGTTGGTGGTTAACCATCAATCAATCTTAAATTGCTAGGTTGTCGCGTTGAACACTCAATGTTGAAATGTATCAGGCGTGTGCTATTCTTCCCCATTCTTCATTCCTAAAATATTATGAGAAAAAAAAAGTAATTTATCCAAATTGCATCCAGAAGCGTCTTCGGTAAATCTTGCCAACCATTGTTGCTGCATCGGCTGATGTTCATAAAGATGTTTGAAGTTGTGATCGGCAAAAAAAATCGATGCTGCTACTCGATTATTTTGCTGCTTTAAAATCGAATTAATCAATTTCATGGGAATGACCTTCAAGCGGTTGTACAGGGAGAGGAAAAAAATTGCTAATCGCCAATCTCCATTTAATATTCGTCTGTCAAAAGATTGTTGGCTGGTAAGAAGAAACAAAAGAAAGTTAGCTAGTTCAGAATCTCACGGCCCGATACGAAGTAAAATGAATTCGTGGAGCAATTGTCGTGCCGTTCCAATGTATTTTTTCAGTTCATATGCTTGCCTTTCATTTATCTTCTATCATAGAACATTTACACGCTTTCTTTTTAAGTTCATCTTTGGTGGCGTCTCCACAGGCTTTTGGAATCGTGTAGAGTTCTTTGATCTTGTTAACAAGATATTGTGGGTAACCTACACGCTTTAATTATTTATTTGAATTGATCTTCTTGCCATAAAAATAATCAATAATAACAGAAATTATAAATTTCATTCTGATCTGGCTTAGAAATTGCAAAAATAGGAGAAAGAAACAAAAAATCTGTTCGCATCTTTAAGCAATTTTTTTGGGGGTTTTGAATTGAATTGACATTGAGAATCAGCGAATTTAATAGATCGCTGCTTTGCTTCATATAATTTTTGTTTATTAATTCAAAGTCTTTTGTGTGTAGTTTTGAGTTTCGCAGATTTTCTCTTCTAGTCAGCTGCACGAAGAGGGAAAAAATATTTTTTGGCAAAGCTAAAATACTACGCATTAAACTTTTTCGAACAATTTTTCTGTGTTGTACAAATTTCATGTAGTTTCATTTTTTCGATCAGCTATAGCAAGCAGAAAAACTATAAAAATCAAACTAGGCAAATTGAAGTTTAGTGAAATAATCAGCGAATATTTTAAGGTACACAAAAATCAAATGATATTTGCTATCAAGAGAATGCGCGATGTAAACTGTTTTATTTCTGTATAATTCAAAGTGCGATCGTTTCATAATCCAACGTTCGATTGTTTGTAGAATATGAAAATTTAATTCTCATGACATGAGTCACGTTTACAAGCACCGAAAAATAAAAGATGAAAAGCACGCTCGTACATAAATATTAGTGCGTTAATTTTTAAGCTATTCTCAAGCTAAATAGAAGAGTAAAGTCATTTTCATATTTCACGCATTTAGTTTCACGTATCTATGGCTTCTATTAGCAGCACCACACACCGTGCTTTGTTACAATTTTTTTTTCTCGTCTTCCCGAAGCTTCACTTTCATACATTCGCCATCTCACTCGCCTATGCTTGACGAAGGCATTTAAATTTAAAATAAGAGAATAACTTCTGTGAAGATGTATGTAAATGTGTTTCTGTCTGGTTTTAATTGATGACGTGGATCAGCTGTTATGTTCGTAGCTCACACATTTATCGGTGCTCGTTGTGGAAGATATTTTCGGCAATTCTTCTTCGTTTTCATATCAATTGAACATTCTGCGCCTAGAATACTTCTGTCTTTCGAATAGAATTGACGCGCAATTAGTGGTCGAATACTTTAACATTATTCACGAGATTTTTTTTTTCTTTCGATTACATAATCCACACAAAACGTTTTGCATCATCATCGTTGTCATCGCAGTTGTTTTCATTGTTCTTTTGAGATGACGGCTAAAGAAAAAATGTGTCTAAGAATTTTTATCATGCATTCTGCAGAGAGCGCAATCTAAAGCCTCAAAGGCAAAGTCGTGATGTTGTTCCTCTAGTCTATGTAGCCTTCATCGTCATTGCACCAAGTATTAATTTACATTCCACGCCACGTTGCAGCTTAATCTATGTCTCTTCTATTCTAAATCTTTCTTTTCCTCTCCTTCTCGCGCTATTTCGTCTACAACGAAAGCATACAAGACGAGATAAATTGCAGAAGAAATTCCTCTTTGTCTTTTATGACTTCTTCGTAGTTGAAGCAGTAATAATATCAGCAGCGGGCTCAACATAATTGAATCAGAGTTTGAAACAACCATAAAAACGAATTCGTCTGATTCGCGATTGCATGTCTTATTTCTTGTACGTGGAATGCAATTCTGTTCGCTCTCTTTCGCTCATTTCTCTTTGTCTCCTGCAACTCGCTTGATGCCGTACTTTCTGTTGTTACTGCTTACTGTTTCTCTCTATTTTATTTTTAATCAATGTCGATTTGTAGATGTGTAGCCCTACAATTCTCAAATGTGTATGCATCGTTGTAGAGATGATGATGATGATGATGATGACAATGACGATGATGATGTTGGAAATCAGCCGAATGAGAGTTTAAAGAAAGAAGAAATAAAAAACTATGATTTTAGCGCTGGCTATGCATGTTTGTGTTTCGTTTGCGAGTAGACAAAATAGTAAAGAAATTCATACGGTTGGAAATGGTTGGTGTCTCGCGGTGAAACGCGCTTCAAAAATTTTTATAAGAGATTAAAAAGTTGATTCATTGAAAGCAAATAAAAAATTGTTTCGTTGGAATTTTTGATTCATAAAAAAAAAAATTTTCGAGATCGTTTAAGAAGAAACAAAACTGCCTGCGAATAGTTTTGGAAAGTGCAAGTCGGGGTGAAACTCGTCTTCAATTAATTCCTTTAAATCGGTTCAACTTTCAATCATCTTTCTCATTTCTTTATTTTTTCATCATTTCCCACCACGAAAAATAAAAATTCGTGAAGAGCAAAGAAGTTAATTCACTTGCAATTAACCGCAAAAAATAAAATTGCTTGGAATCTATCGTGCTTAGAGTTCAAAAATCTTTGCAGCTTAGTTAAGAAAAAAAAGAACATCAACAGAGAAAAATCACTCAATTTTCAACTTGCCTTCTTAACAACTGCTTGCTTGCGTCGTCAAAACGACTACACGAATTAAATCAAATTAGAGACAAGCGTGAGAGAGAGAAAGGAAGATAATTAACCAGAAAATTATAAAAACATTAAAGGAGTTTCCCCAAAAAGTTATTTTTAGCTCAGAATAACGTCGTCGTGCGGTAGTGTGTGGAAGGGAACAATAATAACAATTTAATAACACAATTTCTGAATTATTCTTCGCTGAATTGTTGAATAAAAATAAAAAAATAAAAAGAAATAGTAACAAGAAGACAACGTAGTGGAACGAAAAAGACAGATTGGTAATAAAGAAGAAACTTCGTAGCTTCGTTTGTTGAGAAGACGAGAGTGAGTGAGAAGAACAATAGATTTGAACTCAAAGAATCAATTTAATGATGTGTGAAAAAGTTGTATCATGTTGTGAGTGTTTCAATTTTGATTAATTTAAGAATCATTGCTTGCTTTAATGTGACGTCATCATCATTATTTTCCACATTGCGATGAATCAGGATTCATTGATTTTTTTTCCCAACATAGCTTTCTTTCGTTGTTACACTTTACAACATTATGCAATCGCATCGTAATTTTCATTTCCACTGCACGACAATTTTTTTTTGTTTTCTTTTTCTTTCTCCTTTTCGCTTTCATCACACAGTGAAAAGCGGTTGGAAAATTGTGTTGGAGTTTCTTTATTTTACTTTCAATTATAAAATTCGTCGTTTTTCATGAAAGATCATTTACTAACTTTTTTGCTTTTTTTTATTCTTTTCATTCCCCTCAATTTCAAAATCAAATATTTCGTCAGCATTTCTTCAATTTGCAATGCATTGGAAAATTGTTTTCCTTCCAGATGATTTATTTTCTACAAAAAAGACGTTGTTTGATGATTTTTCATTTACGAAATTTATTTACTGAAGAATTCTCTTCTTCGCTCTACTCTGTCAAATGTCTCGTGTTGTTTTTCCTTTTAAAACAATTTTTATGTAGATAAATAAAGGAAAAAGAAGATATTTAAGGAAAAGAAACTCAGCTGATGTTTATTTTTGTTTTATATTACTTGTTAGCTTTTGCTTTCTGATGATGATACTTACATTTATATTGAAAATAATTCAAGTTGTTGTTTACAGTCGAATGAGTATTTGCATCGATTCTGAATGAGATGGCATCGAGTTGACTTACTGTTATGATTAATTTGATTGCTGATTGCATCATTAGCTGCAATTATTTATTTATGAATTTTCTTTCTCTTTGACAGATTAAAACGCGAAGAAGGCGGAGGTTCAATAATAATTCAGGCAATGGCACAGCCACAGCAACTTCAACAGCAAAACATTCAACAACAATCTATCGAAGTTCGACCGATGGATCACGATGAAAAGAAGATGCGACGTCAAATCGCCAACAGCAATGAACGCCGTCGAATGCAAAGCATTAATGCTGGATTCCAAAGTTTGCGTCAACTTTTGCCACATCATGAAGGCGAAAAGCTAAGCAAGGTGAGTCATTTAAAATCAAGATTTATTATTGAAAACGCCGCAATGTGTCCTCGGTCAATTCCTCTTCACGTTTTGTTGATTAGAAACGCTGAATCGCGATGCGATTTCACTGGTAGATGTTATTATTGTTTTTGTAATCAACCATCCAATTCCCTTGCACTCAATTAGCTGTTAATAGCTTCCAATATAATAAGCTAGAGAATTTACCAGCCAACCTTTCATAATATCGTTGAAAAAAGCATAAAATTATAATCAGCGTGCATGCTTAAGTCGATAATAAAATTCTAAGTCGTAAATTAAAAAGAAATCATCGACAAAAACAAAATCTTTATTGATAACTTGATCTTTAAAAATAACTTTGTAACTTGAACATCAGTTATGTAGCTAAGAAATCGTAACAACGTAAATAAAAAGCGTTGCAATAAGTTATGATTGGCTTCAATTGCCTTTACTTAATTATGCAAATTTGCATTCTTCGACGTGAAGCTCAGCTTTTCTTTTTTTTACATACATTTCACACACATTGAACTACAATGAATGCATTCAGGTTGAATTTCCACATTTTATGAAAGTCTCTAAAGATTGAGATCATGAACCCGCCTCTGATCTCACAATGACAGACAACGGCGGCGGGTTCGTCTACAAGGCATTCGAATATTGAAAATCCATTAATTCGTAAAGGCGAAAAAAAATGTTATTTCTAAATTCATTTTACGACTGAATCGTAAATGATAATTTATGTCTCCATCAAGAATACAGAAAAAGAGAGTAAGGAACATCATTTTTCCTAATACTGAAGGGATAAATATCAAATGTGTGTGTGTGTGCATTATTCTGAAGATTTTATTACAATTTTTCCGCCTTGTCAGTTGATTCAACTTTATTTACTATTTGTCAAGTTCTATCAAGTGAGTAATAAGAACAATGGAGGGCAATTGCAATATTTTTGTGGCTTTACGTGAGCTGCACTGATTACGAAAATATCTCGAAGGACAAACGTCACTTCATGACCTGTTGAAACGTTTAATAATAAATCGAAGGTCTTTCTCAAGTTGAATTCTGATTATTTTTATTCTTAAACAAGAATGCAAATGCAACATCAACGCACGTCTTTAAGAAAAGAATAAATGAAGATGTAAGCATCGAAAGTCACGTCGAAAAGTCATTGAGACTTCACTCAACAATATTTCATATTTTTTTTCTCCTTCTTTTAATAAATGAGTGGATGATTACATTGTTTCAGTTTTGCGACAAGAATTTACTCAAAACCTGCATCACACATGTCATTCATTTTAAAAATCTTTCTGATCGAGTAGCGCTTCACTTGACAGCGTTCACCAAGAATGAATTGCACTTAAAACTTACATAAATTTATTTGTGATGCACAGAAGTCTTCATTAAGTGCGCTCGCACACGGTGAGTTGAATGTTTGTGATGTAAATGCAACCTTACCACAATTCTACAGGCTTGGTCGTTGTGATGGTCATACAGATGAAGGCAAAGAAGAAGTAAAAATGTAAAGTAAAGCACTCACATCACATGCATTTCTCAAAAGCCATAAAATGTGTTTATTAATAACCCGTCGCCATCTAAGTTGAATCAACATATGAAAGCGACTTTTCTGCACTCAAACTAAACTCTACAAAAAACATTAACTTGACAGACAGCAATTCGCATAAATATGAGACATTTTTTCTCTTTATTTCCCTTTTTTTAACAAATAAATGTGCGAGTTGTTAGATATTTAGTCGAATGAATGCGGTTGTTGATCTAATTTTTTCTTTTCTTCATATTTTGCACATTTTCAAGCTTCAATTTATATTTGTTGAAATTATTGGAAAAAAAACAAATTTTCTCTTTCCTCACACACCCACGTTATGAAAGTTTTGATCGCGGAAAATTTTCCACCTCAAATGCTTTGAATTTACAGCTGCTGTTGTTGTTGCTTCTTGCAATACGTGAATGAAAAACGGAAGAGAAGATTTTTTTTTGCCTCGTAGATAAGCTCGGTGCTTTAATGAATGTGGCAGGATGTTGTAGTAAGTGTCAGTCGCTCTTTCCTTTTGATGATCTCTCTTTCCGAATTGTAAAATTATGATTTGTGACTCTACTGACGTTGCTTACATTACGATTTAAAACGAACAACCAACGCACCAGAAATAAATTTAATAATTTGACCTGCCATTGCGCTCACGGCCGAACATTTTTTTCTCGTTCTCGTTATTCGATGATGAATTCGCAAAAAAAAAAGTTAAAAGCGATTATGACATTTTAATTAGGGGAAGCCAAGGTTCTCCATCAACATCGAAAAGAAAAAATGTATAAGCGACTTACATATCGGGGACATGTCGATGAGAGATGCCATTTAAAGGCTGCCACCATAAATAAACATCTAAAGACAGAGAGAAAGAAAACGAAATCTATTAAAGTAACGACGAGAAGAAATTGCAAGCAGGCGGGTGGAATGACAAACGATTTGAAAGTCTATTTACGGTTTGAGAGCCACATACTTAGTGCTTTGAACTCGAGCGTTGGCAGCAGCGCCGAAAACAAAAACACTCTTAAAAAACGTTGATTTTCATCACAACAAGTTTCTTTGAAAACTTGAATCAATTTCGTGTGCTTCAAGGAGATTTCAAGCAACCCTAAATAAACTTTACAACTTGAGTGCAATATATTTCTTAAAAGCTTGTAAATAGTAAAATTAATAAATATTTATTAAGCATTCGATTCAAAGCATGCCACAGTTCATGAAGTCAATGAAAAGTTTTTTTTTTCGTAAGTTTATGTAAACACAAACTAAGAAACAAAAAAACTACAATGCGTTGTAGTAAAACTTAAACCAGCTTGTTGCTGAATGAAATCAGTAATGTCAAAAAATGTAATGAATGAAAATATAAAACGTCAGACAAAGAGCAAATGAATCGAAGTAATAATCATCAAAGATGTGTGTAGGAATTTTCTTGTTTGTTACACATCGACGGCGCTTAGAGGTGTCATTATTTCTTTGCAATTGAACAGTCTTGTTTATGATTGTTAAAGCAAACAAATTGCGATTTGATTCCGTGAAGGTGTCGCACTTATGAATCACAATAGAAACAGTTATTCGATGCAGTTCATTAAACGTCATTTCATTCGTTTGCTGAGATATTTCACCTTCGGGACTTTCATACGGTGGGAAAATGAAAAGTTTAAGATATTTAGGGTCACACAATATGCTTTAAAGTTTTGTCAAGTCATTAGTGATTAGTAAATAAAAAGTTCTTGAATTGTCAAAAGACAAAATTGTGTCGCCCCTTTTAGTTCTTTCCACCTTGAAACTGTCAAATATTTATGAGTGCTTTTTAACATCTTTCTGTCCATTTTAAATAAAAAAAAAGTTTTCTCTCTATCGACGGTGACCTACTTTTTAACTTCTTTTTTTGCTTCTCATGTTGACAAAAAAGAATGACAAGACACGATGAAAGAGAAGAAAATTTAGAAAAAAAAATCAATCAAAAATAATGTTAGACAACGGTTGAGTTGTGGGTTTTTTTTTATACATTTCACACATACAAAATTTGTTATTGAATGGAATATTTTTGGCTACACATGTTTTTCTGTCTGAACTTTAAATATTTCTAACCTGTTACACAGGTTTTTATTTTGGTTGGTTGTCAACCCTTGACAAGAGAGAGAAAAAAAGAATTAAAAGTAGAAACCGTACGTTATAATCCTTTTAATCGTCTGAGTGGAGAAAATGTTTTCCATCCACAAAAAGAAGGAGAGAGACATGGAAAAATTTCTAATAATAACACCACATGACTAATCTATGCTGAATAATAGATGAGTGTGACTGTGGGCTCGGTTTTAAGCTGAAAAATATGTGATGTTCAGCAAGAGTGATCAAAGTCTGCATCGAACAATATCCACCTTGATGGTGATGATGACAAATAGATTGACGTAGTAGAACGATAATTTTTCATTCATAAAATTGAGCTTCGAGGAGATATTTTTACGTTCGTAATGAGTGTTGTCAGTGGCGGTCACAATCAATTGAACGAATCAAAATATTTGCCTATGAACGAGTGGCAAACGCTACTGCTGAACACAGCAACGACAGACACTCAAATATATTGCACAAGGTAACAAACATGTGATTCATTCACTTATGATGTAATGCGATTCGAAACGAAAACAAACATTATTCAACGGATAAACCGTATTTGGGGGATTTTCACATTAAACTGTAAAGAAGTGACAAGAATTCTAATTATTTAATTAATTAATCTTTCGTCTAAATTTTGCATTCTTCTAAACACAAACATTATTTCGAATTGAGTCAACAAATCAACGAAGAAGAAAATTAATTAGCAGAAGCAAAAAAATTATTTCTCACAACTCACAATCATTCCCAGAACGATGTTGCAAAACGTTTTACGTTGCTTTGAACTCGAAGACCCCTAAAGCGTTGCAAAGCAAAGATTGCCAATAAAATAAAAATCCGCAAATGTGCAATTGCACAAAATTAACCATTTGATTCAAGTTACAGACGAAAACAACATGATTTAATTACATCGCTCTTAATAATATTTATGAAGCTTTATTTTGTTACTTTATCAACGAACGCGCCTTTTCGTTTACTTTTAATTGAAACATTAACAAGTTGAAGTCATTATACAGAGATCACATTGTTTCTCGCTCTCTTGACAGCTCTCAGCCTGCATTCGAATGTCTAATGATGAAAATCATGTCAATTAAACAGTTGAAAGAGACATTAAAAAGTTTTACAAAGCAACTAAGCTCGTCTTGATTCAAAAACAGCTTGTTAATTGACGTTTAAATATTCGATCGTTGCTCCAAATGCTTTCTATCGTGCGTATTTTTTATTCATTACGTTAATCATTAAACATTTAATGAACACATGTAACAAATTTTTTTCTTTGGAGACCTCAAAACATTAAACAATTGTAGAATTTATGTCGTAGACAAAGCAAACAATGGACGGGTGATTATCAAGCTTAAGTATGTATGTTTCGTGTGCATGATTGTAAAGAAAAAGATCGTTGTAATTATCTAAAAAAGCATTAATGCAAAACCTCCATTGGCAATACAAAATGAATAAGACAAAGCCTGCTTATGATAATTTAATTAAAAAACAATTTGCGATCTCGTGTGCCTTGTGGATTATTTTTAACCCACACAAACATCAAACGAATCGCTTAAATATTTTTCCCCCTTTTGGCTATTGTTTCGCTCAATAGCTCCACGAAGTGCGTGTAGCAGCAGTGATTGTACTATTTTTACTCTTACATATCAACCCACAGACTGTCTGTGGCATATTTTGTTATTTTCATGAATGAAACTGACTGCAAAGTCAAGTTGCTTTGTTTTTGTTTTTACATAATCGCATTTCACTTCAATGATGACTATCTAAGACGCATTAAAATACATTTGCCTCTGCTTTCATCGGAAACATCATTGCATTCTGCATCCCATTCAGTTGTAAATGACTCTTTCACCATCTCTATAATAATAATTACACGTTTCGTTTTCCATTCATGCACATGGATTTTGCCTTATCAATAATTATTACATTGCACGATTAACACGGCTTCTGTTTGATGTTACATATAAATATTTTTCTTCTCTCTCCCTCTCCCACTTATTTAATTCAACATTTCCGTTGTGTAACTACGTAAATCGACGTTGAATGGATCATCTGTTTTATTTTTTTAAATTCCGATGTAGATGTGACCGACCATCTGATTCACCAGATACATGAATGGGACGATTGGGAAAAGAGAGAGAAAGGAAGAGGGAGAGGGATAGAATGATTTTACTCTTGTTATTTTTAGAACATTAAGAAGTGATGTAAACGATTCTTTCTGTGTGTATTTACTGAACACCGGATGTGCCATTAACTTTGAATGTTGTTGCTGTTTTATTTTATTTTAATATTTGTGTTTTGTTTTTGTTTTTTTACATACTACGAGTTACTTTAGTTAATACTTGCTTACATTCATTCATTCATTCATGTCGAGTGAGAAATACTAAATCGCGAGCGCGGGAGAATTCCATATTTGCTCTACATTCAGTTACATTCCCAGAATGTGTAATTGAACTGTAAATAAGTAATAAGTTGACGATGACGTCATGATGGATAAGCTTGCTTGTCGGTCGTCTATTTTCATTGTTTTATCCGATTGTAACGATACGTTGCTCATTCACCAAAGCAAACACAATCGTGTGGGAGGATCGTAATGTATTAAAATTTGTATTTTTCTCACTATGAAGTTATTGTAATTGTGCCACTGTTTAAACGGGTGCCAGCACATGTGCGATCAAACAACAAAAATAAAAATAAAGCATAATAAAGTAGAAACTTTTTAAATTGACATCGTAAAATGATAATCTAATAGCATTCCCAAGCACTTTTCTTTTTTGGATGAATGCAGTCTTTATTATTAACGAATGACAGAGATCGTTGTTGCTTCATTCCTTTGATGTCATCGCATGATTGCAGTTTGTGTTTGTCCACTGCTTGTTTACAATTATTCACTCAAGCAAATGCGTGGAAACGATTCAATTTGAAGAATGTTTATTATTTCTTGTATTTATACAAAAAAATGTATAAAAATAAATAGCGCCAAGAATTTCATTGGAACTGCTAGCGGCTTTAATGACTCACTTCGGGATTTTACGTGTGAATGGAGGGTCTCGTTTGAATGTTTGCACTCACTCACTCACTTCAAACCATTCGAGCTGTAAATATATTTTTTTTCTTTATTGAGTAGAAAAATTCTCGGAATTAATGACTGCATGATGAAACCTTCGAGTGGCTTAACGAAGAAGAAGGAATAAAAAAAAATAAAAATAAAAACAACGACATTAAAGCTCTCTCGCAGCAAAGCGAGTGGAGTCGTAAAACAAATTTGCTCCGAGAGCTATAAAAACAATATTGGCGCTAAAAATCCATAACAAAAATGAAAAACGTGACGATTTACTAGTTTTTGCGAAATTCATGATGTTCAAACATGCTTTATCGCTTCTGCATTTTTTTTCTTCCCTTCATTTGCCTCTTTCAACAGTGATTTGTGACTTTTTGTGATATGATCAAACATTGAAACATTTTCAAAGAGCAGTTCAACAAATGTGTGCTCTTTTACGACCTCATTCATTGTATGAACTTTATGAAAATTGCAACAAAACGCAAAATGATCGTTTTCCTTCTTTTCTTCGTCGCGAACTCGACGCTTCCTTTCGCGACATTAAGTTTTGTTTTGTAAATAAATAAGAAAAGCGTTAAATGCATGCACAACATCAAGCACTAAAAGAAGTGTCGGAATAATTACAAGCATAACAATCACAACAATTTAAGCATTTCAATGAGAAATATTAATGCACAGGATATGGCTGAAGAAAAATATCAACACCAAAACCGTCATAACTACAATTTCCGTTTTATTTTTACTACTCCATGTGTCATAATAGCTGAGAGAATCAGCTAATCGCTGTCACAACAGTCTGTAATTATAATCGCTGTGTTGCCTCTGTCGCTTTGTTGTAGATATTTAAATAAGCGCTGTAAATTTGATCCAATTTTCAAGCTTGAACACAGTTACCCCATCAACCGGTGATAATTTGATATCTCTTTCTATCTATGGCGCTCGTGTGTTCAATGTTTTGTCGTGTTCTGCTTTAACAACAATGATGAGATATGGCTTATGGTGGTGAATGACATCAAAGCAAAAGTTGTAACTCATCAAAGCGTTTATGAATACGCATACAAAAAGAAAACCCATTGAACTCATGCATTAAAAGTATCAGCTTTCGTGAATCCAAATAACCTTTTTTTTCTGCTACACGCTTTCATGCGAAAAGCGTTTTTTAATGGTCTCTACCGACATAAGTAAACGTAGATCATCTAACCACATGCCAAACTTCATTTAGTGTCTGTTTCATTCACAAAAATAAATTACAACCAAACATAAACGATATCGACAACGATATCAAATTAATGATGAATCTTTCAAGTATCTTTCCGCTCGTTTAATCGCAGCAATTACTAAAATGAAAGAAACTCATGTTGCTTTGCTTTATCTTCGTGTCTTTATTTGACTCATAAGCAACAGCCTTTCATAAATTTTATCTTCCCACAAAAATCACTTAACACAACCAGATCTCATGTGACTACGGTTCTTTTTTTTTGGAAAAGAAAGCATCGAAAGAGTAACAAACATAACTCTTTTGCCTCCTTCAGCTAAATTCTTCCTTCCATCGTTTATTCAAAAAGAGAAAAAAAAAATGCAAAAGCCATTAATCATTTCTCATGGAAGAAATCAAGGGTTTTTATTCTCACTGTTGGTTATTTGATGGTTGCCAACGAAGCTTTCATCATTTTGATGCTAACGCACTTAACTTTTCTATTATTTATATAAACAAAACTTTTGACTCTTTTAAGATTCTCTTTGATGATCTTTTCTCCATTTAACACTGTCATGTGATGCATAGATAAACTACTTAGGCTAAACCATTAAAGCTGCCAAAAAAAGATACAACAGCATAAGCAAGGAAATTAACTTCGGTTTTTAAACATGAAAGTGGGTCATTCGTCTTCTTCTTTTCCTTCATCTCGCTACTCGAGTCGTTTTCATTTAGTTGTCCACGGCTTTCAATTCATTTCTTTCTTGTTTTTACTTAAAATTCATGATTATTGGAACTGCCGAAATAATTATTGCTGCTGGTTTTTTTCCCGCTGCACATCAAAGCTCTTTAATCTTTCTTGATGTTTGTTTTTCTGTTGCTTTTAATGAATTTTTCCAAGCAGTTGAAGTATTCAATTTTTATATTTTTTTTTGCAAATCAGCTTCTTGAGCTTGAAACAGCTGAATTGGATATTTTGCTGTTCTTTTATTTTTTTGCGCAGCAACATTTTGTGTTAATTTTTGTTTTCGACCAATCCATCATTCAATCTCAATCCAAAAGGAAAAGTTAAGCGTTGAAGGTTTCTAATTTTTTTTTGTTATTTTTTGCACAAACAAAAAAAAAATACACAACAAGACAACAACATAAGATTGAGCAGAAAAGAGAAGCATCAACTCTTAATATGCTTTTTTACTCGACTAAAGACTTCATCATTGACTTTCGTTTAGCTTTTCAAAAACTTCTTCTTTTGTTTTTGAGAGAATGCAGCTTTGTGACCTTTCAAGATGCCGAAAACTTCATTTTTTCTCTTATATAATTTTTTAATAGAAGAAGTCATGATGAAGTGGCCTTGTCCAAATCACATAGAGGGTACTTGTCTCACGGTCGAAATTATTCTTTAGAGCTTTGGATTTTGCAGTGAGATATTCCAGTTAACAAATGAATGTTAGCGCACTTAACATATAGCTGAAACCCGACAACATTCTTGACCTAAACTCTCAAAGCAAACAAACACCAATTATTCACTTTAATTCCTTGTTCTCTCTTCTCTTCATGACGCTAATGTTTCTTTTGTTTGTGCTTCACTAACGATCGTAGTTTCAAAGCATTCAATCCTCTTTTTTTTTGACCGTAAATATTCATCAGAAATAATTATCTTTCAGCATCGAATAATTACATTTAAGCTATGAATATCAACTAAAATTTCTCGCATTTTTCACGCGACATTTCATTATGATTCTAATTAATTTTTATTACATTCAATTTGCATATTTTAAAGATTAAATACTCGCAACACGTTAAAGTGCCGTTTCGTTCGTCTTTGATCAACATCTTCTCTCTTGACTCGTTCATGAAATAAAATTCTTGAACGTAATTTTCGCAAAAGAGCTTTTTTCTTATAATTACGATCTTGAAACTTTCAACGAGTTAAAAAATTATTAATTGGCGAGATAGATAAGATGAATAAGATCAGCTCAGAAGAAAAATAAAATAAAAATGCTTCATGTCGGTATCATTATTAGCATATCAGCAGTTTGATCAGAAGCAAGGAAGTAAAAACATTTTGCACTCGTTTCTCAACAACACAAACCTTGCTTGAGTTTCTTTCTTCTGATGATAATTTTTGCGAAATTCTTTCTCCACACCTACTTGAAGTTTCTGCTTTACTTTGCTCTGCTTTGCTTTGATGATGAACGACCACAATCGTTTTTCTTTTTTTTTGCAAGTCGTCGTTGCTTTCATCCATAAAGACTATCATTGAAATGCATCAGATGTAGCTCGTTATCGACGTTATAACTCAAAACTTTACACGACTTCGAGATACATCCGTGGGATGGTTGGGTGCGAAAACAGTAGTGAGAAATATCAGTTAAACTCAAAAGAAAGAAAAATCAAAAATAAATTGTTTTAATGTTTTCGTGTCGCGACTTGTAGGTCGAGTAATAAGAAAATCTGTTTCAATTTTATTATTAAAATGAGATGAAGAGAATTCTTCTTCATTTCTTGCGACACGACCACATTTGATTGTAATTTATTTGAGAGTTGAAACTAAACAAAAGCAATTTATCGAGTTGATCACGAGAAATCTTTTCAGTCATGACGAAATGACATGCCTAAGTGAACATTAGTCGTCTGCAAAAGTGCATTCATATGTATGATTGCAATCATTGCTATGCTATGTGTAGCTTTTGCCTTGAGACAATGCGACTTCAATAAAGTTTTGTTCTTCTTATTATTTTTAATTCATTATTGTCTCCATCAATTTATTATGTGTGTCGCAAGCAATTGTTGGGCCTCTCTGTGCCATTCTTCTTATTTCATTTTTTTTAAATAATAAAAATGCAAAAATAGAAAGAAATAAAAATAGTCCATTTCAATCTGATGATGCCTTTGTATGGGTTCTCGCGATCTCGTTTATGACTCTATGAATTGAAATAAAGCTGAAACAAAAATAATGCTAGCGAAGCATAAGTGCAGCATTTTTCCATTGATTATCAGCTTGTTTCGTGATTTCAAGGAGAAAAAGTATTAATTGAATGATAAACTATTGCACAGCCAGCCTTGTTTTGTTGTCGTCTTAAGAAGGAAAGCAAAATAAATAAATAAACAGTTGAATTGAAATTAAATGTGAGCTATAAAGTATAAATAAAAATTGAACATGAAGAAGGCAAAAGCTATAACCGTTTATTATTATTATTATTAAGTATTTGTCTGTAATGAATTTCATTTTTAATGAAGTATTGAAGAGGAAGAACGAAGAGAAGCTCAATTAAATGACATAAATCGTCTTCGGAAGAGAAACAATATGAAAAGTTGACTTGCCAACGACTTTCCACTCTTTTCATTTTTTTTTATTAAATAAATCTTTCTATCGTTTCGTCTTGTGAAAAGAGATTTATGATTCCAAGTGAAAAGACGACGACTGAAGGAATGAATGAAAATTTCTCAAGTGTCAACAGCACACGTAAGAAGCAAAAAAAGGTTACGCGAGAAAGAAACCTCCAAACTGTCACAACAGATGAAGCCACTAATCCGCCTAGAAAGAGGTTCTTAGCACTTGTATTGACGGGTTAAATTCTTATACGTTCATTCTCCGTCAATGGATTCCGATGCACCTTTTTCTATTATAAAAATTCTTTCGCTCATGTTTCGCTGTTGCATTATAGCGAGTGCAATGTAAATTTAAAGAGAGTAATGTGCTTACAATGCTAGAATAGAAAATAGCTTACTAATAAATTGCATTTGACTTGATTATGCGGCGTTTCTGGGACAGCATAACATTCCGAGAATTAACAAAACCAATAATACCTCATTCGGTGTCTGTCTGAGCTTCGTTATGAATTCGCGTCGCAAATAGGTTTGCGATGTTTTTTGTTTTATATTTTTAATAGTGCTGAAAGGCGAATAATGTAAATTTCACATTTTATGCATAAAATAACCAAGCCAGCCATAAAGTGATGTAGAATAAAAAAAAAGTTTATTAATTGCTAGAACGGAACAGAAGAAGACAGAAAAATTCTTCGACAATCTCGTTTAACAACATAACCGACATTGAATCTCGTAGCATCGCCTCAAACCTTTTTCACATGCTCGATTCTCATCTCACTGAGAACTTTGGTCTAGTGAGATGTTTTTCTGCCTCACAGAATGTAATCTACATTTAATTTATTTATTTATTCGATGCATAAATGCAATTTTTTTTTGTTGAAAGCAATTTACAAAAACGTTGTCGAGTGCTTTATATTCAGATGGAATTTTTTTATGCCATTTATGAAGTAGATGGCAAACAGCAATTCTTCACATCTGTAGATTCTGATGATGATGTAGTGTTTGCTTGAGAAGGGACTGTGAGAAAGTAGAAAGATCGACCAACAGTTCGAGATAATTGCAACATTATGCATGAATTACTTTTTAACGACGTAAGACGAGATTCTTCACTAGCGCCTTTGAAATGATCTTACAAAGAGAAAATCAATTTCTTTTATTCAAAATTAAAGAAGGAATTTTCAATTTCCAATACACGAGCTGCTTATAAGACAATATCAATGTCTCACCACAATCCATCGTCGTGCTTCATTGAATAACCGCGTGTTCGAAACCGGAGGCTGTAAAAGCTTCTGTTATTTATTATCTTATTTAACTTCATTCTTAACTTCATAAAATGTCTAGAGAAAACTATTTACAGTGCATTACAACTCGTTAAAAAATATTTCTGAATGAATAAAATTATAAAAAATTGTTGGAGAAATGGCAGCGAAAACTATTTCATTGCATTTCGCATATTGTTCATTTTTTATTCCTAATTTGATTTAATATTATTTTAAATAGTGTGTGAAGCTACAAAAAAGAGTAAAAATCTATAAATTGTATTATAAAAAAGCAAATCGCTTCACCACATGAAATATTGTAATCATTGGAAAATAAATATTTAAACAAAAGCATTAACATTAACCGATTTCAATGTCTACGACTTCAAGCACTCACACACATGTTGGCCCCCAGCGCTTAATGGATCAGACGAGAGAGAATTGTTGTCGAGACAAAAAAAAAAAAACAGAACATGAAGCTAGCCAGCCATACAATCCGATGTTTTATCGTGTACAAATTACATACGATTTATGGATTCCGAAGTGCACTTAAATTGCAATCACATTCATAAATGCGCTATAACCTAATTCACGGGTAATCTTTTATTCTCCCTTTGCTTACCTCATGCCATGCATTGTCGAATCGGGTTCTTGTGATGTTCCACAATAACGAAGAGAAAAGTTGACCGTGATTTGATAAAGTCAAGTCTCGTAATCAACATCATTAAGAGTTATAAATAAAAAATCTTCCGTGAACTTCACTTATGTGTTGAGAATAGTAAATATGTGTAAAGGAATGGAAGATATCTTAGCAACGTGGGTGGACATATAATGAAACGTGAAGCGGCACAAAAACTTTAATTAATGGACAACTGATTATAATAAACGATATGCATATTAGTGCAGCGTTCAATGACCAAAAAAGCTTTAATTTATACAACTTGAAATGATTTTATGATTTATATGTCAATGCTATGATTGAAAAGACGTTAATGTTTTATGATGAAAGTTCTTTCAATCAACTGACTAAACTGTAGGATGGTCAACATAATTATGTTTTATATTCAATTGCTTCTTTATTCATCCTCGCCCACTCAATTAATTACTAAGAAGCTATATCTATTGTCCCGCGTTTTATGATCTCTAAACCATTCATCAAACAAGAATACTTCACGATCTGTCTAATAGCGAATTAAGTCAATTCATTATTTTTTATGCTGCGTCAAAAGTCGATTCATTCATTTACAAAACTGTCGCGAGCGTGATATTGTCTACATTAAAAGCGAATAATCATCATTACAAATGATTTTGGGGGCCAGTTTTAGTCCAATACGAACAGTTGTTAGCATTAACTACCATCTCGTTTCCAACTGCCGCTTTTCATTAATTGCTTCTCCTTTTTTTCTTTTCGACTCACAAGACATTATAGGAAAAGAAAAACGACAATTGCGTTCCACAAGACATGAAGAAGAAAAAAAATCGCTTTTTAAAGTTGTGGAAATTCATTAACATATTTAAATCATTTACTATTCTGTTACCACTTGAAAAGAATCGCTGACAAAACAGGGGCAATGAACAGTGAAATTTACATTTATGCGATCATACTTTGGCTTAATTATCATTTTTCAACGATTTCATGTTGAAGGTTGATGTCGCATAATTAAATTTTGTCTTTTTCAGTACACAAAAAAAAATTTAAATTACATTTTCCTTCGGCAAACATTCGCTGCAAAGTTGTTTCAATTAATAATGTTTAAGCATGATTCGGTTGGCAAATTGATGTTTGCTATCATTGTCATTAAGCTAAGAGGGCAGATGAACAATCGGTGAAAACCTCAGCCGCGGAAATTCTGGGAAAAATTAATTTCTCGAATTACGAAAAAAAAAAAGAATCATCATTAAGTTTAATACATGCCGTCATTCCTCCATCGTTATTCGTTGATGAACTCTTTGCAGACTTTTTAGAATGTATTTCCTTTTTTTTCATTTCACATGAAATCATGAAATGGAATTAATTACATTTTCAATCAGAGCTTCAACAATAACATATTTTAACCTGAATGATGAGCCACAGTGGAGTTGAAATGTAATCAGGAAACTCATTTCTGAATTAAAATTAATCTCACCGTCGATCCTAATTGTTTTATTTTGTTGGGGGGGCCATTCAAGCCGAAGGCAGCTCGTCATTGACCTCATCATAAACATATTATTTTTACTTCCATATGACTGCTTTTTCGGCTGATGTTCGGGATTTATATGACACAGTTAGCGTTTGTAAACATCGAGCGTGTATAGTCGCCATAACTTTTCACAAAATGATGCTTTAAATACCTTTTATGCGTCCCAATCGTCACATTTAACTTTAATATCTCACTGCTATCAAGAATGAGATTGGATATCAGATCTTCGAAACCATTTTTCATGATGTTTCAACAAACGTTTTGAGTCGTGTGAGGTTGTAAAACTCTTCTCCTTATCATTTCAATTTCCTCAGCTTTCCATTCATTAGATTCTCAAGAGGGCAATTTTCAAGAAAAATATTTTTCCCTTTTAACAATATTTTAAGTGCTATTCAGGTTTTTAATTGAATTAGTTCTCGTCATGAAATAGAATTTAAAAAAGGAATAAAAACACGAGAAGAGTTTCAATTCTCATTGAAACAATACAAGAAAAAAGTTTTTAACACTTTAAGGATAAATTTCAACTTGAATCATTTAGTTGAAAAATGCATGAGATGAAGAAAAGAAAAAAATAAACTTTTAAAACGAAGGAAAGGGAAACAAAAGTAATTTGAAAATAAATTCTTAATTATCAATTGAAAGAGAGCAAACATTGATTCATTCATTCATTCGTGCGTTTCAAGTTACTCATGTTTTACAATTTCTCACTCTACAAACATTTCTCGTTCGTTGACAAACATGAGAAACATTTAATTGAATATGAGAATTTCAGTGACATAAAGCTGTAAATATGTAATCGGAGTTGATTGTTTCTTGTAGTATTGAGGGTGAAACAGCCCCATGAATTATCCATGTAGACAACGCGAGATGAGCTTTTATTTTTCCATTGATTTTCTTCTTTCCACTCTCGATTCTGATTCAGTCGTTGGCCTGGACATGTCATGCAATCATTTATCGAAATATACAATTGTGAAACATTGATAAAAAATCTGCAATGAAATGAAACAAAAAATCGTTTTCTATTGAGGTTCTTCTGTTTCGTAGTAAAAACGGAAAAAAGCACATAATAATCGTCTCCCCATCACTCCCACTTTTATTTCCTGTCTAGCCTTTCGGGATGTTATGTACATGAGAAATTTTTCTCTCCTTTTTTTCTTCTTCGAAACTTCAGGAGGGGGAAAGCATAGAAATGATGTAAAGTCTCTCAATCATCGAAAACATCGTCGTTCTCATTCTCTTCCTCTCTTGATCGAGTGGAAGAAAAAAAAATTATTCCTAGCTTATGCTGAGATTTCCTTAGAGTGTCTTTATAATCACTTAAGTCTCGTATGAGGTATTTTTAAATAAGACGACACACAAAAAAGTTTGGCTTATCTAAGTAATTTATTTTAATGATTTTCTCCCAAAAGCTTTCAGATTTTGCAGACATCGTATGTCGTCGCGATTACGTTTTTTTTTATATTATTATTCTAAGTGACTCCATGAAAACCTCAACCTGATAAATGAGCGTTAAAGAAAAGAAAAATTATGATGAGAAATGATTCATCATTTTCGTAGCATAAGCAAAAGATTTTTATTGAGATAAAAACATTTGGCATTTCATCATCTAATTGAGGTCGCGTCTCTTGTGCGACATTTAAAACTTTGGTCTAGTGATGAAAAAGAAAATAAGGGGAAGATTTTCCTTTTCTTTCTTCCTGGACATTAATTTTCCTTTCATCCATTTAAATATTATGCGATAATCTGATTCGTAACTATTTCACTTTCCTCTCATCTTCTTGTCTTTGAAAGTTCACTCACAGAGAAGAGAATTTATGCTTTTATTATCCGCACTAAAGCGATGAGAAATAATAACAAAAAAGGATGATTTTGAAGAGAAAAAAACGTATGCCTAAAATGTATGAGCTAAAATACAACGAACACATAAACAACCTAAAACCTTAAAAGAAAAAATAAGAAAGCAAACAAATAAACCGTCAAGTCATTTCTTCGTTTCAGCTCTGGTTTATTTATATGTGTAAATTCTTATCCTTGGGCTTTTTCCTCTCTTTCTCACCCACTACCTAAATTTTCATGTGCGCTTCATGCCCAAATGAAACAAAAGTGAACAAAAAACTAAACTTGCTTCAACTCCTTCTCTATTTCCCACTCATTTCACTTGCCTGATGACGGCTATGATGATGATGATGAATGTGAGCTATAATAAGGAAAAAGAAGCTTTACGGTAATTTTGTTTCTTTAAAAAGAAGAAGGCAATGTTTTGGAATAGTTGAGCACTTGTTATAGTAAAAAAAGAAGTAAGAATAATTTGTCAAGTGTCGGATGTGAATGTTAAAAGCTTAAAAAAAGTATTTAAATGTTCCCACCACCTAACGCATCTCACATTGAACAAAAGTTTGAATTATCTCCAGTGACATCAACTCGCACACTTTCCACTCAAAAAGCTCTTATTCTCTCATCGTGAAAAGGACCGAAAAAGCGGCTGAGTGTTATTATACGACAATAAAAAGCAAAGTCATATGACGTACCCAAATAAGAATTTATAGAAGATCTTATGTTTTGTTGGTGTTTCATTTTCTCCCCTTTTTTGTGTCGTTCAGTCAGACTTGAATGCTCTCTTTCACATCAACCTCCACTTTACACACTCATACCAAAAGCCCCTCCATTGCCATCCATCCCCGGCTCGAGGAAAAATATTTTTTCGGCTTTCTCTACTTTCTGAATAGCTGTATATGTGTTGCCCCGGCAACGAGCGTATCGATCCGTTCAGACGACCGAATTATGGCATGAACATGAAAATTTTCCTTTTTATACTTTTCCTTCTCTCTCCCTCTCTGTCTCTCCTTCTCTTTCTCTCGAATTATTCATCGTCCCACGCTGGAAAATTTTTCGGGTGCTGCTGCCTGTTTTTCATTCTTTTCTGTTTTTTTTGCGTAATACGCATCTGATTATAAGCACACAGACAATGATTCATTTCATATGGTTTCGGTATATACGAGAGTTTACGTTCGCACGAAGGTTGAAAGGGAAGAAAAAAAAACAAAATTCATTTTGATATCAACGACAGCAAACTGAAAGTAAAGATATTCACTCACATAAAACAGAAACAAAGTTTTTGGGGAGAATAAAAAAAAGCGATCCGGCAGACGCCTCGACGGTTGCTGGTGTTTTTGTTGTTTTTCTCACATAATTTTTCCTTCTCATTTTCGTGCGCTTCATTGGTTTGGGTAAATGAAAAAGAAGAAAGTTCACGTGATGGTGGAATTTCGATGGTACTTTCAAGCCCCTTGATGTAGTTTTATGATTACTTTATAGCAGCATACGGCAACAAACATATCTTGAAATGATCATGAAGTGAAAAGTTTTCCCGTTCTCGTTTTTTCTTTTTTTTGGAGGAAAAGTTTTCGACGCAAAGTGCACGTACACCAAGATTGTTGATGTGGGTGGATATCTCTGGGGTATGAGATGTTTAAACATCTTGCTTGTTTGAAAACCAGATGGACAAGTTTCCAGCCAATATCGGGTCATGCTTTGTTAAGAGCAATCAAATAATGAGACAATGAAATGATATTCAAAATGCTGAACACGCACGCTCTCCACATGATTACTTCAAACTTTCACACATTTACATGTCAATTTCACTCATATCAAAAGAAATGGTAATCGGAGAAGAAAATAATAAAAGCAGCCGAGACGGAGCACATCGAACGTCGCATGAGAATGCGATACAATGGGAAAAGCATAATGGGGAAGCATAATGTTTGTATGTACACATAAAATACATTTATGCTTCGTTCAAACATGTTTTAAAAGAGAAAACAAGCATCGAGCGTAAAGCAGATGGAATGAAAAAGAAGAGGAAAAAAAATGAAACATAACTTTATGTCTAGTCGAAATGTCTACTTAATCGACCTTGATTAGGTCGCGAGCTCTGTTTTCTTCTCTCGCTCTCGCCTCCGTCTTTTCCATGTTAAATAAAATATAAAAAAACTGTAAATATTGCGTTGTTGAAATTCACATAACTTGCTGGTCAGTGCCGCTTATTTGATGTCCAAAAGCTTTTAGTGCTAATTGTTGACTTTATTTAATTTCTATTTAAAATCATCAGATTTCAATTCGAAGAAGAAATAAATATTTAATTTGTTTAACGATGGAAATGTACATGACAAATGTTTTATCTGTGACTTTGTATTTTTGGTATTGTTTTGTAATTAATAATTTTGTAATCTTTTCATGACCTCTGACCTGATTTTAAACTGTAATTAGATACGTATTTGTTTTAAGAAATCTTTCATATAATTTTTTTATCATTAATCGGCAATCAAATTTAATCTTTCCACTTGAGAAGCCTTGTGAATGAATCAGATTTTAAATTACACAATAAACAGAAAATCTCTTCGTAGATACTTAAGTAATTACGAGAAAAATAAAAAAAAGAGTTAAATTTCTATAAATAAAAATAACCCTGATATCGAGCTTAATTAATCAGAGTTAAAGTGTGAAATTAGTGATTGCGTTTCATTAATTCGTTCGCAGAACAAAATGTAAATTAATATTATGGTCTTTTTTTCTCTCTGTTGCTTTCACCTACACACTCATGCTCAGCTCACTGAACTGATACGAAATATAAAGCACAACGCCTGTCCTTGTAACACTTTTTTTTTCTCTTCTCTTCTTCGCTGAAAATAAACACTGAAAAGTGTATAAGAACACAATGAAATGGAAAATATAATGAAGCAAGGAAAAGAAAATATTTTTGTTATCATCGTTACGGAAATTTTCTTACACGACCCCGAAAATATTTATAACTTTAATAACAACAACAGTGGAAATTTTTCTTTCTTGCCTAACATCTAAGACATTCATTCATACAAACATACAACATACATGTTGTTATATGCAATGAAAAGAAAGGAAGGAAAAGAGAAAAGAAAGAAAGTCGATTAAAAAAGGATTACATGTCAGAACGGATACTTTAGCATGTGGTATGGAAACTATGTGAGTCATAAGCTTCCCTTACCCTTCTCTCCTTAATATAACATGATGTAAATGTAAATTGATATCGTAAAGCTCCAAACACATGACAGCCAAGGATTTTCTCAAGCAACATGCCTTAGTCGCGTGTACAAAACCTCACAATTTAACCAAAGCTAAAACGTAATTAATAATGTGATGTATCAAGGATGAAAATATTCTTTGCTTTTGGTTTAATCAGACGACAGCCTACAAGACTCTTGTTCAATTTTTTGTGGTAATTTCTATTTATAAGAAAAATTTGCATAAATAATCAAATGAAAGTTACGTAGTAATTCCATGGAAAAACTTATGTTATTTAAACGAGTCGAAGTGAAAAAGGGCAAACAAGAGTTGAAGCAACTTAAAAATGGATAGACCAGAGACATGCAAATGAAACAATAAACTTTTTAATGCAAATGATTTTCAGTTCAATGCTAAAAGGCTAAAAGGTCGAAGCGATAGAATGGAAGAAGAAAAATAAGTTAAAAACACAACGAAGGCAATATTTGCTTGTTTTGTTTGTTTATTGTGGCATGTGGTAGACGGGGGGTTTCTTTCAATTGTTGAAGCATATTCGAGTTGAATAGTACTTAAACGACGAGCTGCACTTTTCGTTACAATTTACACAATTTACCCTTTAATGAAAACTCTCGATTTTCCTTGACGAAGTTTTTTTCTTCTTGAAAGACAAAGAAAAACTGTTTCCACAAAACAGAACAAAGAGATGAACATTTAATCTCCAGACTTTGGCACACCAACGTGACCATTATCGTATTGCCCGCCGACATGCTTTTGGCTCAAATCTTCCCCCACATCAAAGTTTCTTTTCTTCATCATTTTCATCACCACCCCCACCTAGAAAATATCCAGACGCCATATTAAAACATCTACGATAAAAGAATGAGTCAATGTTGTTGTATCTGATGATGGCTGGGGAGAAGTGAAAGAAGAAGAGAAAAAAATCAAAATTCATGCACCGTATTGAACCCTCAAACTCCAAACTCCCAAAAATCATTCGCTTGCCATTCTTGAGCTAACAACAAAAAAAAAAGGGATGAAAGGAAAGTTTTTTCCTTTCCTTTACGAGACGAAGGCGTAGAACGAGTCATCGTCGGAGGGGATGATCTTAGAAATTTCAACAGGAGAATCACATAAAAGCGTATCCTCGTCATGGGTGAAAGAATAATAATAATAAAAGAATATTCTCTTCCTTTTATTTATTTTGTGTTTTTATTTTCGTAAAAGCAATCTTCAAGAAAGGCTTTCTCCAAAGACAACACTCAGTGAAGAGTAAAGTAAAGAAAAAAAAGATTGAGCATAAAAAATGTGACATAACAGTTCAGTGAACGGTTTCAGATGGTGCACGCGTGTTGTTACAAACACAGTAACACGACATCCTTACCGAAGAGATGTTAGTGAACTTCTCATCCCTTATCGTTTTCTAAATTCGAAGAGGAAAGAGGAAAATCTCATTCTTCTTCTTCTTTTTTGTTTCTTTCGTTTCGGAATCTTTGTTGCGAGGGTTCGACATCATCCCTGGGTATTATGTTCTTTCTGTTCGAAGGAAAATACTTCTCGCCACCACTCACACTTGGCGCTCTTTCTCCTTCTTTCTTGTGAAAAATCCCCAAGCTACGATGAAAATCTCCATTCCTATAACCGAACATTTCTCTGAGCCTCAGGCAATGAAATGGAAGAAAGAAGAAGTAAAAGTTGCACAAGCGCATACGAATCAAAGTTACTCTTCCTAATGTGTAGTAAAAATTCATAGTATACAACCGAACCTGTGCTGTTTTACGCAATCAACTGTTCAACCATCCCTGTCCCACTCTTTAAAAGCCATACAACTAAGAATGTTTTTCACATTGAGTAAAAGGAAAAATATGAAATGAACTCAAATGGTCTTGTATGCGAACTGGAAAAGCTTTTTATTGCTGCTTTTACAACAGAAAAGACGAAATAAAAATGCGGTAAAACGATTGAGAGCCTGGTGCTCGACATCCGTGTGAATGTATTTGTGTTTGTGTGTGGAAATCAGATGGTTTTTGTGATTATACTTTCGTACGGCTTTTCACACCCAAACAGCAACAACAATGGCATCAAATGGGACGACTAAGGACATTCAAGTCGGACGAAGAGAAGAATGGAACGGAAAATGTTGGAAAAAAGAAATAAAAGAATTTTTGCTTTACTTTTCCATCTCTCTCACACTTACACACATCGCATTTCGTATTCTAATGGGTGCCTTCTATTTTATGATTAATTGCCTGGGCTGAATAAAAATTTCATTTTTCATTCTGAGTTTTTGCTTTTCTTTTTTTTCTCTCGTGAATCGTGGAATGAAAGCGAGAAGGGGACGTTTTCTTTTTAAGCGAGACACATTCGCTAAATATCCATATGAAATGATTTCTTTCTTTGTTTACAGTTTTCAAACTGCTAGAAGTTATGTAATAAATTTCTTTTATGGTTAAGGTATTCACGTACATTATGTCATTGATGACAGAGCACGAGAAATAAATAAACGAAATGAAAGATGATGGAAGTGTGAGGAGAGTGGGTTGTCATGAGAATGGGACAGTTTTTCATTTTTTGTTTGTTATTCGAGGGCGAAGATGATTTTTCCACTCAATTTTATGTCATCAATTTTAACGAAAATATTTTCGTATATTTTTTGTTTTATTTTGAATTTTGTATGAATTATGCAAAAACAAGATTTTTTTAAAGAAATGATTTCCGCCTTTTCTCACTAGTTGACATCCATTCGGAGAAAGAGAAATGACATTTGAAATCATTTTTCAAGGCTCTTATTTTATTTTTGGGTACAGTTGATATTCCCTAAAGTGATAAATTCGTGTCACAAAACAAATAGAAGTCTTTTATTAAAGTTAAGAGAGTAAAATGATGAAATTTTGTCATCATATTGAAATACAACAAGTGACATTCACTTCCGAGAATATCATCTGTCAAATGATATTTACATGTTGTGTTTAGGCCAAAAAAAACGAGTCGAAAGTTACTCATCTATGTACATACTTAAAAACCGTAAAAGAAAGCAAGGAATAAATGCGATAAATAATGTTTTGTCGTAGCGCATTATTTATTATTTGTTTGAAAAGAATTTGCATAAATACGAAATTAAAGGGCAACATCACGTAATGTATTATTACAATGAAATCTATAGATTATTTATATTTCCATCCCTGACAACATTTTATTTTATTCTTTCTCTCTCTCTTCGACTCGTATCCGTTCTGTTTCTGCTTGTCATCTACTAATAATGAGGACGCCAACATTATTGTTGGTGGTGAAAAGCTTTGACAATTCGATGCAAAGAAGCTGCGTGATTGTCGAGTCGATTTGGAAGAATGAATGAAAGAAATGATGAGACGAAAGACAAAGCCATTAAGTGTAATCAGTCACATAAACGACATTTTTCATTTCGCTTATTAATTTTTCTCCCTTAAATGACACAGATGAAAGTATGATGAGGGTGGGTTGGTGGTGATGGTGAGGGTGGTTGGAGACGAAAACATCAACCGCAATGAAATACGCACCATGCCAACAATTCCCTTTCGCTTTCACAATAAGATTAAGTGATCAAGCATTATCGCAAATGTGCCACATAAGTATTTCTGTTTCGTTTTGTAAATTATACAAGAGTGAACACAGAAATAAAAAAATGACATCGTCGATAATCGAAAGAAATTCGAGGAGAAAAATTGCGCGAAATTTGTCCTCACTGTTTTGATAACAACCAAAATAAAACGAAAACAATAAAATTTGCCAGAAACATTCGTTAAATTGTGTCACGAGAACAAAACCTTGTTTCTTGATATAAAACAAAATAAATTTTTCTTTTTTTGTTGAATTGAATTGAATTGATACACATGTGATGAAATTGTAATAGAATTCTGTTTCTTACTCATATTTTGGTCGAGGCTAATCAATAATAAACACAAAGCAATCAAGTGTTTTTATGGTTATATAATAAGCTAGTCGATGTGATTGACACAGGTACAAACACTTTGTTTACACAATCGATCTTTATCAATTGCTCGAGGTAAATGGTCTGACAGACGATACCGCATGTGTATGTTGTCATGTTTGTTTGTCGCACAATATTGCGCCATACTATATAAAGCTCGCCCTTATCGCTCAATACCTTGGGAAAAGGCGTCGACAAAGCACATTCACAATCTACGTGCAGTCAGTTTTTATCAGCACTCAACACTAGGCGCTTAAACGCTTCTTTTTCCTCTATATCTCTCTCTGTTTTTTGTTTATTTCAAAGCGACGGATCAGAGAGACATTCAAGGCAAAAGCAATGTTTGAAGAACTTCGAAGCGAGAATTTTTTATTTCTTTTATGTTTGTCTATCGTCGATATAATTCAAACAAAGATTAAATGACCAGATGTGACTCTGCTCACCAATGAGAAATATGATTGGAAATTCATTGGTTTCACTAATCCAACCTTTCTATCTCTCGTTCACTTCCTCCGCACAACAACGAACAAAAAAAAATCACCCGATATTCAATATGCTCTCCGACAGTCGATATTTTTCCTTCTTATTATTTGCTTCTTATGTTTACACTTCTTATAGGCCACGGATGAAAGAAAAATAAACTGTAATGACGCCTGAGAGGAGAGCGCCACCCACATAATCAGAATTTATAGGAAATTGTTATTCCGTAACGATAATAATCGTTCAAATGGAGTCTCGCTCTTTAAAAGCGTATTCAATGTTGATGATTATTTTTTATGTTTTGTATTTAGTTCTTATGCTTGGAGGAAAATTTTCTTTCTTTTATGAATGATTTACCCCACCCCTCCTCCCGCTAATCGCCCATAAATTGCTCCGATCATTTCTCAGGCAATTCATCACGAAAATAAGAAAAATAAGAAAAAGAAAGCCTAGAGAGCTTGTGCCAATGAGTGTCGTTTAAATTAATAAATTAAATTGCGACACTCTGTTTGTTCTTCAATTCCTAAAACCGCCTGCTCTCGTTCATTCATTCATTCACTTGTGGACTATTTGCTTATTGAAATCGATTTTTTTTTTATTATTTCTCGTCTTTCTTTTCGTTCTTCAATTTCTTATTTCATATCTTATGACAAACCGGAAAATGTGGGTTTAAAAAGTTGAACACATTTTGCCTTCTCTCCTCCATGAAATGTCTTTCTTATTTCTGTTTTGTGCACCAATAAATTAAAGAAAAGAAAAAATAAGTTCTCAACTTTAATTTATTGAATATCGTTCATATGTGTTACTTGAAAGAAGGCGAAGTCAATGACGGTGAGATAGAAACGCTTAATTTGTCGTTTGCTATAAATGTGAGAAAGAAATGAGATTTTTCTTTGTGTTCGATATATATGAGGTTTAATGAATGAAAGCTTAACACGGTTTTGTTAGCTTCAACTCGAGATGAAAAATTTAAATCTCGTCTTAATGTTTTGCTACTAAAATGCTTTAACCGTTGGCGTTTGTTAACAGTTGAATGTAGGCGGTGAAAAGACCAATTCTGATTAAAAAAAAAGTAACGACTCGACGATGCATGAAAGGTGCTTTATAATTGATCATTGAAAGAAACAACTAAGTCATTAAATGCCTATCCAAAACGAGATTTATTGTTTTATTTCGTTGTCAACCAAAAATCAGTCATGTAGGCGATGACGTTTTTTTTAATTAGCTGAAAAGAGACGATGCAGTATGTCTAATAAAAAATGGAGCAGAAATAGAGAAGCAATGAGGGTCGGTCGATGGCCGTCGATGTTTATTTTGTGAAACAAGAGTAAAAAGTCGTTTGCTTTCGCCTTCGGGCTAAATCATTCGAAGGTGATGTAGATAAGCAATAACGATCCATCAAGCAAAAAAAAAAATGTGCTACAAAACCAATAATATAAACTGCAAGATGAACAAACTAGCAAATAAATTTATTTCTCTTTTCAACTTGTCGTTCTTTTTTTTTTTGTTTCAAAACTTAAGCTTTGATGCTGACATCGAATCATTTCATTTCTAAACGATATGAATAAATTGAAGAAAGAAGTTGAGAAAAAATAAAAATATCTAAGAGTCGAATAATTTATATGTTTTTTATGTGATCAAAACATAAACATTATAAATCAATTTCCATCTAAAATATGTGTAGCACAAGGCATTAAAAGAGTGAATAAAAGTCCCCGCATGTAACTTATAAGCTGCATGAAATCAGAAAGAAGAAAAAGAATGAAAGAAAGAAGAAAACTGGAATCTTGGTTTTAATGAAATCTCGAAAGTCACTTCACAAATCATCCATTTATGGACAAAGCGTACGAATTCTGGATCTCGTTTCTGCGATGTTGAGAATGTCATAACTTTATTTTAAGAGAAAAACCATTGGCTGATACAGTATGACTTCTGAATTTATATGGAGAGTCTTATGTGAGCTTTACGTTAATATCTCTTGAGGCGAAAGATTAATCTGTGATCATAAATATGTGGGTGTATAATTGACTTCTTGATTAAAAAGCAAAGCGACCCGCAACAAGCCACTTAGGGACTTTCCACTGTATTATTATTATATTATATTTTTTTCACATGAATTTATGTATCGGCAATCGCCATCAGTCATGAGTGAAACAATGATAATGTGTCGAGGATGAAGAAATTCGTTATATATTATGCTTTATTGTCAAAGTTTTTTAATTCATATTTTCCAACTTGATTACATTGGGGCGCTCCCGGCCATTCCACAATCTCATCCACTTTATCTCAATGTAATATTTTCACACACATGTGAGTCTCTGATACAATTCAAAGCAATTTCACTTTTTATTTTATTGTTTGAAAGGGCAATTTAATGAAATTTTAAACAAAGTTGCGAGCAATTTTTCCATTCACTAAACGTGAAATTTCTGTTGAATTTTCTTTATGAAAATCAAATTAACTTAACTCATATTTGCGACGAGGATAAATTAACTTTGACTGAACATTTGTGATTTTTTGATAAGAAGATTTATTATTCTTTGCTTCTCTTTTCTTTACTTTTTTGAAGAAAAAAAAAAGAGCAGAAAAGCGAATCGAATTTAGATTGGTTTCATGCTATGAAGTTGCTGAACTCAAAGAATTTAAAGAAAAAGAGAATTTCCTGAAAGCAAATTATACGTTTTGATTTGCTATGAGAATAGAAATCTATGGAAAACTAGAAAAATTACGTGTTACGTGTAAAAATTCAACAGCGAATAAAGACACAAAGAATTGAATCTTTAAGCCAAAACAACTTCACTCTCGGTAGAAAAACCAGAACTTCTTATTCTGAAGAGAGACATAAAAAGAATTATTAAGAATTTTCAAGGTTAAGGAAAAAAAAAGAATTTTTTACATGCAAAAGAAAGAAAAAAATCTCATAAAGTTTGTTAAAATATTTATCTTTCTTACAATTTTTTAAACCTGAAAGAAAAACATTTTTTTCTTATTCTGTAAGACGAGTCAACACGATGTTTACACACGTTTATGGTATCACAAGAAACACAGAAAAATATAAGAAAAGTTTCTCTCAGTGGTAATAGCTGAGTTGGATGCTATTTTAAATTTTTCAATTCATGTTCGTTTTCGCAAAATTACCAAAACAGATGAAATATTTACGATCGATATGTCGTTGACAATGTAGCAAAATTAAATAAAATTTTTATTCTCTTTTTATATCGAAACGACTGTAACAAGTGCTTGAATATCCACAATTAGTGATGTCATGCAAGAAAGAAAAAAATTAAATTGAATTCCTTAATCAATTTACACTTGATTCGTAAACTTTAATTAAAATGACAATAATCATTATGATCACAAGAGCTACATGAACAGTGAAATCACGAACAATTATCGAATGATTTCTTTTTAATACAAAGCTGAAAAATTTATTAAACACGTTGATGAGGTCGTCACGATATGAAAGATGCGATTGAAGTAATTGCTAATGAGAAGTGAATTTAATAGTTTGATCATTGAGAACTGAGCAGCTAAAGTCCATTATCATCTTCCAGTGTGAATTTTTTTATTACTTATCCTCATACTTTTTTTTTTCTTAATATTTCTCTTCTTATTCATTGAATCGTAAATCGAACATCAACATCAAGTCATTATAATCAAGCCCAGAAGATGATGAAGGAGGTTGAAGCCTTCAATTGGCGGCTCTTTTCTCATAAAAAATCTGTCCGTGCAAACGCGGATTTTCTCATCGTCTCCACCTTATTTTTTACATATTCATTGTTGATTTTCGATTCCAGTGATAAACGAAGGAAAGGTTAAGGAGAAAGAAAAGAAAAGCATTATCATCCACGTTCATCATCATTATTATTGTTATTAAATACAAAAAAAAAATGAAAAGCTGAACCAAACATCATAAAATTTTATGCGAAGTTGGAAAATTATTGTGACGGAGGGAGAAGAATGAATCAAAATTGTTGCGCGCCTCACTTGCTTTCTTCATTATAATACTTGTTTCTGATCTATTCAACATGAATTTATGTGCTTCTTCATTTCTCTGGCTGTAGCATCGTAAAAGTCAATCTGAATTTGCCTAAATTATCCGTTGCAAGTATTAAAAATACTTTCTTAATAAATCAAGAGCCGCTTTTATCCTGATTGAGTTTTTTAAATTGCACGAGAAGGAAAACAAGTTCAAGTACCAACTACAACACTTGTTTAAATTGCAACAGAAAAATATTATCATCATCATAGTTTATGAGTAAGCCTCGCGCTATTAAATCTAATCATGGGGTTCATGATTGTTATTACACTCTCAGCTTATGCATCTAACCACCAGCGTTTCATTCGCAATATATTTACGAGGGATGCAAGATAATCTCAATGGTTGGTTATCATTTCTTGAGATTATTCCGCAATACACAAAAAATAATTTTTCATGCTGAAATATTTGACGTAAGACATAGCAACGCATTCCAACATTACAAACAATTAATAGTTAGTGAATTAAATATTTACACATTGGGAAGCTCGAAGTAATTTTATAATTTATTCGTTCATAACTTTAATAACAATTTCGCCGCCAACTTAATTGCTGTAATTCTGCACAATATCGAGGGGATCATTGTTTTACACAGCTCACGGTGCAAATATTTAATAAAATATCGCTACAATCCAGACAAAGAGATATTTTCCTTAGTGAAACAAAAAAAAAAAATACAGCAAAGATCATCGAGTTGAAAATTTATTGAACTGTAAAGGAAAAGTTTTTATGAGCACTTGTAGGATAAAGAAAAATAAGAATAATAATATCAAACATTTTTTTAACAAGAATGTTTGCTCCACCACCGACTTTTTTTGCAGTAAAAAGAAATCCCGTAATATCTCATAAATAATTCGACTCGCGAAATAAGGAAACGAGAAAAACTAAAAGCAGAAAAAGTTATTTTTGTTTCATGAAAGAAAAATTTCGTGAAAAATGCGGACGATGCTGAAAAAACGAGAACAAAACAAGAAAAAAAAGTAAAATTAAGCTGTAACATAACATTTTGTTGGCAAAGTTTTGATAAAAGAAGTTTAAGTTTCTTTTTTCTTCTATTATTGATTCAGCTCGCACTGAGTAATCAGACATAATAAAATAATAGCAGCAATATCGAACAGAATCATTTGGAGTAACACATAACTCAACATATGGTATCAAAAATAAAATGAAAAGCGAGCAAGTAAGCGAGCAAAAAGGCAAAGCTAACATTATCCAATATGCATGCAACATGAGCGAGTGAACGAACTGAGGGAGTGAGAAGCAGATTTAATAATAAAAAAAAATATCAAACAGCTGTTCCACCGATCGATTTGAACTTGTTTCTCGAGTGGTCTTTCTCGCTTTCTCCCTTCGTGTTATGCTTCGCAGAAAAATGAACAACGATGACAACGAAACTTACTGCCTTTCAAGGGATTTCTGCTTTTTTTTCTTACATAATCAAATGAGGGTTTCGTTCCATTTTTTTTTTTTGTTTTGCATTAGACAGCAGAAATCTTTTTTGCTTTTTATATCGAGTTAAATATTTATGTGAAGGCTGATTACGGCGCCTTCTTTGATATGCTTGATAGGATTATTCGCGTTCCCAACCAAATAGAACAAGAATAGATCATTGGGAACAACAAAAAAACTGCACAAAAACTTGAAATTATTCTGCTCGAGTTTCAAGTCGAAATACTTAGTTCCGTGATGAAGAAGTTTCTACGCATGAAGTTAAAAGATTGTTCAATGGTTCACAATTTGTTATAGTTTAAGTTTCGCAAACCGAAAACTAATTGCTTTGATCTTTTTTGCTTTTTATTCTGTTTGTTCGGTTGAGCAAAGTGAAGTCAAAACTGTTTCTATTCAGTGAAAATAGAAATATAATCGATAAATAAGTAGAATTCGTGTTCTGTTGTTTATTATAAATCAGCTGTATGACGTCAATGAACCCTTTTTTATGTGTTATCGTCTACCCTCCTTCGACCTTACGAGAGAAGGAAAAAAGGGCGAAGTATCTGTCGTCGTGTAGTAAATGGAAGAAAATAGAATTTTCATTTTATTTACTTACATGCAACCTCACCCTCCTTTGTTGCCATCCATGTCGTTCTCATACATATTTAAAGGATGCAAAATTACATCAGCATGTAATCCATGTGTAAGCTAAAAAGTAAATACAATGTAGAGCATTTCTGGTGTATTGACATATATTTTTGAGTGACGTCATCTAACCAACTAACCAGCCACCCCCATCAACACGGGGACAGTCCACATTGTATTGCATTCATGATGGAAAATTCTGCTACTTTGTATATAATTTATTTATATTTTGTTTCTCTTAATTTATTTCACTTGATTGCTATCGTATTTGATGTTAGTTCTCTGACGTACTTTAAAAGCACAAAAGCACTTCATTCAAATTAATTGCTCGTTTGACTACAAATATTTGCAAAATGGCACTCATGAAACAAGATGAGTGGAGAGGTGAGAAATTGCCTTTTGTCGCGCGATTAATTAGTTGTTTTTTGTTTATTTAACTCTTTGCGTCTTTCAATTCACGCCGCAAACTCTTTTTTTTTGTCTTTGTCTTTATCGTTTTGGTGTTAAGTTGAAGGAAAGCAAATAATGTGAAGATGAAACTCTTTATCAAGTGCTAAACTTATTTAAGACTCGTGATTTATGTCCACTGATCAAGTAGAAGAATAATGTATGGAAAACATTATCTTTCTACTGCTAATGATGTTAACATTGTTTATGTTTGATTATTAATTAACGTGAAAGTATTTTGAGAAGACTTTTTATCTTTGACATTCAAGTTAAGTGTGCAACAAAGAGAAAAACTGATCATAATTCTCTACTCATTCACAGTGACACTAACTGCTGAATCAACGCTTGCCAATATAGATGTCATCGAAAATTTATTATGTCTGAGGAAGCTTTTCCACAGTTTATTTAGTCTCTTGAGAGATGCGCACACAATAATGAAGAAAGAAAAAGAATCGTTCGAGACGTTTAACATCATCAAAGTGCAATCATAAAAATTCCAAGACTTGCATTCTTACGATTCCCTTTCGCGTATTTGAGAGTGAAATTGAGTTTATTTTCCTCTTGCTTTCACGTTTCATTCATTTCATGATGCACAAATTGTATTTTTCCTGTTGACTCTTCTTCGTCTTTTTTTTTCGCAAAGCAGGAACTAAACTAAAAGCTGCGTTACATATTTAAATTTTATAAATAACATCGTGCGATTAAGAATCAAAAAGACGATAAAAAAAGAATTCAAAATTCTCTCTTGTAAACATCCAAAAGCAAAAAATAAAACACATTGAATTTAGATTGCGGTTGTAGAGTGTGCTAATACTCAAAGTGAGCAAGAAGAAATAAGTTAAAAAAATCTTCGAACAACAACCTCGCAGCTTACTGAAATTTTTTTTCTTGTTCTTTTTTTGCACATCCAAAATTATATTTCGTGATGATGTAGTTTAAATTTAGAACACATGATGAGCCTCCATGTCTGTTTATATTTTGTAATTTAGTCTTCTTTTTCATACCCTTGCGTAATAAAGTTCCACATCGCAATTTTCATTCAACAGTGGCGCGGTGAAGTTTAAAGAGAGACAGATGATCGTGAATTACTTGTACATATTTAAGTATTTTATTTATATCTGGAAAGCCATAAATCGCGCATGAATGAATTGCTCAATTACCGTAACTGACGTTAATTACATATCATCCCCATTTAATACACAAACATCGCAATATCAGCCGAAATAAGATTCTTATATAATTCTAAAAATAATCTCATTTTGCTTCGATACGAGGAGCGCAACAATAAGAAAGCCGCGCTCGTTCATCTTCGCTCAGAAACAGCTGTTGTTACAATATCATCATCATCGTCTATTAAACGACTAAGGGGAATAGAATCGTTGTGAATTTCTCGTCTCTTCCATAAGAAGTAAATCAAAATCAATTGCAATGAATAAAAAAAATTCCCAGTCAATAATCTTATCAGTCAGCTTTTATATTTGCATTTACCCACTCCTGAAACTTCATCGCAAGCAAAAGTGAAGCAGCATAATAATTTATGCGATCAAACTTTGTATAAGAAGCGATGGAAAACATGTCAAAATTCATCAGTTCGGTAAAAAGAGACAAACTGTTGACACAGCAAGTACATTTACAATTCCGTAATCTTTGAAGCACTTTTTGTTTCTTATCATAAAACGAAAATAATTGTGCAAACATTTTTAAGCGGTGGCTCTGGTCGTTGCTTTACCCAGAAAAAGAAGAAGAAAAATAAAAGTAAGAAAGAAAAACGCAATAACAAGCATTCGAAGCGTTTTTTTTTATCAAAGCAAATAAAGGTAAAGTCTACAACGACAGTGGCTAACGAAGTTGCGTCTACATTTCGTATTCATCTGAACTGGTCTTACATAAATTACATTTTATGATATTTTCACTCTGTTCTCTGAGTTCTTCTGCTGAATGCGTATGAATTTTCTATGAGCTATTAAAGAAGGAACACAAGAAGAATAAAAAAATTATTACAATCTAATCGGAGGGGGATTCTGTAAAGACTTCGTGTGCAAATTGCTTACCGCTCGTTTCGCAATCTTTTCTTTCTGCTTTTTTTTGCCGCTCTCAGAAATATTTCTTTGTGGTTCACACACGAAAAAAAAAAAAAAAAACGAGAAATTGGCAGCGCGTAAGCAAGAAGAAGCTTTTTGATGGGAGTACAGTCAGTGCAAAACATGGATTCGTGTAAATCGAAGGAAAGAAAAAAAAAACGTTGAAAAGTAATAAAAAAAACTTTTTACTCAATTCGGATGCTTCCAACTCTGGTAAGCAGAGAATGCTTATTAAAATGTTAAAAGTTTAAGTCTTTGTGTTCGTTCTTTCCTGAGGAAGAACGATTAATGGGAATCTTCTGCTAATGTATAAGTGACGAGAGGAAAACTGAAACTTGAATGTTTATTGCAAAAGCCACATATGTCCAGTACTCTTAATCCATAAAAAGGTGATCGCGAAAAACAAGCTTAAAGCGACAACAAAACCGAAAGAATGAACAAAAGCCAATGAACGACTAATAAAACTCCAAACGAAACTTATTATTTTGTCTTCGCACATGCAAAGATAAATTTTATAATAATAAAGACAGCAGCAATAACCCACAACAATATCCAATTTTTGAGCGATTTCATGAACGAGAAAAGAAACATAACACAACAAGCCAAAGCACTTAACACCACGTGATGTGAATTATAACGAGTAAGAAATAAAACAAATTGTGTTCTTCTTAATTCTCAAGTCCCAAATGTTGTAAAATCGCAGTGACTCGTCATGAAAGTTCGCATATTCCTCACAAGACATCAAATTAACTTAAAGGTTCGGTTTTTTTCGGTATTTTACGTTGGGTTGTGAAGAATTTTATGCATATAGGGAACCTAAGATGAATGTTCTTAAACATTACTTTCTGTTTTCGCAGTTGATGATATGACATGTTGGCCTTTTCAGTAATGGAATGTTGAATGCTTTTGTTGTTGCCATAAATAAGTTGGTTGAAGTTGAAAGATGCAAACACCATGATAGAATTGCGTGATTTCATAAGGAAACTCGATTTCGTATAAGAGTCTTATGGGAAAAGGACGAATAAGAAGAGTTCGTTCCATTCTACTTGTTTATTAAATATTAAATGTTGATTTTCGTTGTTGGTGGTAGCAGCAAAAAATGAAATATGAAATATCTTCATGTGATCATATTTCGATATCATTCACGTGTTTATATTTATCTGACTTTCAAACATTTACAGATTATGATAAAACTTTCTGTTGAGTTATTTTCAAGCATAAAAAATTAATTGGAAAAAAATCTCATCGTTTCTCCTGTCCCCAGCCCAGCTTTTATGTGCAAATGCGTTGAACTCGTTTCGCAGTTTTACAACGCACATGCTGATGTACTTCGCTGTTTATGTGACTCCTCCCGTACTCTTTCTCGCTCTCGACCATGTTCCATTTGGAACGAGACTCGACTCGAAGTACTTACGATTTATTTAATTGATTTTTATTGAAATTTATTACATTTATTTCCACTTATAAATCGTTTAAAAAAAAGAGTTAAAACAACATTTAAATATCGAATTATCGGCTGTGAATAAATTAAATATGCAAAAAACGCAAAAACTGTCTCAATGTCTAGTAGGATTTTTCTTTTTTTTAAATAATGTTTCTATCCACGATCACTTTTCTCTCTCCCTCTATGCCAGACAACATCGAAATATAAGCGAGTGTCGCTTTACGATTCAACACCGTACACAAACTGCGAACATGTGATTTTAACTTGTCATGTCGTACGCTGTTTGTTTAAGGAATTCCAGATAAAACGACCATTTACGTGGAAAGCTTTAAATAAATGAATTCTGTACTTGTCTTTCTCTCTCTCTCTCTCTCCTTTCTGTTTTGAATAAATATTACTCGTGCGTAATGTGAACAAACGAGGAATCGTCATATGATTTACTTTATTGGTTGGCATGATAGATAGAATGAATAAAATAAAATTCCCGCTGTCTCATTTGAATGCCACGCTTTTTGTAAGTATTAAAAAAAGTTAAAAAAAAAAGTTTACTTCGGATTCGTGTCGTGTCGAAGAAAGTCGATTGTGCGAATAAAGTCAAAGCGAATATCTACGAGGGTTTTATGCTTGACTTTTATTTTATTGTTTTTTTTTCTCTCCTTACTTTGATATCAACCCAGAAAAACGAAAAACTTTGAAAACAAAATCGAGATTACGAGCAAGTTTCAACTCAACCAAAATTAATTTTAACATAAACTTTTCTCTTGGTTTGTTTCAAATACTTTTGAACATTGGATTACTTCAATACTGTTTGTTTAACTATTTAACCAGATTATAGCAAAGCAGGGATTTCAACTTTCCTTTTTTTTTAATGTTTTTGTTCTGCGGTCAGACAATTGTTGCTCTTGTTACTGTTATCTGCCATTATATGGAAATTTTTAGAGCTTAATTTTATCTCCATACATGTGTCACTTATGAAAACGAATAAAATCCCTTCTGGCCTCGCCTTTTCTGCATTAATGTTGAACAGCTTTACTATGTTAGTAAACGAGTCCCTGTATCATATCGCCAGACGTTGTTCATACCACAATTTTATTATTTTTCTCTTCATCTCTTCGTTTAAAAGCTGGAGGAGAAAAATCATTATCATTTTAAATTAAAAATATCCATTTACGCGCGGTCATAAAACTGAACCATTTTCTTTTCATACATGTACATGTATAAGACTTATATGAATGTTCTTAAGGGCTAGTTAATAAATGACATCACAAAGATAGAGAAAAACAGACATAAATGAAGTGATTAAAAGAAACTATCATTGAGAAGATCATAAATTATTTAGACAATAAAATTCAGATTTATAGCAGCTTGTTGAATATTTTTTCTTTCTCTTCTTAATTGTCCGTCGATGAGAAATCGAAGTCGTCGAGAGATCTACGTAACTTCCGATGAATTACTTTAAGTAGGCATGTTTAAAAAAATATGCATTTATGTCTGAGGTTTAAAGATAAAAATTTATGCAGAAAACTTTAATAACATGAAGAAGTTGACGTGTAGGTTGAGAAAATAAATTCTGGGATAACTTTTTATCTTAACATGACGGTCAACGACAAAGAATCGGACGACGGTGTGAGAGTGAGAGAGATGCTGAGTCATCTGTTTTCTGCTTAAGAATTTTTTTTGTTATTTATTTATATTTCAAAAGAAACGAATGTGATTTTGGATAATAACAAAAGTTGCATTTGATAATTTCTTTTTATGTCAGTTTTGAACAAAAATATTTGCTTTATGTTCTGCGAAAACGAAAGAATGACCCGACAACAATATTTTTCTTTTATTCAAGCCTTTTAAGGCACAACTTATTCGCCACACAATTTGCAATCCAATGATTTATTCTGAGGCTTTCCTTTCGCAATTCTCTTTTAAAAAAGTTACCTCATTTGACTCTTGCTTTTGTTTCTTCTTTTTCGTTCCATACAATTTCTTGCTATATTGTTGCGAATCACAAACACATGCTTCTTTCATCGCCCTTATTCGATTTTCGGCTAAAGTAAGAAAAAAAAGCAAACAAACTAGTTTGTCTTCTCATCGCGGTTGATAATGAAAAAAGCACCCGAAATGAATATTCGCGCTGCGCAATTTATTGGGCAAGTTTCGCAAAAAAAAGAAGAAATAAAAAAATCTCAACGAAATTCCAGAGAAACACAAGAAGAATTCTTTTTGTAGCATCTCTTAAGCAGAAGAAAAATATACAAAATACAAAGATCGGCGACACACAACCATCTTCAGTAGTATCCCATTTTTGGCGCGTAATTTTCTTGTAATTTAATTGGATTCAAATTGCCTTTTTATGTGAATATGCGTGAATGGTTTGATATGAAAAAATGTCAGATGATGATCGTGATGGAATGTTTTCGTTTTGTGTGATCTTTCTGGCTATTTTAGGCGAAATTTAAGAAGAAATTTTGCAACGCCTGTTTGCGAGCAGATAAAAAAGTCAGAGCAAAAACAAGAAATCAAAACTTTATAACGGACCCAAAGTTTCACGGTTATGCTTCGACTGCGATGAAAGCAACAAACAACAAGGAATTTAATGTGCAATTCGACTTCCACATCGCTTTTAAGCAAATTGACTCTGAAAGTTTTTCATTTAAAATGTGGTGGCTGTGGGTGGAAGTGAAAATATCGAAAGAACATGATTACCAAAGAGAAACGAAATGGAATTCACTTGACTTTTTATTGCTGCTTTTATTATTCATAATGCATACATTTCCTTGCTATCTTTGCCTTCCTCTTTATTCCCGAAAATGAAATTTGATAATCTTCTCTTTTTGTTTTTATTTTACCATCGCTTTTCAATTCGTTGGCATTTCTTTCGTCTTCTCGCTTGCTTGTTAAAAGATATAAAAGTAAAGTAATAAAAAAATAACTTCATTTTCGCGCTGAACTTTTCTCAGTCTCTTAGTAGCATCAATAGCAACAACAGCACATGGTGATGTTTATTATTGGTTAAAATCCACTAGGAATGTCGAATGGAATTCGTAATGTTGTCTTATTTAAGCCTCCAGTGTACTGTTCACCACTTCTTATTGATCTCTTTTCTCACATTATTTCTTTCTTTCATTCCGCGAAAAGCAATGCGATTGAAAAATTAAAACTTCATCGCGGTTAAAGACCGCTGAAAACTTAAAAAGCATTAAAAGTAAGATTTGCTTTGCCTATTTTCAAGTTCAAAAGAGAATAAAAATTAATTTATCTACTTCTTGTGCGCGTAAATAGAAGTTATGCGAGAAAGATTGAAATTGATTTCGCGCTATGTGGTTCACGGATCATCATAAAACATCTGATTAATGTTGCTTCGAAAGAAAAAAAAACAAAAAAAAAGCAGCCAAACAAGTAAAACATTTTTTCCATCTTATTATTTCTTTTATCTTAAAAAATTAATTTACATTTTCTAGGTCGTTAAAGAAAAAGATTGTGACATGGTGGTCGTGATGAAATCATGACTATAATTAGAATAAAACGTAGCAATCAAGATATCGATTTGTAAGCAACAATGATGACGATTTTAAAGCGAAATTTAAATATGAGAAGTTGTGTGGTTTGATGTCTCACAAGACGATTTTGACGGAAGATTAAAAAATTTGATTCAGTTACAGTCAGAAGTCTTATTTTGTTTCTTTCTCAGATCTTATACTGTATTTACATGACACGTCATTACTCAAATAAGCATCTGATACGTAAATAAACACATGGAAAACATCAAAAGTTCTTATTGCATAAACTCTCGTTGATGTTTCGATAAACAAAACTTTCCGTTTAAGATGCTTTCATTGTGATTCAAGATACGAGAAAGATAAAAACAAAATTGCTCAAGTTTTTCTTTAAAAGATAAAAGTCGTCGTCGAATACTTTCATTGTCACACTAGAGAACAAATAAAACATTTTAAATTGTGGCAGAAATTTGTATTTTTTTCAATTCTTTATTTTCATTGTTTATTTATGCTAAACAGCAACGCTTTGGAATGTATAACTGAAAAATTTCGATAGAAAGAAATGCTTTCAGTGTCAGATGGTTCATGGAACAGGTTCGCATGAACTCTAAAAACGCTATCGGAGTGAAAATGGAAATAAAATTCCAATCAGACAGCTTTGCTGTATGTGATGCGGCGATCTTGTATTAAAAATTCCACAAGAGTCAAAAAAATATAAAATCAAAGGAGAAGAAAGATTTTTTTTTCATCTCTTTAATTGCGCGCCAACAACCGGTTGTTGTTGGTTCGTTTAGTGATTAAGAAAAGCCGAAGTTACTCAGCTGTGTAAAAGTCGATCTAATCTTGAGCGGCTTTTTGAGAGTTCTCATCTTTTCTTCAATGAAACACCTAAAGGTAACAAGACTCGATGTATTCTTAGATAGTAATTCAATACAATAAAAGCTCCCCATGTGGCCATTTAAAATATCCAAACCACAACCGAGTATGTCTTCTTCTTCGTCTTCCTTCAAGTACTCAATTCAACAACTCTACGCAACTTTTACTTGTATTCAAAATTAAGCTTTATTTGATGACTCGACTCATTATTCTTCATTACTATATTACAACATTATACAATCTCGAAGAAAATTATGATTGAAACGATCTTATTGCGTACGTTTTTACACACAGCCCAACTAGTTCGATTTACACTTCTTTCTTCTGCTCTGATATTAACGTGTGTAGGTTTTTGTTTGGGCTTTTAAATATTCTTCTTGTTGTTATTTACGCACAAAAATAATCACTTTTACAACTCTTGCTTCGTCATGCTATCGACCTGATGATGTTAAGAACAAGCGAATGGAATAAAACTCAAATTCTTCAAGTTGTTACTTTTTAAAGAGCCCGAAAATATGTAAAAAGAAGAGAAAAGAACAAAAATAAAACTACTAAGAACAGTTGAAACGCGGCAAAAGCGAAAAAAAAGAACACAGAGAATGATGAGAATAATAATAAATGATGAAGAATGATAATTATTGTTTACTAAAGCATAACAGATTGGTATCTTCATTATTAAGCAAGAATCATGAAGAGAATTTTATTCACTGTCGAATGCATGGAATGAATTGAAGCTTCTCTTTTGAAAGCATATCTACATCCATAAAAGTAGATATTTCTCTTTAGTTTTTTAGTTTAATGCTCCTTTGGGCGCCAAAACATTTCCTTCTTTACACTTTCAATTGTTATCATCCCACAGTGAAAATCTTTTCCTACATTAACATTCAAAATGAAAGAAAGAGAGAATGAAGAGTTCTCACTGTATGCTTCATTTCTGGTTTTCTTGTTAAGTAGCAGTCGACTGGTGCCGGAAAAGAATGATTTTTTTTCGAATCTGAGTTTTTTTGGCATTAAACATTGCTGGCATGAAATCATAACTTTCCCATGAAAAATATCATCAAAAAAAGCGAGCTTATGTGTGGTTGAAAAGAAAAACAGAAAATAAAATCAAAACCTGACGGAGAGTGAAGAACAAAGATGATTGGCGTTGCACAAGACATATGGCTCATGATTTTTTTTATGTTGTTTTGTTACAAAGTTTATTGAACTGTTTGCCTCTCTGTGGCTTTGAGGAATCGTTTCAATTTACATTTTTGGCTTAGCTCTTGGCAAACTTGTGCTCGTCGCTCAATGCTCATCACAAAATAAAAAAAAGCTTTCGCAATTTAAAAACAAATACCAAGGAAAACCGACCTGAAGAATTTCGAAGGAAAAAAAAGCAAACAATTCGTAATGCGATTTTGTCAACTTAAGAAAGAAAAAAAACTTTTTTCCCCCATCGATTCCGAGAATGACATAAAAAAAGCAAATATTTCTCTCCACAGAGCGTTTTGGAAAAAGTTTCTCAAGAAGCTTCACATATTGGCAAATATTTTATTTTGACTTCATCTCCATAGCAGGTTTTTTATTTTCTTCTTCAATTATGAGAACTGAAGATGAAGAAAAAATTATCGGCAATCAATTTGAAATGATTTCGTAGTAGGTAAAGAATGTTTGAATCATTTCACTTCGTTTTTTTGAGAAAAACTTTTTTTGAAACTACGAATAATGTGACACATTGACGAGGTGTGATGTCGGTTGGATAATTTGAGGTTGATTACCTCATACCGATTGTTCATTGTGCTGACAAGAAGACATTTGAAAATTTAATTAGCACTTTTCAAGCAAAGATCACTCGACCACGGTTCGATAAGCCAAACAGTAAACTTCTCTCGCCATCAATTTTTCTTTCTTCTTAATTTTTTTTTCATTATTTGAATTCGTTGCATAATCGCGTCCATCGGGTTGACGTCATTTGAAATTCAGGTTAAAATACTTGCACAACAGTTCATTCTGTCTCTGTACATACTCAAACTTGCATACATAACAATGAAAAGGCTGCAGCTCCGCTTATGTAAGAGTCGCTTCTGCTTCATTTTTCCTTTTATTTTCATCACCGGGGGTTGCTCACAAAGCTTCGATTTTACGATTTTTCTCGAGTGCTTTGTGTATAGCGAAAGCGCAGTGAAGTGAAAGATGGGGCGAATGGCCCGGGATTGTAAGCAAATACATAAGGAAAGAAGTCATGAATGGAAAAAGCGCATACTAGGAAGGAAGAATTAAAAGGAAAGAGACAGACTGCACTAGGTAACATAGTACACGAGCTACTATTGATTTTCCAGTTGTACAGACTCCTTTCAAAGCCTCAATGCTTTGATTGTTCTTTATCAAGTGCATTTTCTCGTAGACAACATCGAGTTAGCAAAAAACTCTCTCGAGTACAGCTGCAACTTTACTATTTCCGATGGTGTTTGTTATTTGAAAGGGAGAGCATTGCAACTTCTCTCCAACAACAATTCATCACCCAATGGAGAAGAGTTTGAGTGCATTTTAATGAACTTTTTGCACTGCGCCAAAGCGTAGTAAAATTGAACTTTGCTTGAACGTAAAACTTTACCCTCACTAACACACTCACATTTATGTTGCACAATGCAAAGTTAAGTGATTTGTGAACGCGAGTGAACATCAACAAAAATAAGAAGAAGAAGAACAACTAGGTGCGGCATGGTTTGCACATGTTCAACATCGCAACATAAAATAAAACGAAAAAACAATTTTTCATTCTTAAAACTTTTCTCAACTTTTTTAAGCCTTAAAGCTAAAATTTGAGCGAAATTTCTTTCGTTTTCACCATTGTTTGACGTCAAGAGATGCCATAATTCACCTTTAAAGAAAACAAAGGGAGGCAGTTGCTAAACAATGAGGCAAACGATTCGAGGTGGAAGAAAAAGGTGAAAAGGAAAATCGGATCAGACACAAATATTGGATTTACATTTTGGGGTTGGAAAAAAATTGGGTGCGAAAAAAGTTTTCGCCTTTTTCTTCATTTTCTTTCTTTCCTATTCCCACCGGATGAAGGGAAAATGACGGGAAATAAATTTACAACGTGACTCTTTGAAGGGGTTTGGTTTGTCACATAAAAGAAAGTGTCGGTCGGTCCATTTTAATACATATTGATTCCCCATCTTACTTTGACTTTCTCTCTCGCGGAAATTTCGAGCAAAAAAATAACAATTTATGTTATTCTGAGGGTGATTCACGATGAATCGTTGTCGTTAGAGCTGACGACGAGAAATTTTCTTTCTCAGATGACTTTGCGTAGGAATGAAGAAAGTTTAGAGGGTGGGTAGGGTGGCTTCTCCCTTCGGCAGCCTACACACGAACAGCTGGTGTTCATTGTAAATGTACGAGCGAGATGGGGATGTTAGAGACAACGGAAAGGAGGGAAAAAAAAGTTTTTTTCTTCTCCCACACGAACACCAATGGAGGGAAAATATTTTCCAGATCACAACGACACATAAATTAGCCTTCCTATAGATGTGGGAGTGAGTGGGGGATGGTAGCAAATGTAGGAGGCAAAATAGGGAGATTGTATAGAGTACAACGTACCAAAAACAGATTCATGATGACAATGATGATGATAAGCATGGAAAAAGCGTCCGGCAACAGAAAGGAAAATGAATTTTGCATGAGTGAATTTCGTGTTTGGAGAGTTCGTTGATTTCGGTCAAAAAAGCCTTTTTTCTCTGATGATGATTGTTTGATATCTGATTCTTCTTATTATTTTGTTTTTGCTTATTGTTGTGCTTTGTATTATACTTTTTTTTATTGTATTTTGTACAAATGGAGAAACGACCAAAGTAAAGCCAACGCCCCGCGAAAACTTCTTTTTTTTTCGGGTATGAAAGAGATCGTGTGTACGTTCTCCATCTGATGGGATGGAAATGAAAAGAGAACCGCAAGAAGTTTGTTGTGTTTTGTTGTTCAAAGACATGGAACATGAGAGCAAGAATGTGTAGTTCATTAACTTACCGTAATCCCACGAGAAGTTTGCTTTCAATCTTTCTTGTCTTCTGCTTCATTCTCGCTTGAGCGTATTCAAAAAAACGATTTTTTTCGTCTATTCTTCATGTCGTTTCTCATCGGAATGCCATGTCGAGTGGCTTTACGTTTACAGCACATAACAAATCAAAAGAAAGAAGAAAAAAATCATTCTCTAGCGTGTTGCTTTTGCCTTTTTGGTAAAGAGGCATCGACATTCATCATCAAGTCGATGTTGAAGACAAAAAGAAAAAAAAATCAAGTCTTTTCTACTTCATCAAACCATCTCATCTAAATGCGAGACGGATGGAATTTTTCGTGGCTCTCGACGGTACTCATTTCACTTCACTCGAAGTATTCTAATTTTAGAAAGTCTTGTGTCAAAATCATGAAGCACGAAATAACACAAAAGCTTAACAGTCAAAAAGAATTCCGGGAATGAATTGAGTAATGTTTCATCTGCTCATTTATTAAAGATGTTGATGATGATGTTGTTTTGCTTTGAAAAGAAAAGAGAGAAAATTATTCAATTACACACAATTTCTGTACAAACATTTATTATCGGTTTGTGATCGTGATGTGCATGATGGGAAAAACGAGAAAAGATTTTTTTTGTTGCTTCTTTTCTTTCATGTGCTTCGATCATAAAATAAAAATTGAGAAAATAAACATTAGGCAAATGAAAGACGCGCAAGCTGATTTGTAAAAGACTATTAATTAACGTAAAACACTTTTTTCGTTTACATATGTACATAAATATACATTTTGGGAGGGAAACTCATTTTTCAACTGTAATTTGTTATTTACATTGTGAGTCTCGTTTGTGTAATCTTCGAAAGCTTTGATTTTAAATATCTTCAATGTTAGTATCAAAGAAAGGCAGCAAATGATTGCAGTTGTAAATAAATAAGATAAAAATAAAAAGAAAGCTTTCTTGTCTCCACGAAATTTATTTACAATTGAACATCTAAACAACAGAGAGAAAAAAAAGTTATTTAATGACTCAACTATGCCCGTGCCATTTTATGTTCTTCTGCTTTATCGTCGATCATATGATAAAAGTTAGACATAAAAAGTAAATTTTCTTTCGAGACTATCTACGATGGAAAAGAAATAATGTGTCTGAGGGAAAAACACAATAATATGTGTGCGATGATTGTACGTACGGAAATAAAGTGCGAAAGAAAGAAAACGAAAGAAATAAGCTGATTTTTGTTTTGACGGGCGCGATGTTTCGTCTTTTGCGCTCGTAAAAAAATTTTCATGCGTAGCCCAAGCTTTATCGTCAATGCTACAATTTCTTTCTCATTTCGGTTCGCTTTTCCTAACTCATCAAACCACATTTACGCTTAACAATGATATTTGGATATTTTTCTTCTTTTTTTCTTTATTCATGCTTAAATGGAGAATTGAAGACTGTTTTGAGGTTCAGCTTGACTAAACACTCGCTTCATTTGTTCGTATTCACCGTGGTAAATGGTATCGATTGTATACCGAAAAATAAGCTGAACATTGCCTGTTCGATTTCTCATCGATAAGGAAGCACAACGACATTTCAATTTTGTGACTTTCTGAAATGAATATTTTACTTTTTCTTGTTCAACCTGCCACGCACTCTTGTCGAGAAAGTCAACCGTCCGTAAAGCAAATGTACTTACAGTAACCCGAAAATTAAAAATTATAGATAAACGTAAAGGCAAATGATCAGAAAGACATTCAATCGAAAATCTACTTCAATGTTTTATGATGTGGAAAGAAAGAAAGAAAGGAAAACAAGGAGAAATTCTTGCTGGTTTTATAAATGTTAGTTTGATATGAATCAACCCCACATGCTTTGTAGTAGTTTCACCGATAAACATCGACCGTAAAATCGATACGAATCGAACCACCAAAAACAAAGAGAAAGAAAGGAAAAAAAAATCTACAAAACTTTGAGTAAACACAGGAGGGTGGGAAATTCTCTTTTTTGTGTTGTTATAAAACGAACGAGCGCCTCTTTGTGCGCTTTATTGAATTAGTGTGAACATTCGGTGAAAAGCTGAATGGGAAGTTAAGCGTCGTGCTTATAAACTGCTTATTACAACTTTTCATGCATGAATCCATGCGACACATCGATAAAAAAAATTACTTTATCGCTTTTTAATATTTTTTTGATGTTGTTGGGCGTTATTTTCATGAAATTTCCAAAGGTCGAACTTACTGAACTTTTTCATGTTGCATAAAGCGACGTAATAGACAAACGATCCAATTTAGTTTGTTAGTTTTTATTACTTTACCGTTGGCGTGCATTCATCGTAGAATATAAAATAAAACGAAAAAGCAGCAACATAATTCGATAAAGCGATGGCGTTTATTCGATTGTTTTCCATTAGAATAATTCACATGAACAAGCAAGGAATGAAAGCATGAAAAAAATCCACGAGAGAAAATCAAAAGCAGGTGAAAAAGCGCCACTAAACATTTACACCGCGAATGAACAGAGTAAAAAAATTACTTTTAAAAAATTAATGAAAACATCAGAATCGATGAGAAGCAAGTTAAGCGAAGTTACATTTGTACAAACATGGAGATTCAAACTACAACTTATCCGTGGTTGCAGCGACACGGTGCGACTGTTTGTTTTCGATTAGACGACACAATGGCAATTAAAGACTCCTAAATATGGAGCTTTCATGTTTAATGCAATTTTCCTATTTGTCTACTGCTGCTGTGCTGTTATGTGACATTGGAGACGAGACAGAGTAAATAAAATGAATAAAGAAAAGTCTTTTGACGGAAGTTGTGGGATGGTGTGTGGAGATTAATAGAAAAAGTGTCTAGCAACGCAAATCTTTATTTTCCTTCCTTTCTTCTTCATCTTCTACTACTTAACTCGATGATTCAATCATTCCACTCACATTGCATAACAATTAATTAAAACTTCATGAAGTAAAAGTATCTTTTCATTTGTTCTTCTTTTATTTCTTCTTCATCCACTTAAATGGGGAACTTTTGTAATTGTATCGTGTTTTCACCCGTCCTGTTTGTATTCAGCAGGCGATATTCTCTCTTTAAATAGAAAAACATAAATCGAAATAAAGAAACAAGAAGAGAATGATAGTCTAAGTCGATGATAATTGCATTAGCAATCGGAAATTAACGCAATTATATGCACATAAATCGATTGATCGGCGTCAGTTGAAGCTTGTTTGTCTGTCTTTAAAGAAATCACTTTTTTCTACTTACATGTAATATTAATTAATGAAATATTGATAAAGATACTTCAAAGCGTGCACGTGCTCCAATCGTCGTCAATTGTGACGTAAAATATTAATTTCCAATTGAAAAATAGAAGAAAAAAAATTTTTTTTAAACGAATTGAGGTCTGATAAATTCGAAATTCAATAACATTTAACAATTCTGATGTCGTAAGCTTCCACTTCATATTAAATCGTTTAATTGTACATTGAGATCTCGTGTCATGAGTTATTACCGACCGTGTAACGTTCATTTGTATTTTATATAAATAGTCATCGATTCTAGGTATCCGTCGTCGGTTGTCGTTCGTACAACACGAGACACCACCATGAATATTACCCATTCATGACTGTCCCCTTTTCGACTGCCGAACACGAATATTTACAAACAATCAAAATGCATTTTTATTTCTTCTGTAATTGCACTTGCAATTCTGTTCACTTTGTTATCTTCAGCGAAAATTTTCATAAATAATTTATTGCACAATTTTTTCAATTAAAAACAGTGAACATTTTTTTTTTCTTCTCTTTTTTATGTTGATATATGTGGTTGTACATATGTATGTAGACTTTGCAAATTAATAGATCTTGATAGGAGAAATGTATGTGGTTGTCAAGAAATATTTAATGGTTTTATATTTAGTATGATGATTGACGTAATAGGGCGCCATAAAGTTTAGTTGAATTGCCAACATTAAGTCTCAATCATTCTCAACGTGATTTTACTATTTATATTTATGAAAATAGAAGATTAACAAGAATTAGGTAAAACCTATAAGTAACTTACATTTATATTTATAATTCGTATTGACTAATTTTTATCGGGGGTCGTCTTCATGTCAATCTTCTGTCAAATAAAAAGAAGATGTCGAAATGAAGACAAAAAGGTGAAATAAAAGTTTTCCAATCTCCCCCTCACTCATTCATTCATTCATTCGTTTCATTCATTCAATAGCTTGATAATTTTTATTATTATTGTTTTTTTTTTCATTTCGAGACGAGTTTGTGATGTTTTTTAATGCTTGGCTGGTAGTGAAAATAATAGTAATTTTTCTCATGTCTCGTCGCAATTTACCCGCCAAAAATCTATTTATAAAAACAAAGTGTTGTAGATTTGTTTATGGAGGGAAGCGCGTTTAAATAAACGAGAATCTATTCATGACCAATCTCAATATGAGGTTGGTGGGTAAGCGCGCATTTTACCCGAGGCTGTAGGCATTGACTTGGCATGACTGTCAGTAAAAACAAATTCCTTATCGAGTGGCAAATCTCATAGTGGAACCAATTAATTTCAATAGTTATTCAAATTATAAATGGTAATGAGTCGAGTAACAAAACGATTTTTTTTGTTGCTGCTGCTGATTTTGTTGCCTTCTTTCAGTTCTTATCATGATGACGATGAAAATTATAAAAAAAAATAGTTAAAAATGAGTAAACAACGGCACGCGAAGTAAATTAAATGAAGTGAGAAATCAGATTCCATATGATGATTACAACTTCAGGCTATTTATCTTCAAATTATGATTTTCCCGCGCTAACATAATGCATATTTACGCACAAAATTATTTACTTTTTCTGCCTTATTAAAGATTCATTCCTCCATTTATCATTTCTTGCTTAAATGTTAATTAAGTGGAATTAAATTTAAAGCTTCGCTGATTTAATAACTTCTAGGTAGTCGAGCATGCATCTCATTTCCTTCTCACTCCACTTAAGTACTTTTACTTACTTACTTCAAAACATTTCGACTTCATTTACCTTCCTTTGCCTTCATCTTCACTTTTTCTTGTTTCTGCCAGCCATTCATGCTTCTGAAAAGCACCTTTCAAGACCTTGGCTCATGTTTATGATTTCTTCGGCCTTTTTGTTTTGCAATTTAGACAAAACAAACGTTTCATTCGCTGGGATGTTGTGTGGATTTGAATTGTATGGTGTGAGTTGAGTCGAGCTCAAGAAGGAAAATCATAAAAATCTTATTGCGGCCAATATATTTCTCGAAAGAAAGAAAGAGAGAGAAGTAATTTAACAAAGTAAAAAGTAAATAAAACTTTACATCCATTAGGCTCATTATTTTCCTCTCAAATGACTGTGCAATGCAAGAATTCTTTTTTTTTTGTTTCGCAATATTTAAGTATTACGGAATGGTGTGAATGTGAATTGAAACGATAACTACCTGTAAACAGTTTTTTTAAGAGATTTTTCTTCCGTTCATAAAATGAAAACACGTTGAATTGAAAGAATTTTAATTCAAAAGTTTACTCTTTACTTAACAACACAGAATGTTGATGATGTTTTTATTATCGAGCAACAAGCAATTCTCTAAAACATAATAAAAAAATTAATTAACTAATTAAAGTGCGAAAAAAAAGAAGAGGGAAGAGGGAATTGATCGACTAATTGGATTCTTTTTAACACCAAAATAAACTTTTATTTCTCTTCTACTCTGACTGATGAATTTCTTTTGTAATCTTCTTTTAGGCGGCAATTTTGCAACAAACTGCTGAATACATTGATCGATTGGAGCATGAAAAACAGCAGCTGGTGGCTCAAACACAGCATTTACAAAGATTGGTTGATTCGTTGGGTGGTGGCAACAATAATAATAACAACAATGACTGCCCTCAACAACAGATTGTTCAACAAACGATTACCTCATCACCGTCAACTGGTGGCGCCATTAAGAAGCGAAAATTAGATCAAGTAATGACAGTACAGACGATTTCTGATTCATCAGATGAGGGTCTTGGCTCGATGTCACCCGAACCCGTCACACAAATGATGTTCACAAACGGCGCAAGTACGATTACAAAGACACATATGGTGAGTGCCACGAGTGTCACCACCATCAATGTTAAAGATTACGTGAACCTTCAAAATCAAATGGAAACCGAACGACGTCATCGCATTCAATTGGAAGAACAACTAAAGCAGTTGGAGATGCAATTCTATTCAAGTCATCAGATTCCAACACAAAAATATCATCAAATTCAGGGTCAATCTGATGATTGTGACGAGGTCGACGGTATGGTGATTGAGGAGAAAGTCATAATGCGTAATGTTGATCAAGATGTTCATTACATTGGTAATTTACCATCACAACAACAACAACCGCAGTTTGGTGTGGTGACACCAAGTACACCAGCAACATCGCCCAAACGTCTTATCACCAATGATGATGATGACAATTCCCGCACATTATCATCCGATGAATTGCATAAGGATGAAGTTAAAATGGTACGTCAAAAGTTGAGTCCACAACATCATCAACAACAACATTCACATCCTCAACAACAGCAGCAACAAAATCACCATCAACAACTTCATCTTCATCATCATCACCAGCAACAAGCACCACAAGCTGAAATCAGAATTCCAAGCATTTTGGAGCAAGCAATTAAAGCTGAACCGAAAGTCGAAGTTGAGCGAATAAATTCGCCCTGCATTCAGTTAAATATGATTGAGGAAGTAGCTGTTCAATCACCACCGCGCGTTAATACACCACCATCAGTTAATATTCGAACGACTTATCCAAATAACAGTCAACGGCCGAATTTGGAGACAATTGTTGAAGCAATTCGTCATCTTGAAGGTGATGCCTTTGATATGGATGATGGACAAGAACAGAATACGAAACTTCAACAATCAGCAACAGCAACATCAGTAGCAGTAACACAAGATGCTCCACTTGCTCTTACAACCGGTAATAAATATCAACAGAATGGACTGAAAGAACATCAACAGCCATTTCTTAAGTTCCGTCATAATGCAACGTCACAATCCGGTTTGCCAACCTTCTCCCTAAGCGTGCCATCGCAACAACAACAGCAGCAACAGCAATACCAGCGACCTGGAGTCATTGTGGTCAAGCAAAGCTCCTGATTTAATACAACTGATAACAAATCATCATCGATGAAATCAAAATTATTCTTGAAAATGCATAAGCAACAGCTGGAAAAGGCGAGAAAGATGGTAAAGTAAAAGAAGATGAAATATAAAATAAGAAAACATCGCTACCTACCTTTACAGGGTGACCTAAGATATGAAAATTATAAGTATACTGGGTGACCTAAAACATTGAATTATCTACATTTAAAAGAAGAAAATATCTACTTAAATATTAATGATAATGAGTATAGAGCAAAATTTGTAAAACTCCAGTTTTTTTAAAAGTTTTCTAGATATAATCTCATAATTTAATGATTATGAAAAAAAAGAAGCAAAGCTTTCCAATCTCATTTGAGTAGCTTTTTTGAATTAGCAAAAATTTCTTTAGACAATTTTTTCGATTTCTTCTTTCCATAATAAAAGTTTTGGCAGAAATAAAAAAAAAGAAGAAAAAAAACATGTCAAGTTTGAATTTTCTTAGAAAACAGAATGCGATGTTAGGTAAAAAGTGTTGAATGAAGTTTGGTCAGAAAGCTTTTTCATAGAATCTCTTTCTTTTATAGACCGTCGATGAAGTACACAAAACTTAGGTTTAGATTTAACATTCGAAGAAAAATTGACAAAAAAAAGCTTGAAAAAAGATTAAAAAGCTCTAAACCATCGCAATTAGTTTCTTTTTTTCATTTATAAATATTTGTTAAGTTCTGTACGGATAGAAACTAGTGGATTAGAACAGGATTTAGGTAATTTCTTTAATTAAAAACATTTTCATCAACAGTCTAAAATTTAATAGTTTTTTTGATCAAATCAGATTAAAATTAAAATTTCATTTCGTTTTAAGGATTACTTTAGGTGAACTGATATAATAAATTGCAAGAAGAGGCGTTGAATATGCAGTTTTTATCTTTAAATTATAAATCAGATGAGTTAAGAATTATTTTAATTGCCAAGTCACTTACTTGTGTTTATATCATTTTCATTCATAACAATAAAATAAAAAAGAACTTTATCCTGTTATTTTCTGACCTTATCTCTTCTTTTATTGCAATTTTGCAATAGCTAAAAATATTTCAATTCTTCAATATTTAATTAAAAGAACGAAATCATTTTTATGTTTACATAAATAATCATTAAAATTACAAAAAGAAAAGAAAAACTTTGAAAGTAATTTCTATGAAATTGATTTTTTATTAACATTTTAAATTAAACATTCGAAATGATAAAATTGACATGAAATTTCTGGTTGGAATTGATTAATGGCAAAAGCACGATTAGATAAAAAAAACTGGATGAAGCTAAGAAATAAAAATTCTTATGTTTAAGCTTAATTTTTTTTCTACTTATTCTTTCTTATTCGATTAAATATTATTTCATGCGAAGTATCGTAAGAAATGTAAAAGTTAAAAGAATTTGGTTTGAGACTAAAAAAAGCTTTAGCTGTAAGAAAATTCTTTTTTTCTTTGTTTAATAAGCGTGTTGATTGTACGAATAGTTTTTCAGTTTATTTTAGAGAAATTGCAACTTTAAGAATGAAATTTTGTTCCTTGACTTAAAACATATGTTTTGCCTCACAATTCGATTTAATTTTTTTATATTTCAGTCTACGATTAAGAATGTTTGTCTTATTCATTTCAAAATGAAGATCATGAAATATGAAAATTGTAAATAGAAAATAATTTCTACTGTAAAGAAACATAATGAAAAGCTTGCTAGTGAAAGCTGGGTTGGGAAAATCGAGTAAATAATGCAACATTAGATTAGAAGAAAATTAAAGAAAGATTCTTTGAAAAGTATTGAATCGTTTGTGAAGAAAAGTGCTCGAAGCTTTTCGAAACAATTATACGACAAATTTTCATTGAATATAAAAGTAATTGGTGAAGACTAAGGAAAGTTTTTTTTTGCTTCGATACTTTAAATGAATGATAAGAGAATAGCTTAAAGAGTGCTGGCCACCCACGCAGCAACTCTCAAAAATCCTTTTTGTCAACACAACATTTTTTTCGTCTTAATTAGCAACAATTTGAAACAAAAAAAAAGAAATAACAAAAAAAATTATAATGAAAGTAAATTAATTGGATTAATTGATACAATGAAAGTTGAAACCCTTGTATACGCTATTTATAATCGCTCGTAGAATCTCCCAAGGAATGATTATCCGCGAGCGAAATTGATGAATTTTTTAAATGTATTTAAATATTATTTACTGAATTATTGTCTCGTTTGGGAAGAAATTTCCTTTCTACCTCTGGTTAATGTTTGTCATTGTATGAGTTTTTTCTTAACAAACACAATTTTCAAAAATTAATTAAATTTAAACTTAGAAAGAAAAAAAAAGAGAAACATTCGGTCGAAATGTAAAGAAAAGTAGAAGAATTGAAATGAATGAGTAAATGAAGTTAAATAAGGTAATGGACAGTGTCCTGCAAACCAGCAACTCCTGCCCAATACAGAATGCACACTTACATTATTTAATTCAGAGTTGAATTGATTGAAAAAGGAATAAAAAAATATTGAAACTTATTGGCTTGTGAAAATTGAATAAAACGTAAAAATGAAATGTTTTTTTTTTCTTGGGAATTAATTAATTAATGTAAGGATACGTTTGTTGCGTAAATTTTAATATGTAAGGCAATCTATTGGCATAAGGATTTTCAAAGGCTTATCATTTCATTCATTCATTTATGATTAAATTTAATCTTAAGAAAATTAAAGAAAAATGAAATCAATTGAAAATTTAGTTCTTGGCATTTAAGTCTTTTTTATTAGTTTCTCTTAATATTGAACCTCTTTGATTGTCTGATATTTAAAAGCAAAAAAAAATTAATGTCTTTTATTCACATAAAATTTTTCATCACAACACATCAAATAAATCATAAAAATTAAAAAAAAATATTGCGGGCAGAATGATTTGTAAAAAAAGAGTTTTCTGGGCAAAGGATTGATTGATTCTAGAAATGGATTTAAGCACAGAATAAATTATTATCTACTGGAGAATAAAAACAACTTGGTACCTTATACAAAACATAATAAGTATATAACTGTTTAAGTGTTTTTTTGAAAGAATTTTCCGACAAAAATGACGCCATTGCGATATAAAAAAACTTACAAATCAATACATTTCTTACCTCAAAATCATTGGCATAAATAATAAAGCTAAGGTGTCAACTAACTCGGAAATTTCTTATTCAATAATGTAAACGAGTATCAATAACATTAAAAACCATGAAAAATTGTGTTCCTCTATTAAAATTTAAAAGAGAGAAAGAAAGGAAAAAATAATTTTTTTGTTTATGGAACAGCAGAATTTTAAGAAATCTTTTAAACATCATTAAACAGTGCTTACAACCAGAAATGTGTACAAATAAGAATACGCATGCTGTTGAAAGGATTTTTTTTTATTCGATTTGTATTTGCATTTTCCGACCTGAAATTAGCGGAAGTACAAACCTGAATAACTATCATGTACTTTAGAGAAACTTGAAAGCAAAGCAAATTAAATTAGATTAAACTATGTCAACTAAGAAATCCTTAAATATAAAATTCAGAACAAATCTTTCAAAATCCTTTGCATGCTTATTTAAAAAAAAAGCGAGAAAAAAAATTAAGGAAACATAAAAAAAGAATATTTAATTAAACATTCGCTGAAATCAAATTATTTGCTTTTAATACAACAAAAATATGCAGAAATATTATCCTTTAACTGTATCAGTTCGAAATTGCTAACTTTGTTACTTTTATCATTTGGAAGCTTTATTTTTCCGGTACTGAAAAAGCATTAACAAAATATTTTTTGGATTCTTTCAAAATTATGATCAAAATTCATTTTTATAAAATTTCTAGTTTCGATACGTTTTGGTTAGATTATCATTTGGAATTAAGAGATAGAAAAAGAAAACAAAAAGTTAAAAAAAAGGTGAAAAAGAAGAAGAATAATTGAGAGAAAATCTTACTGTGATTGTAATATTAGAAAACCTTTTTATTATACCTAAACCGATTAATTTATTTCTTAAATTAAAGAGCTATGTATAATAGAGAAAATGGGGTATAATATTAACGATCATATGTAAGTTTACGCAAAAAGCATACAAAAATTGACTCTTTTCTATCACACTTTTTTCATTTTAATTCATTTCATCATTTGATTGTTTGCGATTTCAAGGAAAAAAATTAAAAAAAAGTGTAAATAAGTATAAGATTTTCGATGATTTTGAAGATATATGCAAAAGATGAGAATGACAAACAGTAAGGCAATGATAAATTTCTACAGTGGTAGCTGACAGAAAACCTGTAGATTTTATACACAAAGAAAAAAAAAAAGAAGAAGAAAATTTAATTAATTTGAGAACCTTTCATAGCGATGTCCTGTTTGGTTTTCAGATAATAACAAGCATGTTTTCCTTCTGGCTTAAATTACGCGCATTTTCTTCTGGTTCATAACAATTTTTTTCTGAAACATGCATTGTTACAAAAAATACAATAGCGCAGATAAAGAGCAAAAGATATAGACAGATGACAAGTAATTAATAGAATTTTAGCCTCGATATCATAATTAAAATAGAAATATGAAGTCAAAAACAATTTCAAATTCCAAATCTTGATAAAGAAATATCAAAATTTTATTCAGATGACACAATACTTACACGAATATCTATTTCACAATTTTTCTTTTGTTGCAAGTGGTTCGGATAAGAAAAGATTTTAAAAATTTCTTTCATATTAAAAAATATTGATTTGTGCGTGAATGACGTTCCACAATGTGGGAGTTGATTAAGCATTAAGTAAAATTGCGAGACTAAAAATTAATCCTCGGATGTATGGATGAAAAAAAGTGTGTAAACGTCATTTGCGAACAATCCAGGAATAGGATTTATGTAATTGTAATGATCAGAAAAAAAAGCAAGAAAAAATGGAAAATCTTTTGCATAATTTAATTATATTCTGATGATGAAAAAAATTATATTAATAATTGTGAAAGAAAATATTTAATGAAAATAAAATAAAAACATTTTATTATAATATTAACAAAAATGTTTCAATTTTTTTGTTCATTTTCAGCTTAACAATGCATTGCAATTATATTTAGCATTGACTCATCTAGTGGATGTATTTGACATATAAAATGCTATTGAAATATCTTCATAGCTTCACATTTCAGCGAGTTTATTTAATTAATATTAAACTTATTTATTTATGAAGGGATGTAAGATAATTAATTCATTAATTCTAACATTTCATTAATTCTTCGTACTTTTGAATAGATCTCAAGTTTGGACTAAGTATTCAAGTTTCAGCTTTGCTGTTCTTTTGAAATATTTATCATCGACAAAATTTTTTTTTCTTCCTTTAAATATAAAAAAACGAAAATTATTCATAATGAATGTTTAAAATTATTAAATTATTTTAAAGTCCAAATTTTTAGTTCCCAGCATGGTGGGAAAAGGAAATTCTGTTTCATTGAAAACCCTCAAATTGCTTTACCCTTGTTGAACTTCAGAACTTTAAATGTTACTTCACATTAAATTGAAGGTTGTTAAAGTTTAATCAAGAATAGCTCACAAAGTATTTTTTAATTGTTCTTATTTGAATCCGGAAGTTAATAATTTGATGATAAAATATGAGAAGCACATTTAAAATGTTTTTCATCCATCATATGACAAAATCAATTCAGTTTGTTTTCAAAGATCCAAGCATTTGGTTTTCTTCCCATATTTGGAATTAGTAAATTTTATTATCCCCTTTTAATAATATTCAAAAATTGTTATATGATATAATAGATATGAAAGTTTTAATCTTCTCTGTGTGTCTCTCTATTGAATACCTATTTGAGATTGTTTTTAATGTGTTTAGTTTTTATCTTTCTGCTTAATAAATTTCACAACACAAGAGTAAATAGTTAGACAGATTAATTTCATTGCGTACTTGTATTTACGTATTTAGATACGATTATTGTTATCATTTTTATTAGTCTTATTCTAATTGTCGACATAAAAACAAGTGAATTTCTAATCATTATTTTTTCCACTTTACTTCATTACGCAATATAAACATTGAACCGTTACAATTTTCCCGCAGTTTTCTTTCAAAATTATAGCAGTTACGTCATAGATTTTCGAGGAGACACAACTATTACCAGTATTTCACATAATACTTCTTGCATACCCCGGTTTTTACAGCATAAGGTAATTTCCGCAGTTACAGTCGCATCGTTTTATTAATCAATAAATTTTTGAACTGAAAATGGGTGAAAGTAATAATTTAAATTAATTCCGAAATAAACAAATTTCTTTGTTTTAACGTCTTTAGTCATAATATTGTGTTAAAACTGACAGATTCTCCCCTGGTGGTGTGTTATCGTGGAATTGAAAAAAATAAATTGCAACTTAATAATTTGAGAAATACTCTATGAGATAAGTGTTGTTAAGACGTATTATTGACAAAATAGCCACGACACAAGTCAGAAGTCAATCATTTCAAGATTAAAGTTAGTGTAAAATGTCAAAAATTCGTGAAACGAAAGATTTTCGTGTCGCTGATATCAGAAAACCAACTCGTATCTTAAGAAATGGGTCGGGTGATGATTATGAGCCTATTTCTGTGCCTGATGTATTAACAAGATCTGTTGAAAAATATGGTGATCATCCTGCATTAGCCTATCAAGATCATCAAACAAAGAGTTGGAAGTTTATAAATTATCGCGAATACAAAGGAAAAGTAGAGCAATTTGCGAAAGTTTTCATCAAATTGGGATTGAAAAGATACAGCAGCGTCGCAGTGCTTGCTTTTAACAGTGTGGAATGGTTTGTCACGGAGCTAGCAGCAATTCATGCAGGGTAAAATTCTAAGATTTATGTTGTTTTAATTAACATTAATTAAATTCTTTGTTTTCTTAAATTCTTCCTTTTAGTGGTGTCATCACTGGAATCTACACAACCAACAGTGTTGACTCAACACATTTTGTACTTGAGCATTCTGGTGCAACAATAGTCGTTGTTGACGATGCCAAGCAAATGGATAAAGTCAGGGAAATTAAGAGAAAAATGCCACATCTAAAGGTTGTCATTCAAACGCGAGAACCTTTCGCTGAATCTTCTGATGGCTTTTACCGTTGGGATGACTTAGAGCAAATGGATACCAGTGATGTTGAAGAAGAATATCAAAAACGATTAGCTGATATTCATGTCAATGATTGTTGCAGCTTGATATTCACATCAGGAACTACCGGACGTCCCAAGGTATTTAAAACTTTTTAAATTGGGGTCAGAAAAATAACTTTTTTTGTTTCCTCATAATTTTTTGAAATCATCGATTAGAAAATTTGTTTAACTTTGAGTCATGGCCTTAATTTAAATTTTTAAAGACATAAAGAAGAATATTACACACTTCCTTAGTCAATTTTTTATGAATTTATAATTTTACGTTTGAGTAAGAACAACTACAGTGAAAGTTCTAAAGTCAAGTTAAATTTAGTCCAATTATCATGTAAAATTTATTCCCTTCAATTATAAATGTCTAACGATGATTCATTTAATTCTCAGGGCGTAATGCTGAATCACGACAACTTAACATTTGTCGCTAGAACTGGTTGTGAGTTTGAATCTATGCATAAAGCTCATGAGGTGTTGATCTCGTACCTGCCTCTGTCGCATATTGCGGCACAAATTGTTGACATTTATGCGAGTCTAACAATTGCAGCGACAATTTATTTCGCCGAAAAGGATGCTTTGAAAGGATCTCTATCGAAGACACTACGTCAAGTTCGACCAACAAGATTTCTTGGAGTTCCACGTGTCTATGAAAAAATGCATGAAAAGATGCTGGAAATTGGTGCGAATCAGAATTTCATCATGCGTTTCATTGGAAGTTGGGCGAAGAGTGTAACGTTGCAACATCACATGGACATCATGGCTGGAAAACCATCAAATTCTCTTCAATACCAACTTGCGCAAAAGTTTGTCATTTCAAAAGTCAAACAAGCGATGGGATTCGATCGATGCGTAACATTCAGCTCAGGTGCAGCTCCAATGAATGTCGATACGAAGAAATATTTCATGAGTCTTGGAATGCCAATTATTGAGATTTTTGGAATGTCAGAATCGAGTGGTGGTCACTCATTTTCAACACGCGACGCTCCATCGTTCGACACAATCGGAAAAGGTTTGCCGGACTTTATGACACGTATCAAGAATCCGGATGCGAATGGCCAAGGTGAGATCTTAATCAAAGGTCGTCAAGTCATGATGGGCTATATAGGTGACATTGATAAAACGTATGAGACGATTGATGACGACGCGTGGTTGTCAACTGGCGATGTCGGTTACGTTGATAACGATGGCTACATTTTCATCACGGGACGTCTCAAGGAGATCATCATAACTGCTGGCGGTGAAAATATTCCACCAAATCACTGCGAAATGTTAGTGAAGAGTGAAATACCAGCGATTTCAAATGCTTTTCTAGTCGGTGACAAGAAGAAGTTCTTGACAATTTTAATCACTTTAAAGACGCAAATGGCACCGGACACTGGCGAGCCGCTTGATGATTTGTCATTGGAGACATTGAAATGGCTTGATTCATTTCATGATGTTAAGTATACAAAACTGAGTGATATTCTTGCAAATGGACCCGATCCAGCTGTCGTGCAAGCGATTCAAAACGGTATCGATCGTGCTAATCGAAATGCCATTTCAAATGCACAAAAGATACAAAAGTTTGCAATTCTACCGCACGACTTTTCAATTCCAACAGGAGAGTTTGGACCGACACTTAAAGTCAAACGTAATGTCGTCAATGACAAATATAAAGATATTATTGACAAACTTTACCAATGATCATCAGACAGACACCAGTGAATAGTCATCGTTTGTATGTTTATTAAGAATTATCAATGAAAGAACGAAATTCTTAGAAAAAGGTTCGTTTATGAATGACGTTAGGAGAAAAGAAAAAAAACAAGAAATAAATAAAATTAAGCATCACGTCATTCGTGAACATTCCCTTTAAATTTCTACTAAAAATAAATTAAATATCTCTCAATTTTAAATATCTTCAAGTTACATGCATTAAACTTAATTTAGAAAATCATAAAAAAGTTGAAGCATGTCAACTTTTGCTTATGTCAATTTGGTGGATAAGAAAATCTTTCTTCTTTTTGTTTAAATTGGTATTTTTGTTCTTTCTACTTATTGATATCTGTATAATAATAATGATGATGATTATCAGAACCATCACCAAACTAGATTAATAATAAATTTATCACAACTGCAGTAAATAGCGATGTGACACAAACTTGATGATGAACGACGAAATCACCCTTTTTATGCATAAAATTAAGCTTTTCACCAAGTGTCTTAATATGCACGGGTGATTCCGGCGGCAGTCCGTCGCACGTCCTTAAATAAAATAACACAATTTGAAGATTTCCTTAGTTGTTTAAGACTGATAAAGTTTTGGAAAGTGTCAAATTATGTGTACATCGAAATGGACAAAGAAAAAAGTTTGATGAAATAAAGACATTGTATGAGAGGCTTGAAACATGTAGGAAAAATAATCATTGTAGTTTTCTTTTTGTTAATATTATTAATTAAAGTGATAAAATGAATCTGCTGAGATCGGCTCAATTCTAAGTTAAATTATGAGTTGAAAATTTAGCTTAGTTAATGAAAGGGAAGACAAAATGATGAGAAAAATCGTTTATTTGGCTTCTACATTTATACCATAAAAAAAATCAATAAAAATAACTAGTCAAACTTATAACAAAGTGTTTGTTAGTTAAAAATTCATCGAACTTTTTACTTTGTTTCCTTCGTTCAACTCTCGTAAACTTCAAGTTATCAAAAATTCAATTTTATTGATTGTGATTTAAAGTTAGATAATGAAGGAAATAAATCAGCGATGATGATGATTCCAACGATGGTAATTTGAACGTGAATCATTTCTTCTGCTTTTGTCTTGATGGTTATTGCGATGATAATCTGTGGGTGACGATCGATCTCGACTTCGATGAGACGGCGGTGAACGTGAACGACTTTTTGAACGACGATATGGTTTAGCACGATTCGAACGACTTTCCTCTCGACGATAACGATTTCTATCTGGATAATGTTCACGTTGTGATCCAGAAATGTCGGGACGAGTTGAAGTATACTGAGCACCTTGCGATCCAGCAAATAATTGAGCAGTATTCAAGAAACTTTCAGAATAATTCTTCCCTGATGCCATCATGATAAGCTGCTGATGGAGCAATTGCTGCTGATGTTGTTGAACAATTTGTGGTGACATTTCAGGAGTTAAAGAAGTTTGAGGACTCATCGAATTATGACCATAAATAAGAACTGATGATGGCGATTGTTTGTACTGTGAAAATTCTCGATTTTTGTTACTGTTTCGATTTTTTATAAGAAGTTCTCTTCCAAAAAGCCGTGTGCCAGCGAAAATATTTAAAGCGTAATCCACAGAAACCAAATGCTTGTAAGTGACAAACCCATACGATTTAATTTTTCCATCTTTCTCTTTAGGAATCGCAACACGCTCGATAGGTCCTGAAATTGATTAAATTCAATCAGTTTTCAACTTCAAAAGTCGTCATTTACATACCTGCTTGAAAAAACAATTCATAAAGCAAATCTTGATTCATCTTCTCATGAAGTCCACCGACAAATAATGTTCTGTCGTCTTTGTCATTATTATCATCATCTCCCTGCATTTTACTATTATAAATTTGTACGAAAATATGTTTCAAATACTCTGTGAGTTTATTCTCTTTTACATTTATTAAATGAGCGCGAATTGAATGTTTTATTTCCTTTTTTTTGTAAACATAGCCTAGAGGGGTGTTCAAGTATGCTCTTATACTTAAGATTTGCTTACCCCCTATAAAGACGAAAGTTCTTTAAAGTGCTGAAGTTTGCAATAAACATTTGGAGCTTCAAGGTTTCATGAAATTTTATAATTTAATTTAATCTAAAAGTCACACAATTATTTTGAAAATTAGAACTTTTAAAACGCTATTCTAAGATTCACTAAAATCTTTAACTAAATAGTCGTTAAATGGTGTAATAGGAAGAAGTGAAACTTTGTTAAATGCAATTCCATTGAAATGAAATGAATGGTAATAATTATATGTTTTATTTAAAAGAAATAAAGCGAAATATAACTAAAATAGTTAATTTTTCCAATTCCTTTTGGCATTTTTAAAAGAATATAAGGGAAATTGAGTGTAAGATAATAAGATAAAAGATGATTTTAAGAGCCATGCTATTGTTTGATTCGCGAGATCCAGCGACATATTTATTTTTTTGCCTCCAAAACAATTCTCAGCTGTATGATTAAAATAATGAAAAATATTTCAATTTTAGTGTTTAACATCAATAATCCACAAGATTTGAACATGGTTTGGATGAATAACAGTGGAAATTCGGGTCTTCCTACAATCACCAGTGTAGCAGGTGGTACTGGCAACCAAATGATCATCGATGAAAACAGCATCGGATATTTTAATGCTCAACATAATGCCGCAAATATTGCACAACAACAACAAGCTCTTGTTGAAATGAATCAACAAATGCAAAATACGAACTTCATTAGTGACTTTCCAACCAACACGGCGACAATTTCAAATGCAAACGATTTATTTGCACTTCAACAGCAACAAATGCAACTTCAACAACAATTAAATCTTGCAGCTTATGGGAATATAGTAAATATGGGGAATATTTTGGCAAATAGCAGTGGGATGACGAATGAAGATGAAGAAGAGGAGGAGGAGGAGGAAGAAGAAGAGGAGCATGAACAAGAGCAGACAGCAGATTATGATGAAGACAATTCAAATACCAGTGAGCTGACGTTTCAACAACAACAATTGTTCTATCTTCAACAACAACAGCAGCAGCAACAAGCACAAATTCAACAACAACATCAACTAATGGAACAGAATAATTTACAATTAAACGATTATTTTCTCATCAACAATCCTCATTTATATAACAACAGTCATTCAACATCAGACGATGGTAGCTCAATGCTTGTACAACAGAATGCAATGCAACAGCAAATTATTATGACAAATAAGCCGATTGTGCCAAGACAACAGAATAACATCGGTGAGTTGTCGATGGTACAAAAGAATAATCATAATAGTAACAATAAAAAGCTTAAAGAATCACATAAGATTATGCCAGTTAAACGTCCTGGTTTGAAGCTTAAAACGCCGATTGCATATTTTGGTAACACCGATCCATCAGTGATTCCAATACAGAAAGATGGAATGGGAGTTTGTGAGAAATGTGGTGCGATTGGTGTTAAGCACGCTTTCTATACGAAAGAAAGACGATTTTGTAGTTTAAGTTGTGCTCGTGGTTTTGAAGAGATTGCTGGTGAACAAGCAGCAACATCAGCAATAACTTCAGCGTCATTCACTCAAGGAAAGAATCTTCGAAGAAGTCAGCAACATCAGCAACAACATTCAACACAAGGAACTTATAAATTCAAAACGGATCAACAATCAACAAAGGCAACAGAAATGACTGAATGTAAAGATGAACCATTAATTAATCAACCGATTCTTTATCAAACTGTGATGCCACAAGAGCCAGTTCCACAAATTATAAAGCCCACCATAACTAACACATATGAAGATCGTCATCAAAGCATACGACGAAAGCCACCAAATGAATTCGCCAATTCTTTCGATTGGAATGAGATTATTAATAAAGAGAATTTCTTCTCAGCTCCAGTGACGAATTTTTCTCATACGCCTGGCTATGATATTTGGTCGGATATTGTTGTGGGAATAAAAGTAGAAGTTGAGAATTTGGACTATAAAGATAATGAACATTTGTCATCAAGTCATTCAGCAACTCCGTTTTGGATTGCGACAATTATAAAAATTCATGGATACAAGGCAAAGTTAAGATATGAAGGATATGAGAATGATGATGCTCATGATTTTTGGGTGAATCTTTGTACGACTGAAGTTCATACTGTTGGTTGGAGTGCGATGCAAGGACGACAACTCATTCCACCAATGAAAATTGAAGCTCGAATCAAAAACATGAAGAAATATTTAATTAAATCACTTCATCATGCAAAGACCCTTCCTGGAAATTTCTATAATAAACTTTATGACAGTTTTCGGTCGCGTTTTGAGACTGGCTTAATACTTGAAGTTGTCGATAAAAGTTGCATCTCACAAGTCAAATTAGCACGAATTATGAAGATTGTTGGAAAACGTTTATATGTTCAGTACTACGACTCGTCTGAAGCTGATTCAGGATTTTGGTGCCACGAGGATTCGCCATTAATTCATCCAGTTGGTTGGGCAACAACTGTCGGTCATAAATTAAGTGCACCACCAGATTATATCGAACGAATGAATCGTGAGTTATAAATTCAAATTCGAGCGTTTAATTAATTTCTAATAATTTTATTTCTCTTCTTCTATAGTCGCACGCGAAAGAATTCTCGATCCAAATGATGATGACGCCACAATGGATTTATTTAAACTTAATTTCCTTTACGAAGAATATTTTGATTCATCACGTGATGATAAAGTGACAGCATTTTGTGAAGGAATGAAACTTGAAGCAATTGATCCATTGAATCTTTCATCAATTTGTGTCGCGACTGTAATGGAAGTTCTTAAGTTCGGTTACATGATGATTCGGATTGATTCTTATGCACCAGATGCGACAGGGTCTGATTGGTTTTGTTACCATGAAAAGTCACCTTGTATCTTTCCAGTTGGCTTTTGTAAAGCAAATGGCATTCCACTTACACCTCCAAATGGTTATCATAGAAACAGTTTCAACTGGAATAATTATCTTGCTGAAACGAAGTCAATACCGGCAATGGATCAAGTGTTTCATCGTTTTTCATCAAATCATGGCTTCAAGGTAAAGAAAATGACAAAGTTCATCTTTCTAATTTAATAATTTTATATCATTCACAGACTGGAATGAAACTTGAATGTGCTGATCTCATGGACCCGCGATTAGTTTGTGTCGCCACAATTTCCCGTGTCGTTGGACGATTACTGAAGATTCATTTTGATGGATGGGAAGAAGAATATGATCAATGGCTTGATTGTGAATCACCAGATATTTATCCAATTGGCTGGTGTGTCACTGTTGGACATAAACTCGAAGGTCCATTGTCTAATTCGGGAAAGTCTCAACTTATGCCAATCAAAGTCATACCAAAATCCAGTGCGAAAAAACAAAATAAAAAAATAACGAAAAGAAAATCGGGGAGTAATGAACGTTATATCGTGCAACAATCAGGTAAGAAAGGAAGTTTAATTAAACTTCACCCTCTTGTGAAAGTGGAATGGAAAAATAATTCTCAGTTTTTAAGAACTTTCCTTAAAATATTTTTGCATAAAGAGGGCGTAAAAGTCGGGTTTTGAAATTTAAAACTAACGAACATTTTGTATTTCAAATCTCAAGTTCAAAAACAGTTCAATTCATCATCATCAGCATCGACTCCTTCAACCAGCACACCAAGTCTGCCAATTACATTCATAAAGCAAGAAAGTAGCAATTCTAACGAGTACGGTAATTATACAATTAAACAATCATCATCACAAAATCTCTTCGGAGGATCAATTATCAAGGGAGAATCATCAGAAACTAGTATTATTAATTTCAAAAATCTCCAGAAGAATTTGGAATTTATTGAACAGCAGAACATTGGTTTTCGACAACAGAATGTTCAAGGATATGTAGTTGATGATAGTGATGAAGATCAGAGTCAGAGTGGACTAGTGTTCGACGATGACGAAGAGGATGATATCATATTGTCGCCTATTGAATGGGATTGCAACGATGTCATTGATTTCCTTAAAAGAAGCAACTGCAGTCAACACTGTGAACAGTTTATGAAGAATAAAATCGATGGAAAGAAACTGCTTCAACTGACTCAAAACGAAATTATGGACATGCTTGGGATGAAAGTTGGACCGGCAATTAAAGTTTATGATTTAATTCAGCAAATTAAAGCGAATGTTGCTACTGTAATGAACACAAGTGGCATGAAATGATGAGAGATTTCATTATTAACAAATAAATTTTTAATAATAATTTTTTCGTAATTATCAGAGAAAATTTTCGTCCGCTAAAAAAGCAAATAAACATCCGCGAAGCATTGTTTTAAGTGATTTTAGGTAAAATTATTGATGAGATATTTTTGATTGCTTTGAACTTACAAGAACGAACTTAGGATTCCAAAAAAAAATGAAAAACATTTATTTTTCTTTAGTACGAGTACTTCTCTAAGGAATATTAATTTTTCGAAAGAATTTTAGTGTCATAAGATATTTTTTTCCCTTTTTTCTGCTCATTTCTAGTTGGTAAGCTTACTTTTCTTTTGGGAGTAATTAGTGTGAAGTTGAAGATAATTTAAAAATAACAAGAAATTTTATAAAGAACGAAATCAAGCGCCATAAAAATTAACGAGAGTGTTTCTTTTTACCATTTTTAAGCAATTTTTTTTTCCTTTGAATTCCCGATTTTCCTCTTTTGTTTTCTTAAAATTCAAAGAAAAGCGGTGAGTGGGTGGATGAAAAGAAAGAGAAGAAGAAAAAAAGGAATCGCAATCTCTCGAGAGTGATTCTTCCTTCGATTGCTTAAGAAAAGGAAAATACAAACAAAAGAAACAAAATATGTATGAACTACAATTAAAATTAATTGATTTAATCAGGGAAATATAATGCTGAGTCACACACAATCCCAAAAAGAAAAAGAAGGAAACATAAGATGAAGAAGAAAACAAATTGAATGCCATTTAATGAAATCAAAAAACAAGATGATATCGTAACGCAAATTACGGTCTCGACGCTTAACAATAAAAACAGAAAAAAGAAGCAAAGTGAACATGTTTCAATATTTTGATATGGAAAATTAGATTTAAATACAACACATTGAAGATGATAAGGAAAATTTTGGATTTTCTCATTTCATTTTGTAAAATAAAATTTAATTAGCGATTAGTTGTCGATTTTTTTTTGTCATAAGGATTTATATATTGATGATAAAATTGTAATAAGTAACAAAATGAAAAAGTTAAATCATTAGATAACGTTTAATCTATTTTTATATTTACACATTAAAAAAACGGAGAAAAAGAATGAGAAAAGTGTGAAAATGAAAAAGAATTGCAAATAATGAAAAGTTTTTCTTTTTCTTTTGTGCACCGCTTTGTTTAATTCAAATCATGAAAGGATTTTTTTTTGTGTTTCTCATTTCTTTGTTTCTCACTGTTTCAATGGTAATGATTCCAGATTTAAAACATTCTAACAGAGATGATAAGGAAATGAAGAAAGAAAAAACTGTAAAAAGATACAAAAAGAAATTTTAAAAAGAAAATTGAATAAAATCTTTTTTAATAAAAAATAAATATTTGTTTGAGATTATTGACTGGCACGTGATATGTGAAACACGATAAACTACTTCGACCTCTTTAAGGCGGTGGTAAATATTGAATGAAAACAAAAGCTTGGCGTCAAAAGTTTTTAAACAATGCTTGCATTTGCAGATTTATTACAGGTGCTAACGGCTTATGATAAGACGTAACGATATTTAGAAATATTTCAAACGTGATTCGTGAGTAACTTCCTATTAATGGACATTTCATGACAATTTGTTTTCTGACCCTAACACAATAATTCGTGATCAAATTAATAGAGCGTTAATTCAGTTCGCGAGGCGTCGAATGCATGCAATTTAAGACTTTAAAATTATATAAAAGGGATGGAAGAAATTAAATTTATTCAAAAAGCTTGAAAAGTCTTCATAAAACAGTTGAATAATGAAGCCTATAATTTGTTTGATTGTGCTTGTACACTTGTTGAGTGAAGCCATAACTTTGGTATTGGCAGGTGGTGACACAGGTAAATATCGATCGTTGAAGCTGTCAGAAATTATAATTTCTTAAATAAAATTTTAAACGAGAGCATTAAATGCTTTCTCTTCGAAATTTCAACCATTAAGAAAAGTTTTCGTAGCAGTTGAAAACATTGAAGAAGATTCTTGTGTGAAACCACAATTCATTAACGAAATTTTCGCTTGAGTAAAAATGTTAACAATTTTCTGTGGTTTTTCTCCATGAATTTTCATGTTGTATTTAATTATTTGCCATCATTTTTAATGATCATTTTTCTCTCCCTCCTTGTTTTAGACACAAGCTCTTCGACTCCACCACTTTGTTGAGAGAAATAATTCAGCTAAAAACTCGCTATGACTTATGATGAAACAATTTACGCGGAAAATAATCGACGTCATGACCGTGAAATATTCAGTTAAACTGATTTATATTATTAGTATAAATATCTAAAATGTTTTAAATGAATATTTGGTTAATTAAAGTTTTTTAACATTCCAAAATTTCTATTTGTTTTCATTTGCAAACTTTCAGAAGTCAAATTAAATAATTTATTTCATTTCCCTTATGAAGACATCTGTCTTGTTAGTTTGTCATGAGAATGCTGTGCTAAATTATTTTTGCAGCAAAAGATATCCATATGTGATTACATATTAAGATAACTTCGTTGACCAACAGAAGGAAATCTCTTGACATTATGAAATATAAAAAAATCAATTTCTAAGCAGTGAATGGAGATAACTTTAGCGTAGTTGAGCTTAATTTTCTCCCGAAAGCTTAATAATGAGACCAAGGGGAAATAATATTACTATCTAATTTTCTAATTTAGAAGCAGAGTGTTTATAAGAATCAACTTAAGATTTAATTGTAAAAGATATCACGAGAATGTTCGCATGCGAAAGTTGACTAACATAAAGTGACGTGGAATTAAGTTAACGTAACTTGACGTGGATAAATACTGGAGATAAACTATGATAAATATTTAATTATATTCATCTTCAACTGTGCAAGAGAGAGAGAGAGAGAGAGAGAAAGAAAGAGAGAGACTTTAATGCAAATCTAAATTTAACAAATCGTTATCAAACTTCCCTGTTTTTCTTGTTTGATTTGTCAAAAGTTTATAACATTAAACTTCTTTATTACAGTTGATATTAAAACTAAGATTTTTTTTATCACATTTGTACATATCACGACAGGAACACATAATTGTCTTTTGTGGCGGTGGAGTTTTCGATATGGCAGATTCTCGAAACAAAATAAAAAAAGAATATTGAAACTTGGAGCGTCGAAAACGTGTTTAAGAGATTTGAAAGGTGACATGAATAAATGAATTGATTGATTTGGTATTTTGATATCAAATCACTTAAGTGATATAAATTGTACGATAAGACGATGTTTCAATCACCTTAAAACTAAGAAAATATTTATCAGTTCACACTTAGTTTTACAAGAAGGAAGTCAAATATTGAGATAAATAATTTATCTCAATTATTGTTTCGAAAACATTTCCTACACGTTTAAAGATTCAATTTCAAATCTTTTCGAACTCCAATTTCTCACCAATCTTTGATGCTTCTAATCTAAGTCTATTCTCAAGATTTTTTTTGTTGTTTATCAAGATTTTTTTTACATAAGCCTTATTCCGGTGTTTGCCGCAATCCACTCCAAGTAACTTGTTACACGTGTCATAACAGGTGGATGTCCACTCTCGCATGTTGATGATCCATAGCTGACAAGTCCAATGAGAGTCATTTGTCCATTGATATTCAAGTGCATGCCACTGCCAGAATCTCCATTACAACTCGAGCCACGAGCACCAGAAATGCACATATTTGTTGGATTAAAGTAGTTAAAGTTCGTGTTGTAAGTATCGATGCATTGTTGATCAGCAATTATTGGAAGTGTAACAAATCGTAAGACGTCAGAAATGCCAACAGAAGCTGTGAAAATAATCTCGTTAGAAAACATCATAAATTTTAATGTTTCCTTGCTTAAACTTACTATCACTTGTTCTTCCCCATCCGATGATAGTTCCAGTAGATCCAACAAATCGATTTGTCATATGATTTCGAGGTGGCAAAGCAATTCTTTGCATCCCGCCGCTGTTCAAGGGGATACGTTGGAGAAGAAAAACCAAACCAATATCATTCAACAAAGTTTCTTGATTATATTGAGGATGTTTTCTAATATCACGCGGTTCCACCATTTCACGGTAATCAGCATTCCGCCAAATATTATGCACGCCAGCTAGGACTTCGACTCTGGTGATGTCGTCGAGGCAATGAGCTGCCTGAAATATTTTTTATCATTATAATTGTTGATGTATAACATTTAAAAACTTTTAATCAAACGATAAAGATGACACTTGTTGATGGACTTTGATTTCATTTAACATGTTCTTGAAATTTTAATTTCTTTTCAGTTGTCATTTAATAATTAAAAACTGCAAATTGCAATTGAAGCAACTTTGTGTTAAACACTGGAAATTTTTATTTTGTTTATTAATTGGAACTTTGTAACTTGATAAAACATCCCAAAGACACTTTTAAGATCGATGAACCGAATGTTTTGTTTTTAATTATTATTTTGACACTTTTTACAATCAAAATGCTTGACACTCACTGTAAGAATGTAATTTTGATGAATGATGTTTCCACCACAAAAACTTGATCTTGATAAAGTTAAGTGAAGAATCAGAGCAGCTGCGTGTGGAAATTGTCCAGGTCTTGCCACTTGTCCACCGACAATTCTCAAGTTCCTTTCCAATTTTAGATTCTCAGCTTGAACATTCACTGAAATCAGCAAAGTCATCAACATTATAAGCACTTTATCCATATCGTGACGTTCCATCATGTGAAAAGAGAACAATTTTCATCAACACTTTGACGCGAAAAATAAATTTAGTTCCCTTTTCGTGTAGATGATTCTACAAACTGACAAATTTTTCCTGTTAAAGCTCGCAATTTATAAAAAGACTGAAAGAGATAAAACATCAATTAAAATTGTTTTACACTATTTGCTGATATCGCCAAACCGAAGGGGGAAAAATGAGTGATGATGCATAACAAACAGAACAAAAGCGATGGCAACTTTCAACATTATTCTTCGAAATTGTTTTATCTATCAAAATTGCATAATCGTTTGAGTATTCAATCATAAATGTTCGCAAACAAATGGCAAACTTCCTACCGGAAGGAAAATAACGATTAATTTACGATATCAGACTTTTTATTCTATCTTTAAGAATCTAATTAATTACTTAAATAACTAATCGATCATTCGCCAGATATTCAATACAATTTAAAAAATAATACAAGAAAAAGAAACATTTCCGTACAAGTTCCAACGATCTCCCATAACCAGTGTTTATTAGAACTTAAAAATTTTGCCAAAACAAACCAAACTGAGATAACTCACTAAGAAAATTTATTGCGTGGAAGGAAAAACCCTCAAGTTGATGCAACTCCAAAAACAAACAATTTTTCAATCTTTCTCATCTTAATATTTAAAGCTTATTATCAAATTAAAAGATTCTCGAGCTCAAACATTTTCACTTCTCCGAAAATGATGCTTGAAGCACTTTTCTTGCTTTTACAAAGCTCGAAGAGATTCGCCAAATATTTATCCATTTTTCCTTGTTACGATGGTGAAAACAACTTCTGAGAATCATTCAAAGATAAGGAAAATTAGAACTTCCAGGAAATTGTCCAATATCAAAGGAATTTTTTAATAATTTTTAGGGAATTTTTTTTGTTTCTGTTTCCTCAAGATTTTCTCGTTCATAAGCTTCTTAATGATTTAAAGCTGAAATGTCGAGAATATTTGACAAGGTGCTACGTTGACATTACGTCCAAATTTCATGAGATCATAAAATATTCACTCAAGATTGAAGGTTTTGTGAACTTCACAAGATTTTAGGTGAAATTTTTCGTCATAATTTCTTCTTACAAAGAAAACTTTTCATCGCATCGCCAGATATTTTTAATCAAAAAGAAGTAAAATGCAAAATTTATTGATCATTCATTGACAGTTATGGTTATGTGTGTACCGGTATGAGATACTAGAGCACACACACCGACGACGGGTCGACATTGCTCGACACGAAGAGATGCATATGCCATCGTCAGTTGATATTAGACGAGCATCGTGAGCGCACGCATCTTCACAAACATGTTCTTAAAGTTTTCTTGGTTCTTATCACTTTTATTAGCAAATAATGTGAGCGGATATTCAGGGAGGAATTCTCACACAGTGCTTGCTGGTATTGCTGACGAAAATATAATTCAAGAAATTGTTAATAAATTAAACTAGAACATGCATTTTTTGCAAGAAGAAGATTTAAAGTAATTTATTTTTGCATATTAATTTTAATAATGAAAGTTTAAATGACGGAATATTGCAGACTCTTTAAGGTTATTGAAGTCTATTCGCAAGTTGTTACTGGCTCGCTACACAGAATAACTGGAATTTTTGAAGATGGCAACAAGGATCAATTTATATGTGAAATTGAAATTTGGGAAAGGCCATGGCTTAATCCAACAGAAAATTTGACGATTACGCTTAAATCTAAAAAAAATGTAATCGAGGACAATGCAAATTGCAACCAATATCATCGAACATTCGACGACAGAACGCTGATAATTTATGAATTTTCAAAGCAACCATGTCATCAAAATTTTCTATTTATATTCACGGTCTTGTTGACAGTTTCTGTACAAACATCTGGAAATATGAGAATAAAAATAAAAGTTTTCCAATAATTAAGTAATGAATATAAGTTTTTTATTCATCTTCAATAATTGAAGCCAAAATGGCAAATTTATGGTGAAAAATAAGCAATCGCTGTCGAAAGTAAAAGATTTTAAATTAACTTAAAGCTTCAATACAACATGACTAAATTACATTCCCTCTCAACGGAACAGCTTTTTCTCATGCCAATATGCAATATATTCATTCAAAAACGTTCCTTGTGGCTTGAGAGATCGATAACTTTTCATTACAAACAAAACGAAGACCTTCGCCAAAAGTAGAATTTCACCGATAACAAAATTACATAAATTGTGATAATTGGAAAGATTTTTTTTCTTTCTACTTTTGAGGTCGGGAAAAATTACCTCGCACTCTGTTTAAATCAATGATTTCCGATCATTACCCAGTAACATGAAAGCATTAGACTTCCGTAGTTTTCTCGTAAACGTAGATGGGAAATTTATGAACTTCCTGTAAATGAAGTTCTATTGAAAGGTGGTTGCGGCATTCTCATTACCTCAACTTCAAAACTTAATTGAAGCTTTTTCTAAAGAAATTATTTAATTTAAATTCAATTTATAACATAAATATTGATCGACAAATGATGTTGTACAACAATTTCTTTTTGAAGCATGTCAAAAATTGTGAAGTAATTAAATTTATATTTGCTTAGTCATCACAAAGCACGTGACAATTAAATTTTAAAAAAGAAATTGAATAAACAAGAATTGATTAATTTTAGGTATTTACATTGTGTCAATTTCATAAAGGAATAAAAGCTCTCGGGGTATGTTAAATTGATGTATTATGACGGCGTCATATTTGCCAATCATTCATTCGAAATCAGGCTTTTGACTCGTTTAATTTTTCTTTTAAATTTAGGTCGCTATTCCCGTCAGAGATAATCAAAAGAGTCGTCAGGTAAATACAAGTCAAGTCAAAATCCTTCTTCAGAAAAAGGAAACACGTAACATCCACGACATGGTGAAATAAAAACCATCAAATAACATGAGTTATCGCTGTTTAAGCTTTGCAAAAAAGAGGAAAAAAAAAAGATTCACTCGAGGGGGTGAAAAGCTTCGCAATCTTTTAAGCAAATTTGATTCATCCGAAATAAGAAAAATAAGAAAGCTGAAAAGCGAGATATTATCGCGATGTTGTGCCATTTAAATGTGAACATGTTTAGTGACATCGTTGTCGTAAATGAGATGTTTGCATTTCTTTATATTCACATTTTTTTGCGTTTCCACGTTTTCATTTTCCGCGTAAATATAACGAAATTGTTTGTGTTTACTTTTAATGATTTGGAAATGAAAATTTCGAGATTATTAATGAAGATAAGAAAAAACTTTTTTTGAGTAGTTTGAAGATTTAAAAAAGTTTTGATGCTTTAAATGAATCGTGATTGTATAAAAGAATCATGACCGGAAAAGTAGGAAATGAGAAGACGTAAAGAAGAATTGCAAGGATTTGAATTCATTCCTTCAATAGATGCCCCATTGAGATTACAATTTAGATATAAAACATTCAATGCGAAACATTAACTAACTTATTTCCTTCTAGACATTTCAACAATCTTGCTTGCATCTCTTTTTTACTTTTTCATAAGTTGAATTACTAAATGTTGAACTATCATCTGCACAGTTAGGCCATTCAAATAGATTATAAGATTACTTTGGCTCTTAAAGTTGAAGAAAAGTTAGATTAAACTAAAACATCGAGAAACAAACTTAACATAAATCCTTCGAAAAACATAAATAGAAGAAGTGGAAAACGAAGCTGATAAGCACGTTTAAACCTACCAACAATGTATGGTGAATTGGTAATTGAATTTGCTGAAAAGATGTATAAGGAAGATTAAATGCAAAACTTTCAAAGTTACAACAAACACGACTTGTTTATTCCACACCTAAAGGCTTTTCGTTAGTTTCCTCCAATTTATATGAAACAATCCAACAAATGCTAATAAATTAGCAACTTAATTGATTCTTTATTCAAGTGCGAGCTCTTGAAACTCAATTTCCGTATTATTTAACTTGAGCCTAGTGTTGCAGTTGCTAACAAGAATTTCCTATCGTGTTGAAAACTTTCTTCTTTCTATTGGAATTATTTAAAATTTGTAATTAACATTTAGTACAAAAAATCATCTTACATATGCTGTAATTTGTTGAACTATTAATAATTCATAAAATCTAATTTAATTTTCACTTCACTCTTTTGCACTTTACAAATTGAGTAAGCAAATTATGATTTTATTAACACATGTGCTGAGTTTATGAAAGATTTATTTTCAACAGACATCAGACGAAGTGAAAATGAAAATGATTAATGATGTCACAGTTCATATTTGTGTTGGAATTTTGAGTTTTATTCGCATGAAACAAATGATGACGAAAGTATGAAAACGTTCCTACTAAATAATCTAAATTTATATGATGCAGGATGCATTTCTTTACGGTTTATGGAACTAATTTATTGTGAAATTTAAGAGCGTAAGCTTTTACAGTTTGAAATTTGATACGATGGATGTTAACTCATTAGCACTGATAAATTTAATAGCATCAAGATTTATTTCACGTTTTACTTGAACTTGCTCCAATAAATTATAAATTTCTGACTCAGATAATTAAAATTTATTCAATAATTTTTCATCTGATATTTAAAACAGATATCTTCATCATAAAACAATAAATTTCCAATGATTTACGTTTCAATTATAGCAAATTCATTATTTATTTCCCAAAAAAAACGAATTTCTGATAACAGATCAGCAACGTGTTGCCGCAATTCGTTCATTCATTTTGATAAATTAGTTTGATGTCTTATGTTGAATTTTCGAGTGAGTAGTTTTTGATAGCAGATTGATTTATGTTTCGACTACATTAATCCAATCAGCTGAGTAGTGACAACAGATATAAATCAACAGCAAGCAGCAAAGTTTTGACATTTTGATTGTGGTTTGTCATAAAATTCATTCCTGATATCTGATGGAATGCAACAGTCGGAAGCTATAAAATTTATTGATAATATTCGACATTTAAAGAACTTAATCCCTGCCATCACATTTTTTCAATAATACTTACACTTTCATTGGTTCCTAAAACATTTTCCACCTACACACTTGTTGAGGTATTGAAATATAAAATGCTGTAAAAAAAGGAAAATCCCAAGCTGTCGAAGATGTCAACAAAAGCTTTACCATCACATCATAAACATTTTGTGCGAAGAAGAAACATTAATTCAATCGATTTTATGTTTATGATGTTTAGTACATATATTGCTCGTAACTTGAACATTTCTCAATAAATATTATCTCAAAGTAATCATAAAACTTTCTCAATTGCATCTGTCATTTTCCTTGTTGATTATGTCGACGAAACTTTTTATGAACTAAGATTAAAATAATTCCAATAACTTCACCTGTCATCTTCAATTGCTTGTAATAACATAACATAAGTGAGAAAACATCACTAACCACAAGATTTCTCTTCCAATATTTTATTTATGATGAGGAAAATTACTTTTCCAACATCCAAAGGAAGACAAAATTGGATAGGAAAATTAATTGAAGTGCAAATAAGAAAATGAAAGGAAAAGTTGAGTGTAACAACTTTGATTTTCATCAAAATAAGTTAGTTTGACATTTTCATAACCATTTCTTAGCAAGAACAATGGAATTTAGTGATCCAATTTAAAAGCCTCCCCTTGCCATATATTTAGAATCGCCCGACGTTATTTAAATAAGTAAAAACCCTTCTCAAGGAAACATAAACTTAAACAAAAGCTAATGGTGCGTCGAACGAAGAGAATTTGTCTTGTTTTAAGATTCTCTGTGACTTCATTAAGGCAGCTGGAAAAGAACGATTCTGTTTTATAATTCAGTAATCCATTATCGGACCCTTATCTACATGGCATCTCATTATCTATTCCTATACAATTCTCGCATAAATAAAATCATCTTGGGATGATGCCGTAGTACAAGTAAAAAATTGAAATAAGCAACTGAATAGAAATGAGCAAGATTGATGAAAAATAATTACCATTTCCTACCGCACGTGTGTCTTAAAGGGTCAAACTCTTATGAAGATTGCGAAGTTCGCCATTTGTTGAAACATGTAAGAATCATAAGGAGAAGAAGAAAAAAAGTTAACATTTTCTGCTCAATTCGAGATTTCGCAACAGATGTTTGTCTTGAAGATATAACTGAGTAAAGAAGAAGAAAAAAAGTTTTTATGTTCCAACTGTGGCAGTGCCAACCTTGGCAGTTTCTCAACTTTATTATTAAGGAAGTTGATTTCCCAACCTTTCACTTTTCACGATTCTGATGTTTGTTCTCAATGTTTTCCCTTTTACTTTTCCTCATTGAATAGATTTCAATTCATATTTCAGACGTTCTCAAGTGAATGAAAATCTGATGACAACAGCAGAATAAAAAAGGTTTTGAAGTTATGCTTTATGCTTTCTATACGGATGAAAAGAAAATTTATGCTCGTATAAACCTTGATCGACACCATTCAGTTACTAAAAGCTGTTCTTGACATTATGCAGTGGCTGTTTTAACACGTTTTAACAAGAAAGTAATTCTAAATGCGTGTTAAATCACAATCTCGATAATTGTGAGTATTCATCAAGTTTCTTGAAAAATCCCACCCACGCAAGAAAAAAATCTTTCTTGAATTATTTGCATTCAAATCACTAAAACTTCATTCATCTGCGAGTTTCGTTACCGAGTGGTGACGCTTACTCAAGAGTCAAGCTCAATGTAATGAAATGTTCAGGTGGCATAACAAAAGAAATAAAAAAAAACTTCCTTCCATTAGTCTTTTTCTCTTCCATTCCAGTTGAATGTGCTCTTGTATTGTTAGCTCTTGTAGAAGAACATAAATTACCACCGGGTCTGGAATAACATCCCGTAAATAGTTGAGAGGAAACACGAACAATTGATTTTCTTTCTTTTTCCCTTCTTTCCATTCAGTGAAAGTTTTGATGACGTTGACAAATTTCTTCATAATCTCGACTCTCTCGTCCGTAATATTGTTAAATTTTCCTTTCGAAATCAACACAAAACGAGATGGTGAAAGTTTTTGTTTATGTTTAAGAGGTGGAATTAATTAAGTTCTGTTTCTGGATGTTTACAGTCAATATTTTTGTGATTCGCAAATAAATGTAGGTTGATGTCTGCTTTTATGCGAAACAGTAATCATAAAGCGTGAAATTATTCATGAAATAATTTTAAAGTTGCAATTACTTTTTTCCTCTGTTCTCATACACATGAATCGCACATCATCCCACGCATTTTAGCATTTAACAACCTTCAGTTTATGAATGCTTAAACAACGAAATATATATCAACATGTTCATTTAATCCGACATAAATCACATGCCGACGAAATAATCAAAGCTCAAAGTTCGAGAAAGGAAGGAACTTGATATAATAATCTGAATATTAAATTACACGAAGTCATAGTGATTTTTCCGTCCACGACCAACAATCGTAATCAGATTGAAATGCCTCGCTTAGGATCAATATCAATGGAGGTTTATTTCGCTGACTTAACACAGAAGCAATCGCGCCATAAAATGTTAGATGCCAATTGTTATTGATTCAATAAGCGAAACATAAATTTCCATTATGTTGAATGTAAAGCTGAGACATGAAAAGAAATATCAAAACGCAAACTTTTTTCTTTTCTTTCCCTCCCAGACTTCGAGGCAAGAAGGCTTACAATATTCTGCTATTTATTGTTTTGTATTTCGTGCCGATTTGATCGTTGATTCATCCAAAGACTCATTGCTTTCTGTGAAAAACTCTCCATGATTCCGCTTCATCGATATTCATTGCGTGAAACCGAAGAGAGCTCAACATGAAATCTTTTTTCGCAACTCAAGCACGACTACAATAATCGATTCGCGTTTCCAATAATTTTAATCGAATTTGTCATTGTTCGACAAATGAAAAACTTTCGTATTCCCAAGAAAATAAAAATTCCTTTCAGGTTTTATTTCTTAAAAAATGGAAGAAACTTTTTTTTTCTACCTTTTGTGGAATTTTTTTTCCTTTACCGGTCATCAGACATTGTGATGACAATTGGACTTGTATGGAGTGGACACCAACAACAACAAAGGCAGCAGAAAAAAAAGGGAAAAGGTTTATGTCACTCTTGGCTCGGTAGTTAATACGTAGACCGAGAAAGGTTTTCATAACTTTTTTATCAACACAACGCATAACCCTCACAGTATGACACATATTTGCAAGAAAGGTAACGAGAGGGGAAAACATTGAGATGAACAGAAATGGAAAATACATAAAACATGAATAAATTATCAAATGTTAATTAAAGTTCTGAAATTCGAGTACTGAATTTTTAACTAACGCAATTAAGCATTAAAAAAATAAATTTAATTGGATTATCCATGTTGGGAAAATGAAAGCAAGAAATGTTCACTCAAAAATAATCCGCTGTCACTTCTACAGAGAATTTCTCCCTTCCAGATTTCAAATAATATAAAATTCTATAAGATATCTCAGAAAAAGTGTGAAATTTGAAATTCCCTCTTGTCTCATAATTTATTCCCCAACAACTCACTTATACCGAAGATGTTTTAGATTGGAAGGGAATGAAAGTGGTTGAAGACGTTCTGTCAGTTGTCTTGACAAGGATCATTGGTTATTGTGCAATAACAGCACGCATATGTATGTCTTGAAGCTATCCATTAATTTTTTCGTGAAGTCGTAAAGATAAAAAGTAAGAAGGAGGAAATAATTGCAGTAAATTTGTAGAACTTCAATCACCATCAGTTTTTGTTTTATTGACGCATTCATACATTATTAAAATACAAAAATCTCATTTAGTTTCCAATGAACGACGCAAGCTTTGAGCTGTAAAAATATAAAATGAATCAATCAGAAAATAGTCAAAAACATACAAAATAAACATCTTGAAAATTACTTTTTTATTACGACTTTCAGTATTTAATCGCAATCAGACATTCCCGATAAGTAAAATGCGGAACATTTTAATCACAGAAAATAAACATAAATTTCGTGCTTTCAATATTAATCCAGAAAAATTTTCCTTAAGGTTTTCTTAATTTTCATTTATAAGAAGATAAAGAAACAACATAATTTAGCTTGCAAAAATCAATTCTGTAAAGGAAAGCCGCAAGGAATTTTCACGTAAATAAAAATTAGGCCTTTATGTAAATAATAAAAATTTGTAATTTCCTTTTGACACGTCAAGACAGGAGAAGAAATGAAAGGAAGAAAGGCAAACGGAAACCTTTCTTCTGGTTATGGCAAAAGTTGAAACAATGGAAGGCAGAAAATACCGGAAAAGGCGCGATGGATCGCTGAGCTCATCGTTTTTGCCAATTTTCGCTTAATCTTATTACTTTCCAATAACTTCCACCCAAAATGTTTCACTGAAATTGAAGTCGCTTCATCATCGCCCATTCAAAAGTCGAAAGGAAAACAAAAATTCCAAAGGTGAAGTCATTAACCTGAAGTGCATTTAAATGATCTGTTTAATCGATAATTTCAAACTATTTTTGAATTGAGTGCAGTTCATGTTTAATGTTTCTTTTCAGTTAAGCGTTCATTATGCTTCTGTTCTCGATTTATGCTGAAGAAGTTCCCGTCAAAGAGTTCAACAACAATTTGTTTACAATTTTCTTGTTCAAACATGTGAATATTACAAATCGTAAACAGATGTACGAGACTCAAACAAAGATCAATCAATTTGTTGAATGTTACGATGGGGAGGGGAATGTGAATGTAATTGCGATCAAATTGACATTTCGAGTGCTTCAACCAGCTCGAAACAAATAAGATGAGAAATTAAACTTCAGGAACGACGACTTTAATTCTCTGAACATTCTCAGTGTGTCGTAATTGTCAGTAATGATGATGATGACACCCGCGTTCTTACTGCTCACATCAATCCATCACTGGCAACTTTTCGTTTCTCTCAGTGATGAATTTCTTTTCCTTCAACAAGCAACTCAACCGTTTCTTTCAGCCACCATATGGCACACAATGAATAATTAATCTTGTTAAGATACTTTCACGCCTGTGAAATTGCCACAACGGAAGATAAAAAAGTTAATTAATGACCCATAATTGTTGTCTATGAGAGGATTCAGTTGATTGTACACGGGTCATGCCTCCTGACATGTTGATTCTGATGGATTCTTCCTACATCCAATCACCAGAATGTGACAATCGTCTTGTGGAATTCGTAAAATGAATCTTCAAGTGATTTATTCGTTCATTGTATTAATGGCCATTGCAGTTGTTCAAAACATCGCTAATAAGTTGAAGAATGATTATTGATTAAAAATTTTAATTAAAAAATGAATTGTAAGTGCCTATCGGGGTCGACTGACAAAGTTGCAAGGCGTAGTTTTAGAAATAATTAAATGTTAGAAGCTCTGAAGCTTTAAAGCTTGCCTTGGTGTCGTCTTTCTTCATTTTTTAATAGCAATTCAACTTTCAATTGTGACAGGTTGATAACTTAAAGTTCAATTGTGGAAATTAATTTTAATAAAAATCATTAAAATGTTAAGAAAATTTGTTTTGTGTTGCGTTTTCCTGCAATTTCGCTGCAGTTTGGCTGCAATTTTCATCTTAAAAGCGGAAACTTCTGGCAATCTCACAATCCCTAAATACATCAGCTTTTTCGTCAATGAGAACAACAAACAAGATCAAACTCACAATTACGACGTGGTTTTAATTCGATTGGAACTTCAACATCAAAACGAGACCTTTGAAAACATTCGCGAAGAGTTGCTGAAAGTTAATCGCGACAATCCGATTCTCACTTTTGATTTGTTTGATGAAAGTCAACCGAAGGTTCAATTTCCTCAGATTTACGCTGCATCTTTCATTATAATTGTCACTGACCTGACCGATTCCGTGAGTATTTAAGTTTCAATATTAAATGAACGCAAAAATGTTAATTAATTTTTTTTTCATGCCAGGCTCCATTGAGAAGTAAATTATTTGACATTCTTGAAAAGATCACCTGGCAAGTTTCTATTAAGTTTGTCATTATCACTCCAAAGATGAGCCCCAAATTACTAAACGAATTTGTCGGGGCTTTAAATTATTTTGGATTTATTAATCACTTAATTTTGGGAATTTCTGAAACAGTGAATGCCTATTCATCCAACATGTTCACGAGCGCAATTTACTGGATTGCTGATGAAGACATCAAGAATTTTTCAGTTGTTTTCCCTGATAAATTGAAGAATTTTCAGAGTTATCAATTTCCAATGCTATTCGTAAAAGAATATTCGAGGTGCATGATTAGAGGTAGAAAAATTGATGGAATCAACTTCAGAGTTATGAAAATGATATTGAAGAAGTACAATGGAACCGCGAAAATCACTACAATACTTGACCCTGCGGATCCTCAAGCTTCGCTCAAAGTTCAAAAGTACTTTTATGGAACTAACAATGCGGCATTTTCCCTTTCGACAGTCATGGGATTGCAACAGTGGAGAAAGTGGATTTACACTTATGACGAGAACGGATATTGTGCGTTAATCCCAAAGCCACCAAGATTGACATTTCTGCACTTCATTTTGACGCCATTCGATGGACTTTCATGGACATTTATGATCATTTCAATTGTCGTTTGCAGCATATTCTGGAAACTTCTTACTCGTTCTTACAACTCTTTAAGAAGCAACTCGCCATTCTTCTTCATCTTCGGGGTGATTGCAAACTTCTTGGGACAATCGATTCCATTCAGAAATTCTCGACGAATTCAAAAGCTTTTGCTTCAACTTTGTGTTCTTATGACGTTCATTATGGGAAATGCTTATCAGTCTCTGATCATTGCTTCGATGTCCACTTCTCGTGATGGTCGAAGATTCAACACTTGGCAGGAAATGTTCAACAGCAATTTGAGTTTCGAATCTGGTGAAATATTTTACAATATTATGAACAGATCTGGCGACTTTCCTGATGTTGTCAGACGTATAAATGTTTCAAGGAAAATTAATTTTGAAAGAATTTCTTTGAAAAATGTTGTGGGTGTTAGTCGCTGTTATGATCTTCAAGCAGTGGTTAATTACAAGAAAGATGTCGATGTCATGGAACATTTCTATTTATTGCCCGAAAAGTTCATGCCCTTCATTGAAAAATTCCCTCTGAGTCCATCAAGTCCAGTTGTAGAAACTTTTCAAAGAAACTTCGATTACATTTTTGAGTCAGGAATTCGTCAATATTTGAATCGACAGTTCCAAAATTCATTCAAAAGAAATGTCGATGACATAACAAAATTTATCATAAATGAAGATTATTTGTTGACTATGAACGATGTTTACGGAATTTTCTTAATTTTGGTGGGTGGTTATGTTGTCAGTTTCTTTGTTTTTATTTGTGAATTGATTTGGAGACATCGGAAGAAGATCACGAACTTGAAAATTAAAACAAAAAATCGAAAACTTAAAATTGAAAGGAAACATCAGTAAAGGCTGACCATATGAAAGTTCCCGTTCATTTAATTTCGAACCCTTAGCAAGCACTATGCCGCTTTCTATCTGTAAATCTACTCGCAGTCGATTGAATAAGGAAATGAATTTCCATAGCAACGCTTTCAAAGAAAACAAACATTGCAATGTTTTGAAAACTTTCATTGTGAACTGCACAAATAAAATTCAGAATTAAGTTAATTAATAATTAGCTATGTCGCTTTTCAAAGTGTTAAAATGGTAACAAAGGAAATTTAATTAAAGAAATTATAAAATTGATGCAAAAACATTTAATTTTATGAAGGTTTGACTATCAATGCTCGGATTATGATGAAAATTACGACGCGTTCCTCTTGACTTGCTGTAAATTACATTCAAACGACAACAATAATAAAGACATCATTATTGTTGCTTCTCACGATGGTCATTTAACAATTTTACAACCATCACAGCAGGAAAGTACTTCAGAAGACAAAAGCGTTGATGTCCATAATAATCCGCAGAATCCTTCGAGTGTCATTTTCGAGAAGAACTTAAACGAGCCAGTAATCGGAGTTTTGAGTGGAAACTTCTTTCAGTGAGAGTTTGTCTGATAACTTTGAGAACTTTAAAAAACTTTTTTTTTAATGCAGAACAAGAAACGTTGCCAATCAATGCTGCATTGCGATTCTACATCCAAGAAAAATTGCATTTTATTCGCTTCTTACAACTGCCGGTCTAGTCGAACATGGTACGAAAGAATCTTCTCGTTCATTACTGTAATAAATTTAATAACTTTATCAATTTTTTCTTATCCCTAAGGACTTCAATCGAAGCTGCAATTGATGAACAAGTTTGAATTTCAGAAAACTGCGTTCTGCTTCGTTAAAGGTGGATTCGGAAATGTGAAGAACAAAGACTTTCTTTGTATTATGTTTCTAGATGGATCATTGAGATTCTTTGAACACGATGGAATCGAACAAAACTGCACACTGCCAGGAATTCGAACTATTCCAACAAGTTTTATTTATGTCGAGAGGACGGATTGCTTCTTATTTCTTTCACCAAACTGGGATCTTGAATGTTTCAGGTTTGGAAAGTCTTTTGATAAAGTGGAAAAGATTTTTAATTCTTCTCAATTTTTCTTCTGAATGAATCTCAGGTTTCAAATCACATTAAAAGCTTTTCCACAAGATATTTACTAAATAAATTCTAAGCAAATTCACTCAAATGAAACTCTTTCAGATATCTTAACATGTCCGAGACATTTGAACGAAAATTTAGTCCGATTTGGAGCATCAATGTTGGTGAATATATTCTTGATATGAACAGTCATCAAACCAGCAAGTTAATTAATTCTTCTATCCTTCTTTCGAATAATTATTCATTTTGGAAATATCTTTTAGCTCGGAATCTTTAATAATTCTTCTTGGAGAAAATAATTTAATTTGCGTTTCTGACACTGGAAAAATGAAATTCATAAAAAAGATGGATTATACTCCGCTGTGCTTTTGTAAATATAATTTTATGTATCTTTGAAAGAAATCTCATTTTTTGACTGCTTTAGGTTCCTTTGTGGTTGGATGGTACTTTGGTAAGATTAAAGGAAATTCAAATTGAATAACTAAATTTATTGAAATCTTTTTATTAATGAAATTAAATAGAACCAGATTGTAAATTAATGATTGCTGTCGCAACGGAAAATAATTCCATTTTAATCTATCAAAACTCAACTCTCGTGTGGTGTGCTGAACTTTTGGAACAAGCTGTTGCAATTCGGAGAGGAAACTTTTTTGGAATTGCTGGTGGTTTAGTAACTTTGAGTCCAACAGGAAAAGGTTAGATTGAAATTTCTTCTACTTTCATCAACTGATGGTCAGAATAATTTAATTTAATTTATCGAAATAGTTACTGTGGGATTCCTAGGATCAGAACCTGTGCTCAATAAAGTTCCACCAATTAATTTATCTAAACTTGATTACGATAAATCCAAAATTGAACTCGAAGAAATGGAAAAAGAAATTCACGAAAGTGTTGACAATGCCGATGTTCCCTTCATCAATGCCAGTGCGGAAAAAGATTTAAATATTCAAACACAACTCACCGTTGAAAGCAAAGAAATCGGGCACGTTTATTCACTCAGAATAATTCTTCTGCCAACATTAAATCTGGAACAAGTTCAAGTACATTTAAATCCAAACATTGAAATGATAAATTCGGAAAATGTTTTTATGGTTAAAAATTTAATCTCATCTAATGAATATTCTCTCGACACTTCATTTACCTTGGAGAATTCAGCAAGTTTAGAGATTTTCGACGAGATTCTGCTTTTAATTTCATTTATTAATAAACAAGGAATATCTCGAGTTATACGGAAAGTTGTTAAAGTGCCATTGAGCAAAGTTTTTCAGCCTTGTTTACCACAAAACGATGAAATTTACAAAGTGACACTCTCATCTGAACATCCAATAAATTTCAATGCGATGCTTTCAGGTAAGCGTAAATTATTCATTTTCAAATATTCATTAATTATAAATTATCTGCTAAATTCAAGATTTTAATCTGCAAAACATAAAACAAAGTTTTGGCTTAAAAGCAACAATTTCTGACAGCAATTTGACGATGGTTTTAGCGAAGAATACGAATCGTTATCGGTAAAGAATCTTTTAACAATTTCTGAATTAATTAATTTAATATTGTTTAATTTTGTAAATTTCCCAGGTTACAATCAAACAGTCTGATAGTGCTGAAATCTTTTCTAAAAGCTCTCTCAAATTACAATGAAGAATCCAAAGCATTGCAGACGACAGCGATATCAGCCAAAATTAAAAGCATTCCAGTGTCAATTATGGAAATCCTAATGACAGTCATTGAAAAGCATCACAATTTGAGAGAAGAAATGAAGGGAATAATGGTATGGTTAAGATCGTTTGTGTGGGTGGATGTTGACAGAAAATCTTAAAAGTTGTCATTCAGACTTTAATTAATAATTTAACTAACTTTCATTTACAACTCATCAGGACACGCTAAATACGAAAACGATTGAACTGAAATTCTTCGAGAGATGTTTTCTTGCGAAAATTCATGGAAAATCTGCGACATCATCGATAGATAATGTTCATGAATTGTTAACCGATACTTATCAAGACATTTTATCATTGACGACAAAAGCTGAAATTATTAGAAATGAGATTAAAATGTGAGTGTGGGTGGAATAGTTTGTGGTAATTTCATTCACTTTCCCTTTTTCTTAATCACAGAGTTCAATCTCAATTATGCGCCACATTGTGCTTTCTACGAGAAGTTGTCGGCTTTATGTCTCGAAACGACAGCACAAAAAGTATCATGGATGGTATTTTATTGATGACGAGGTGCATGTTTACAGACTTTCACGAGCAATCACAGATTGAAGCTTTGGCACCATATGTGGAAAATCTTTACAACATCAATCAAATGAAGAAGAGCGAAAATAATTTTCATCAAAAATCTTTCTCTTTACCAAGATTCATAAAACATTTAAAGTCGACGTTATCAATTTTATCGTCTGAGAATGCAGTGTCAGATGAAATTTTATTAAATGTCAAAGAAAGTCTTAACGAGGATAATGAAAACGTCGAAGAAGAAAAAGATTGGAATGCGACAATAAAATCGATTATTTAAATCAATCCAAGCCTTTCTTGAGAAATTCCTTAATGGAAGTCCTTGAAGTAGAAAGAAAGTGGAACATAAGTAAATATTACAGGAAATTCCCGATAACAGAAACCTTGGTAATGGAAGTTTTCACAGAGTTACTTGTGAGTCTTTCGTTGTTTTAATTTAAAAGTTTAAACAGAAATGATAAAGTTTTGTCTCTCGCTTTACAATTTGTTGTTACTTCCATTCCATTGGACAAGCTCTAATAAATCTCGTTGCTTCTAGTTCATCGAGCACAGTAATGCGTGAAATACCAAACACTGTCGTTGTTGAAGGTTTCAATTTCATTTCCAGGTCGCGCTTCGTAACTCATGCTAATTCGAGGGAAAATTGAATTTGCTTGAATTTCCCAAAGGTGTCGTACTACCAAACGTTTTCGCTTGGTCATATTTTTTCTGATGAACTGACACATCTAGTTGTCCAATTACCTCTTCTCCATATTGTCAAAAGTGGTTATATTGATATAACGAGTTCAAACTGTGCTGAATGTTGGCATGTTTCGCATCAGTGGACTTTGCAATGAATAATATGACACCAACAGTCATTCTCTGTCAACAAACATTCTTGCATGCTCTGCAGTACTCAAATTAAAATGTTAATTCAAAAAGGAAATGAAATCAAATGGAAGAATAAATATAAAAAGAATATATTTGCGCTTCTTATTAGGTCATCTGAATATGACGGAAGAATCGATTCGTTAAAAATGAAACTCATGAAAGTTATCATTAAAGTGAAACCTTCAGCCAACATCCCAAGCTTCGGAAGCATGCTTAATGACACGGAACACTTCATCATGAATGTATGAAAGTTATAAAAAAAGGGAAAGTTTTGCTTAACATATCCATCCTTTTTGTTTATGAGAAAAGTTTTTAGGGAAAATAGAAAATCGAGATGAAGATTTTTGAGCGAACAGAAATTCCCCTGAAAATGTGATCTCACTCGGAAGTAATGATATCATTTCTGGTCGTCATATAAGTGTAACGACATGAAATTTCAAGTGATTTCAAGGGTTCAGTTGCATAACTTTAATGTCCGGTTATCGAATCTTTAACTTTCTCAAGCATTAAATTAACTACAAATATCGCTTCCGTTTCTGTTTATTTCTGACCTGACATCTCAGTAACTAAAAGAGAGTTTAGATAGGATAAAGTAGTTTAGCTTAAAATCATTCCGTTTCATTCAACATGCCACGCTATAAATGATTGCAACATGAACATATTAATTTGATATGACCTTAGGATATGTTCATGTTAGTTAAATACTTACTCAACGATGGTTAAATATAACTTTCGATTTGTTGTTTGCTTATCAACATGAAATGTTATTTATCAAACTAGATTCTCGAATAGATAGCGAAACTTGATGACGTCGAGTTTTGCTAAAATTATGGCTTGATGATTTTTTAAGTGATTGAATGAACGGCATGAAACAAATGTTATGCTAACAAACATTAATGTTAACGTTGTAACAAGGAAGCATAACAATGTTTTGATTTTCTATTTATCGATTCTTGTTAACAAATTTTTACTGATGAAAGGAATGTTGTTACACTTAAGTCAACTTCATCGATCTTAGACCAACTTTTACTTTTCATTTTCTAGCTGATTAATAAGAAATAATAATTTGATTGACGACATTCATAAATACTCCAATAAAAATTATTATTTTGTTTTTCTTGATGAATAATGAAAAGGGAAATGAAGATAAGTATGTTCAAACAAACGCTTCATTGGATTTCCTCTGACAAATCTAAATAATACAAATAAAAGTCAGAAAGCAAATGAATTTTATTTACCAGAAGACCAAACGCAATCGAACGTGTAATTTGTCCAAACCCGAATGATCTGTGATTAAACGTTTAATGTCTTGTTGTTAATCGCCGTCCTATGCCAATGCTTTAGGCGTTACATGAATGGAAATGAAAGACAATCAATATTTAATCAATATAAATTGTTCTACTTAAACGATGGAAATAAATGGCGGAGAAAATTGTTTGTGAAAAGATTTCAAGCTGAGGAAAAAATCTATCACGTGTCGACCTTTAAGCCTATGAATAGCAATATAAGTGAAGTAACTCGACACTTTCGGTAACGAGAGCTTTTCTTTGATGTCTTAGATGTTTAACGCAAAAACTGCTTATAGACAATTACGAGCCGTCATGATTTTTGAAGCACATCAAATTGTATCTAAAATTTCACAAAAGGCAACAAAAATTTCTGAAAGTAATTTCAGATCAAAGCTTAAGTTCCATTTCATTATTTTTAATTATTATTATTATATTTCTTTATTTTTATATTTCTTTCTCTGTTCATTCAGCTTAAGTTATAACATTTGCACTTTTTACGTATCATTCTTATCAACAATAAATGAAAATAAAGTTTTGGTAATAAATTCAAATCATAAATTTGGCAGCTTTTGAGTTGAACCCAATTATTAATTAATTAATATTTCAAACTAATTTAATTAAACTAAGGTTTCGAATGAGTTATAAAATATTTACCTGGGTAATAATGTATGAAAACTAAACTTTGGTAATGAAAACTAAAAAGATGTTTTAACGAACCTAACAAACTTATTACAGTCAAACATGAATGTAAAATTTTTGAAAGCCTTGAATTTCCTTTAGGTATTCATTATTATTTAGAAGTATTTATTCCTTTCTTCTCATTGCGAGTGAGAAAAACAAAATAAATAGCTTTTTTATGTAACAAAATAATCCACCCACTCACATATTGTGACCTACTTTGAAAGCTTTTTTTTTCTTTTCTTCTTGAAATTGTTAAGTATTCATTGTTGTAACCTTTTAACTATCAAACGTTTTTAAACTGTACACGCTAATCAATAAACGACTTAAAATACTGTACAACATTAAATTTTGAAACTTTTTATGCGATGTTGCTGACGATTTGACTTCAGCTGTTTCACTCTGATTTGAATGCTTCATGGCTGGCGGCTTATCACCTAAGAAAGTAATTAAACAATAAATTGGCTGATTAAGTTTTATGTTAACACAATTTTACTATTAGACGTCAATGTACCGGGTAGATATGTAATCGTGTTGTGAATTCAAATCGACTACAAACACGACATCATGATATCGTTTTGACACAATTAGCATTTTAATAACAGGTACGAGTGTGAGGATATTTTGATGCCTCGAGAGAGACAAAAACGTGTACTTGCCTCTTAATACGTGAACATTAATATTCGTTGGTCGTGTGTTTGATGGAGCACATGTATAATTTCCAGCGTGCTTAAATTGAACTTCTTGTACTAATAGCACGCTGATAGCTGTCGGCGTTTCATGCTCCACTTGAAGTCCACTTTCAATTGAGTTATGACTATCTAGAAGCAGTGGAAATATGTGATGTGTGATGTCATTGTCATCATCAACATCATCATCATCATCATCGGGATGATGATTGTGTGCAAACGTTGATAGTTTTGGAATAGTTATAACAGAATATCCATCTTGAAGGTTGAAATTCACCATCTTATCTTCATGATACCTAATTAAATAAGATGAGATTTTATGTTTATAAAAATTATTATGATGAGAGCTTGTCAAGCCCTGATTTTCACATTCTTCTCTTTTTTATTTATTACCAAAAGACGTAGGCTGGTTTTTCAGTCGCTTTCACAATTCTACATTCTAATCTCAATGTTGATCCTTCATCGATGTGCACATCAGGTGTTCCAGTTATCTCAGCGAAAGCCTCAACAACAAACACTTCAATAAATATTGATTTAGGTGGATGATGAGAAAGATTGCATTCATATATGCCTTTGTCACTCTTTTGAACTGATTTTATGCGGAGATCCCAAACTCCCTTGTGCCTTGCGTGCTCAACGTGAAATCTCTCTTCACTGCTGTAGGTTGTAAGACCGACTGTAAAAGTTTTTACCTTTTCATAAGCTTTAGGAAGCAATTAATAACAAAGAAACTTGCAAACCTGTTAATAGTCTGTAATCCCTTCTTCTTATCCACGTAACTGTTGCCGGAGATGAAGCATCAACAACACAAGGAAGTATCGCTGAACCCCCGATTTGCGCAATTACGCGTGTATTATTCATCGTTTCAAAGCTGTTATTATCGCTAAGAGAATTATGATGCTTGTGATGTTTTTCACCATCTGAGTCATACCATTAAAATAATAAGCTTTAATTATGCTTAAGCGAAAAAAGGATTAAATCGTAATCACCTCGATAAGGCTTCACTCCCACAAAGCTCATTGTGAAGAAAATAATCAACAACAAAGATTGTTGATGCTTAACAGAGAAACTCTTAAATGTCATATTGCATCTTATCCAGTTCTTCAAAGTACGATTTTAACTGTGTTGTTTGTTTCACTCGTCATTCTCATTTTTTATTTAATATTTTCACATGAGATCAAAATTCATCATAAAGCATTGCTTAGGTTTTTCCGACACATTCATCTGCTTGCTTGCAATGAAGTTTTATAATTTCACTGATTCACTGATGTTGTTATGTTGTAGACTAGATAACAAAGAGAAAAATATCTCATTTCTTAATGTTCATTTTTCATTTCAGAAAGTGTTTTTCTTTTTTCTTTTTTGAATGGGAAAATTTCATAAATTTTGCAATAAATTATTCATAATTGGAAAATTTTAATTTTGAAAGTCACTTTTTTATTCTGATTTGCTGTTCAATTTTATTGCACATGATAATGAAATTTCTTTTAAAAATTCGATTTTAATCATTTTCAGTCATTTATTAAACACACGATAAATCATTTTTCTTGTTGAACATAAATTCTTAACACATTTTTTATTGAATATTAAGAGAGTCTTAAACAAGCCTCGGAAAATCTTTTCGTAATAAAATTAGACTCAAAATAAGAGAAAAAAAATGAAAATTTTCTTCGACGATGAAGTTTAATTCATGTTTAATGGCAGCAGGTGTAGAATTCCATTTGAGAGCATAAATTTTGTGACGGAATAGAATTATAATAAAGTGAAAGAGAAATATCGTGCGCGCATAAAAATTATAATTAATTTTACTTCTGAAATTATATGACAGTCAAAACGAATATGATTTAGTGATCACGCTCGTCTTCATCCGCATTACTGGGATAAATAAAAACACGAATTCTTACTTTAAATGAATAATTGAGCGACATTTGATAGCCCTGTTCAAGCGAGAAACTCAATCAGCCTTTAAACCATGATTAACGCGAGTTTCCAAAATTAAGATTTCCACGAAAATGTTTTACCACACAACATGCTTCTCTTGATTTATTTAATTAGCAACTGAGATATAAATTTCGTCAACAAGAATTTAATTCGACATTAATTTTCCACCATTGAATGGATGTTAAACATATGTAAATTCTATTTCAGAATCTCGTTAACCGATATCGTTTTAAAAATTCATACACATGTTTCATTGTCGTAAAAAATAATAAAGATTTTTTCTTGACATATAAAGAACTTCAAAGCGTAGTTAATTGGTTCAAGAAACAAGGGAAAAAATATTTTTTGACACAGAAATTTGTAGCCTTTTAAATGACAACATAAATATCGTGGTAAGAAAAAAGTTTCCTTTGTGAATCATTCCCAAATGTTTCTTTATCCATTTTGCAGTTAAGCGAGTGGAGGAAAATTTTATTTCAAGGATGATTTTTGTTGAGTGAAATGAAGCCGTAACGGAAATTGTGTTTACTTCCTTAAAATCAAAAGTAAATTAAGAGAAATGTTTGAAATCTGTAAAGTATCAAGATTCGTGATCCTTAAGAATTGGAAAACAATTTATCATTGATGAAGCTAAAACAGATTACATTTTTCGAAGTTACTGAGATGAGAATGTTGTGGATGAAGACATCAAGTGCTTAATGACCGAAAATCTTCGCCAAATACTAGAAAGAAAAATCCTTGATGTTCTTACTTAGATTAGTATCGATGTCAAAGTTCATTGTATTTAATCTGAAGCTTTTATTTTATTAGGTAATCTAATAATACCATCTAGGTATTTGTTTCTTAATTTCCATCCCTTTTTGTTCTCATTCACGAAATAATCTTCACTAATAAAAAGAAAATCTTTTTGTTTTATCCAAATATCGATTCAACAAAAACAAAATCAGCCAGAAATTCCGTAATTGGACTTATCCATTTTAATCCAAGTGTTTTTAAGAGGTCCACTTAAATTTTAATGACTTCATTTAAATTTACAATTTATTTATGATAAGATTTTATATTTTTTTAATATATTTTTATTGTTTTCTATGATATGAAAATCTCACTTTAATATTTCACTTGCAGTAATTTTTATCTTTGATTTATTTTTCACACTTGTCACATCACATCCTGTTTTTCATGCTTCGCCTCCGAAAATCGTAAACCGACTGAGAATGCAAACACAGAAATTTCTGTTTTCATTCAAGAAGAAGCACATGGTGTCGGCATACGCCAAGGCATACGCAAAATAAGGAGAGGAAAAATGTGAGAAAAACTCAACGAAAAATGAGAAAGAGAGAGAAAAATCTTAACGAAGAGAGCCAAAAAAATTGTTAATCTGAATCTGAGTGTGTAAAAATTCTTCTTTTGGCTTTAACAACCTGAACTTTACTGGTTGAATAAATTTTACGAGAATCTTTTGATAATTTCACCTCGACTCGTACACCGCAATGTTCTATCGTGAATAGAGATTGAACACGTTTAACAAATAAAACTCAACTTTGATTTATGACTTTTGATCAAGCTAATTACTTTGGGAACTATCAAGTCGTTTTATCGATTTTTTTCTGTTCTTTTGATCCCCTTCAATCCATGAAACAATCGTAGCATTTATCGAAAACATTTCTGCGACAATAAAATATGACAAAAGATATTTCTTACCCATAAATAAACTTACAGCAGAATTACCGAGCTTGTCGATAATAAATATTTTCTTTTAATGTTCTTGTATCATTTATATATTTATGAAAGTCTCTTAGTAGGACTACATATCGATTGCGTAAATGATTTTTGCAGAGTTTTATGAGCACATGAATATCGCTGACATGCAATCCACATCTATCGTGAGTTCGAAAATCATTTATAGCGAAATATTGTGATGACATTTGGTTTTCTCTTTTCTTTTATGACTTACATAGTTGACACAGTTTGTTCTCATTGCAGGCGACTCATGTTACGACATCGATAGTATTGTTAGGAAGCAAAATAAAATTTCTCATCGAGTTTTCATAGCAAAGTTCCAGTCAATTTACTTCTTCTTGAATACTATAAATTTCTCTTTATTTTCTAAATTTATCCTTAAAAAGAGCCTTAAAAAAATATGTCGTTCTTGCCACTTCATAGAGATAAGGAACATAAATTTAAGAATGGCCACTGGAGATGGGACGAGGGTGAAAGAAAATTAAAATTCCATACACATGAGAGCATCGACAAGAGTGATAAGAAAACAAAAGAAGACTTCTCGGTTGATTTGGGTCTGAAATTCAAAAAGTGTGTCACTGAGATCGAAGAGAAAATCTTCCGTGAAAAATTCTTGCGGCAAGATCCACTTTACGACAGAGACATTGTGACACTTCAAGATATCAAAAATTTAGTTATTTTTACTGTGCAAACAAAGCTCACGCATGATTTCATTGAGTTAGTTCATCTCGAAACTTTTGATAAGTTTCTATACGGAATCATTTTCTACATGGATTTCTTTTTATTGGTTCTTGAATTTCTTTTGATTCGTCGAGATGAAGAGTTGAAGGGAAAACTTCGTGATGACTTTTCAATTAAAGTTGAAAAGTTTTTATCACATCAATTGAGTGATCGGAGACTGCTTGTTGCAAAAGAATATTCAAAGGTATTAAATTCTTTTCTAGCTTATCTAAAACCACTCTCTTAATTATTTTCATCAGATTATTTCCATGAATCACAACCATGCAACGGCCTCAAAACATTTTCCAACAAAAATGTCCTCAAACAAAGATTTGAATCTCTACGAGTCATTTCTGGATTTCACAACCGAATGCACCTTCATAGCTTTGCATCGACGGGCTTTCAATACAATTTGTAAGATTTCTCACGGAATTTCTTTAACATCAATTTAATTTTTTTGTATCTTCAATTGCAAAGCGTGCGAACTGAATCGTTTATTTCGAACTGAATTCTTCAACGTAAAACGACATAACAGTAACTTTATTCAGTTCAATTCTCGTGAAAAACAAGTCTGTAAATGTTTATCGATTTTAAACGTTCCAAAGCTATTACAGAGACTAGACTAGAGTAATAAATAATTGAATTTCAGATTCTATACGGCCACAAATCCTACATAAACTCTTTGAAAAATTTCCGAAGCCAACTGTCACCTTTAATGTCTGAACTTTTGATAACACCAGCACCAAACGACGAAATCTTAAGAATTGGAGAAGAGAAATATCTCGGGTTCTTGAAAGACAAAAGCAATAAATTTAACCAACATTTATCGACATTTTTTGCTTGATTTCAGATGTAACGAGTACTTGTTTAACTTGGAACTTGAGTACTTGGTTCCTGAGTGTCATCTTGTTTTGATTTGTAAGACTCGTGGCATTTTTGGTCATCCGAAATTCTTGTACGATACGATGCTGAACTTGAACGAGCATGAGTTGAAGAAGACGGGATGGGACGAGGATAACGACCCCTACAGCCTCATCAAACGAGTTTACATTAAAATCCAAACAGAAGAAGAGTTTACTAAAATTAAAAGGTTTGACCTTTAAGAATCACTTTAGATTGCATCGTTAATTAAGATTTTCTTTCCACTATGTTGCTTTCTTTAGCAAACGTGAGAGTTCTTCTATCCGATTAATTATTCATCGCGAACCATACAGTGATAGAGAAAAGCAATTGAGACGATGGAAGAAAAAGGAAATCATCATGAAAAAAATCTTACAGAATTCTTCAACGAATTAAGGTGGAAAAACGTCTGAAAATTTCACATCAACACAGACATTTATTAAATGAAAACTTTTTTTCTTGTTACAAAATCTCAAGTTTAATAAACTTTATGAACGATTTTTTAAATTTTTCTTTCCTGATTTGCTCTGATTTTTGAGTTGGCAATCTTCTTGAGGTGTCTCCAAATCAACTCACAAATAAAAACAAAGAAACTGACAACATAACCACCCACTAAAATCAAGAAAATTCCATAAACATCGTTCATAGTCAACAAATAATCTTCATTTATGATAAATTTTGTTATGTCATCGACATTTTTTTTACGTAGCCCTTGAAAATATCTCTCTAAATATTGACGAATTCCTGACTCAAAAATGTAATTAAAGTTCGTTTGAAGAATTCCAAGAAGTGGATTTGATGGAGCTAAAGCAAACTTTTCAATGAAAGGCGTCAACTTTCCAGGTAAAAGATAAAAATGTTTCATGACATCGACGTCTTTGTTGTAGTCAATCTCAGTTTGAATATCATTGCACCGAAGTATAATTGCAACATTTTGCAAAGAAAGTTTCTCAAATTGAATTTCTCTAGCAACATTCATTCGGTTGATGACGTCTGGAAAGTCGCCAGACTCCTTCAAACTTACGTAAAATATTTCACCAACTTCGTAAGTCAAATCGCTGCTGAACATTTCCTGCCAAGTGTTAAATTTTCGACCGTCACGAGATGTTGACATCGAAGCAATGATCAGAGACTGATAAGCATTTCCCATAATGAACGTCATAAGAACACAAAGTTGAAGCAAAAGCTTTTGAATTCGTCGAGAATTTCTGAATGGAATCGATTGTCCCAAGAAGTTTGCAATCACTCCGAAGATGAAGAAGAATGGCGAGTTGCTTTTTAAATAGTTGTAAGAACGGGTGAGAAGTTTCCAGAATATGCTGCAAACGACAATTGAAATGATCATAAATGTCCATGAAAGTCCATCGAATGGCGTCAAAATGAAGTGCAGAAATGTCAATCTTGGTGGCCTTGGAATCAACGCACAATATCCGTTCTCGTCATAAGTGTAAATCCACTTCTTCCAATCACTGAGTTTAACGCTTGTCGAAAGGGAAATTCCTGCCAGATTTTTAGAAAAATAATTTTGAATTTTGATTGAGATTTGAGGATCAGCAGGGTTGACTGAAGCGGTTAAGCTCATAGCTCCATTGTACTTATTCATAAACATTTTCAAGACTCTGAAATTAATTCCGTCGATTTCATCATTCACGATCGTACATCTCGAATATTCTTCAATAAACAGCATTGGGAATTGATAACCGTTTAAGTTTTTCAATCTGTCAGGAAAAACCACAGGAAAATTCCAGCGATCTTCGCTGCTAATTGCGTAAATTATTTTCCCGAATTTATTGAATGTGTAAATCTTTATTTGGTGATCGTCATCGTCCCTCAAAATTATGAGATTAATGAATCCTAAGTAATCAAGTATAGTGAAAAATTGTTTCATACTTTTTGAACTTTTTTTTGAAGTAATCAATCCAAATTTTGTAGAATCACTGAAAGTTTTATTATAGAATTCAACTGAAAGCTTTTGATAGAATAAAGCCTGGTATGAAAAAAAATTAACATTTTTCCATTCATTTAATATTGAAACTTAAATACTCACGGAATCGGTCAGGTCAGTGACAATTATAATGAAAGATGCAGCGTAAATCTGAGGAAATTGAACCTTCGGTTGACTTTCATCAAACAAATCAAAAGTGAGAATCGGATTGTCGCGATTAACTTTCAGCAACTCTTCGCGAATATTTTCAAAGGTATCGTTTTGATGTTGAAGTTCCAATCGAATTAAAACCACGTCATAATTGTGAGTTTGATCTTGTTTGTTGTTCTCGTTGACGAGAAAGCTGATGTATTTAGGGATTGTGAGATTGCCAGAAGTTTCCGCTTTTAGGATGGAAATTGCAGCGAAACTGCAGCGAAATTGCAGGAAAACGCAACACAAAACAAATTTTATTAACATTTTCATGATTTTTATTAAAATTAATTTCCACAATTGAACTTTAAGTTTTCAACCTGTCACAATTGAAAGCCGAATTGATATTGAAAAATGAAGAAAGACGACATTAAGCCAAGCTTCAAAGCTTCAATAGCTTCTAACATTTAATTATTTCTAAAACTACGCCTTGCAACTCTGTCAGTCGACCCCGATAGGCACTTACAATTCATTTTTCAATTAAAATTTTTAATCAATAATCATTCTTCAACTTATAAGCGATGTTTTGAACAACTGCAATGACCATTAAAACAATGAAATGAATAAGTCACTTAAAGACAGAGTTGGACAATCCAAATTTTGAAACGGTAAAATTTAATTCACGCTGAGGGAAATTTATTTCCTTATTTAATCGACTGCGAGTAGATTTACAGATAGGAAGCAGCGAAGTGTGTGCTTAGAGTTCGAAATTAAATAAACGGGAAATTTCACATGGTCAGCTTTTACTGATGTTTCCTTTCAATTTTAAGTTTTCGTTTCCGATTTTTTGTTTTGAATTTCAAGTTCGTGATCTTCTTCCGATGTCTCCAAATCAATTCACAAATAAAAACAAAGAAACTGACAACATAACCACCCACCAAAATTAAGAAAATTCCGTAAACATCGTTCATAGTCAACAAATAATCTTCATTTATGATAAATTTTGTTCTTTCATCGACATTTCTTTTGAATGAATTTAGGAATTGTCGATCCAAATATTGACGAATTCCTGACTCAAAAATGTAATCGAAGATTCTCTGAAAAGTTTCTACAACTGCACTTGATGGACTCAGAGGGAATTTTTCAATGAAGGGCATGAACTTTTCGGGCAATAAATAGAAATGTTCCATGACATCGAAATCTGTACCGTGATCAATCAATGCTTGAAGATCATAACAGCGACTAACACCCACGACATTTTTCAAAGCAATTCTTTCAAAATTAATTTTCCTTGTAACATTTATACGACTGACAACATCAGGAAAGTCGCCAGATCTATTCATAATATTGTAAAATATTTCACCAGATTCGAAACTGAGATTGCTGCTGAACATTTCCTGCCAAGTGTTGAATCTTCGACCATCACGAGATGTTGACATCGAAGCAATGATCAGAGATTGATAAGCATTTCCCATAATGAACGTCATAAGAACACAAAGTTGAAGCAAAAGCTTTTGAATTCGTCGAGAATTTCTGAATGGAATCGATTGTCCCAAGAAGTTTGCAATCACTCCGAAGATGAAGAAGAATGGCGAGTTGCTTCTTAAATAGTTGTAAGAACGGGTGAGAAGTTTCCAGAATATGCTGCAAACGACAATTGAAGTGATCATAAATGTCCATGAAAGTCCATCGAATGGCGTCAAAATGAAGTGCAGAAATGTCAATCTTGGTGGCTTTGGAATCAACGCACAATATCCGTTCTCGTCATGAGTGTAAATCCACTTCTTCCAATGTGTTAATTCGATGGTTGTTGATAGAGAAAATTCTGCATTGGATCCATAAAAGTACTTTCGAACTTTGAGCGAAGCTTGAGGATCCACAGGGTCAAATATTGCAGTGATGTTCAGGGCTCCATTAAACTTGTTCATTATCATATTCATAACTCTGAAGTTGATTCCATCAACTTTTCCATCTCTAATCATGCACCTCGAATATTCGTTTAAGAATAGAATTGGAAATTGGTAATTGTGAAAATTCTTCAATTTATCAGGGAAAACAACTGAAAATTTCTTGATATCTTCAAGAGTAATCGAGTACATTTTATCCGTGAACATGTTGGATGTATAAGCATTCACTATTTGAGAACTTCCCAACAAAATTAAGTGATTAATTAATCCAAAATGATTTAAACACCACATAATATCTGTTAGCAATGTTAAGTTCAACTTTGGAGTGATAATGACAAACTTAATAGAAACTTGCCAGGTGATCTTTTTAAAGATGAAAAATAATTTTCTTGCCAAAGGCATCTGGCATAAATTATAAGGGATAATTAACATTTCTGCATTCATTTAATATTGAAACTTAAATACTCACGGAATCGGTCAGGTCAGTGACAATTATAATGAAAGATGCAGCATAAATCTGAGGAAATTGAACCTTCGGTTGACTTTCATCAAACAAATCAAAAGTGAGAATCGGATTGTCGCGATTAACTTTCAGCAACTCTTCGCGAATATTTTCAAAGGTATCGTTTTGATGTTGAAGTTCCAATCGAATTAAAACCACGTCATAATTGTGAGTTTGATCTTGTTTGTTGTTCTCGTTGATGAGAAAGCTGATGTATTTAGGGATTGTGAGATTGCCAGAAGTTTCCGCTTTTAGGATGGAAATTGCAGCGAAACTGCAGCGAAATTGCAGGAAAACGCAACACAAAACAAATTTTCTTAACATTTTAATGATTTTTATTAAAATTAATTTCCACAATTGAACTTTAAGTTATCAACCTGTCACAATTGAAAGTTGAATTGCTATTAAAAAATGAAGAAAGACGACACCAAGGCAAGCTTTAAAGCTTCAGAGCTTCTAACATTTAATTATTTCTAAAACTACGCCTTGCAACTTTGTCAGTCGACCCCGATAGGCACTTACAATTCATTTTTCAATTAAAAACTTTAATCAATAATCATCCTTCAAATTGCAATGACCATACAATGAAATGAACAAGTCACTTGAAGATTCATTTCACGAATTCCACAAGACGATCGTCACATTCTGGTGATTGCATGAAGGAAGAATCCATCAGAATCAACATGTCAGGAGGCATGACCCGTGTACAATCAACTGAATCCTCTCATAGACAACAATTATGGGTCATTAATTAACTTTTTTATCTTCCGTTGTGGCAATTTCACAGGCGTGAAAGTATCTTAACAAGATTAATTATTCATTGTGTGCCATATGGTGGCTGAAAGAAACGGTTGAGTTGCTTGTTGAAGGAAAAGAAATTCATCACTGAGAGAAACGAAAAGTTGCCAGTGATGGATTGATGTGAGCAGTAAGAACGCGGGTGTCATCATCATCATTACTGACAATTACGACACACTGAGAATGTTCAGAGAATTAAAGTCGTCGTTCCTGAAGTTTAATTTCTCATCTTATTTGTTTCGAGCTGGTTGAAGCACTCGAAATGTCAATTTGATCGCAATTACATTCACATTCCCCTCCCCATCGTAACATTCAACAAATTGATTGATCTTTGTTTGAGTCTCGTACATCTGTTTACGATTTGTAATATTCACATGTTTGAACAAGAAAATTGTAAACAAATTGTTGTTGAACTCTTTGACGGGAACTTCTTCAGCATAAATCGAGAACAGAAGCATAATGAACGCTTAACTGAAAAGAAACATTAAACATGAACTGCACTCAATTCAAAAATAGCTTGAAATTATCGATTAAACAGATCATTTAAATGCACTTCAGGTTAATGACTTCACCTTTGGAATTTTTGTTTTTCCTTTCGACTTTTGAATGGGCGATGATGAAGCGACTTCAATTTCAGTGAAACATTTTGGGTGGAAGTTATTGGAAAGTAATAAGATTAAGCGAAAATTGGCAAAAACGATGAGCTCAGCGATCCATCGCGCCTTTTCCGGTATTTTCTGCCTTCCATTGTTTCAACTTTTGCCATAACCAGAAGAAAGGTTTCCGTTTGCCTTTCTTCCTTTCATTTCTTCTCCTGTCTTGACGTGTCAAAAGGAAATTACAAATTTTTTCTTATTTGTCTACAAGATTCCTTTAAAGCACAATCGGAATTTTAAGGTAATGATGGTATCAAGTCATCATTCTAAATCTTTTCTCGACCTTGTAAACAACATTCAAGTGGAAGAATAAATTTTCATGTAATTTACACACCCAAAATATCATTCTGTCACTCATCTGCGACAGAACATCAGCAACTGTAGAGAAAAAATATCCTTAATCGAATAAGAATTTCTAGCTCTTATCTCTCTCATGAATAATTCAAATTTTGGTAAAATGCTTGAAGCATTTACTAAATGTTTTGATGGCTTGTTGGAAATTACAATTTTGCTTATAGA